GACAATCTTGTTCCCAAAGGAATCCATTCTCTGTCGAGGCATGAGGGAGAAGACCAAGTCGTGGATCAGATACAGCAACGAGTGCTCAGCTGTACAGTCAATATCTGCGGCTTGTACATAGGAGATCTCATCACACGCAAGCTACAGCAATGCTCAAAGTCTGTCTCTTTGCTCTCGTCTTCTCTTAGTGTACCGTTCATCTAGAGAGTCGTTAGGGATGATTGCCGGACATCTCTTCTTGCATCGTTGTGTTGTGACCCCTACGAGGACTGTCGGCAACCGGATGTACGAACTACCTATCTGAATGTCCGGCTTTGTAGACCACGGTGGTTTCAGAGCCTCCGATGTGGACAAGTGTGCTTGGCTGGATTACGGAGGCGCATAACATGGTTCTTCGAAGTTCTCAGCCGCGAGCATGACTCAGCAATAGGGATTTGAAAACGAGATCATGAACGTCGACGGCGGCAGCGCTCGGGATCGCGCAGTCTCGGTCTGATTGAAACAAGATCGAGTGCAGCTGTAGATATACATACAAACGACCCATCGGGACCGATAAAGGTGCAGAAAGATCTATGTTGCGCCCATACGAAGCGATCGACAGGTGAGGTCGGATTTCGCACAATGACGGAATCGATGACAGCGTTGGCGAGATGAAACCAATTTGCACACTGAGCGGTCGATAGGAAGCTAGCATGTCAATTCGCAGTCTCGATATCTTGGAGCGAGTTGATTCAGGTACTGCGAAATATTATGGCTGAAAGTGTTCAATGCTGGCTCGTTACGCAGGGTGGCTCGTAACGCCGGGAGGGACGTTACAAGCCTTGGAAATCACAATTGACACGCTGACAAGCATCGAAAACAAGCGAAGACATGTGTGGTACTTTCGCCGAGTGCAGATTATGCTCCTCGGACATGATATTGCATGGAGCACTTTCGTAAAGCGCAAACCGCTCATTTCGTACATACATAGATCTATGACGGCATGTGGAGTGGAATGCGCCTGCGTCGCCGCGAATTTCCTACTTGATGGTGTGACCTGGGTATACGGGAACTTCCACCTTCCGAGCAGTACTTCGTCGACGACCGACATGCAAGTCATGGTTCATATCGATCATTTTCAACCGACCAGACGGCCCTGTAGTCAGACCTAACGCCACGCCAAGCCCATGCAAAATTGTACTGTAGAAAGAATGCAGATAGATCGTCTACTCGTCATCCTCGTCGTCGTCGTCCTCGGCCTCGATAGTAGTCTGGGCGATACGGTCCAAATCACGCTGGCCGGACTGGGTGATACGACGGCCACCCTTCTCCTCGTCGTGCTCGAGAACACCGATCTTCTCCAGGGCCTGAACGATCTTTCGGTCGACAGATCCGGAAGCATCGACGTGGTGGGAGGGACGGGAGCCACGGTTCTTGACACCACCGTGGACCTTGCGCAGACGGCCGACACCGACAGTCTTGCGGACGTAGATGTGACGGGCGACAGCAGCGGCGCGGATGTAGAACCTGATGGAGCCGATAAGCACTTCGCCCGCGATGATACAACAGATGCATCTGATCACAACTTACCAGTCCTGTGATTGCGGAGGAAGCTCGTTGGCTTGCGAGGTCTTGACAGTGTCGGACCAACCTGTAGACTTTGTGTCAGCATATTTGCAGACACCGCAGTCCCCCGTTCCACACGGGATTCAGGTTTCTCTTTCTCTTTTCATGGTATTCACGGACCTGGAATCGGAAGCTTTCCCTGTCGCTTCAAGAAGGCGGCGTAGGCCTCGATGAACTTGTCGGCGGGGACATCGCGAACGGAAACACCAGTCATTTTGGCGGTAGTGTTGGAGACTTTGGCGGAGAAGGTGGTGGTGAGAGGGTGCAGATGTGTTCGTCGTGGCTCGAATCCTCACATCGACCGATATTGAGGATCCTCAATTGAGCTTTTGTGCGCCAAGAATTTCACATATCCAAAAATGGTTAAGCGCAAAGACCAACCTCGTGGGATCAGTCTTGCCTGAGGCAGAAAGTTTCCGCCCTACTCTCTGAGGCTGTCAAGGCTCATGAAGACCAGACGTGGAGGAGGTCGAACATGCCCATGTAATTGAAGCCACCTGGGCATTGGGTGAATCTGTCGTTTTGGCTGGAACTCCTCTTGAGTGGAGAGTACTAACGTAGAACTTGATGTTGAGGCACGCCTGGTCGAATATTCGCGCTGTCATTGTGATTCGAGATGGCATTCGCTCATCTACAGTAAAAGGGTTCTCACAAGATCCAATTACTCTCCACGACTTGCCATTGTCCCACATCGGTATTCATAACGCTGTTGGCGGACATGTAGCTCCGTGAGCGCCTTACATTACTGCGGCTTCTAGCGATTCGGCTCTCGAGCTCGACTGAAATGAGTTATATAAATCAAGCAAATCATTTGGAGAAGTGCGATACCGTGAAATCGATTTGTATGGACACCAGGATCCATAATTCAACCAGCACCTTGGCAGCTTCGTGTTTCTGGTGATCAAAAGTTTGGTTGAGCGCGACCGGCACTTTGCCGCACAGCGATCGAGACAAATCTTGACGTTCCCTGCTTTTTGGTTCGCAGAACGTCCTGAACGTTGCAATCTCGCATCATCATTTCCATTACCGCAACATGTGCAGAATTTAACGACTTCCTCTTGTCTCACTGCCCTGCATGAGACCAGTCCGCGAGGGACTCCTGCCTGCGGGGTTGATAGACGACATGTGGAAAGTTCAAAGAACATGCGGATGCTCTACATCTCGCATGGCGAGCTGAACTTCGCGACGGCTATCTTACGGGAGAGCAAACAAGCTCTGAGTTCTTCTGTCTGTTGGAGATGTTGTCTAGGCGCCGGCAGTCTCTGCTCGGCAACACAAAGCAGACCCATGGAACTGTCGGCCGGGCCTGTGGAAATGTCAGCGCGCCACGTTCACGACAGATCGATTTCCCAATTTATGCCCGAGGACTTTGCATGGCACCATGACTTTGCCCAGATTCAAGCTCATTCTCCGATGGAGACCCGTCGGTTATACGGATATATCGACCGCCATTGGAATCACTACGGCACATCTTCAGAACGGTAGAGTCCGATAGCCAAGATCGATTGCCCTCCCAACATCCTTGGGTCTTGCGGAGCCAGGTACTTGATCAGAAGAGTCTGTCATACCATGCCTGCTGCCAAGGCGACCTTGGGGGCTGCCTACTATAGGATGTCATTTCATGATCATTTTTATGGAGGCTGGATTGGCCATGCTCACGTGGAGACGGACGTTCTGCCCATCATCGGGCGGGCTGATATAGGCGATCTGTTAGCCCTTCAAGTCCCTACTCGGCGTTGCATCCGCTCATTTGGTTGCGTAGCCATCACCAAGATGAATGGCTGGTGACGGATGAATTGCTCGACGGCTTAGCATCGTGCACTTCCTTCGCTACACTGGCATGACTACATAAAGATACAAGATCCTACTGATCATAACTTTCCTGCACACTCAAGCCCTCGAGCATCAAGCCCTGTGGCACAACACTCCTTCTTGTTTCTTCGTTCTTTTATTTATAATTGATACCCCATTGATTGCAGTTAGAAGGCACTTCATTCATTCAGACCTTCTCTTCCGCTTTCAAGCATGGCCAAGCTGAGCAAAGCCGTCGGCGCCCTTCTTTTGGCCGGTTGTGCTGCTGCCAGTCTGCCGCCTCTCTGCGGTGAATGTAAGTCCATCTTGACATGCTTGGAAAGCCGAAATTGACAATTGGGACCAGACACCAAAAACCTAACCGGGACAACCTCCTACCTCCCCAACTTCTTGACCAACAACCCTCTACCCAATGGCTATCCTTGGGGTACTTGGCAAGCCAACGATACTGATGCCTACAATCGATGGCCCGAGACGGGCGTGAAGCGTCACTACGACTTTACCCTCACGCAGACCCCATGTGCACCAGACGGCATTTCGCTGATGTGCTACACCATCAACGGTCAAGTCCCCGGTCCACTCATTGAAGCGAATTGGGGTGATTGGATCGAAGTCACTATCACGAATAACCTTCCCGACGAGGGTACCGCTTTGCATTGGCACGGTTTCCAGCACAAGGGCCATCAGTGGATGGACGGTGTGCCTGGTGTTTCACAGTGTCCGATCGCGCCTGGAAAGTCTTTCACTTATCTGTTCCAAGCACAGCTCTATGGATCAAGCTGGTATCACAGTCACTACGATGCTCAATCTGCAAACGGAGCATTTGGTCCTTTGGTCGTCTACGGTCCCAATCATGCTGAATATGATGAAGACATCGGCCCGGTCATTTTGTCGGACTGGGTTCACAAACCTTACCAAGAGCTGGTCCAGACATTGATGGCACCATTCCCGGACATGCGCATCCCGCCTTCAAACAATAATTTGATCAACGGCATGAATCCTTACGGCAATGCCGAGGGCTCCATCGCCAAATATCAATTCAAATCTGGAAAATCGTACCGACTTCGTCTCATCAACGCAGCATGTATGGCGACTCAGAAGTTCACGATCGACGGGCATTTCTTCAAGGTCATTGCAAACGACTTTGTACCGATCGAGCCGTACGTGACGGATCACATCACTCTTGCGGTCGGACAGCGAAGCGATGTGATTGTCGAAGCATGGATGAAGCCTGGCTCATCTGTATGGATGCGGTCATGGATCGCGCCATGCTCCCAACGGATCGGACAGGTCGAAGCCAAGGCCGCCATCTACTACGATGAAGCCGATCACTCCATCTTTCCAACCTCAGCAGCAGGACCCAACGCGTACAACACGTTCTGCGGAAATGACGACTTGGCACTCACCTTACCAGCATACCCAATCGCACCTCCACCTCCCAGCGTGCAATCCATCATCCCCATCACAGCCCAGACAAACGGCACCCATCTCCTCTGGTACATAGCCGGTCGAACCTTCCGCACCAACTACAACGACCCAGATCTCCTCGAAGCCAAACTCGGCCACCTCGACTTCCCCTACATTGAAAATGTCCACAACTACGGCACCAACACCTCTATCATCTTCGTCGTGCAAAACACTGGTCCCATGCCTCACCCGATGCACCTCCACGGCCACAACATGTTCGTGCTCGCGTCAGGAAAATGCCTCGACAACCGCACGGCCACCGCCTTCCCTGGCGAAGACGGCAGCGACGTTAACCGCGCCTCTTTCGAATTCTTCGCGGAGAAATTCACCGAGGCGCCTAACGCCGACGAATCGACCTTCCAGTCCTGCTGGGACGGTCATATCACCAACCCACAGAATCCGCAACGCCGTGACGTCCAACAGGTCCTCCCCGGCGAATACCTCGTCGTGCAGTGGAACCAGGACAACCCCGGTGTCTGGCCTTTCCACTGTCACATGACTTGGCATGCGGCGTCCGGTTTCGTCATGAGTATCCTCGAACGACCTGAGGATATTATGCGCATGGAGATTCCGAGTGTTATGGCGCAGACATGTCGTGATTGGGCAGAGTGGACAGGAGGGAATGTTGTGAAGCAGATTGATGATGGGTTGTGAAGGATGACCACGAGCGAGAGAAGGAGAGAGTCTGTTTGGTTCGCGCGCCTGATTTCACATTCTTACTTGCAAGCGGAGGGAAGGCTAGGGTTGATCCCTGCTGGTGGACATTTTGTCGCTTTGCGATTTTTACTTTACTTATTCCCAGATCTGTTACATAGACATTTTCATAACTAGATAGATAGTTTGCCTCCGACGAGATGTCGGGGGTCGAGATGATGTAGTCCTGCAGGTCAGGAAGCAGCATCGTTAATTCTTAATGCAAAATGATTTTCCATCGGATCAAATATCCCACATCTCAAATGAAGAGTCAGTGCACAGCTGCACAAGAGTTCCTTGCGATAGGTATTTGTTGACAACTTTTTCATCGGTTCGCTGCTGATCATCATCAGAATCTGTCGGCCGGGCAGTCACTGGCAGTATAGAGTCCGGCACCAAACAGCCGAGCCGGTGGACACCGAACCCGAGAGCCTGCAGAAGAGAAGAAGGTCATTCACCAGCATTTCTAGCACACAGAATGAGAGTCTCCCTGGCGTGCCTGGCCCCAGATTCTGCCCCACGAAAACCCCGGGCCTAAGAAATCGGCGGACTGTGAATTACGTTCGCCCTTTTTGGCTTTCGCCGCAACTCTCTCCAAATCGCCCTGCAAAAAGTGCGGAGTGGGATGCAAAGTTTGTATGAGATGAGGGTCTCAAGTCCGCGCTTTCAGCGCCAACGGCTTTACCCCGTCCAATCCGGCCTCGGTAAGTTGATGCTGATTCATCGGATTCAGCCTCGATCCATAGTAAGATGAGACGATTACCTATGCATTTCACGTGTTGGCGGCGGTGGTGGTCCCCTGCTACGGCAACAAACTAGACAAACCTCGGCCGAAAGCCAAATCTGCACTGCAGGGCGGCTGTAAACTCACTCGCAGACTCGTCGCGGTCGTGTTTGCGCCGCTCGAAATACTTCTCCTCATGTTGCTGTAGTGTTATTTTTACTTTGCGTGCGGCTGGTGCTTAAGCTCTTCTTCGACCTTTGTTTCGGTGTGCGTGGTCTACATCTTTGCCTTCTTTCTCTCTCTTGCTTCTAGCATTACACATCTCGAAACACCCCGCCAACGCCATCATGAGTGCTTCTATCACACGGGCCGAAGTGGCCAAGGTGAGAACGACCGACATACGCACAGTGGCGATCATTACTTCCAATACTAATTGAATTGCCCCGTCACAGCACAACACCGAGGAAGATCTCTGGATCATCGTTGACCACAAAGTCTACGACCTCAGCGAATTCGTCGACGCCCACCCCGGAGGTTCCGTCGTCCTCACTCAAGTCGCCGGCCAGGACGCCACCGAAGCCTTCTACAACCTCCACCGCAATGAGGTCCTCACCAACTACAAGAGTCTGCACATTGGCACTATCGAAGGCGAGAAACCCGAGGTCATCGAGCACAAGGCCGGCGACCTGAGCACCGTGCCCTACGGCGAACCGCTCTGGCTCACCAAACAATACTACTCGCCCTACTTCACCGACAGCCACCGCACCTACCAGCGTGCAGTGCGCGAGTTCGTCGAGACCCACATCCTCCCCGAGGCGCGCGCCGCCGAGCGCGATGGCACCCACATCAGCCAGGAACTCATCGACAAGATGGCCGCCAACAACTTCCTCGCCTGCCGTCTCGGCCCGGGCAAGCACATGGCCGGCCGCACCCTGCTGGGCGGAATCAAGGGCGAGGACTTCGACTACTTCCACGACATGATCACCAGCCAGGAGATCGCGCGCTGCAACTCGCGTGGTTTCCAGGACGGCAACCTCGCCGGAATGGCCATCGGTCTGACCGCAGTGCACGCCTGGTGCGAGAACACGGAGCTCCGCGAGCGCATCTCCAAGGAAGTTCTTTCCGGAAAGAAGAAGATCTGCTTGGCCGTCACCGAGGCCTTTGCTGGTTCCGACGTCGCTGGCCTGCGGACAACGGCGGAGTTGAGCAAGGACGGCTCGCACTACATCGTCAACGGTACCAAGAAGTGGATCACCAATGGCGTCTTCTGCGATTACTTCGTGGTGGCGTGTAAGAGCGAGAAGGGCTACACCGTGCTTTTGGTCGAGCGCGATGAGAACGTCGACACCAAGCCCATCAAGACTTCATACTCCCCTGCCGCCGGTACCACCTACATCGAGTTCAACAATGTCAAGGTTCCCAAGGCACACCTCCTCGGTCCCGAGCACAAGGGTTTCCAGGTCGTCATGTCCAACTTCAACCACGTAAGTCTCTTTCCAATCACCTTCCCGCAACTACCCTCGTCAGATCGCTTTTATTCCGGAAAGAAAACAGAAGACTGACAATATTCCCAGGAACGATGGATGATGGCCGGCATGGTCGCCCGCTGGTCCCGCACCGCCCTGGAGGAATGTCTAAAATGGGCCCACCAACGCATCGTCTTCAGCAAACCGCTCATCAACCAACCCGTCATCCGCGCCAAAATCGCCCGCATGATCACCCTCGTCGAAGCCAACCAAGCCTGGCTGGAATCCGTCACGTACCAAATGACCAAGATGAGCTACGCCGAGCAATCCAAACACCTGGGCGGCACCATCGCCCTCCTCAAGAACTACTCCACCCGTTGCGCGTATGAGGTTGCGGATGACGCGACGAACATTTTCGGAGGACGGGGTATTACCCAGACCGGCATGGGTTGGGTTGTGGAGAACTTCAACCGTACGAATAAATTCGATGCCATCCTTGGTGGTACGGAGGAGATTCTTGCGGACCTTGGTGTCAGGCAGGCGATGAGGTCGATGCCGAACGCGAAGCTGTAGAACTTTTGAATCGCTTTGCATTGGCTGCCTTCTTTGATGTCTTGATGGGGATAAATGATATACAGTCCATACATGTTGTTTTAAATTTCCCTCCACGTCCTCCCTCCCGCAGCGGAAAATAATCAAGAACCGAGTGGCGAGATTTCAAAGGCCGCCCGTTCTTCGGAATGAAGAAATAATCTGATGTGAGGGAAAAAGTGAAGAAACCAACCGTATGTCTGCACTTTCGATGTTATTTTCAAAAATAGTGGTTCGAGGCAATCAGCCCATCAAATTGAAGGGCTGATCTCCATCAATTTACAGGTGGTCAGGGGCGAAAAGTTAGTGACTGGAGCGGGCCAGCCCGGGCGGGTGGGACAGATAGGCGACTTTCCAGCTTTTTCGCCAATTGTTCCATCATGCGATATCCCGCATCTCGAAATTTTGATTTATGCCTATCGATTTGCTGGGAGGAAGAAGTCTTGATCACGTTTTCGTCTCAGATCCTACTCTGGGCGTCGCTGAAGTCTCGAAACCACCTTGCCGCAAAAGGGACGGGAATGAAATGCAAATGGCGGACAGCTTGTCCGTGAATTTTGTTCATCTCACGACGCCGATGCATAGGATCGGTTGCGAATTGATCGAGGATTCCTCTTTATACTCGAAGCCCAACTCATGAATGTACTCGGAGATACTCACATGGAGCAGGAGATCGCTAAGTCGATACCGGACGAAATGACAGCCTATCTCAATCCATCATCGGGAACAGTAGATTGGGCTTTCGTCTGCCGGTTGCGTGTATGGTAACAAGACACAGCATCCCATTGGGTGCTACGTATTCACCACCGAGCCGTCACGATTTGCACACAATCAGACTTTACCAGGATCTAGCATTGCCTCAAGAATGAAATATTTCCATTGGTAGGCTGAGGCGCTTGCAAATGTACAGCAGACAGAGTATGGCCTGCAGTGCCGATGCCGATCATTCGAGGCGTGCCGCAAATACCAAGACACTAATGTTACGATCACACCGTCTTCCAAGAGCAGACTCTCTGGTGTTACGTTCACAGGATCGCGAAATGACGTCGATCGACGATTTGACTGTGCCGTATTCGAAAGATTCGGTCATCCTGCGCGAAGCTGAAAGTGATATAATGGCTTCGAATCCGTCACTGTTGAAGGTCTGGGTTGCGATCCTTTTCTTCCGGTCAAGCAATTCAAACGATATTCGAAGCAGTCTCCTCCCTTTAAACATAACATTAGTCCTGCAATCATGAAGTTCCACGCTGTGTCGTCGCTTTTGGTTCTACTCTTGTAGCAGCAAGGCGCGCTTGCAATCGATCCAGATGCCTCCGTCTCCCCAGACGGATCTTTTGGGTAATTATATCCTTGGGATATGCACTGCAGCTGCGACTGACCTCTGGAAAGGAACAATCTTACCATAGGTTTCCACGGATTGAGCTCCAACTGTGCAGATGGCGCCGGCTTGCCCGCATCATCCATCTCCCTGACCACTCCAAGCTACAACGTCGACAAAGTCTGCTTCAACATCGACGACCTGTTCAGCCAAGGCAATAACAGTGGCTGGAAACATGAGCCGAACAACATCAACATTCCTCCTCAATACTGGGGCGTCAACTACACCCTGATCAACCGCGAGCTCTACCAGCGTGGTTTCAACTACACCGGCGTTTGGATCAAGTCCACCAACATCACCGACAAGGGGGCCGGCGCAGGCCAGAACAGCGGCCGGGCCGTGAGAGTGTACGAAGGCCGCGATTGCGACGACACCAAACTCTACTACCAACTCACCTGCCAGACCCAGGTCGGCGGACAGTGCCGCAGTGCCCAAAAGTCCTTCCAGAGCTTCTCCCTGGACGATGCCTACCCCTTCATTCAGGCCACGGGTAAATGTGAAAGCTTCGCCGCTTTCAACAACGCAGCCTCTTCCCTCTACGGCGGAGCATCCTTCGCCGTCGCCGGAACGACCGTCCTTGCCGCTCTCTGGATGTTCTTCTAGATAGAAACATTCCACTCTTGAGGGAACCCGAAGGTGTTCAGATTTGTCCGCGGCTGTGCGAATTCAGTCCCTACTCAATGGGAATGAGAACGTGATGATTGACATGGTCTTTTTTATCTGCACCACTCTCATCATTGCTTCGTCATCTTCGATCTTGTCTATGCACTCTACACGCTATCCTGCTTATCAGGTCGCACAGCACGCAGTAGATAGAAGATCAAGCAATTCCTCCACACGACCCAGAAAATTTCATGTACATTATCTTGAACCCAACGCGAGCTTCGGCGAGAAATGCATCCTGTCAACATCCACAGCCATCAAGGTGCAGGCACGTACGATCATCGTACAGGGAGACCTCATCTACCACGATCGTGGGATGTATGTGATTCGCACCAGAGCTTACACGTTGGAATTATCCGGCAGAAGAACGTGTAGCGGCGTTTTAACCTTCGCTATGAGGCGCTTCGGTGGCGCATTTAAGCGTTTGGCACGACGCAGCTTCGCAAGCTCACAGGCGAAAATAAATGCGACACTGTGAAACAACAAGTCGTTACTTCATAATTTCAAAAAAGCATCATGAGATTGAATCGAAATATCATGTTGGCGATTGCCACGAATCGCGAGATGCGCACATCCCCACCCACTCACCCATACACTCACTCACACACACACACACCTTGTAACAAATGAATGGTTATTCTGCATGGCTGTGAAGCTTGCAGGAAGCTTGCCTGCCATTCGCGCCTGCAGTGACGCTACTGTGCCGCGTCCATAGCAATAGCGTCGTCGATTCCATGCGCCAAGTGCCCATCCTTGTATTATATGTAGGCACAGCCTGCCTGCCGATCTGGCGACGGAGCTATTTTGTTCGTTTTGGACTCCACTACGTTGTTGTTGTTGGCAGACACAGCTCGTACCGCGTTGTTCCATGCGCCAGACGTGTACTCATTTGTTGTTCGTTGGCGCCCTTCGAAGCCGGGCTGCTGTGAAAACTGCGCTTCTGCGATGAGGGAGATCACAGAACTCTTCCCGGGACCGACTCATCACCGAAACAAGAGCATCACAGGGCAAATTCCTCGTTTCCCTCATCCGCTCTCTCTCTAGCCCAGCACGTTTAACGCGCGCGAGCCAAATCGGTGGTCGATATTGATTGTGATCTGAATTTAGGGATGTGGTGTGGAAACACATGCCATGCGGTGATTCGATCAAATCAAACCCGTGCCTCACACGCGCGTTTGCTTGGCAGAGCTGGCAGGCCTCTCTTGGCAGACGCAAGAGTCGCGGGAGATTTGAAAACGGGATGTTTTCCGTGCATGGCTTAGACGGACGCGTGTGAAAGGTCGCAGTGGGATCACACGCTCCCTCTGGTCTCGATAGGGGTGAGATGGATATGTGAATAGGTTGCAAGCAGGTGCACGGTCAGGTTGCAACCCAATTTTATGCAGGATCATCTCGGTCCTGTAGCAATCAATGTGATGCCGCTACATCTTCTAGTATACTTCGCAAGGGACGGCAAATTGTCACTCTTGTTTGTCATCACGATTTCTCCTCTGATCGTGTTTTGAGAAGCGTGTTGTTGCTTCAAGCTTAATTGAAGTCATGAAGGGTACCGCGGCGGAAATTGCTCCGACAGAGGAACAATGACGTAATAGGTGGCTGTCCACCTCCCAGACCTGTACATTTTCCTATGAGTTGGACAACAATTGTATGAGTACAAGTAAGAGCCTCGCAGGATATTCAATGATGCGCAAAGTTCTAGGGTAAGCATACCCAGGCGCAATGGAACGAATGAAGCCTCGTGAGTCTGCGATATTGTCGATCGTGACCATAGCTCGCCCGCCGTCTACATCTGTTCATGATCGCCGCACAGCCACGGTCTCCTGTAGATCCGACCCAGGCTGTGCAAAGGATTAAACGTCCAAGTGTACCCGGGGACTGAAGCGAAAGAGTGATGATCACCTGTACGTTGAATCCGGACAGGAGCGTCGTGCAATATCCGTCCAACGACAAGCGCGAGACCAAGCCTTGACATCATCGTGCCAATGCTGGTGGCTTGAAATCATCCCGTGCTGAGGTCGTCGCATATAATACCATCACCACCGGAGCGAACGATTGCTCGCAACGCGAAAACCTTTCGATTACGAACAACATCGCATCGCTGCGCAAATCCGAGAATGGCCTCCACAACAGCCGACACCGACGACACCTCCGACGTGGAGACCTCCTGGCAGCCTCCCGCCGGAATCCACCCAAGCGTCAACCTTCCCCTCGCCTTCAAGATCTACTACCGCAAAGCACGCCTCACGCATTTCGAATTCTACATCGGCCACCAAAAGGGCCAAGTATTACACGCGATCTCCGGCGGATGGGAACATCTGCTGCACTCGAAGATCGGACTGCATTCGGGACCCGAGACCGACTCCCCTCTCCTCGGCAGCGCCGTCATCAGGAGCAAATCCGTCGAGATCACCCTCCCCTCATCCGGCGACACCACCCACAAGATGGAGACCACCCGGACCCACTTCCGCACGCAATCCGCCAACGGCTCCTTCGACCTGCTCGTCCCGGGGATCCCGGCGCCGGAGCATTTCGAATGGGTGGATTCGCGGGGCCCGGAGGTGCAGAGCCTGGGGAACCGGGACAAGACGGGCTGGGTGCTGCTGCGGATCGGCCACGGGGCGGAGTTGGGCGAGCCGGTGGCGGCGTACGCGTATGATCCGTGGAGCTGGAAGCTTTCGGGGCATTTTGCATTTTTCAACAGTGGAAGGACGGAGGCGTTGGGAGGGGAATTCGTGGTCTTGGCGGTGCTGTCGGCGTTGAGTCTGGGGCAGAAGAAGAGGGTGCAGTATTCGGGGACGAATCCGGTTTTTATCAGGGATTGAATAGGGAGGAGTGAGTTTTCGAAGTGTGTATCTATGGTGATTGGTTGATTTCATGTGCGGAGGAAGTATGAGATTCCTGGTATTGTTTGTTTTTTGACTTTCTTAACTTTGTTTGTTTAGTCGGTTGCTGGTGGAGGCTGAATGTTGAGTTTGGACTGACATCGAAGCGAAAGTTGACGAGACACCTATCGCAAGTTTTGTCGAGGGCCGTGGACGGATAACCTTGCACACGTCGAAGGATCACCGCCAACCTAGGTATTATGGAAACCAGCTGTCAAGCCAGAGCGATGGGAAACGACCCTGGAGAGGCAAGACTCTATGTACACCTCTATAACATCAACGCGATAAGCCTTCCATCATGCGCGGGAAAACCTGCTTGGCTCGTGCAGTATTCGCAGTGACAGCGCCGTGAAACAACAAAAATCGGGGTGAGTGGGCCAGCAGTGACGAAGTGACAAGTGGGTAGCGAACGATCACAAAGTGCCGGGTGTCCCTGGAAGTGGGTCCAGGAAGGAACACACTCCTTCCTGCGATGACGATGGTCGCAATAGTCTGGAGCCTCATTATTACTGTGCCTCTCACTCTCGGAAGATTCCTTCGCGTACGCGCCCACACACCCGAACGATCGGACGAACCACTGTGCTGTGCTGTGCCGCTCAAGTCCGAACCGCGCTTACCCTGGCGATGGCATAACACACCTGGGCAGTCACCTAGGTATCCAAGGTTTCCATCGCGCGCCTGGCGGGAAGTGTATCGAGCCGTTCCTTCTCCCTTGCGGACCCTGTTCTGTTCTGCCCGGGCCGGCCGCGTGCAAGAAAAAACGTGCGCCGCCGATCTCTTTCCATCGGTTGACGTGGGGACTATGATGAATGGATGTCCTTTTTCGTAGACCGCCATGTGTTCCTCGCTTCTATCATGTCACCCTGGCTAGGGTCAGTTTTCGTTACTCGGCAGAAAAGTATGTCGGAAAGGCTGGTATATTGTAATACAGTGTGGTTGTTCTCGTAGGTGACCGTCGTGCGGACGAAAGGAGCGAGTTACACCCACATACTGCGAGGGACAATTCCTCGAGGAAGTACGACAGATGCCCGATACTTCCACCAATCAATATTACTATCATTGTTACTTCGTCATCAATAATGAAGGATACATGCCTGTTCGACGCAAAGCCATCATCCTGCCGAGTTTCTGTCGTGTCAACGCACGATTCATGGTCGTCGTCGAGAAATCGTCGAGAGTAGATTCCCTCTGTATCGGGCTGATTGGTCGCGAGGTCGGGCTGAATTGACCGCATCCAGAAAGGCGGACAGGCAGAGGGATCGTCGCTTCCAGCCCGCCCGCCCGCTCATCGTTCTACACGAACACATCCACACGCGGTGACCGAGAAAGGCTATAATAACACCCACAGAAGGACGGCCGGGGCGAACATGCTCTGCATATCCCTCCTGCAAGACATCTTCCTCTCCTCACCCGACAAGCGACAGCAGAAACGCACGACAACAGCGGCTGCATATCTGACACCGGTCGAAGGGTGCGCACGCGATCTCATCAGACAGCCATCTCCAATCTCAGAAGGCGGACGATCGGATAAAGTGCAGCACTCCCTCCAGCTAGTGTACCAGAAAACGGAGCAGGCTTGTTGTTTTACTGGCAGACTTGCATTTTGCGTCGTCTCAGATCTGGTTCCAGAGTATCGCCGACAGATAGCCTCCTGCTGGTCTTTGGTCAAGACGCCGATACATAGCCGCGACGTATTGATTGACTACGCGCGTGATTCGGGAAATCCATTACTTCATCCCCCTCGCTAGCAGGTTGCGAGGTAGCCCTCACCGCTCATCAGTCGGGCACCACATCAGCACCATATCAGCACGACAAGTCCCACGACGAACTCTGCGATAAAGACTTGGATAGATTCAAATCGAGGACAAACAATTCCACAAAATTTGCGACACGCATCTCGACATCCCCAAAATCCACAGAAACACATACACACCCACGCTTTCCTCGTGGATCATTCCTCCCCATCCACGAACTCCGCTTGAGCTGCAACAGGACGTCATCCGTTTTCCCACCACGGCGACGGGCAACCCCACCGGATCACCACCGTGCAGCGCGCTTGCGGACGTGTGTGCTGGTCCGTCCGTCCCACTCGCAAAGGCCAGCGCCGACCACGCCCACGCCCACGCCTCCAGGTCCGCCGCCGAATTGCAGCTCGTTTAGAAAGCCAGACAGGGCAGAGAGCAGGGCAGACGGGAGAACCATTTTCATGCCAACGTGGCTGTGCCTACGGGTGATACAGTACAGTAGATCACACCACAGGAGGTCTCTCTTCTTCTGGCAGTGTCGTCATCTGAGCGAGAGTGGTTGCATTTAGAGAATCGGCCGCCTCCTCACCTGATTGCACCTCCTCCGATTTGTTTGAGAAACTCTGGAAATTTGGTTCATACTTATACTGTGTGTGGGCTGGTAACGTGAGCAGTTCTCGCGCCCAAGGCTGGTGGTTCTGCTTGCCCTCGAATCTTTCTGTTTTATTTACCCCAGGCTCAGTCGCGCATCATCAGCCCGCCCACGCAGCACACCGGCCGGTTCCCAACTGTCGCCGCTTATTATTGTTTGAAGCCTGCTGCTTGCTGCTGCGCCTCGCCAACGGGTTTCGGTCAGGCCGCCCTCTGCCATCGGTCTCTGTCACAACGAACGCACACCCCGACACCAACATATTCCATTCATACCATACAGCAGCAGAGGATAACCCCGCCACGTTCTCAATTCTACCGCCGGATTCCCCATCATGGCCGACTTTGTCGAGCTGGGCGCCGAAGCGGTCAACCATCTCACCGACAAGCATTTCGACAAAGGATATGATGTCTATCGGAAATACGTCAACGGCGAAAAGATCGAAAGCGTTGTCACGCCGTACGACCGCGAAAGGGAGAGAAAGCGTCGAGACTCCGAGACCGCCGCCCGATCTAACCACAAAGACCCGGAAAAGCGCAGCTCACCACCACGCGCATCATCGCAAGCGGGAGGAAGCAGCCGGGAAGTGAGGTCATCTGCCGCCACGGGTGCTGCTGCTGCTGCTGCTCCACCACCGCCGCCTGCAACAAGTGGCGGCTTGCCCGAGTCTCACCACCACACTGCCCCCTCCATCACCAACATTGCGGCACAGTCGACATCTTCGCGCCGAAAACAACGCAACCAACTCCCCAGCCCCGAACGCGATACTTTCCAATCTACTGCTATTCCTATCGCCGCTGTTGGAGCCGCCGCCGCCGCCGCCGGTGCATATACATATAACAACAACAGCAACAACCCCACCCGACGCGACCGCGGATTCGAACGTGAAAGCAGCATCTCCGACCAAGTGCTACGAGAATACGAACGCGAAGTCGACGACCCGACCCGTCGCGCCGAGAAAGTCCTCTCGCCCAGCCAACTGAACAAGATCCCTCGCTCATCGACGACGACGAACAAATCCATCGGAGGGAGCTACCGTCGCGACAGCGCCATGACTTCCCGTTACGCTGACGACTACCGCGAGGCCGGCTCACAATACGCCGGCAGCCAACGACCCCGCTCACAACCTCCCCGCAGCCGTTATGACGACGACGGCGATAGCGACTACGATGAGAAATCCGGTCGTCGTTCTCGCGGCACCGGCCGTGGGTATGACGACCGCGACTACGACCGCGTGATTGAGGAGACGGAACGTTATCGGGGTCCGGTAGGTGCAGGACCACTTGTGGTGCGTGTTCGCCTCCAACTTCTTTCCCTCTTTCGTTACTTCGCGCATCATCATCGAATAACATTCCCGTTCCGTCACACCATTTCGCTAACTTCACCCACCCATACAGCCCTTCGCCCGCCGCGAAAGCGAAAGCCGCTACGACGACGACCGCACCTACACCAAAGGCGCGCCCACCACCACCGTCACCCAATACCGCGACGGCGGCGGCAACGACCGCGACCGCGACACCTACCTCACCCGCCGCACCTCCCGGCGGGGCCGCGACTCGGACTACGACAGCCGCAGCCGCTCTCGCTCGCGCAGCAACCAAGGGGGCCCGCGCTGGAAGGAGAAACTCGAGGACACCTTCGACACGTCGGCGCAAGGGCTGGGCGTGGGCCTCGCCGGCGCGGTCATCGGCGGCCTGGCGGGGCGCGAGTTCGGCGGCAAGAACGGCGGCAAGAACGCCCAGCGCGACATGGCGATCGGCGCCCTCATCGGCGGCCTCGGCGCCAACATCGCCACCAACCAGTACCGCGAGTGGAGGGAGAAGAAGGAGGACGAGAAATACGAGAGGGGCAGCGGCCATCGCGAGGAGCGGTGGGAGGTCGGCCGGAGTCGGAGCAACGTGAGGTGAGGACGATGTGCATCGAGCGAGGATCTCGCGGTTCGGGGAATATTTGGATGATGATGATTGTGATGATGATCTCGAGATGAGATCGGGGAATGTAAACTTTTTTTTCAAAACCCTTTGCAATGATGGATGATGAATGATGATGATGATGATATATACAACTTCCCCTGCTCTTTTCTCTCTTTCTTTCTCTCTTTCTTTTCTTCTTTTTTTGCTTCTGGAAACTACGGATCCCTTCACCGTCTCTCATCCTTGTCCCTGTCTGAGGTGGAATAGCATACTACTGAGAAACCGACGAGAGCGGAGGAGGCAGGAAGGGGGCTCCAACGACACATCTATCCGGCCCACGGAATCCTCCCCTCATTTCCCTCCCTGATCTACTTCTAAGGTTGTCATCCATCCCGGGAATGGAGATCGGCGGGGGGTTCTCTCAGACATGATACATCGAAGTCTGATTTTTCGTCGACGATGGGGTTTCGATGATTTTGGTGGCTACGAACTGTCCTCCTTGTACTACGTGATACCATCCGTGGAATTCCTTTCCTTCCTACTCTGTTGTTGTTAGTCCTCGGACGTCGAAGCATCTATAGGTGTTTATTTCCATCTTGTTGATGAGAAATTCCAGGCGCTACCCTTCTCCTTCTTTTTCTTCTCCTCCTGTCTCTCTTCCTCCTTGACCGCCTTGCCTTCTTCTTCCACCGAATCTCGCGCAAAACCATCAGTGACAACTCATAGGTTTTCTTCGTCTGGATTTCTTCTGTCGTCATCTCATGGATATATACCTAGGTACTTCGCCGTCTTTTCTTTTTCTTTTCTTTTCTTCCTTTTCTCTTTTGCTCGCGTCCTGGCGTTTACTAGACTCCCCACCTTTCTCATTGTCACAGTATGAGACTATTGTTGTTGTTGTTTTACCCGGTTTTGGGAAATCTACCCAGGACATCCGATCCCGTTTCGCGAGTTAGCACGGAGGAGAAGAGAAGAGGAAACGATCCAAATCTATGTGGAGAGACATGGCTTTCCAGCGTGAGGAATTTTTCTGCGTGGTGCATCCGACATTCAATTGGGTTTTCTCCCGATTTTTTCTCGTATATGTACATGACATGACATTCCGTCCCATCGATCGTGAGATTTCGGCCATCAAATCCCCATCAATTTCCCCATCAATTTGGGCCGAGTTGGAGGAAGACCCTCGAAATGGGCCCCCCGCCAAGTCATTCCTCCCTCTACTTTATCTCCTCGATTCCGTGCCCCAGCCCTGTGGACAGTCTAGTCTGCCGGATCAACTGGGACCCTGATGAGATCCCGGCGAACATGACCATCGATGTTGTTCTGTAGAATGTAGAGGACAATTGCGACACACACTCACAGTGAGAGAGGTAGAGGGCTACACATACGGTCCTGTATGATCTTGCTTCCTGGGTGCATCCAGGTAGACGACGGATGGATCACTGAGTCGCCAGATGCCAAGGAGAGGATGGAAGGATACAAGGCGCATGATCAGCCTGCGTGATAGATATCCAGCAGCTGCCTCAGGCGTCACGTGCCCGGCTGGGCGAACTTGCATCCCTCGCCTCGAGTGTACCTAATACCTAGCCTGGCCTAGCGACCGAACGAGCCGACGGGGGAATGACTAGACCACCTTCCGCCGCGCGCGTGCCTGTCTGGTCACTCAATCATCACTTCATCGCCCGGACTGAGACATCACCTCAAGCCGGCGGCCTCTCTGCTGCAGCTGCCCACATCACCTTTGGTCTCTCTTTTTCGAACTATATACATTCTCTAAACCTGATACTTACATCTTCCTGGAAGACGTCCCATTTCATACATCCACAATTTCATCCATTCGTTCACAACCCGCCCTAATTGAAAACATCAGCCCTTAACCTAGAACAATCGTCTTCCCCTGGTGAAACGGGGGAGAGAGAAAGGGAGACAGAGACAGAGAAGGAAACACCCCGTCAGACGGCAGCAATGTCCTCGCGCGAACCGGAACCGCTCCTCCACCGCCCTCCCTCGCAAAACTCCGCCGACACCCAACATGGCCTCGAAGAGGAAGATGCCCTCCTCACCGGCCACCGCACCGGCAAACAAGCCGACACAGACGGCACCAGTCCCCGCCGGAAATGGCGCGAGATAGGGTTCTTCGTCTGGGCGCTCCTCGCTACGATCGTGGTCGTCGTGCTCGCCGTCGTCCTCCAGCAGCAGGTCTCGCGGGTAGGCGGAGATCCGGATGATGGGAACAACAACGGCGGGAAGGAGGGAGGGAAAATCACGGGGAAGAGGAATCTCATCTTTATGGTCTCGGACGGGATGGGACCTACGAGTCTGGCCCTCACCCGGAGCTGGAGACAGTATACCGAGGGTCTTCCCTGGGGCGCGGAGACGCTCGTCCTCGATCGCCATCTCATCGGACAGAGCCGCACGCGGAGTTCGAGCTCGTTGGTGACGGACTCGGCCGCCGGCGCGACGGCGTTCTCGTGTGGAATCAAATCCTACAACGGGGCGATTTCGGTCTTGCCGGATCACGGCCCTTGTGGGAGTGTCATGGAGGCGGCGAAGCGGATGGGTTATACGACTGGATTGGTGGTCACGACGCGCATCACCGATGCGACTCCCGCGGTGTTCGTCAGCCATGTGCGGACGCGCAGCATGGAGGACGAGATTGCGCTGCAGTTGATCGGGGAGACTCATCCGCTGGGGAGGATGGTGGATTTGGTGCTCGGTGGAGGGCGATGTCATTTCCTCGGCAATGAGACGCTGGGGAGCTGCCGTGCTGATGATGTCGATGTTGTGGAGACGGCGAAGAATTCAGGTTGGAATTATATCGATAACCGGGACGATTTCGACAATCTCGGCACGGATGCGGTGTTGCCTCTCCTCGGCCTGTTCGCCGGTGGTGATGTGCCCTACGAGATCGACCGTCGCTTCCAGGAAGAGGAATACCCGTCCCTCGAACAAATGACCCGCACCGCGCTGAAACTCCTCGAATCCGCCACGCAAGACTCGGAACAGGGTTTCTTCGTGATGATCGAAGGCTCACGGATCGACCACGCCGGCCACGCCAACGACCCGGCCGCCCAGGTGCACGAAGTCCTCGCCTACGACCGCGCCATGTCCGTGGTCCTCGACTTCATCGAATCCACCGACGTCCCCACCCTGATGGTCAGCACGTCCGACCACGAGACGGGCGGCCTGGCCACCGCCCGCCAACTCCACACCACCTACCCGGAATACCTCTGGTACCCGAGCGTGCTCGCCAACGCGACGCACTCGGCCTCCTACACGGCGCACGCCTACCACGACTACCTCATCTCCCACCAGTCCACTTCTTCCTCCTCCCCCGAGGAAGAAACCTCCTCCGCCGCCAAAGACAAGAAGCTCACCTCCTACCTGAAATCCCTCCTCGCCACCTCCCTCGGCATCACCGACCCCTCCTCCTCCGAGCTCACCGCCCTCATCACCGACCCGGACTACGCGGCCTACAGCCTCGCGGAGATGATCTCGCGGCGGGCCCAGCTGGGCTGGTCGACGCACGGCCACAGCGGCGCCGACGTCAACATCTACACGTCGGACCCCTCCCTCGCCGGCCCCAGCCTCAGCGGCAACCGCGAGAACACCGACGTCGGCGCCTTCCTGCGGTCCTTCCTCGACCTGGACGCCGAGGTCGAGAAGGTCACGCGCGAGCTCCGGCGCCACGCGGCTTCCCTGGGCGCCGTCAGCGAAGAGGCCTTCCTGGGCCCGGTCCCGCCTGGCGCCGAGCGTCTGGACGGCCAGGACCACTTCGAGCATTACACCGGCGACCATAAGATGCACCGTCGCGGCGTGGTCGAGCCCGGGGCGTGTTCGTGCGGCTTGTAGTATAACTGCTGTTGTTGTTGTGCCTGGTGAGACCTTTGAGGTTCCCACCCCGACCTTTCTTTACAATTTGTTGTCAGGGTTTAATATCATCATGATCCTTTATTCCTTTTGAAGCGCGGTTCCAAGGTCGGTGGGCGGTGACGATGACCGATCAATAGAGAGAGAGAGAGAGACCAACTGGAATTGAACGGGCCCAGATCCCCAAACGAATGAAAATCAAAATAAAACCGGGGAGACAATCCGAACTCGTTTTGAAATCGTCGTCGTCATCGTCGTCCTCGAATACCGCAGAGAATCAAAATAATATTGACAAACAACCCCAGATGGGAGAAAAATCCCGACCGGATTCCGAAGTTTCGAGCCCCCCCCCCCCCCGGCCCCCGGAAATACTGTAGACAAAAAACTGAAGAAACGTCACGGAAGAACCGCTGGCCAATATCCAATACCCAACAATAACTAATCAGCCCGAGGAGAGAGAGAGAGAGAGAGAGATTTCCAACTTTTTGGTTCTCTTTCTTTCTCTCTTTCTTTCTTTCTTTCGGTCTTTCATACGTACATGTATACGTATATACATACATATACGTACGAATGGAGCCGTCGGTGGTCCGATCGCCGCCGGCGTCAATCAAACTCAGTTCGAGGCAAGTCATGTCAATCCAATCCAGTCTAATTCGAATCCATTCCATCCTCGGGTGGATTCTCTCGGGTTGATTTTCTCGGTTGGATTGTCTCCATTTGGTTTTCTCGGCTCGACTACTCAGTCCGAGCAGAACAGAGCAGAGCAGAGCGAGGGAAACGGCAACCGCAGCAGCGCCAAGAACAAGCACCGGAGAGAGAACGAGAAAAAACCCCGGGAAAAGACGAGGAGAGAAAATCAAAGGGCGAAAAAATAAACATTTCAGATTAGGAAGAAGAAAAAAACACATCGTCGTCGTATTCTCATTCGTCGTGGCGTGGCGTGGCGTGCCCGTCCGCTCGTATCCTCTCCACTCATCCTCGTTCTTTCCCCCCTTCCTGTCTGATGCTTTCCTTTCCTTTCCGCGTCCCCGCCCCGCCTCGCCTTCCTTTTCGCACATTTCTTCGTAGCCCCCCATGACGTCTCGTTCGTTTCATTCCAGCTCAGCTCAGCTCGGTCCTGCGGCCATCGGCGTGGCGGCCGTGGTCTGCGTCAAGCGAGTCTCCGCTCGGATCGATTTTCGAGAGGGGAAGAGGGGTGAGTTTCTCATTTGCCCAGGCTGCCCTTCGCGACGTCAGTGGTGGGTTCCGCCACGCCGCCATCAGCGCTGATGTCCGCGACGGTGCTGGCGGTGGTGGGGTCTTCGGGGTCATTCTCGCTGGTGGCGACGGCATCCGTCGTGGTGGCGGCGGCCGGAGCGGAGGGGGGGAGTTGGGATGCCAGTGCCGTCATCGGCTCGGTCGAGGTGGGGCTGACTTCCTCCAGGACGGGCGATGGGGAGCGGAAGGCCGAGGATGAAGGGACGGGTTGGCCGGAGGGGGTTGTGGTGTGGTCGTTGCTGGACGGGTTCGAGTTGTAATTCGGCGCGGGGGAGGTGAAGAGGTTTCCTGGACCATTCTGCTGCTGCTGCTGCTGGTGGTGAGGGAGCGTGGTCGAGGAGGAAGTGGAGTGGTCGCCGTCTTCCTCGTGCGTGTCGCCTGTGCCGCCGAGGTGTTCGTCGTCGCTGGAGCTGTTGCTGCGATGGTGGTCTCCCGAGGGAATCCCTGTGGAGGAGATGACGCCGCCGTTGGCGATCCCGGCTGAGGCTGAGTTGGAGCTGTTGCTGGCGCGGGGGCGGGTGTTCATGCTCTCGCGGCGCAGACGCTCGGCTTTGTCGCTCAGGACCTTGGCTTCGTGAGCGGCACGCTCGGCGCGTACCTGCTTGCGCCACATGGAGGCGTATCGGCCGGACTTGTTGGCGATGAGGTCGTTGTGGGAGCCCGCTTCGACGACCTGGCCGTCGTGGATGACGAGGATCTGGTCGCACATGGTGATAGTGCTGAGACGATGGGCGATGATGAGCATGGTACGGCCCTGAGCGAGGGTCTGCAATGCGGATTGGATGTGCTCTTCGGTGTTGGTGTCAAGTGCGGCGGTCGCTTCGTCGAGCAGGATGATTCGCGGATCCTTGATGATGGTGCGTGCGATGGCCACACGCTGCTTCTCCCCGCCAGAAAGGCGAAGACCCCGTTCGCCGACTTTGGTATTGTAACCGTCCGGGAAGCTGAGGATGCGATCATGGATACATGCAGCCTTGCATGCCTCGTAGATCTCTTCGTCGGTAGCAGACTGCCGGGCGTATCGAATATTGTACATGATCGACTCGTTGAAGAGGGCAGTGTCTTGCGGGACTACACCGATGTGTCTCCTCAAGCTGTCGAGGGTCAAGGTGGAAATGTCGCGCCCGTCGATTTCGAGCATGCCACTTTGCGGGTTATAAAACCGGAACAGCAGGCGGAAAATGGTAGATTTGCCACCACCCGACTCGCCAACAAACGCGGTAGTGGTACCGGGTTTGCAAGTGAAGGAGAGACCTCGCAGCGCAGACTTGCGCACATCGTATGAGAAGTGCACATCGTTGTACCGAATCTCTCCCTCACAGGTCGTAGCCTCGATCGCATCGGGGTCTTCGACCACGCTGGGTGTCTGTTTGAAAAGCTCCAGCATCCGCTCGGTGTTGATCAGCGCATTTTGAACCTGTCGGAAGAATGTCCCAAAGAAGTTGAGAGGTCCTTGGAGCAGCGCGAGATACGTCAGCAATGTGATGAAATCGCCCACGTCCAAGCGCCTTGTGGTGACTTGGTATGCAGCAATAAAGCTCATGATGATCAGGCCCAGCATGAAGACGAGATTCTGCACGGTATTGAGGACTGCCAGTGAGAAAACGACGGTCGCTTCAGCGCTTTGGAATTTCCCCATGGCTTCCCGATACCGCTGGAACTCGAACTGTTCCGCGTTGAAATATTTGACGGCTTCATATGACATGATGGAATCCGTTTTGACTGCGCTTTCGGCGCGAGAAGCGTTTTGAGATTGGCGACGTGCATCTGCGCGCCACGAAGCCATGTGAATGGTCACATAGGCGTACCAAAAGGTCACGATAGCAATGACCAGGGCGTAGTATGCGTCAAAGTACAACAAAGTGTAGGCCATGGCGACCAGCAAATCGACCAGCATCGGAATCATCTGGAACGTGACCGATTCGAGAAAGGTGTTGACTGCCTCACCCTTGCTCAAAGCAGAGATCAACTCGCCAGTCTTTTTGTTCAGGTGGAATTCCAGGCTCAGCTGATGGATATGCTCGAAACCTGCGACAGACAATTCGCGGAACGAGTATTGCTGGATGGGAATCCACAACAACGTGCGCGCCGCAGAGAGAAGACCTTGCGCTCCCTGGAACAAACGGTAGACGACGTAGATGATGATGGCGAACCACGGCATGCCGAATGTGCCACCCTTGCCGGCGAGGATATTGGTGATGTGACCGAGTTGAGTCGGAACCAGGAGCACGAGGCCACGCTGCAGGAATATGATGAAAATGCAAATGACGAAGTGAACTTGCAGTCTGCGGTTTTTGGAGGGCCAAACGTACGGCAGGAAGACACGATACGCGTTGATGTATTCCCACCAATGGACTTCTGGATTCGACGTTGGCTTCTCCCATCCCGCGGGCTCTTCTGCAGATCCGGAATGTGCTGCAGCAGCATGGTGACCATTTCCTGTCGCTCTGCTGCCGTCGGCGTCTCCGTTCGCGGCGTCTCCGTTCGCCTGAGAATGTGTTCCGTAGTCGACATGCGCAGATCCATTGGCTTGTTGATTTTCATCAGACAACAATGGAGAAGACTCCTCGGGGATGTTCACTTCCTCGACCCTGTTCTTCCTGGACGGTTTCCAGTCCAGGGCGAACAGCGCGTAAAATGTGACGAGCGCAACGAGGAGGAAAATGCGACCGAGATCGAAAATGACTTCGAGAATCTCCCAGCCCGTCATGTCTCCTTGGAAGCCTCCGCCAGCTGGCCGATCTACTCCTAGCTCGCGATGCGCGGCGGTGTAAACGATCAGAGTCGTCGCCACGAGGATAGCTTCCATGATCAGCGCCAAGATCCAGCTCATCCAGTGAGCGGTCGTTGGGGAATGCTTTGATTCGATCAAATCAATGACGAATAGCAAATACACCATGAAAGAAGCTACGAGGTAGACCTGTCGTATATCGTTAGTCCTGGTTGCTGCTGTCATCGGTTACGATGATGTTTCCTCCCCCTCCTTGAACATACCGTTGTTGCCTCGCCGCACCAATAGCGCTCTTCTTGCTCCACCAACGCATGTAGGACGACAACGACCATGTTGCCTACCAGACTGAGAACGACCCCGATGCTGGTCCACTGGAAGAAGAGCTTCCTGGGCTGGCTGAATTCTACATGTTCTGAGGTATCGCGTACTCTTTGAGTCGGGCTCTTCCGAGGCAAAGGTTTGCCGCCTGGGCCTACCAGATTCGTTTCTTGCGCCTCCCGTCTTTCCTTTTTTATGCTATTCAAGACGGATAGGGTGGTGGCCACGACGAGATAGAAGATCAGCAAGACGATGGGATTTGCGACTTGCACAGCTTTGAGAATCTTATAAGCCGTGGAGGAAGCCGAAGAGGCAGAAAATATGTCCAGGCGCTCGGCCATGGCAGAATGTCCTGCCATTCTGTGTGGGAGTCTAAATCCCCGAGGGGGATATTGCCAATTGACCAATTAAATGTCCTCGCTCTTGCTAATTATCCCAAGCTCTTTTAATATGACAGCGCTGGTGCCGTGAGGCGGGTATCGTTCTGATGCAGCCACTTGCGAGAAAGTTCCAGATGAAAGCGACGAACCAATCCAGGTCGTAGGACAAGCGTGTTCAAAGTGGTAACGACAGTGTCGATCAGAGATCGTGACCAGGTCGCTTCAAGAGAATAGAGAGAACAGGAAAGCAGCTCGGATCTGGGAGTGTGCCAGGGCGAGAAGATCGGGAGAGCGAGGTAGAAGCCGGTGATGTGAGGGAAAAGCAACAGCGGCCAAGGATGTTGTCTTAGCAATCAGAGGAGATCTGGAGTGGCGAGGTCGCGCGACTCGCCATATCTATTCCGGGAGAGGCGATAGCAAATGAAGAGCAAGTATGGAAGGTGACGGGTTGGCGAACTCGGGTGGAGAGCCGAGCAAGCAGTCAAGCAGGCAGGCAGGCGGGATAGGCAGTGGCAGTGGCAGTGGCGTCAGAGCCGAGGAGAGCGAGGTGGGATTTGCTTGCGAGGCCCGAATCCAGAATCAAACTGGGCAGCTCATATGAGGCTGAGAAGCTGACGACGCGATTGCTTCTTCGGGATGGTGATGTACAGCTGCGGTTGGTGTATATGAAGCAAGCGTGAGGGTCCTCTCCGCGTGTCACGAGAAGAGTTGAGGAGGTCGTATCACTTGACACAGCGTACAAGACTAGCAGCAGCTGAGGGCGCGAAGAGTGGTAAATGGAAACGAGAATGGCGGCAGCAGCACTGGAGAGAGAATAGAAGAATGACCAAGAGCGGCTTTGTTTTAGCTGAAGACTAGTGGTTCCGGGCCGGGGAGGATAGGAAGAAGGTGTCTCTCGAGTTGACCACAAGACGACTTTCGAGGTCCTCTGTGTCCGTGAAGCACCAGAGACGACGCGTTTGATGAGGTCCGCGCGTGTGAGAGGGTCGAACAATGTCGACGTGCGAGGAGGAGGAGGAGGTGGTGAAAGAGGAGGAGGAGGATGAAGTGCGTCGGTTGGGAGATGGCACAACAGAGGGAAATGATATCTACAGGTCCGTCGGGTCAGGGATCAACGAGGTCGGTTTGATGTGTCGCGATGCGGGTCAAGGTCTTGCTTGTATCCGGAGGGGAGATTGTGGAAGTGGTATGGGATTGGGCATGGGCATGGGTGTCAGGTCGAAGGCGATGGCGATGTCTGATCGGGGAACGGTTGGAGTGGCGGTGGCATGTGGATGAATTAGTGGAGGTAGTCTCTGGCATAGCGCAATAGTAGCGGCGGCAGCGATGATGGTGGTGGTGGTGGTGGTAGCAGTGGTAGCAGTGGTGGTGGTGGTGGTGGTGATGGGTTGGCCAAGACGATGTGAGTGCGCCCCCGAGAGAAACTGAGTTTTCGATCGATGGCGCGGGTTCGGCATCATTCATAGACAGATTCATCACATCTGGGCATGTGGAGGAGGAGGAGGAGGTCGAACAGGAATTGGTGGTGGTGGAGAGAAGATCTAGGGCACGTTTCCCTCCCTCTTGACCGGCGGCCGTGTTCTCACGGAAACCACCTGCCTGATGATTCGTGAGTTCGTATAGATAGCCTCGCCTACGGAAGCGCAACATCATCTACGATTCTACATGTAGGACCGACTTCGTCCTCTGGTGCCGCGGTCCAGCGACCTCTCACTCTCCCCTGCCTTGGTGGGGTTGATGAACATCTCAAGCTGTTGTGGAGTCGACCGCGCAAAGCGATGATCTCCATGTCTATCACAAGCCAGGGCCAGCGTATCAGATGCCGTTGGATGCAGGATAGAGTTGGGCACGGGGTAGAGACATCCATGCGATCGGCATGCATCTGGACGCCAATTGCCCCAGATTTTGGGGAGAGATCGACAGGACACCACGACGCGCGGTGGATGGTTGTGCTCCAGAATGGAATGGTGAGAGGGCACTCCGGTTGAGAGATTCGTGACGGGCTCTCACGGCAGCGGCGGCTGGACGACGCCGACACAGGTCGAGAATAGTGGAGGCGCGCGTTTCTCCCCATTCTCCATAGCCTCGAACAACAACAATAACGACGACGGCAGCAACAGCAGCAGCGTCGGAGAGCAGAAAGGAGAAAAAAAATTGAGGCGGATGAGGCTTGCAGTGTTCATGCAGGTGGTGGGAAATGCGGTGTGCTCTCCTGCGACCCAATGCACCGAAACCTTGGAAGTCTTCGGCAAATGCCCATTGATTCCTCGATGGGTCTAAAACGATGGGGGTTAAAAAAATAAACCAGTCGACGTCGGTAATTGTCATTGGGAACATCCATGAGATCCTCATGCAGCTAATCATGCACATGCGAAAAGCCCTCCAGGTATACGATACATGCACGGAGGGAAAGCCTGCATGCAGTATTGGTGCATATCCTTGTCACGACGGATCTGTGAGGGCGCCCTGGTGTGCATGATGAAAGTTCGGCATCCGATGGGTAATAATTGAGGAAATTCTTTGATCATACCTATTACTGTACATGGGTTGAACATCGCGATACATTCGTGTGACCGACCACCACTTACTGCAGCAGAGAGGTCCGTTCGATACTGTAGATCAAAAATATCATGCGCACCGAAGCCATCCTCTTTGGATGTAGTAGACATGACACGAGCACATCCAGTAGATCAAACCCTTGTCCAGATAAATAGGTACTGCACAAGAGACATCGATCTTCGCCCCTTCACCACTCCGCACCTGCAGTATTCAAACGGAAAAGCCACTCAGGGTGAGAAACATACCCAGCCAAGCCCGATGACATGTCTCTCCACCGTCATCGTCATGCGATCCGATCTCCCTGGAATGTCTGCGTCTCGTGTCTCGTAAAAGAAAGGAAGGGAGAAAAACAAAAAGGTCAGGTCCTCCGACCATATCTAGAACAACCGGTGCACACCTACCACCACACCCTTCGCATGTCTCTCTGACACTGCGGCCCGTATGTGGACCAAAAAAACGGAAAGAATGCGCCTCCACATGTCTCTCCCGGGTCCCGAACTGACACACAGCATCTGACCTGAATTAGTGCCGTCCTCTCTCTCAGAGCTCGACAGAGTCATCTTCCTCGTCGCCACGATCATCGCCGGCCGGGGCGTACCGATATGATCTCTGTATCGTGGCGTCAGCTGCGCTCTCTCGCTTGTCCTGCTCCCCGAGCCGAGCGAGGAACGGGAGATGGAAAGTAGGCGAGAGCGCGCTGCATGGCGACGTGTCCGCGTCAGATCCCGGCCCGGTCGGATCATGACATGACGTGACATGAGAGGCAATGCGACAGGCTCGATGACAGCGAACAGACTTTGGCATGTCTGCGTACGTATAATGACATGCGCAGTTTTCATTTTCTGTCTGCGCATAAGAATCCGCAGAAGGGTGGGTGTCTGTCCCGCATCCATCCAGGCTGGAACGGTCGCGGCATACATCCACCCTCTCGACTCCATCGTCGCCCTCACAGTGGTTGTCTACCATCAACACCACCCAGAAACCAGCCCGCAGGGATGTCTGCTGGCCTGGGCGTGAGAGGTTGCGCCTCTCTGGAGAAACGTTGAGGAGGAGCGTCGCGGAGGACGCCGCCGCCGCTGCAGGTATGTATAATGAGATCGCACATGCCGTACATCGCCGGGCGGACGGGCGGGTTCGCGGATGGGCCGGGGAGATGTGTGTGATGCGGGAGGGGCACATATTTCGACGACGACAAACGACGACGACGATGACCACAGGTGGGTTTTTCCATTACGCGTACGAGATTTCGGCTATGTATCCCTGGTGACTTGTGTTGTTATCCAGTTGTGCCCTGGATTATGATCTCTATCACTGTTGGTGGATTGGATTGGATTGGATTGGATTGGCGTGATGAGGATGCAGCAGGACAAGGAGCCGCAAGCACAGGCACCTTACAACGACCGACTGCGCATCCAGACCGCCTTTTCGCTATATCGTACATCATCTCCCCATCCATCTCCTCTGTCTATCGATGTCGTGACTCCGCGAACGACTCATCCGGGGGGAGGAAGATGATCGCGATGGGCTTCATCTACACTATATCTCTCCAATCATCCCTCGAGCAGGGTAAGTCGTCTGTCGGTGATGAGTGGATGTGGATGTGGATGCATGGTGGCATGTCGGGGTACCTGTCTACATGCACAGTACATCCAGCCAGCCGGATCTGCTTCCGCGATGCATCTCGAGCCCGCATGATGTGAAAATCACCACCACCACCACCACATGCTGAAGTGGAGTGTGGACGCCGACCTTACCCCGTGTACAGTTGAGAAACACCAGACAGCCTCCGCTGAGCCGCAGCGGCTCTGACGATACTGTAATAGCTCGACGAGGCACCGCACTCCATGAGTGAGGATACCTCCATCCAGGCCGGTCAGACGGTCCCCTTGTTGCTCTCGCGAAAGACGACGACGGAGACGAACTTGGGAAGCGGTGGATGTGTCGGACGTCAGCATCTCAACCTTCCCTGTAGGTCGTGTGCATCCTCCAACCATGTCATAGCGATGGTGCCGAAACGTCGTGATCCCTCAACAAACCTTCCCATCTGACCCCAGTGGCTGTGGGAATGGATGCGAAAAGTATCGGGCGCCCATCGACGATCGATCTCTGATCCTTCTCGCCCGGACTTGATGCTCCTGTTCACTGCCCCGGAGAGAGAGAGAGAGAGAGAGAGAGACAGAGAGAGAGAACTCAAGCAGGATTGTAGTGGGTTGGGGTTAGGGTTGCGACCCAGAGTGCTCGCTTGAGATGCTTTGCTTGTTCCTCCCCACCAAATCTCGATGGATGGATGGATAGATGGGTGGAACGACATCCCGCTCTGGAGCTCTTCGTCTCCTGCAGAAACTCTACTGTACGATGCCACGCCACTGCTGCATGCGGCACAGAAGTCAGGTACGTAGACCAAGACATGGAAATCATTTGATACTGTATGTTAATCTGCCTGCCTGCATGTGAGTGAATGCATCTGTCACATGGCATGGACACCAAAAAAACCCCCCCAAAGGTGAAACACTCTCCCCATGCCACAGTACATGCTACCCTTACACCGCACTGTACGTACTGTACATCCCTCTCACGACTCACGCCCGTTTCTCCGAAGCAATTGCAGTCTCACGCAATCTCCATTCGGTACCGGAACTCCAGTCTCACGACCGATACCTCCCTCCCTTCAATCACAGCAATCACTGCGTCCGAAGCATCCGAGAAAGTCGTGCGGTTCTACCACAGCGCCGCTTCTCATACGGCATCTTCCACACTAGCACACCGTCCCTCGCAACTTCCGGCTTGCCGAGATCTACCATCCCAAAGAAAGCCACCAGGCCTGGCTCGTGCTGCGTACGCCGACGCATGTGAAGAGGGAGAGAGAGAGAGAGAGAGCGAAAAGAAAAGAAAAGAAAAGAAAAGAAAAGCCTCGCTTCCGTCGGCCCTGGTCTGCCTTTCCCGGCCGTTGCAGCAAGCCAGAAAGCCTGCAGCCAGGCCATGTCCGGAGCGTTCGGCCCGACGACTTCCCCTGACCGCCTCGGACGCCATGACTACCACTCCTCCTCCTCCTCGTCTTCATCTATGATGTCCCTCCAGCCACCTGGTCATTGTCGTCGTCGTCGTCTTCACATGCTCGTGATGCGCCAGCCAGGGTTCACGTTCTCGTGGCCGTGGCTGTTCTTGGTGGTGCTGCTGTCGCTGTCATGCACATCCTCGCCTGCTGTCGCTGCTGCTGCTTCTATCAGCCCTGTGGATGGCGGCGGCAATGGCCTAGACTCGCTCCGGCAGCCGCAGCAGCAGCTGCTGCAGCAACAGGAAGTATTCGCCGCAGAGTCTCGACCTGTAATAAGTGGACTGCTCGAAGACAAAGGCACTGCCGCCACGCTCGCATCATCGTCATCATCATCATCATCATCATTGGCTCCTGAATGCCCTGCGTCGAACTCGGCGACGGCATTGCGATCTCTTCAAGATGCCGTGGACGTCATGCAGCGCGAGCATTTTGCCCTGTGGGTCGGTACGTGGCCTGCTGCGATCGAGTGGACCGCTGCTGTGACGAATGCGCATCTCGTCGTCGCTATGGAGTGCATGAGTCGTGCGACGGTGGGTGAATCCTCAACTCGTAGTCCAGAGGCAAAGGATGTAGAAGTCGAGAATCGTGAATGTGACAGCGAGAATCACTCCGGAGACGATCACGTCGCTCGCGTGGACACGGAGAACGTAACTGCCTCCGATGGCGTGCCCGTAGGTGACGATATCTGTAATAGAGATTCAACAAAACCACCATCGTATCATCTGCCCTCTGCAATGGAAGCAGACAATGACTTCCTTTCCGACGGCCTCAACCACAACGGCGGTCCCCATTCCACCCGCCACTCCCCCCTCGAAGACCAAATCAACACCTACTACGCCCACACCACCGCCTACTACTTCGGCGAAGACACCTTCGAAGTCCGCAACAACGCCTTCGACGACATGCTCTGGCTCGTGCTCGGCTGGCTCCAGACGAGCGCCTTCACGCGGGAGCACACGGCGCGGCACCAGCAGCTACGATCGGCCTCTGAGGAAATTTCTCACCCCGCGCGGTGGCACGGCCAGCAGTTCCTCGCGGCCTACGCGCACCGCGCGCGCATCTTCTACGACCTGGCCTCCCGCGGCTGGGACACGCGCTTCTGCGGCGCCGGCGGCATGCTCTGGGACGCGAAGAAGGAGCCCTTCAAGAACGCCGTCACCAATCACCTCTGGATCGCGGCCTCCGTGGCTATGTTCTTGGGCTTTCCGGGCGACGCGATCGAGGGGCCGTATTCTCATCGTCATCGGAGGTGGAGGGGTTCTGATGGGGAAGGGGAAAGGGGGGGATATGGTGGGAGGAGGAGCGGGGAGGGTATGCGGGGAGAGGAGGAGGTGGATCGGACGAGGTTCCTGACGAATGCGATCCACGGGTATGAATGGTTGTCGAACAGCGGGATGAGGAGTCCAAGGACGGGGCTGTACATCGACGGCTTCCACGTCAGCGCATGGAAGAGGAACCACAGCGTGACGACGGGGGAATGTGAGTGCTCTACTCTCCTCCCTCTCAATTCTTTGTCAAAAGAAAAAGAACTAACCTTCCACCAGGCGACATCCCTGACCCGACCCTCTACACCTACAACCAAGCCATCCTCCTCTCCGCCCAGCGGGACCTCCACCGCGCCACGGGCAACACGACTTACCTCTCCGACGGCCACGCCCTCGTCCGCGCCGTCATCGCCGCGACGGGTTGGAACCTCGCGGACCAACGACCTCATCCTCCACGGGAAAATCCCACTTCTTCTCCTCCTCCTCCTCCTCCCGCCACCCTGTTAGGAAACCGGGGCATCCTCGAGGAAAGCTGTGACCGCGCGGGAAAGTGCAACCAGGACGCCCAGGCGTTCAAGGGCGTGTTTTTCTCGCACCTGAGGCATTTCTGCTCCTCCTCCTCCTTCGACGATGACGACAACGAGAGTGATGACGACGAGGGATATGACAGCAGCCAGCACCGCCAAGACGACTACAACAAAGACGAGGGAACCCCTCTCCTCCTCCACCACCGTCGTCGTTGTACCGAATACACGCCCTGGGTCCGACATAACGCCCGCGCGGCATTGCGGAGCAGGGACGCCGAGGGGAGATTTGGGGGCTGGTGGGGTGCTGCTGATGATGATGATGAGACGGCGGAGGGGAGCATCGGGAAAAATCCTCGCGGTGGTAAAGATCCCAATGATCGCGGGCGAGGACGGACCTTGGAGACGCAGGGGGCTGGCGTGGCGCTTTTGGCGGCGTGGTGGGAGTTTGAAGGGTTGTGAGTGTGGTTTGAATGGAGGGGATCGATGGGGACGGAGGGAGAGGATTGAGGTGGGAAGAGAGTGAGACAAGGGAGGAGATGGGGAAAGGGAACGGCGATTTCACTTCGAGGGAGGGAAATTCGATTCTACGATTGATGGGATTATGATTGACTACTACGACGACGACTGAGGGGGTTCTAGAAACGGGATCGATCGATTGATTTAAAGGAAATGGAGGCGGGCGGCGTTTTGTTTTCTTTTCTGGGACAAATCATACATAGACACATATATATACACTTGGGAGAATGTAGAATAGATGGATCAACAGGTGAAACCACCATATAGTTCCGTGATGGTCGTGTATGCATATATCCTTAAAAGGGTGCCATGGTCCTGGGCAAGGTCTCCGTCACGAGAAATGACCCCAATCCCTGATTCTGCATCACATCGTCAGCCATGCCCATAGAGCTCGAGCGCACATATCGCTCTAGCCGGAACAGGGACAAGACATTGGACTAGCACAATGCGAAGATGTCGGCACTTGCGAGGGTAGTGCGAAATGTGCTTGTTGATGACAGTGTCATGAATTCACCAGCATCTCATGGAATCGCGCTCCTGGTTTTTCCACCGCCCCCCTTCTGACAATGTGCTTGACTTCAAGTGATTGGATTCCGTCTAGTCAAACCACAGGCGCCGAATTGCCGGAAGCTGCAGCAGCGCGCCCACGGAGCTGTATGTCTGACGACGGCGTCCTGAACACCGATGTAGACGACGGCAAATCGTGTAGCGTGATCGTAGTGTTGTGGTGAGAACCATCTTCAGCCGCCGGAGTAGATCTCGAAGTCACGATCCTGCGAGCCTTGAGCCAGGGAACCAGATTGTAATATCCTCCACAGGCGAAAATCCCCAACCAGAGCGCCAATTCCACCCCATAGATCACCGTGCCCAATACGTCGAGCTCAGGTTGGAAGACCAGCGAGATCAACGAGGTCAGATCACCCAGCGCGTCGAGTCCGACGAAGAGAAACGAAATGCCGCGCACGGTGCGATGCCGCCAGATATCGAGATAATGCCGCAGGACGCCCAATGCCAGGAACAACGCGGCCAGAACAGCGGTGAGCGTCACCGGCCAGACAACTCCCCTCATCATACCCGCCCGCAGAGCGAATATCAAGCCGACTTCCAAACCCGCCATGCTCCCGGCGACCGGCAGGATGACCATCACGCAGCGCCGTTTCGTCCAACGGCGTTCATAGTAGTGGCATTGGATCCACGTGACCAGACTCAGGCCGCAGAGGATCTGCGGCTGGATCTGCAGCGCGAGGGTGAAGCCCGAGACGATGTTGTAGACGCCCAACAGCACGCCGGCGGACGCCCAGAGGAGCATCATCGTCGGCTGCAGACCGGTCGCGCTGTGGCGCCGGTGGTTGAGCAGGATCTGCGGCAGGAGCTGGACCGACCAGCAGACTGCGCCGGCGACGCCCAGGGCGTTGGCGGCGAGGGGATTGTCCATGGGGAGGATGTCGAAGGGGGAATGGAGCTGGATCTGATCTTTGAGAAATGCGGCGAGGTAAGAGGGAGATTGGAATGTTTGTTGCGAAAAGGTCGCGCGCTACGATCTAGGGCGTTGCAGGTCATCCCATGTGCGCCTTGACGCTGCGGCATGATGACCGCTGCCAGACCTCACGTTGAAGAACGATTTGTACCTCGGAATGGAAGATGGAAGGACTCATCACATCGTATCATTACCATCTCATCGGCGTCATCATCGCCCCAGCAACATGAGGCAACATTCCAATACAACAAAACCAGCAGCATCCCAGCCCGGTCCTCCCTTCATCAGAGTACATCCAACAACGCATACCTCTCCCCGTGCTCCTCGAGCGCATCCTCGACCCTCCTCATACAAGCGAGGATCTTCTCCTCCTCCAAGCGTCTCCCGACGACCTGGACTGCCACGGGCAGACCGTGCATGGCATGGGCATCGTAATGCCTGTAAGCGCCCCTCGCGACGCCGTTCATCCGCGGAACCTCAACTTCCCTTCCAAGCCCATCGGTCGCCCGATCGACACGCGTCACAGGCACAATGCCCGCCGTGTAATCCAGCAGATTGAAGAGGAAAGTGTACCCGCACGCCGGGGCCGCGCTCGCCATGGCCCCGTGCGGCAGCGCAGGGAGGGCGTTCGGCGGGGTGAGGATGAAATCCAACCCGTCCTCCCCCGTGTCATCCCCGCCGAAGGAATCCCACCATTCGTGCCAGCGGGCTTTGTAAGCTTCGCGCTTCGCCGCCCACTGCCAGTGCTGGCGGGCGGATTTCTCATGCCAGTGTTCGAGGAGCGCGGCCCAGATGTGGTCGCGGAGGACATACTTCGTGAAGGCCCAGTGCAGCCATTTGAGGGCGCGGGGCACGAGGCGCATGTAGGCGCCGAAGAGCCGCGCGCCCGGGTCGTCGGATTCGCCGGTGCGGAAGAAGGAGCGGAAGGTCCGGGTGCCGTCGGCGTTGAGCAGGTTGGAGGCGATGACGAGGGCTTCGAGGGGGGGCGGGGGCGCGATGGGGATGACGGCGTGGCCTTGGGCGGAGAGGGCGGTGGAGGCGGTTTGAAGGGCGCGGAGACAGGCGGTCGAGGGGTCGACGACGCCGTCGGTGAGGAGGATGCCGATTTTCAGGCGTGGTTTGGTGAGGTAGGACTCTTCGATCTCGGGACGCCAGGGGAGAGGGTGGACGGTGTGGTCGTAGGTCCAGGGTTTCATCTGGATGATGGAGCGGGTGAAGTAGGTCAGATCGGAGAGCGTGCGTGCCATCGGGGAGAAGACGGACGGGATTCCCTCTTGTCCTGGCATCGAGGTGCTGACGCCTGCTTTCGGCCAGCGTCCCGTGCTGCATCGTAGGCTGTAGCATCCCGAATAATGGGCCGGTGCTCGGACCGAGCCCGCGACATCTGATCCGATACCGATCCGGCTCCCACCGAACGCCAGGAGGGCCCCTTCACCTCCTGTGCTTCCTCCGGGGGAATATTTAGGATTATGAGGATTCAGACATCTCCCCCAGACATCGTTGAAGCTCTCAAAGCTGAGCAGAGTGACCGGAAGGGCAGTCTTGACAAACGGCACAGCGCCCGCATCCTTGAGCAATCGGACGATCGCACCATCTTCCTCATAGGGTCGAAAGGTGTTACATGAGTACCCCACCGTGGCATCGAAGCCCTTGACGATGATGCTGTCCTTGAGACTGACCGGGATCCCCGCGAGCGGTCCCTTCAAGTTGATCTCACCATCGAGCGCCGTGTGAGCTTCACGGACCATAATCTCGGTCAAGGCATTAGTCTCCTCGTGTGCCTTGACCGCCGCTTTACCGTATGCCCTCAGGACATCGTGGGGGTCGGCCTCTCCGTCTTGGACACCCCGGACAAGTTCTGCAATGGGTTGATCGAGGATGACTCGCTCCCTCTTGGTCAGAGGCGTGTGGTATCCATCCGGCAGATCTCGGATTCGTTGGAGGCGCTCTTGCTGTTTGCGCTGGCTGTGAGACCATCCGTCAGCCCATCATCCCATGCACGCCGGCCGCAGCGATAAATCCCGTCCTCATTTCCCATCGCGGAATTCCGTCGGTCTCATCGATTTCCCATCGTGGACCCAGAGTTGACCGCATCTGAATCAACGTATGACCCATGCCGCGAACGCGAAAACAAGAGCTTACCAAGCACTCCGATGCACGAAATAATCGAACGGCGGGAGAACCATAGCGATGCAGATGTGGATGTGGATGTATGTATGAATCGAATGCGAAGCGGCGCCAACGGACAAGCTCTTCCCTCCGGCGTTGCGTGATGCGGAGGTCGCGGCTTATATAGGAAGGGATGTTGTCACCCTGAAGAAGCGAGCGAAACTGTATGTGATTCAGGTATACATGCGAGCCTGGATGTTTATCTCGGGGTCGTGATGTACATACACATATATATACATACATGCCTGGGCAGAGCACGGCAGATGGGTATGTATGTACGCGGCTTAATCGAGCGCACTAGCACTACTACCGCTGCGACTGATAGTGGGGAGGGGGGCTTTTCTCCGACGCTCGCGCCAGGACAGGGCTGGCGGTGTCATTAAGCCACGAATGGGCTATTCTTTCCTCTATTTTGATTTTTGATTTAAATCTATAGCGCTTGTTCTCGCCTCGATGTACATCTCTCCACTCTTCTTACTCCCGATCGTCCACTCTTCTTGCTCCCGATCGTCCAATGATTGTGTCGACACATTCGATTCGGCGGACAACGTTGCGCGCGAAGACTCCTCTGATCAGGGATGGGAATTACAGGATAGGATTTAGTGGGGAGAACGAAGGAGGTAGGAATCACGATCGTTTCGTTTCATTTCATTTCATTCTCGGCATTTCATAATCAACGTATTTCTTTCCTTTCACGTCGTCAGATTCCCTCCTCGCACCCTCGTTCTCCATGCACGTTCCTTCATCCACTAGTGCCCATCTCCATCTCCAACGCCCACCATCTCCCACCCCTCAGAGGACGCCCAACGCCATAAATCCGGCCAAGACGTCGCGGTCCACATTGACCAGCCACCTCTCCTGGAAGCCGGCCTCGCCCCCAGGCGTGCCGTTCACGACTTGGCGGAGATGACCCTGGACGGAAGCCGCCGTGTTGACGGTGTGGACTTCATCGGTCATCATCAAGTTTCTCCGACGGATGTCCTCGGGCGATTCCAGGGCGCGAAAGTCCTCCTCTTGGGGGTTGATGCTGGAGGAGGGGTTGTAGACGAGGGAGTCCGGGATGACTCCCCCTGCTGTTCCCGATGCTGTCGGTGAGGAGGATGTGGGATCCATCGCGGAGGAGGAGGAGGGGTTGTCGTCTTCGCGGAGCTCCGTGATGACGTCCGTCCAGACGGTCATGAGGGATTGCAGATTGACGAGGATGAAAGGGTGATTGGTGACGAGTAATTTCGTGAGCGCGAGACAAAGGAGTTTCCTCCGGGAAGGATCGCTGACGCTTTGGAAGTGCGAGAAGAGCTCCTCCAGGAACCATTTCATCGTTTGCTCCAGGGGAGAGGAGGAAGGATCGTTGTTGTTATTGTTACTCGCGGCGGAAGGGCTGGCGGATTCGCAGACTCGACAGAATGTCTCCGGGGAGCCGAGGATGAGGCGGGCGAGGATGCTGAAATATTCCGTCTCGACGATGCCGTCGACCAGAGCGGTCTTAGCGCGGGGGCCGGTGGTGCAATGAGCGGTCCAACTTCCGTGTAAACCGACGAGGAGCTTGGGGAGGAGGCCGCATTGGATGAGATCGGAGGCGACTTGGGCGACGGCGGCTTCACCTCCGAGCTTGTGCGCGACGCGGATCATACCTTCGATGATGCTGCAGACGGGGCCGTTGACGTGGGCTTTCACTTCGCCGAAGAGTTCGGTGAGGGACTTGAGCAGCGAGGGGCGGATTTCATCAGAGAGGATGAAGGAGGGGGCGAGGATGAGATAGGAGTCGGTGATTTCGAGGGCTTTTCCGAGGGTCTCTGTTCCAAGTTCAAAGATTGGGTATAATCGGGGCAGTAGGCCCAGCAACTCCGGAGATGCTGCCTCATCGGGAGTCTGAGCGAGGACACTCCCGAGTAGCTCGAGGGCGTCTTCGAGGAGATAGATGGCTTCATCCGTGTCGGGTTGTAACGCTCCTCCGATGATGGGTAGAACCATGGAATGTAGTGGTAGCGAAGCTGATCGCATGGCATTGATGAGACGAGTTAGGATCGTGAGGATGGCTTGGCGCATGAGGTGCTCATCTTCGGATTGCTCCCACAGTGCAGGAAGCAGATTGACGATTCCTTCAGCATAAGGGATAATGTGATGATCCAGCCTCTCAACGATGATGCTGACAGTGTTGACAATCGCAAGTTTCGTCTCAGGAAGTTCGACTTCGTTGATCAGTCTCAGAAGCCTCGTGAGGATGTTGGTCGCATATGGAAGGAATTGTTCGGGCTGAAATTCCCAATCGTTCGCGACGTTCGCAAGATGACGGCCGGCTGTTATCCGCACCACCAGATCGTTGATTCGATCCTCAGAGTCGAGGAGATGTTGATAGATTTCATAAACCAAAGTCTTGCTGGTCTCCGCCACGCGCACACTGATCCATTGACCGAGGACAATGGCCACTCGGCGTCGAAGAATGTGACAACCAGGACCCTGATTCTGTATTTCCAGAACGAGGACGTCACGGATGAAAGCATCAAAGTCGAGCTTTTCCTGCAGGACCGAGGCTGCAAGTCCCACGGCGCTGTAAATCGAGTCCTTGAATAGAACATCATGATTCGACGACGAAGTGATGGATGCGACGACGCTCAAAAGTGGATCGACGATGATCTCCTTGTAATTGATCGATAGATCCAGGAAGAGCTTCTCGGCGCAGGGACGGACCGCGAATTCCCAGTCATTTCCACTGCCTTCCTCTCTTTGCTCCCATTCTTCGGCGCTTTCTCCCCATACTTGCAATTCGCTGGCACGGAAGACGAACAACTTGAACACCACAGTCTCAAGTGCATCACGGACGAATGCTTCAGTGAGGAGACTTGTCTTGATCAATTCTACCGCGCGTCTTTTTTCTTCTTTGCCTTCTGCGGTACGATGCTTGAAACTTTGCGCAGGGTGCCAGACCATTTGCACACATGCTCGAATGAGGAGCAATCCCCTGAGGGCTACGTTTTCGTCAAAGGATCGATGATCAACATCTCCGTGTGTACCTTTCTTTGCGGATGTTATTGCGGTGGTGACCGCATCGGGCGAGCTGATCAATGTTCCATAATCCTTAACCAAGCCCCAATATGCGTTGGCAAGTGAAAGCGAATCGGGAAGCAGAGCAAAAGCGGTTGCGTTCTCCTTCGCCATGGTATAATGAAGCTTTGCAAGCTGCAGGATGTGCTTTTCTACGAGCAGCAGCAATTCCGCGCCTAGTTGAGAAGCATGTGCTCTCCGAAACGCAATCAGGGAGCTCAGATGCTGCATCGTCATACTCCAGAAAGAGATGACATCTTGGTCGTGGTTGGGATTCTCGTAGCAATTGACGAGGAGTCGACGGAGAAGTTTGATCGCGAGCAACGTCAATTGCATCTCCTCGAGTGTGGGGTTCTTCAGCCAAGAATCAAACATTCTGGCGTATGCAGTGCCGACGACGGCGACGATTTCGGGAGTCGCCGTCTGAAGTGCTTGTTTGCTTTGCTGTAGTCGTGCTGTTGATAATTCCTTCACGATCCGTAGCAAAGCCAGCAATGCTCGGGCCAGACGGAGCGAAGGTGTCTCGGGTGATCTGACGACATTGACAAATCCCGTGAGAGCATCGGGCCATGATGAAGGAAACTCATATCGAGAGACTTTGGCAATGACGAGTGCGACCTGTAGAGCCAGCCGATGATCCGGTTCGTCGAGGATGCTCTGAGCCAACCGAGCACGGATAACATCTTTGTCGTTGGCGGAGACGGCACTTTCCAAATTCAGTCAGCGAAAGCTACAGTGTCGCTCGTGATGCAGGTCGTGGCCGTTCTTTCATTGCACCTACTTCCGTGCTGTCTTTCGCCAATATTTGTCAATGCCGTTCTTCAACTGTATGATCGCGAGAGATCGGAGTTCGAATGGTAGACTGTAATCGAGAAAGGCATCTTGAAGGTATCGGTAGAAGCCCGAGCTTGTCTCCCACTGCTGAATTTGTTTGGTGCCGGTTTGGATTTGAGCTTGATCGCGGGATGTTGCTGCGCGTAGGACATGGATGAGGGTATTTGTTGTGAGCGGGTTCGCCTCGCCAGGCACCTCGATCGAAAACGAGGCCATGAAATGTCGAGTGTTATGAGTTCAAGATCATCTTTTCCAACAGCTTTGGCGAGTCGATTGCTTTGCTCCAAAAGCCCAACGACGATGTCGGAATGGTGTCGTGTCAAATCAAGCATTCGGCAGGTGCGACGGTCTGTACGTGTATCGTCGGATGATGACTGTTTGAGAGGATATCACTCCCGGAGTTGAGCTTGAACTGCGCTCATATGAGCCGAGTCGATCGAATGATCGCGCGAGATCAATTCATAACTCGTGGTTGGTGATGAGGTCGGGTTCACCAGAGCAATCACCGATCGCAACAAGTGATGCATCATTTCACTGCTCAGCTGAAGCGTATCGTGAGCAATTCGACCGACGATTCATCCGGATTCACACCTGAGGCATCCATCATCTCCCAACTCATCTGCGACGGGGACGACGACGGCGACTACGACTTCTGACCACCGCTCATCCCCGCGCCTACCGCACGGGATTATGCTCCATACAAAAATCCCATCATCGCGAGATTCTCCTCCCTCCTCTCTTCTTTTTTTCTTCTTCTACAAAGTTGAAATTTGACCCCCAGTTACAGAAATTTACGGCGGCTTTTCCTAGTCTCTCCCGTGGGATTGAAGTTGAAATAGCTGGGCAGAAGAACCTTTCGCAAGAGAGCCGTCTTTTCAAGAAGCGCCGCGAGCAGAATGGCCCACGGGTTTTTTCTGCGGTGAAGCGGTGTCTCCCGTTGAAGACGTATATACATGAAACCTATTTCCCGCGTCGTTTTTTGGTTGGAATTTGTAGTCACGTGTTTGATGGTGCTTCATGGTGCTGCCGTCGAGAGACATGGACATGCACATGCACATTCGAACTTCGGAGGCTGTATGAGAAGGCAGGATTGATGCATCCGGCTGTAAGACCGTAGACCTGTGGGCAGAACATGAAGAGGAGAAGAACACAACTGCAGCCTCACGTGATCTGAAAACTCCCCACATCCTCCAGCCTCGTCACGATATATTGTATTCCTTTCCAGCCTTTCTCCGGTCTCTAGGACATTTCGAACCATTTTCCGACGGGAGTTCCACATGTCCGGCGTGCACTGCAAGCATATATTCCAATGGCGTGCGCTCTGTCCAGTCGAGACCGCGAACGTCAGCAGCCACCACCACCTCCACAATATCACAACAAGGCGCGAAGGATTTCTTCGAGCCGGGGACTTTTCCCACGTGAATTGCTTACATGCATATCCACGAACACCTAGATCTCTCCGGCGCCGAGAACCACAGATCTCATGCCTAGCCTCCGGATGGACATATGCAAGGGTCGCGTGAGAGGGTGAGATGGCGTGATAGGGCTGTCTGTGATCATATACATATATACCTAAGTAGGGGATCGTCTCTGGAGTGGTAGAAGTCAATGGGGGGAGAATCATCACAGCATTTCAAGATGGAGTCAGTTACTTATGACTGGACTGTACGGTAGGTACCTAGGCATGCTCGATGAGAGAAACTCCAGCCCAGCCGAGCCGTGGCTTAGGGTTCGGAGTTATCGAGCGCAAATCCGAGACAAGGAGAGAGGGGAAAACAATTGCGTCAATGGTCTGTCTGTCTCTCTGTCTCTGTCTGTCTGTCTGCCCCTGTCTGCCCCTGTCTGTCCCTGTCTGTCTGTCTCACGCTCATCTCCGCAAACAGTCTAGATTTCTCTCCAGCCAGTGGCGTAACTGGGTAACTCTCACCACTCGGACTCATTCATGGAGATGCACCTCTCCATGTTCGAGAACACATTCTCTCCTCCTTCATCACGCGATCATCGACAGACACTCCAGGGTTGATTTCCGAGATGCCTCATTTTTCTTGTGTGAACCCGCTCCAGAGGTGCTGTCTCCTTTGAATTCTACACTGTAACATAAAATATCCAAGCCAAGGTCGTCGCCGGATCGTCGGACTGATCATCCGTCACACCTGCAACATTGCAACGTCATTCTCCGTTGACCCGTTGATCACGTGTATCGTTGTACATACAGCATTCTCTCTCTCTCTCAGTCACTCACTCACTCTCTCTCACACTCCCTCCTCGCGATAATCCCCACTTCCATCCGTTCACTACCAGCACGACCAACCTCACAATGGGCAAACAACGACGCGAAGAGGCAAAAGCGGCGGCGGCAGCGGCCAAGGCAATGAAGGCCACAGCAAAACAGCCCAAAGCTTCAACTGTCTCGATACGTCCTCCGCAACCCACAGACGAAATCACAGCCATCACATCACAACTCGCAGGAACATCATTACGAGATGAATTACCAGAACCTGTCGTCCACAAGCGCCAACCATTCCGCTTCCTCGACCTCCCCGCCGAACTCCGCCTACGAATCTACGACGAACTCCTGCACGTCTCCAAACCAATCGACCTAGGTAAGGGATAAACTCTCCCATCCCCGTCTCAACTAATTCTAACCCGAATCCCAGATCCCCTAAACTACCACCAAATCGCTCCTCGCCTCCGCCTCTTCCTCACCTGCCGCCAGATCCACCACGAAGCCCACCACGTCTTCTACCGGCAACCCGTGCGCCTGTACCCGACGCACGGCCGCTTCTTCCACACGAAGCGGGCGCTCCTCGAACGCCTGCCGGCGCAGTACCGGCGCGAGATCACCACGCTGGACCTGCGCCTGGGGCCGGGGTGGAGCGCGCCGCCGCGCAACCAGCACACGCGGGCGGAGCTCGGGCTGGCGGACTGCGCGAACCTGCGGCGGCTGCGCGTCTTCATCGAGATCGACCCGAGCGAGCGGACGTTCGACGGCTTCCGCGGCAAGAACGCCACCGAGGACACCTACCTCCGCTTCTGCCTGGGCCTGCTCGACGGCGTCTTCGCGCAGTGCCCCGGCCTGCACGAGGTCGAATTCGACGCCTACCCCGCCGTCGGCAGGGACGCCCCGCTCCTGACGGGCCTGGTGGCGAGGGTCGCGGAGTGTGGGAGGAGGGTCGCTTGGGGCCCCCTGAGGGGATGGGACGACGAGGGGGGACCCCGGGAGGGCTTCGGAGCTGGACGGAGCCCGGTGCAGGGGAGAGGAGCGGGAGTCGGAGGCGGAGGAGCGGGGGTGGAGGAGGAGGAGAAGATTGGTGTGCCGCTCGGCGGGTTTCAGGGGAGTGCAGTCGTTGCCGTGAGGGCATGACGGCCAGGCAGTTGAAGTTCCTGTCCCACTTTTGTATCCCTTCCTTTTTCCGACGCAGGAGCGGGAATCGACAGGAGAGAACGGGAAGACACGAGCCGGAAGATCTCGGCGACGACGACGAGAGCGGATGAGATGCTCCGACGGGGGAAACAAAAAGCAGGATAGAAAGTCCAACTCCTTCACATATACCCCCATTTCGATAATGAAAAATTCGAGAGAATCCCCATACAAAAGCGACCCACCATCATCATTAGCATGCTCGGATATCTCCCTCCTCCTCCTTATTATTATCATAATCGGCCTAATTGTTATCCCTACCTTCGAAACCGCAGCCTAGCAGAACCACCACCGTCCCACCAGCACCAGCCAACCCCACGCGGATCGCCATCACCCACCAACTCACCCATCATCCATCACCAAACACAGGTGCAAGAAAGACGAGAGGGAAGCGGGTCTTCTTTTCCTTTCCCCCCCTTTTTAACCTATTGCGGAACCTTGGAATGGAAGGATCGAAAAGAAAAGAGAAGAGAGTGAGAAGAGAAAGAGAAAGAGAGGGAAGAGAAAGAAAAGAGAGAGAGAGAGGGAAAGAGAAGAGTAGAGAGAGAGAGGGTGGGGGGAGAAAAGGCCGCCCTGTAATTCTGCGTCGTCGTTGCTGTCGGACATGCCTCGTCTGTTCGATTCACGCTCGCGTCGTCGCGTATTAATACATCCATGGACACCCACCTCGTGAGAAGAACGCAAGAAAGAAAGAAAGAAGATGATGAGGCTGTGCACGCTCGCTCGCTTTCTGCCGGAGATCCCTGCCCACCTCCCTACCGACCTAGATACGGACCCAGATGCCGATGGATCGGTCGCTACGACTTCTGCGTCCGATCCCTGTCGTGAAGACTGTACTCCCAGCAAAACAAAACCGAAGAGGGGTTGGTTATAAATGCGATCCATATTTTTATACTTTCTCCGCGGATCGACGGACGGACGGACCTTGATGGGCCACTTACCGTCGCTCGTGGCGATTTTTCTTGGCTCGGTCCTTGCCCCCGATGGCGTGATGCTTTAAATGGGACGTCACCTCTCTCTTCTTCATGCACAGTGATTATCATCGTTATTATCCTTTGAGGAGGAACGAAGATGAAGGAGAAGGGGAGAGGAAGTCCGAAGATGGCATGGGATTCCAAACGAACAGAACGGCGGAGGGGATCGGTCGCGGTACTTCAGGGGGAGAGGGTTCATTCTCGGGGAATATACTCCAATCGGACTGTCAATTATGATATCGCTTCTTCTTCTACATCTTCTTCTTCTACTTCTACAGCCATGTCTCGTTACAAATTTCACATTCTCTTTGCAGATGCCCCTTCCTTTCTCCATCATTGGGGAGGTATTCCTAGTTGACCAGGGTGATCCGGAACCTCGGCTTTCCCTCCTGGAAATCGAGGATGGCCTGGTTGGCCTCCTTCATGGGGTACTCGTTGATCCAGGGCTTGACCTTCTTCTCGGCGGCGAGCGCGAGCATGGCTTCGATCTCGGCCGGCGAGCCGATCATGCTGCCGCCGAACTTGACGCCCTTGGCGATGAAGGCGAAGGCGTTGGTGGCCGGGAGGTTGTCCTCCGGGGCGCCGACCTGGATGAAGGTGCCGCGGGTCTTGAGCAGCTTGAAGTAGTCCATCAGCGGCATCTTGGGCGAGGAGACGGTGGAGATGATCAGGTCGAGGCTGCGGGCGTGTTTGTCGGCCCAGTCCGGCTCGTCCTCGGTCGCGATGTACGCGTCCGCGCCGAGCTTCATCACGTCCTCGCGCTTGTTGTTGCGCCGCGAGATCCCCACCACCTGGTCGGCGCCCAGCGCTTTGGCGAACAGGATGCCGAAGTGCCCGAGCCCGCCGACGCCGATGATTCCGACTTTTTTGCCTGGGCCGCAGCCTTCGCGGGAGAGGGGGGCGTAGAGGGTGACGCCGCCGCAGAGCATGGGTGCTGCCTGTGGGAAGAGGAGGTATTGTTAGCAAGCTGATTCTCTTCGTGGAAGGGCAGTTTCTGATTCGGAATTTACCTCCGGGCTGGGAATAGCATCGGGGATCTTGAAGACGAAATGGCTGGGTGCGCGGTGGTATGTCGCGTAGCCGCCGTATGACTTGCTACCATCCGGGTAGACCGAGTTGTATGTGCCGACGTTGCCCGTGCAGTGCTGCTCGATTCCGGCCGAGCACTCTTCGCAGTCGGGCTTCAAGCAGGAGGAGTTTTGCGCGCCGACGCCGACACGGTCGCCGACTTTGATGCCTCGTTCGACCTTGGAACCGACGCGGACGGCCTTGCCGACGATTTCGTGACCGACACAGACGGCTGTTTCGAGGAAGACGGTCAGCGGACTCGCCACTTTCGAGGTGATGGTTGACGGGTGGGAGGTCCATGTCACGACTCACGGTATTTGGCCTCTCCCCATCCGGAGCTGATGGTGTGGATATCACTACCGCAGATACCGGAGTGGGTGATTTCGATATCGACATCGGTCTCTTCGAAAGGCTTGGGCTGGAACTCTTGCCATTTCATGTTACCCTTGGCAGCGTCCTTGTCGAGGCCCATCCACCCTTCGAATTTGTAGTCTTGAGTGGCCGCCATGGTGAGTGAGTGAGTGAGTGAGTGAGTGTGTGTATGTGTCTGGGATGGGTTGTGTTTGTTTTGAGGTGCGATTCACGGGTATGGTGAGTTGGGAGGAATAAGAGAGAGGTTGGTGAGAGGCGAATGAAGGAGGAAAGGTCGGTAAATTGGTCGACTGATATATCCCCCTACCTAGCTAGATACACGTGTTGCCGGCCAAGCTCACCTGCTCTGTCCGTCCACGATCCAGGGCGCGATGAGAAGAGAAGGGAAGAGTGCGATATCATGATGATTGCGTCACAGAGGTGCCGGATTCGAGAGAAGGACCGAGTCGAGCCGTTGGAGATGACCAAGCGTGAGAGTAGCGGTTTACTAGTACTCTTCTAGTTGTCAATGGTGGTGTTAACTAGAAGCCAACTAGTCGATGGCGGTGATGGCGATGGTGACACCGACCATCCGCCATTGGGCCGACGATAACAAATCCTCGAAGTTGACGATGCCGCAAAGGGAAGAATCCACTTGAAGGAAAAGGCGGCATACCACATAGGGGCTGAGGGACTGTAGTGAAGAGAGGGACGGATTGACAAATCATTCGATCGAGGCCCGGGGAGAAAATACAGCATCGATGACATCGTTGGATGGAAATAAACCCCACCTAAACGCCGCTATCACCGCCCGCCGGATTGGCTGGCGGCAGTGGGACGGGCTTGACCGCGGCGGAGGAGACAGACCTTAAGCACCTGCAGCATCCCTTTTTCCATCTTCATCTAGCCTCGACCGGATATGATCACGATAATGTGAGAGTTTCTCTTGGAAGCCAATGGTATCGCCGTAGTAGCCCGACTTCTCTATCAACACCATTGGGGAGAAAACAACAGCCGGGGCAATCTTGCGGAAATGCGCTATGAACTCGGGAGTAGTCTTCTTCGATCCTCGCTGCTGATGTGATCTTCACTCTGAAAAAAAGCCACACTGCACGCATGCCTCATCATTATCAATCAATCGATCGATAAATCACTCAATCACCCATTCAATCACTCAATCACCCAATCAATCCTTATCCAACCGCACCGCCGCATTGCTCTCAATGAAGCTCAAATCCACCTTGTGCCCCAGCAGCTCCCGGATATTGCTGACCGCATACTTGATCATGGTCGGGCGCTCCAGGCTCAACCCGAAGCCGTAGACGCGGAGATCCTCCGGCAGACCCATGGCCAGCAGCATCTCCGGGCGGAACATGCCGCTGTTGCCGATCTCCACCCATTTGTTGAGGCCCTCGTGGAAGCCGAAGACCTCCATGCTGGGCTCGGTGTACGGGTTGTACGCCGGCTTGAAGCGCAGGTTGGAGATCCCCAGCTGGAGGAAGAACTTGCCCAGGAAGGCCTGCAGACCGCCCAGGGTGAGGCCGTAGTCGGCGATGACTCCTTCGATCTGGTGGAATTCCGCCAGGTGGGTGGCGTCGACGGTCTCGTTGCGGAAGACTCGATCGATGGAGAAGTAGCGTGCCGGCCGCGGGTTGGCGGCGAGTCGGTGCAGGCAGTACGTCGAAACGGCGGTAGTGTGGGTGCGGAGGACGAGGCGTGTGGTTTCGGAATCGGTGTAAGGGTAGCGGTAGCCGATGGAGCCGAAGGCCCCGTCTTGGTGGACAGCGCGGACGTTCTTGTAGTATTGCTCGTAGTCCAGTTTGGGGATGGCGGCGGCAGCCTCGCCGGTGGAGAACAGCTGACTTTGGGCTTCCATGGTGTTCAATGCTTGATCGGCGTCGGGATCAGATCCGGGAGGACCAGCTTCGGCAGGATCGGAAACGTAAAAGGTGTCTTGCATGTCTCGAGCAGGGTGCTGTTGAGGGACGAACAGGGCGTCGAAATTCCAGAAACCGGTATCCACGAATCTGTCAAGGTGATTAGTATGATCCAAAAATCTCGGACTACGCTATTCTGACTCACCTTCCCGTCGGCATCTCGATGAAGTCCCAATTGAAGAAGATCTTCCGGAACTCTTCTCGCACCTTGTTCAGAGGATGCAGAGCCCCCGAATTCTGCTGTGCACCCAACGCATTGAAATTGTAGTCCTTGAAGCTGGCCGTCTTCCAGCTTCCATCCTCCAACATCTCCGACGTGAGATCCGTGACTTCGATGGGGATCTCCTTGGCCCACCGAGGACCCTTGCGTACCTGGTATGTGATAATTTTCTGTGTTGAAACCAACTTCCGCTTGACATAGTCCTTTAATTGCTTCGGGTCGGGCATTGTGTGGAACTCATCAACGTATTTCAAAGTCTCCCGCGTGGCATCCTTGACCTCGTCCATCCCACTGCATACTACCAACGAATCGCCGTCTTTCTGAACCCACTTCAGCTTGAAAGCGTTTCCCTGACCGAGTTTCGCAGATGGTGTTGCAAGCGCGGGGTCTTTCAATGATAGTCGTCCACTCTTCTTCACAGCTTCCCAGACCTTGTACTCATGGCTACCTTCGTCGGCAATTTGTCGTCCTTCGCCGGTCAGGACCACATGTTCGGATTCACTGGGGTCGTATTCCAACATTGCTCGGCTCGCCAGTCGTGTGAGGGCGGCTTGCATGTCCGGTTGTGAGACTGAAGGGAACGCGATTTCGGATTGCAGAGGGTCATTGTTCTCGAGTTCGAACAGGATGTCGAGTGTCAGATCTCTTCCACTGCCATTGGACTCCACCAATGGCACCGGTACCGGGCCTCGTTGACCAGGCATGATCGGGGTTGTGTTCGATAGTGTTGGGTGTACAAGATGATGTCTTCCACTTGCAGCAAGCACGCGCCAATCTTGAACTGCTTGCGCTGTGTAGCCTGCAAGATTGACGCCACAAAGATATATGACTTGTCGATATCAACGATCCGCAAGTATGAGTCTTGACTCAGTCACTGACACAATAATCTTTTCCGCCATGGAAGGTTGGCCGACCAGATTTCGACCATAAAGCGGGAGCTTTCCTGCGCCCGCAATGAGGGTTTAGTGCCCCTCACTCTGTGGAGGGATGATCAGTCAGCATTCTGTGGGAAATTATGTAAGCTGGACGACCGGATCGGCTTTCTGTTCGGCTCCGGTCCCGATGCGGGTCAATGCGACGCAGCTCGGCCCCAGTGCTGTTTTGAGCAACATCATCCGCATCGGCTCATCAACCACACGTTTCGTAGGCTCTTGACGGCGACTCGGAGAACTGATGACTGCGAGAACCCTCAGCCTCGGTTCAGGAAATAAATCCATACTTGTATAAAACCAATCCAACAATCGTGCTTCCCTCGAGATCTCAACACCACTTTCCTCACACGTTTGACATCCCCAATCTCAACCGTCACCCACCATGGCCGCACAAACCTATAAATCTGTCCACCTCGCCGAACGACCGACAAACCAAATCGAGCCCTCAACTTTCACCATCAAAGAGAACAAGACCTCCTCCCTGCCCGCCCTCGAAGATGGCCAAGTCCTCTACCAACCCAACTACCTCTCCCTCGACCCGGCCATGCGCGGCTGGCTGAACGACACGCGCTCCTACATCCCGCCGGTAAAGATCGGCGCCATCATGCGCGGCAACGGCGTGGGCAAGATCCTCGCGAGCAAAAGCCCCAAGTTCTCGCCCGGCGACATCGTCTCCGCCGACTCCGGCTGGACGGAGCTCGCCGTGCTTAAAGACGACCTCGTCCAACCCATCGACCTCCCGCCCAACGGCCGCATGACCGACTCCCTCGGCGTCATCGGCATGACCGGCCTGACCGCGTACTTCGGGATCCTTGACGTCGGACAGGTCAAAGAAGGCGACTTCGTCGTCGTGTCGGGGGCGGCGGGCGCGACGGGGACCGTCGTGGGCCAGATCGCCAAGCTCAAGGGCGCGCGGGTGCTCGGGCTCGCGGGCACCGACGAGAAGTGCCGGTGGCTGGTGGAGGAGCTGGGCTTCGACGCGGCGCTGAACTACAAATCGGCGAGTTTCGCCGCCGACTTCCGCGCCGCGACCAAGTCCCTCATCGACGTCTTCTTCGACAACGTCGGCGGGGAGATCCTCGACATGGCGCTCGCCCGCGCCAAACCTTTCGCCCGCTTCGTCATCTGCGGAGGCATTTCTCAGTATAACACCAAGGAGGCGAAGGGCCCGAAGAATTACCTCATGATTATCTCCATGAGGATTCGCATGCAGGGTTTCATTGTCTTTGATTATGCGAAGAAGTACGATGAGGCCAGGAGGGAGTTGACGAAGTGGTTGGCCGAGGGCAAGATTAAGCGTCAAGAGACGATCATCAAGGGCGGGATTGAGAAGATGCCAGAGGCGTTGAGGGCGTTGTATGATGGTGTCAACACTGGTGAGTTCCTTTTTTTGAAGCTTTGCTATGACGTTGTTGATGATCACTAACAATCTTCACAGGAAAATTGCTCGTCGAAGTTCTTCCGCCGTCAGAGGATCGCTCGAGACTATGAAGCGGTTTTATTCACATGAAGCACTTGTACCAATAATGAACTTATGACCAAGCATTTTTAAAGGTCAAGGAACTAATTCCCTTTTTGAGAAGAGTCGTCTTCCCAGAAGTCACCTTCAGATTGAGCTCAATCCATCACTCGTGCGCAGTGAAAGTGTACCTCTGATAATTGACCGCCGGCTCCGTCGTCGGCGAGAAGATCTGATATTGATCTCTTCCCCACTGGGGTTGATTGATGCCATCGATCCACTAGAAACGAACCAGATGATCAGCAACCTCTGATCCTTCACAGCTCACGCCGCCATCGATGTCGCAAAGTTACACAGGTGGGATGAGAAGAGAGCGGGGGAAACTCACATCTTGCGTTTCCAACACCACACACCCATATTTTTCCACAAACGTCGTCGTCCCATTCCTACCCTTTCCGAATCCATGCTGCTGACTCCTCTTCACCGGAATCGTCCCATTCTGCCCATCACAAGAATAGACCTGCAACCCCTGCATATTCGTCCTCAATCGCATTTCGATCCCCGTGCTCGGCGCCCACATCCGCAGGACCTCCAATTCCGGATCCTGGATTGCAGCAACGGGCCGGTCGAGGATCAATGCGTTGTCGTATCCCACGCAGCCTGACCCGCAGAGATCTTGCGCGGAAAGGATGTCCTGCCCGATGGGTTTGGCGCGTGTGAAATCCAGCGGTGTCCCGGCTGTGAGGCGTAATTCGCCGGTTGGGATTAGGATGCCGTCGGTCGCGATGTAGCGTTTCGCATAGGGCATGTGGAGGGTATTGTCTAGGATGGTTTGGGCGTCCGGGGAGATGTAGGCGCCGAGGTTCCAGTAGGGGTGATTTGCGAGCATGATGGGCGTGGCGGTTGTCAGTGGGACGGAGACGAGGCGGGAGATCCATTCGGCGTTGTTGGTGACGGTATATGTTGCGGTGTTGAGCACTGCGCCTGGGAATCCGGAGAGGCCGTTGTCGTGGAGCGTGAAGGTTATGCTGTTTGTGGTATGTGCGGTGACGGTCCAGTTCTGGACGTCGTAGCCTCCTGCACCGCCGCCGTGAAGGGTGTTCTTGCCATCGTGTTCATTCTCGACGACGTGAGAAGTCTGGCCGTCGATGGTGAAGGTCCCGTTCTTGATCCTGTCGCATTTGGGTCAGACACAAAATCATCTCTCTTTGTAACAAGTTTGGAAAGAGGCTCACCGATTCGCATATCGTCCTACTACCGCACCGAAATACGTATGAACCGTCGCCGAGTCCCGAGCATACTCGTCCGCCTCATCGTACCCAACAATAATGTCCTGCGGTTGACCATGCTTGTCGTTGACGAACAGACTTGTCAATCGGGCTCCGTAGGGAATGAAAGTCGCATTGATGCCATTTGCTGAGATTGTATATTTTTCGAAGGCGTTAGGAGATGAGTTTTGAGAATAGACTGTTTGAGCTGCAGAGGTACTTGCTGTCGTGAGAAGGAAAGCTCCACAGAGCAACCTAAAATCCTGGAACAGCATGTTGGTTGCGGGCTTGTCACTCAAACCAATGGAAATCAGGCCCTTTAAGTGCCGAGATCACTATCATCAGTATAGCAGACATACACTGTTAGATACCGTAAACTAAACAAGTACTCGAAAACGGTTTGTCGTTCAGTATTGGGATATATATAAATACAATGAAGTAAGCATAGACTTTTTGGATGTCATCAATTGTGCAAATAGGCTATATATTACAAGTATTGCCGATCTGCACCCAATGCATGCTGATATTTTGTACCGCGAGCATGTACCATAGTCACGATGCACGGTACCTAGGTAAGCTCGTATGCTTTGTGTGTGTACAGTGGTCGAGCCGGATAAATTGGTCATTAAATACTGCTACATGGCTTAGTCAAAGTATTGTATGGGAGATGCAACTCTCGTTCCCTCAGTACGTGCCCAGATCTGCAGCTTCAGCAGGTGAAGGAGGGAAAAATGTTCGAAGTACAAGAAACGTAACACTCATTATTTTACACATCACAAAATCAAAATCTCAATCACCCTCCCTGCGCATCCAGAACCTTCTGCCTCATCCTCTCCTTCGCCTTCGCATTGACATTCGGGATCCATTCCTCCCTCGTCAAATCATACTTGTGGTCCTCAATCTCCACCCGGGACAGCGCCTCTTCGCCATATTCCTCCATGAGGAGATCCGCGTAGGCATAGGGAATTCTCGCCGGCATACCCTCAAACTTCGTCGTCCGCAGCGGGAAAATATCATCGTAGTTGTAGGAATGGCCGTCTTTCGCCATCATCGCGCCGTCGGAGCCGAGGGATTGCGCGGTATGGTTCACGCGGAGTGTGGTGATGTCGATGTAGAGGCCAACGTCGGTGTCGATCCAGCGGGCGTCGATACCGTTGTCGGAATCTACGGAGGCGTTGAGGTAGTGCGGGTTGATCTCCAGGAGGTATTGGCGTGGCGCCCAGAGATTGGGGAGGTGGGTGCGGTGGATGGTCATGTTGTAGTAGTTGGCCAGGTGCCGGATTGACCGCTCCGAGACCATGACGTCGACGTCGTTGTCCCAGGGCATCACTTTGCTGTTCCACCACCATCCTAGTAAGGAGCCGTGCATCAGGAATGTCTCGATGCCGATGTCGTTCATCGTGCGGAGGTAGGCTTGGATTAGGTATGACAAGCGGTCGCGGCGCTCATTGTAGGGGAGTTCTTTCTCGCCGAAGCGGCCGTCATAGTGTCGGGAGAAAGTAGCTTCGTGGAAGTATTTGTTGGGTTTCTTGGAGTCGATATCGGCGTGCGACTTCGTTAGATGGGTCTTGACGCTGTCGAAATCGGCATCGGCATCCGTGAATGGCAGGGACAGAAGACCGATTAAGCAGTATCCTAAGTGCAAACGCATCTTCGCTGATAGACACAGGGACTCTTGTCTTTCAAGCTGATCTTCAAGTTGAAGTCGCAATCATTCGATATTGGTTACTTGATTGAAGGTGGTCAAAGTGAAGATGGGCCAATGCGAGATACCGTCAGAGCAAAAGGTGTCAAGGTCATTTGGTCTTGCTTGATCGTGACTAGTCTGCAGAAATGACGGCAGTAGGCGCAATCAGAGCTGTCGTTCCTGTCATGAAAAGAAAAGGCGAAGTTATTGCTCAAGATCAATGAAATACGGAATATATCTCATGTGCTTTCCTATGGTACATCAACATACTCCTTGAAAAAGGCCGCGTAAACGCGTCGTACGCAGGCGGATTCTTAGGGTTCGAACGCATCACTTCGTGAAATCCCAATGGCTTTGGGAATACAATAACTCTGTCAAGATGTACACAATCTTCTACGGGAAGTTATTCATCACAAATAACTTGTTGCACGGGCAGGTGTCGTGTCTTTCGTATGAAGAGATGGGACTCGCGGCGTCTTCCCGTCCAATGGACTACAGCTGCATCCTTCCAATCCGAGATCTGGGCTATCAAGCATCGCCTTTTGACATTTACTCTAGCACGAAGGGTTCAGCATCGCCTCGTGATTGGGGCAGTCGGTACGTCAAAATTCCAGCAAGGAACCCCGTGGAAGGATCGTCTCCATTCAAATGTTTCTCCGTGATCGCAAACATCAGCGCGCCGATATAAAGGGCATTTTGCACATCTTCCAGGCGTTCGAGGACCGCCCTGGGTGCGTTTCCAAGAACAGCGGTCCACAATGCGTCTTCTGCCGCCCTAGAACCCTCCCTGATCTCGATTTCCCCTAACAATTCTGGGCGACGATGGTATCCGTGATCCGATGAAGCCCCATTCCGGAAGGCAGTGCTCTCGCGCATTCCCAATCCACGAGGCCGGAAATCAGATTGTCCTCGCCGATGAGGATATTCGTCTCGTTGAGATCGTGATGGGAGAAGTATAGAGGAAGTGCTTTTACCCCAGCAGCTGCAGCAATCAATCTCTCAATATTCGGTTTCAGGACCTCCGTTCTTTCAGTGATGTTCGTTAGAAATTGGGTCAGGCAGGGAATGATGTAGCTGTCTACTACATCAGCACTCTGGCCATCCACGAGGCCGCGGCCGAGCACGGCACCAAGTGATTCCGCGATCTTGATTCGCGCCTGTACATTGGAGTCGGGTAGTCGAAGCAAGCACTGGTCAGGCATGTAAGTCATAGCATAAGTGGTCATCCCGAGCGCCTCCAGTTCCGGGTCGACGATCGAGTTGATCTCCGGGACGACATTTCCGAACAAGCTGCGTGCCGTCTTAGAACAATCGACTTCGAGTGGTTGGATACGGAACTGAATGACAACTCTGTCACCACCGGTCAACTTGACTATTCATGTTCTGCTATAGCAGCCTTGAACGCCGGGTGCGAGTGTTCCATTGGGTTTCTTGCCAGTATGAGCTGCTGCCAATGTCTTTGCCCGCTTTTGCTGCTTGACTGGAGTGTTAAACAACTCCGGCCAATCAGAATCTTCTTCTACGAATTCCGGAAGCATTTTGCGGGATGTGTCGTCAGGCATTTTCCAAACACAATATTTTTTGCCATTGCAAGCAGACGGAAATAATTGATGGGGTTATGCAGGCGTGGCACAGCAATCGGTCCAGCCAGAAGTTGCACACCAATGACCAACGTGACACACAAAGAACTTTTTCACATTTCGAGATTTCTGACCCTCAACTTTTAGATGCCGAATACACAATGGTGGATGATTCATGATAGAAGAAAAAGTTGTTTGTGATTTATGTTACACGTTTTCGTGAAGAGCTTCCGTCAGTTAAGAGTAGAGACATTGCCAATCTTATCCTTTTGGTTGCAAAATTATTGTGGACACATCGATCCTCGTCACTTAGGGATCCGGGGCGTCGACAGTCTGTCGTGAGAGTCACACGGCGCAATCATCGTCGTCGGTTACCTTGCTGCATTGCCAAGATCTGCACCAGGCGGACGAAGATGTTGATGAAGTCGAGCTCGAGCGAGATGGACTCGTTGACCACATCACGCTTCATGAGGCCGCGCTCGGCCATGCGGGCGTGGTAGAGGATCTTCTGGACGTCGTAAAGGGTGAAGCCGCAGAAGACGGCGAGACTGTGGAAAGAATAATGAGGTTAATGATTGAAAATATCATCGACTTTGACTTCGGAAATGAACTTACCCTCCGTAGAGCCATAGGTTCTCAGTGAATGCTAGTGTCCGGATAGCAGTAGCGGGAATGACGAGAGGTGCAAGGCCAGACAGAGCGACGACCGCGACACCAGCGAGAAGAGGACCGCCAAGGTAGAGGTACTTGTCCTGCTTGGCGGTGGCGCCGACGAAAGCGATGGAGCCCATGATACCAACGGTGTACAGACCCGCACGAGCGAGGATGGCCGGGTTGAAGAACATCATAGGAGCGAGGAGAGCAGCCTGGGTAACGTTAAATCCAGCCCAGAGACCGTATTTGAGCATGTAGTTCTCCGGTGGCGTCATGCGAGCTCCCATCATGGTTCCGATAGAGGCGACGAGACCAACACCCATGATGAGCCATGGGTTGGCGGTCATGAGGCGGTAAGACCATCCCGAACGGTGCAAGGCGGTGGCAGCGACACCGATGATGCCGACTCCGAGACCAGTGTGGAGGAAGGTGTCGTTGAGGTATGCGCGTTCATATGGGGGCATGCCGCCATCGTCGCGAGTCTCCCGGTTGAAGACGAGGTTGATTGCGAGAACAGTTCCTCCAACGATAGCACCACCTGTGTATCACCCGTCATTATTCTGCCCTTTGCGGGTTCTCTTTTCGATTCTGATTTGACTCACCATAGATGAGGCGCTGGGTGAGGTTGCCCTGCGCGAGAGGGTTTGGTGGAGCGGCAGTTTGATATGATCGCTTTGACTGTCGGAATGCCTTGAGGAAGTGGCTCTGTTGTTGTTGCGCAGCGAAGGCATTGCGGAGTGGCGCGGCCTGCTTGGACAAGGTCTGCTTTGCCGGAGCGCTGGCCTGTGTTTGAAAGCTTCGGAATCCGGAGGCGAAGTTGTTCTTAGGTACTTCCTTTGCGATGGTCGCGATGACCGCAAAGGGTCTCCGCATCATGAACGCCATGGTTGTGTAGGATGGTTGTTGCTGACGATGGAAAGAAGAGGATGAGCTTGAGGTTGACGATACAGTAATATGTGGTGCAGGTAGCCCTACAGTACGTCACTAAAGCCGCCGCGACCAGGGACATTAATCAGCTCGAAGCCGGGCTAGTGTTAGGGTTGTCGCGTGTTTGACGAGCCACCAGAACATTCCAAGGTTCCGAAGAGCAACGACATACACGAACTGATGAAGCTGATGACTCGCTATCTTGAGATGGAGTGAAGTTGAATCATCAAGAGACCTGTGGCTCAGTATATCATCATACGTCCAGGCCTTGCGTCCAGAATATGACTCGTACAGCGACAGCAGATCGCTTGCTCTCATCCTCACGAAAGTCACACCAATCTCGTCGCATCACGTCTTGAAAGCGATCAACTGCAGTCGAAATGCGTTCGAGTACATCAAGAAGAATGAGCAGCGACGCATCCCGTCCTGCAATACCACAATTTCGTTCTTTCCCATCACGGGATCTAGGTGTGGCGCTACTCGAACCTTTCGTCCCCGACACCCTTACTCTTTCATTCCTCCAATCCATATCGCCGTATCCTAAGCAGAAACCCATTGCCCGTTTCGAATCAATGATCTTCTTCTTTCATTTTTTCTATCACTCTATTCTTCCACCCTCGCTGCTATGTGCATCCAGGATTTCCCCTTCAAATCTCAAAACGCACACAGCGCAGCAAACTTCCCCCCCTACTGGCTACACAAATGGCCTTCTCTTCCTCCATTGCGGAAACCCCATGGAAGACAAGAAGGAAAGGGCCGAGTGAAAAGGACAACTTTCCATCCATCAGCCTCATCATGCGGGGAAGAGTCACGATCAGGGTTCTCTGGGCTCCCATGTGGACTCCGTTTCCTTGGGCTTTCTCTTTTCCTCTGGTGAGGTTGTTTTCGGTGATGGAGGGAATTCTTTCTTGCTCGAATTTTAGCCTAGATCGATCATGTTACCGTTGAAAGTCTGCAGTTGGATGAGGATAGTGGGACTGTGGAACAGATACCGGTTGGACAATTCTATGTGGCTATGGTTGATTTTGTGAGTTGGGCGGAGGAAGGAGGGGGAATTGGTGATGGTGGTGGGATGAAAGCACCGAAGACGCATAACGATGGCATATCTTCAACGTCGAGGAGTTGTGCCTGCTGGGTGTTGATGGATCGACGGCGAGTGAGCATCGCGTTTTGTCCGCAATCGCAGTTCCAATACGAGTCAATTTCTCAAAGCCTACTCGCGACACGACACGCAACTGAACAGGTCCCTTTGAACATGGCCCATCACCGCAAACACTATTGTGCCCAAGATTAAAAAGTTTTGATCTCATCTCATTTCCGTTAAAGAGAAGAAAGGTTCTCCCCATGATCGTATTTGACGCCGCCATGCGAAACAGGGAAAAAAGACCAGTGTTAATGTCCGAAATCTTTGCCGTCGTCTGGGTCTCTCTGAAACGATAAAGCCTCGATTTCATGATTCCCGTCTTTTTCACATAACTCCCCGAGTCGTCTCCCCTCTCGCGCGTCCCCGTAGGAAAAAACGAAAAGGAGAGAGATTCTCTCTCACACATGCGCCTGCCTCCCCACAATCATCTCCTCCTCCAACCCCGCGCCCTTCCTCCCGAACCCAGCCTCTATATCCTCGATGCCAGAAGGTCGAACCCAGAGAAGGAAAGAATGAAAGAATGATTGCGCTTATCGGCTGGCGCTCCAGACGTTCTTCAAGAATCCATCGCGCTGGGCCAGACGGTTGAGCGAGTCATCGCTCTCGCCCATGCTGCGGACGAAGCCGCAGAGCGCATAGACGTGGTTCTCGCCGGTGTAGCGGCCGTTCTCGTCGACTTTGGCGACGCTGAGTTGCACGGAGGCGTGGTCCTTGGCTTTGATGATGCGGTTGGTGGCGGAGCATTTGCGGGGGACGTAACTGTGTTTGTCAATTGTTTAGAAAGATGTGATTGTGAGCGTTTAGGACGAGGAGGGGTGGAGGGGGTGATATCTGGGATGAGGTGGGGATCTGAGCGACGTACAGGTCGACGAGGTCACCGCGTTCGTTCTCCATTTTGAAATACGGTTTACGGAGGGACTTTTCTTGTGTGTTTTTGGCTGTGAGTAGTTCTGCTGGATTTGCGATTCTCGTGATGTCGCTGGCTTCGCTTACTACAGTGGTGTTGGAAAATGCACGGGCGTCGGTGCGCGCATAAATCTTGGCGCTCACAAATCACGTGATTTGTCGAGTATGGCGTGTTATACGAACACCAAGTGTTCGAGGGCATCCGCATAATGCTGATTGAAGTGCACATGGCATGATTAGCACGGACTGAAGTACTTGACGAGCATGATTCTGATCATTTGAAATTCTTTTGACATTTTTTTCCCTCGTCCTGCTGGAACGGGATCCTATCCAGAAACATGGAATGGTAATTAATGCTTTCCGTGCATGTAAACAACATCCGGGGTAATCACACTCTCGTTGTGCCTCATATCTCCTTTCCTCCATACAACAGTCGCAAGGCAAAGCATCGCACACAGAAATAATAAAAAGAATTGCCGTTAAATTTGTTGGGGCGTTAGCGAGAGGATTGAAAAGGTATTAAAAAATATTGAAGGTGGTGGTGGAAATGGAAGGTTAAAGCATGAGTGCCGCAATGAAGAAGCCGAGCAGAGCAATCCCGCTGCCGGCGATGAGTTTCGGCGCTGCCTCGTTGGTGTTGGCCATGGCGCCACCATTCTGGTAGAAGCTGGTGATACCGCCGCCTTGCTGGTTCGGGTTGGCCGCGCTCTCACCAGCATTGTTGCCGCTGCTGCCCGGATTGGCGCTGTTGGAAGTAGAGCCGTCGGTTCCGCGGACTCCACCGCCGGAAATACCGGGCACGGTCTCGGCGGTCACAGCAGGGAGAGCAGCAGAAGCAGTGCTGTCGCCAGACTTCTTGCCGTAGGGGTCGTATGTGGGGTTGTCACCAGTGGCGTAGAAGGAGGACAGAACGGTGTTGTTGTTACCGATGGCCACAGTCTTCTCGGTACCTTCGGCGCTGGTGTAGTAGTACGCCTTGCTGCCGAAGTTGTTGCTCCATCCTGAGGGAGGGTTGTAGCATTCGACTTGAATGTCACTGACCATGGCGTAGTAGTAACCGTTTTGCATGTATCCGCTGTTCCAGTTGACGAGACCACCAGCCCAGGTGATGGTGCCTTCACCGTTGGATGGCAGACCAGCAGGCCACAGGGAAAGTTGGATCTTCGAGGGACTTTGAGGGTAGTGGTAGGTGTTGTCGGTAGAGTTGAAAGTGTCAGACTTCTTGATGGTTCGGAGGATCTTGCCATCGACAGCCCATGAGAGCTGATCGGGTTGCCAATCAATGGTGTAGGTGTGCACGTTCGAGCGAGAGTTGTCAACGTCCAATTTGATCATGTTTCCGTCTGTCATGGAACGTTAGCGGGAGATGTCCGGAAGCATTTCCGCTCGCGAAACACTTACAATCGGTGATACCCTGGAAGTAGTAGTTGCTCTGTACGTTGCTAACCGTCTCTCCGACAAACTCGAAATCGATTTCGTCCTTCATATCGCTCATCATGATGAAGGCCGTGACGACACCCTTGCCTTGGCTCGATGTCATCTTGGCACTGATCTTTCCATACCAGACATAGTGTGTGCTAGTGAGCAGTGTGCCGACGGTGCTCTCGGCCATGGTGAGAAGAAGCGCTTCGTTGTTGTACACGACCGGAATACCGGAACTGACCCAGTTGACATTGCTGGCATCTCCGAGGTAGACGGTATTTTGTTGCACATCCTTCAATGAGTCCATCTTGAAGTCTCCGCTCTTGCATACTGCCTTGGCTGTGCAAGACTGAAGATCAAAGGAGTTTTTGGGGTCGCAACCCTGAAGACAGTATGCGCCAACACCACACTGGCCATATTCTGAACAACATGGTGATGATGCTGGGCACTTGGCTCCACCTCCACACTTTGGTGCGCCTTGGCCAGCGACGAGGGAAAAGGTCGCAACCAAGGCGGCGATGGCACTAAGTGCGTGCCTCATCGTGATGAGTTTCGGGATTGTGATGACAGAGGTTCTGCGGTGCGATGGTCGCAGTACGACGAGAGAAGGATCTCAATAGCCGGGTAGTCGGTGTTGGTTACACCGAACAGGAGCGAATGTGTATCGGGCAAGTTGCACCCGACTTGTCGTTGTTCGTGTATGATTCTGTTGCTGTATGACTCTCTTCCTCTAGTCGCGAGGATGATGTGGGATTAAGATGTTGTGGCTAACGATGAGTGATTCAGATTATGTGGCGAATGTTCTATGATGGTCAAGATGTAAATGACAGTGGTTGTCGGTCGATGTGCTGTATATACAGGTACACAATGTGGTGATGATGGAGAAAAGGCGAGACAAAGATGGCGAGTAGAACGATGAGAGATGCGACAAGCGTGGTCCAGGAGGAGGGAGAGAGGCGAGACAAACTCCAACGAAAACATCCGCCAGCCCTGTAGGGGAGCAGAATCGTTGTCTGTGATGAGTGCCAGGCAAAACAATGGATGGGTGGACAGAAGGGAACCTTTACGCAACTGCCAGGGAAAACGGTCCCAGGGCTGGAATTAATGCTCGAGACTTTAAGAAGCCTGGTTTATATGAAGGACGCGCCATGGGTTTGCGACGGGCGCGTCGGCGTTACTCTCTACCAGATAGAGATTTCAGATTGGATGGGATTTTACAGCGATTTTCTGCACTCGTCTTGCCTCAATCTGGTCTAGTGTTTATCTCCCCTTCTCACTTCTCCTCCCGCCGAGTCTGGCTGTGACGAATTCCCACGGACGCTACTGCGAGCCGCGTAAAGTAGTAAACCTCTTCCGGTCGGATGTGTTCATGTCCGCTCGTATTTTTGGATACTCCTGCGTATTCCCTTCACAGCATCGCAACACTCCTACTGCACCATACAACCCAATGCAGTCACCCTCCTCCGCCGATCTGTGTGCCCTTCTGATAAGAATTCCGTCATCACACATCCTCTGAATACGATGCGCGCGGCTGGATGAAGAACGTCGAACAGATTTGAGACACATATCTCAACGGCGAGCTATCATATTACGATTACTACCTAGGTATCATTAATTTATCGACAAAAAGGCTGGCGCCGTTTTCCTGACGCGCCATCGACCATGAGTGTTCCGTTGCGTCAAATTGCATCCGCGGCGGATTCTCACACTTCCGAGTGGCTTGGCAACGGGCGTTTCGTCTGCTTTCCTGCACCCAGAGAGCCTGAGAGGTTTGTCCTGCGGTCTTGCACATGGCGGCCTGCAGGTCCATCAACGACGCTGCGAGATGCAACGACATCATGCCATGCGACAGATTTTTACCCGACATCGTCTGCTTTCTTTGGATATTACCGGAATTCCTCACTGGAAGTTGAACGAAGTTGGACAGTCCTGCAGACCCTGCATACTGTGCGCCGGTGTTGCTCAGACAGCCAGCTTCCCGCTCGTCTTTTTGGCCTTAAACCATAACGACGGCAGGATCAAGCTCGAGCATGAGAAGCAGATTGACAAAGCAATAGCCAACCCCCAAACTGCCTTGGTTTCCAAACAATTCATTTTCGTGGCGCTCGCCCAATTGCTCAACATGAGTGTGCCGTCGCTGTTGTTGAAAGTGGAAGCCAGTGATTGTGCGAATTGTACTGCTGACTGTGCAGAGCCTGCCGCGTTGCTATCGCCAATCACCATGCAGTCGAGGTAGGACACCGGTTTTCCGAGCAAGACTGAGACTATGATGAAGCCTATGAGCAGCAAGCCGTCCATGACGGCCATGACGAGGAGTTCAAGGTTTGCATTTGAATAGAAAAATGGCAAACTAATCAGGCTGTAAAACGCAGCGATACAAGTCTGGATCAGAATCAGCATATGGCAGACTTAAGTTCCCCAAACGTTCCTCTACACTTACCATAATCAGCGTCCCGATGATCTCTTGCGGCACCGTCCTGTTGGTGCTGACAATCTGCGCGATAAAGTCGGCCGTCATACCAATGATTGCAATCATTGACGCAATAGCGACCCCGCGAGCCAGGAAGAATGTTTTCACTAGAGGCGCCGCTCCGTAGTCAGGGAAAGCCATGATGTTCTTCTGGTGTTTTGTCCTTGGTTTCGGAAGTGAAGTGAGAGGATAGAGGTCTGAGGAATCTGCCAGCAGATATCCTGATTTTGTGGCGGCTCGAGTGGAATTGCTGAACGCGGTTTGCACAGCAATTGAAGAGATGTTTGTCACCTGAAGATCAACGATCTCAAAGTTTGGTTAGACTGACAGAAATGACAAAGAAAAAGAAACCTGTAACGAAGAAATGAGAAAACAAAATGCTGCCATGACTCTACTCTTTTTCCAAACAATCAGCCGCTTCTTATATCTACAGCAATTACTTGAAAACTGTACATATATTTATTTTCGTTTCTTGGTCTTCCACATCGGCGTCTGCGGATGAGGCTCCACCAAAATTCATCGAAGGCTCAATGGCCAATAGACTGAATTGCGGATAACTCCGCTGTAGTTCGGCGGCTGCAGAGGGCTCGCACGGATACAGGCAGCGACGAATCTGTCGATTGTTTGCGTGCACCGGGTTTTTATTAGTCTCCATGTATTGCGCAGTATCAGGGCATACAGGAGGGTATTATGTTTGTATCTACCTGAGACGCGTACGCAGAAAATGTTTGAGCCACTGAGGTGGTAGTTCGAGTTGCAAAGTACCTAGGTGTACTGTCGTGGCAGACATTCCGAGATCCCCGAATTCATGGACGCACCAGTATTGGCTTAGTCACTTTCAAGGTTGACCAGCCATCGATCACACCGTCGTGATCACCATGAAAGTCTGTTATCGCCATTAAAATAGAAACCATCTCGATGGCTCAACGATCATCACAATATCGCCCGATTTATCCAGCATGCGCTCTGCTATCGATGCGCATGAGATGAAGTGGTCGACTCGAACGGCCAACAACGGGCCGCCATGAACTCCGAAGCCTTGCAGAGCAGACGAGGTTCTGCAAATCACTCAAATCATGCCATCGGAATTCCCATAGCGCCCTCATTGCCCATCGCTGCTCCGAGGCCCTTACAAAGAGCACGAGATGCCGCGTCGAGATTTCTCGGTTATGCGCCTTCTCGCCCGCCCAGCGCTCACGGAGATAGAGACGAAGAACGTTTCTCCCGTGGTAGTGCACAATTCAAACGACATCCATCTCTGTCCATCTCCAAAGATGCGACAGTGAGCCACAGGACTGGTCTACACATAAATGCCGTAGCACTGAATGAGAGTGGTACGCACGCGCTCATCGGCGGCAAAGGTATCTTCAAAACTGTCAAAGTCGAGGGAGGGCACTGCGCCGAGGACCTCAATCTGAGGACGACGATTCTGAGTACTCCCAAGAATGCATCAGGTGCGCCTCGCGACATCTATCAAATTGATATCGCTGATGTCGCCTGGGCGAAACGTGATTACAGCAACTACGTCGTGGCTGCAACCTCCAGCGGAAAGATCATCCTCTACAACCTTGGCATTGCCGGACTTCAGGGAACTTTACTACATGAACATTCGAGACAGGTCCATAAACTCACCTTCAATCCCCATTCCGGGAATTTGCTCTTGTCTGGTAGTCAAGATGGTACTGTTCGACTCTGGGACCTTCGTGCCTACAAGACTCCAGCCTCGACGTTGCACAGTAGAAGTAAATTCTCTGGTCACGCCGGCGGCGTGCGTGATGTGAAATGGTCGCCTACTGATGGATTCGACTTCGCTTTCGGGACAGACAATGGCGACATCCAAAGATGGGATTGGCGCAATCACCACGTGGCTAAGGTCAAGGTGTCGGGCCACCTGCAAGCCTGCAATGCTGTCGATTGGCACCCCGATGGAAAACACATTGTCAGCGCCGGTTCTGACAAGACTATACGGGTTTTTGACATCTCTGTTAATCGTCCGAAGAAAGCGACCTGGGAGATCAAGACCCCTTACCCCGTCATGAATGCTCGCTGGCGACCTTCGTGTGAGTCATCAATCAAGACGGACAACGGCGCAAATCTGTGCGTACAGGTTCTCGCATGTTACAGTCCTGAGATACCAATATTACATCTGTGGGATCTACGCAGGCCGCATATTCCATTTCGCGAGCTGGCGCCATATGCCTCAGCTCCGACCGGGTTGAATTGGCACTCTCAAGATTTGTTATGGACTGTTGGTCGCGAAGGCATATTTATGCAGACGGATATGCATTACGTGCCAAAGGCGCTAGAAAGACGGAATCTGCAGGCCCTTGCTGTGTCGCCGAGGAACGAGACCGTTTTCGTCGCACAAGCGCGAAAAGCCAAGAATACCTCCAGCATTCAGCGGCCAGTCATTGATCTCGGACAAGGTCATGGTCAGAGTCCGAGAGGTGAGCTTTCAAGTCGAAGCTGGGCGGATGACAGTCTGGACCAGACCTTTCTGAGCATCGCACCTCCAAACCGTCAACACATTCGCTCTGACAGTCATCCTCGAGTGCAGGGCGCAAGCTCAGGCTCAGCTACGCCACATAACGATCGAACAGCCAAGCCGACCATTAAATTGGACGATATTTTGTTCAATCGCAAATCTTGCCGTCCGGTGCAGGCATCCTGCCGTGGTTCCCTGCCAGATCCCGGGCTCAGCTTTGCTGCGCCTGAACTCATGATGCACCATATGGTCCGGTCACTTGAAACGATGAACATGGAGGAGGTACGGGCACATACCCTGAAGGTTATAGATCTCTGCATGCAGTCCGCCGCTCTCGCTGGTGCTATGAGACTGTACCAATCGTGGAAGATAGTTGAATTCTGTTTGTCTAATCACTTACGGGAGAAGGAAGTGCTGTGTCGCCAGCTTGTTGAACGAGCTGACATCGGCAGCCATTCTTCGAATCCGAAGCGGATGAATATTGCAGATCTGGCTATGCGGTTCGCGATTCAGTATACGAAGTCGCCCAGCCAATCGCCATCATCGATGCAACCCGTTTCCTCGGTCATTCATCATTTGGCACTGCCGGAGAGTACCTCTAATGTTCCCACACCACTGGTTCGCCCAACCACTACCTCTAAGTTATCGAACTTGCTTCCACTTCCAGACACGATCGACGAGACTTTGACTCTACCGCCGTCTCTGGTACAGGAGCAATCGGCTTTAGCTGCGTCACTGTTGCACGCCAATGCTCGTAGCGGAGACGATGGGAACCGACCCTTGACAGCTCACAATCTGACGGATCTCGAAACCCAACACATCAAAGATGAGGCAGATGAACACCTCAACCGGGTGGAACGCTGGAGTGCACAGCCACAGTACTCGCGTCGTTTTGAAGATCCCGAGAATCGCGGCTCACCCATTATGCCAATGCTGGAGAAACACGACAGTCAAGAAAGCTTCAAGTTTCTCGAGGGGTCATTCGACTCTGGAAGCGCATATTTCCCGGGTAGTCTTTCATCTTTCGAGTCATCCAATAAACTCGTGGCTGAAAGACCTAGTCGGGGGACTGTTCGCAAAATGGATGATGAAGCTCGAGATGGCTCTGTACCCACTCATGAATCAATGCTCTTCGAAGGCTCGGGGACTCTGGCGGACAGTAGGAATGTAGACCAACAGGTCTTCAGTAACAGCTTGGGCTCTGCCCCCGAGATCACCAGCACTTGGAGCCCGGAACGTTCTATCAGTGCTGACTCCCCTGTAGAGCCAGAGGTCTCAGGGATGTCGCTCGATGGCTCGCCGGTCGAAGCCCGATCAGTAAACGCACCCGGAACTCCAGCGATTTCTCAGCCAGACGATACTCAGATCCCCGACGTACGATCGCCTTTTGCCACTTCTGATCATGAACACCTTTCACCATCCGATCACGACGTCGGCAGCATCCACGCTGTCGAAACCACCCACAATCCCGAAAATCCCGCCCATGCAGCAGACTACATCGACCTTGAAGACGGCAAACCCTGGACCCTCGTCGAAATGCTCTCCCAACTAATAACCTTCTACACCATCGAGCAGCCCAACCCGCAAGCAGTCACCTCCCTCCTTATGATCCTCTGCCCTTTGCTACCCCTCACCCATCCCCTCCCAGAATCCGACGTCAAACGCACCATCCGCATCTACCTCCACCACGCCATCGACAACCTGCACCTCGACCTCTCCGAAATCTCCCGGTGGTTCCAGCTCTGCGCCTACGAGCGGCCCCTCCAATCCGGCCTCCAACCCCTCCAGATCGAAGCCGTCCTCGCAACTTATCACGAACAACTCGTCTCCCGCCAGGACTTCTCCAGCGCCGCCCAGCTCCGCAAAATAGCATATCCGGCTTATCCGGCCGTCTACGAGGATTTCTTGAGTGACAACGATGTCCATTTCCGATGTGGTTCCTGCGGGAAAGCAGTCGCGCCGGATTCCAGGAAGCAGGCGGTTTGTGCCAAATGTGATCCTCATGTCACGCAACAGCTCAGGGCTTGTACGATTTGTTGGGAGAAAGAGAGTCCCTGGTCCTCTGCTGTGGCGGACTGTGGGAATTATCAAGAAGATGGAGAGAATGATTCGGTTGTGGGGAGAAAGCGAAAATATACGAGGCTTCTCACCGCGTGTACTGCATGTGGTCATAGTGGCCATGCGGCTTGTTATCAGTATTGGTTTGGGAGTGCGAAGGGCGCGGGTTGTCCCACGGAGGGATGTTTGTGTAGTTGTGTCGGCGGTAGTGTCGGATCATCAAGGGGTATTCCGGTATAGAAAATTAAAATGTCACTCGGGCGTTTCCCGTATTAGAAAATGGATCTTGTAGTCATATTGGGGCTTTACTTGTCATTCTTGCATAGAATCATAGTGCTTCACGGAATAGCGACTTTAGTGACTACCGGAACATTTTCAATGGTAAAGACAAATGCTTGAAACCCAGAAACGCCCTCTATCTCCGATCCATTATATGAAGCATCATGAAAAACAAACAGCACACGCCCTTTTCAAACCTCGAAAATCTCAAACGCCTGTCCAACCTGGACGCCGTAAAACTCACACCCAAACGCCACATAAAACGATGATAATGATACATGTCTGCGCCCACGGAAAAAAGCGGTGAACAAGTCTGTAGCACAATTCCCCATCAATGCACAAAATACACCATCCCTTCACACCGTGAACAGCTTGCAATTCCCTTTTCCCTGGTATCCTGGAGCTTGGGTGGACCACGGATCAGTGGCATTCCACGAGGCGAAACCTTGGTGGATCGCTCCGCCCTGTGGGTCCGACTTGTCAGGAGAGAAATCTCCGAGAGATGGATCGATGGCCGAGGTCTGTTGGGAGTACTGCTGTTGTTGGGGAGCGTTGAGGGAGAGAGGAGATAACGGAGAAGGGAAGTTATGGTATTGCGGTTGCTGGTATTGCTGCATTTCTGGCTGATGGGCAGGGTGAGTTGTCGATGGAGAAGCCATCTGTTGCATGGGGGAGTAAGAGAACTGTTGCTGAGACGAGGGATTGTAGCCGCCAGGCGCTGGGACCTGATTGTTCGCCGGAAGTGATCCGGGATAGAAGGATTGGGTTGTGGTCGGCCAGGCTGCTGGAGCTTGATGGAGGGACGATGCGGGATAGTAGTTGATATTCTGCTCGGAGTAGGTCGGGTTGGGCCATTGACCTTGGGATTGCATCGCGGTGGCAATGGAGATATCGGAAATTTGTGCGATGGTGGTCGGCATGCCAAGCGGTGATGGACCTGAGGTCATTGTCAAGTGTGAGAAAGTCTGATTTGGCTGGCATGACGGAGGTTGCCAGTTGTTCCAAGGCAGAGTTACTTCTTGTGTTGTCTCCCCGGACGTCTGTGGGACTTCCGGGATCTCCGGCATCTTCTTAGTAGCTGCGCTCCGACCTCGTCGACCACCAGTCGATGATTTAGTCCCTTGATTCGACGAAGATCGCGACTCCCGCCTTTCCGCATTCTTTTTCTTTCGCCACCAAGTGGTCGACCTGCTTCCGTGAACAAGAGCCTCGTCTGTAAGAGCCCAGCCGGCCTTCTTGCCAGATTCCTTTCCGACACTTAAGAAATCCTACAAATCATTCTGGTCAATACAGAGATCTACCAAAAGGGGTTTATACATCTTACTCCATTGATCGAGAGATTGTGGCGGATGGTGTTGGTCCGGCTATCGTGCGAAATTTTGTCGCTGTGCCCATTTTCAATGAACCAGTCGTAGATTTCGCCGAGCAGGCGTGTGTGGCGGGGTGCTTCAAGCAGGCAACAATACAATAGCTTAGCAACGCTCTCCTCTTTACCTTCTCGCGTACCATTTTCAGAGTTGAATGATGCTTCTGTAAATGCTGGCGTTCCAGTCGACACGGACGGCGGTCCTTCGGAAATTTTAGCCTGGACACTGTTCGTGAGTGCGTAAGATTGAGACGTTTGTGAGTAGAGCGCGCTGTCTGAATAAGCTGTTGGCGTGGCCAGTGACGAAAAATATTGCACGTTGTTCTGGCTGGTGGGTTCTGGATACATCTGCGAGACTTGACTACTTTCTGCATAGTAAGGGCCAAGGCCATGGTCTTGGTCTACGACAGAATGGTACGGCGTAGTTTGGTTGTGCGGGTTGCTCGGATCGTATAGTGAACGAGACGAGAGCGTTGCGAGATCGGTGTTCATCTGATATTCGACAGCGGAGATTAGGTATGGTTCATCCGCGTAGTTTTGCGGCCAGGAAGATTCGTCGTTCATTGCAACAGCGGACTGTGGTCTACACTCCGTGACTTTTGCGAGATCGATCCACGAAAGAGTTTGTGAGAAGGTGTAGTGTGTTCTTTGTAGATACGAAGGGAGAATTATGGAGTGTCTTGCAATGAGGCTGATGGGGATGCTGTTTGTAAGCCATTTTGGTCGACAGCATGCTTGATATATAGTCGATCATCTCGTGGATTGCCATTTCTCATTGCAAGGTCACAATTGCTATTTGACGAGCCATCACAATGTCATGATTGCTATTTGGAAAGCCATTGCAAATGTCATGTCATAATGGCTTGCAGTCGGAATCATGCCCGGCGGCTAACTGTTCTGATGCCGGGCACCCCTGAATCTGCTGGTCGGCCACGCACAGCCGCTCAATTCGTCATGCCAAATTGCTTTGAACATTTGATATCGAACTTGCTTGCTAGAATTCTGTACAGATCTGTCAGCTTTAGCAAATCTTTCATTGTCGGAAAACGTGGTGAAGCAAAGGACAGAACAATGTGTTGTCTGTCAATGATTGCCGGAGCTCAATATAACGAGGTCAGCAAACCATCCAGCAATGAGCGTGGCACGATGTAAAGAGCACGATTATGTTTTATCATTGCTCAGCTACGAGCATACCGACAACATTGAGATCAGAAGTTGCCTGTATGTTCTTTGACAAACGTCGACGGATTCGTCTACATCAGGCTCTGCAATACTACGAGAGCGCGGCGACGGTCACCGGGGTAGCCAAGTGCAAGACGTCTTTTTCCATAAGTCACGCCAATCAAAATTCATGGGCGCAAGCGACATGATGCCGGGACCTGTACAGCAGTAAGCTAATCCGGGCTACATTCGGTACATGGTCTCCGTCCGAGCTCTACTTGCAAGCTCTGTCTGCTTGTGCAATGGAAGCTTTGAGCAAAAGCACTATTAGTGAGCAGGTTCTGCAGACATCCTGACCAGGGCCGACCTCATCAAATACCAAAGTGGTACAAATTCGCATTGGAAATAATCCATTGAGCGAATCCCTTGCTTCTGCTCCCGAAATTCACGGAGCATGCTCCGGAACATTGGTCCGAAAGATCTTGCGGGGGTAAATTTCGCTTCTTTGCAGCGGATGCGGATAACGCAGTCTGGCAGGATCAAAAATATGCTGAGATGAAGAGGTCATTCGCGAGTAAAATCTGCATGCTTGCATATTTGAGTGCTGACAGACTACCTGATCCCGCAAAACAAGAGCCTCAATCGGCGATGAAGATGTGAGCACCCTTCGTCTGGCAAAGCTACACAACTCTAAGTCCTGGTAGTTAACATTTTCAGTGCTGCGTTCTGGCTCAGATATCATCCACTGAGCGTCGGTCCAGGATTTCGAAAACAACACGACTACCCCGTCTACGAAAGACCTGTTCAGGCAGCTCGGGTCGATGGTCAGGAGATTGCTTAGTCATCGGAACTTCCAGACATACTCCAGAGCCTGCGCCAACGGCATCTTGCATGCATCTTGCATGACCACATTCCGAGCAGGTTTCGGATATGTTACAATAGCCATATGGCACCTGAAGTCAACCAAAAGCTTCGTATGAAACTTCTTATCCGTAGCAGCTGCATGAGTCGGAGATAACGCGATTGATGCATAATCCCTATTGCTGGACTTGTTCACTTCCGATAAAAGATCTGCATTCATCATCAGCGATCAGTTCTCCACGCAGAATTGAGTCTAGCGCTAACCTTCTTGAATTGGAAATGGAGTTGGAGAATACCCTATTTGCTGCGTTAGTCTTGCTTGCGGACGCCGAGACCACCACGCCAATGGAAGCTTGTCACATACCCTGTCAAACGTGCTTCTGAAACCACGTTCACGTTTTGCACTGTGGTCCCAGTCCTTATCGACAATCCGAAATGCGATGTCTTCATATGGCGGACCGGCGACAAATCGAATTAAGCAAGTATCATTTTCGCCTGCAGGTGTCGTCGTTTCGCCTCGTCTCCTCCCATCACTGCGCTCAAGACGATATGTTGGTGTTGCGGTCGGGTTCAATAGCTCCGGGTAGAAGATGTTGAATTTATATCCCTGCACAACTTTGGGTGGCGGATTGTCATGGTCGTAATGTGTCTGATTGTACTTGTTCCATTCATACCCAAGCTGCACGCGATTGAAATACTTCGGTTTGCGTGGTCGATGCTGGCCAGACCATTTTGCGAGGTTCTTGGTCGTGACTTCTTCCTCTTGCATAAACAATTCTTCGTTCTCTCCCAATCCGCGCGCGACTTCTCGGTCATATTGACTCATCACAGGCTGAAAGGTCTCGCCTAAATCAGTGCGTGCGCGCTTGGCGGGTGGTTCCGATCGCGTTTCGTTCTCTATGGAGCTGGCACCAATCTTTGCTTCGGCTTTCTCGGACCTTTTCGGCTGCGTTCGGGACTCAGCGACTGCCTGAGAGACTTTCCGCAGGCGTGCTCGTGCTTTGTATGTGAGCAAGGTGCTCAGAGTGTGCTCCCAGTAGTCCGTATCAATAGCCTCGTTGGATGATAGTTTCGTGTTAATCTGCTTCTCTAGCTTCTCAAGCTCGTCGAGAGTCTTGGACTCCATGACTTTATGTACACCAGCAGCAACCGGCTTGAAGGATTTGTCTGATGCTGTCGGATTTGACGTCTGTGATTGATGATCTTCGCAGATAGTTTTCATCAACTGTGAAAAATCAGCATGAATTGAAGTATGAATAATGCTTTAACCAACGCACAGTCCAATAGTCACGGTTACTTCGGCTCTTCTCCAATGTAATGAAGTTTTCAATTCCGGTGGCAAGCTCTGCTAGCTGATCGGCATCCATTCCTTTGAACAAGGCTTCTGGGTCGCGGATCTCCGCATCCTCAATCTCAACTTCATCATCGAGCTCATTGTGGGCAGGATCGATGACAACGAGGATCGCTGTCAACCAGTCTACGGGCTGTGCTCTGCCACCCTTGATCCGTATGAGGGATTTCTTCTTAGCTTGTTGGAGCACAAAGCGGTCCTCGTCTGCGACCCAGGCTTTTTCTTGAGCATCGGCGGAGCGCTTGTTGGGATTCGCCGAAGATGACATTTCTTCCGAAGATCGCGCTAGTGTTTTACTGGAACTTACTATCTCGTACTGGACACGTGAAATGATACATGGATCGCAAGGACAGGATAATCTAAGAATAACCTTTTGGTTGGACGAGCGAAAGCAGGACTGAGCCATTCGCGCTGCGCCGGGCGCGCTTGTGATTTTTCGCTTAGTCACCCCCGACTGTGCTGACACCGTTCGACCATGAAATCGTCCAACATACCATCACCACACTCGTCCATCTGCCCAGTGGGTATACAATTTTTATTGATTCTCATATCGCGGCTTCGCCATCTCGATTGATCTGGTTTCTCAATGACATTTCGCGGAATGTCGCCCATAAACCGGAGCTTGATCATGCTTAGATGAAGATGCATCTCCGACACTTTAGCTGTTCACAAGGCGAAAAATATCCCTGCTTCAAAGAGCGATCATTTCTCAACACAGGCTGACCCACTGCCACGTCCCTTTTGAAGGCATAACTGACCTTTTGAAAGTACAGTATTGCTCGTTCCGCTCATCGTGCGGCCGTGACGGCAGTGGCGGGGCATCCGCGTCCGTTGTCCCTAATCTTCTGAGCGAGGCCAAGTGATCAGCAACATAGCCGGGATGCCATCCACATGCTTCTCTCAAGTCATCTGCGGCAACAACAACGTTGAACTCTTCTACCAGCTGCGAAATGACTGCCAAATTGCCGCTTGCTATGGCCATGTCCAATGCACCGCCTGCGCGGCTGCCACGCCATTTCGACGCGGACTTTATGTCAGGGTATCTCATCAGCAGGTGCCTTGTCAGCTTCAATCGTCCATGCCTGGCGGCAGACGCATATGCCGTTCGCACCAACGCATGCTCTGCGCACTCGCTGGCAAAACACTTGACAGTCCTGAAGACATCGAGCATCGTCTGAACAACACCGATATTGCCCTGTCGTGCAGCGGCATCAAGTACAGCATGCGGTCGACCGGGTTCGTCATCTACTGCACCTTTCTCGATCAAGTGCAGCGCCCATGCTACATCGCCTGTATGTGCTGCCATGCCCAGTGCAGAGTTGTCTGGCCGAGGCCCAGAGCTGACAGAGTAGAGAAGATCTACATTCTTGTCAAGCAGCCATTGCAAGAGCCTGGCCTGCCTGTGGTGGATCGCTCGCTGGAGCAGGTTCAAGTCAAGGCCTTTGAACTCCGAGAGCTGCTTTCCTACTGCCTCGAGCAAAGTGGAGATGAATTCGATCCGACCGTGCTTCCCGCATTCGACGATGGCTGCTACATACTCAGCACTTGCAACAGGTAAGCGATATCCTGAGCACATGAGCAAGCTGAAGATCTCGTCGTTGTTTCTGACGATCGCGACGCGGAGTGCGCTTGTATGACCCCGTACAGGCGCGGAGTTGAGTTGCCATGAAACCTGATCAGCGCCATCGAGCATTGCCACATAGTCGCCGAGTTGTTTCGTCGTCAACATGTCGATACTGCCTGGTTGCTGGAACAATCTTCGAAAGTCGGAAATGTGGAACTTCTGGATCGGATCTTCGTGACGAACACCCCAATCAAGAAGTTGTTGGACCATAGCCACGTCGTCGTGCTCCGCTGCGAGAGACAGGGGGTCGTCAAAATAAGGTGTGCGTTCTCTCGCCCTCAAACTAGAATTTAGTGGCCTTCTCCTATCGAGTAATATCTTGAAAAGAGGCAAGTCCTTTGCGATGACAGCTCCGCAGAGCAAATTTTGCGCGTCGATGTCTGGGCCTTCGGGTCCATTGTGCATGAGATACACGGCACTTGCGACAGCTTCGTGTCGTGCGTTTAGTGCATCATGATCCTGTAAAGGACTGACATCGTCCAAACGTGCATTGACTTTGGATACGACTGCAAGGTGCTTCGGTGGTGACATTCCTATCCGGCGCGATTTGTTTGCAATGATCTTGCCTTTTAACATCGGTCCCAGCTGATATCGTAGTACTGGTGTGGACTCGTCCTCGATCTCAACCACTTGACTATTGCAGATTGCGTGGAGTAGAGCTGTATTAAATGCATGGCTGATGGATCGCAGCAATACGGCGTTGTATATTCCGATGGTTTGAACGACCTCCTTGATTATGAGAAGGAAAACCTCAAGTGGCAGATCTTGTAAATCAAGCATTTCAATGGAAGTTCAGAAAACTTCAAGTAAAATACCATTCTGAAGTTTGAGGTTCGCAAGCGTGATGGGACTCGAACAAGATATTTGTATTGAGTTTGGGCATTTGAAGGTTGAGTTCCTCATATCCAGCCAGGCGCGAGCGCTTAGGGAACAGCAAATTCCTACAGACGGAATGCGTCTCGACATTCCACATCATTATCCCTTCGTCTCACAGACTCGGTCAGGTCCTGGAATATCTGTCAGCGAATATTAATGGCGACCTCCGAAGTTGTGATGATATGCTGCACGGGTCCATCGTTGTGACCTCTGGCCACACCTGCTTATATCTTGGCTCTGCTCTGGTTGAGTAGCTTGCCCTGGGCAGACCGTGTATGAGGAATATCGTGATCCCTGTCAAGTACGTAGTGAAAGATGGCAAATATGTCGGATTAGCGACGTAATAATTCCTCACTCTTGCGCACAATGTTCGGGCGTAAGTGGACGTGGCCCGGCGATGTGCAGGATTTGTGAATAGGAGCGCACGTTTCTTGTGATCTACCGCCATTTAAGAATCATGCTGCGTGTCTTACGTTTCGGCTCCTGTTTATCACATGCCACTTCTGACGTGAAACACTACGAAAGAAAAATAGACATTCTAGGCAATTCTTTGCACCGCGTTTGCCGACACCATCTAATGAAACCGGCGATCGTCAAATGCAACGAGTCCCTAGTCGGTAACACTACCAACAACCACGATGATGAAGTGATTCGAGCTTGAGGAGACATGTATTAAGCATGTAACAAGACGATGATGCACGTTTCATAGTATGTATCTTCGAGTGGTTATCCGTCGTACACTGCAGCAAGAGCCCTGGAGCAGGACGAGTTTAGGGTTGCTTTACCCCAACCGCGTTTCGGTTCGGAAGTTGGTCCGCGCCCGCGGGCGGCTGCCGGCACCTAGTCATTCATCACCTGTATGCCGGGCGTTGTCTCTCAGTCTCGCTTGTGCCCAGTCTTACTATTACACGACTGCGCCGACAGCAGATGCACTGCACTGCATCGCACGGATTCAGCAATACAGTGACCCGCTGTTGAGTTGTCAGGGCGGGCGAAAATCTATCACCACAAATTCAGGATGACTTGAGACCAGCGTATGTTGCGACATGAGGATCCGTAGGCGACTCGTAGAGCAAGCCGTAGTCGTCACCTCAAGGCGCTTTTCGAGACCCGGAAGATTAGGCACTCGTCGGTCTGTCCACTCACAACTAGCGACGAGTCTTCAGAGACCTAGTCTTGCCAAGAGAAATCGCGGATGAAAATCATGCAAAGTTGACATTTCGGCATATCATAGTCATTTGTTGCACTAGGTCGAGGTAAGGCCTAGCTAGGTGCGGCGCGGAAGTTGGCTGACGATCCTCAGCGAGCTTGTGGCAGTGTTCGTTCTCCATCACGCATTTTCCACTGTGCGGTCACGAAACTTCGATCCGAAACCGTTTGATCAGGACTATGGGCGAGTATTGTAACAACGCCAAGCCTGAAGTGTGAAGGTGTCTGATGTACCGCCGATCCAACTTATCCTTCATGCCAACATTAACCAGTCTCGTGTTATGGATAGACTGCACACTTGCTGGGCTCAAGGCTGAAAGCACGTGAGATTCGTGCCACTTTCCACTGATACTCTGTTCACTTGCCGCCGAAGGGACCGTCGACACTGACTGCATCACGCACTGTGGCAAAATGGAGACGCAGCACTCATGGCCGGTCATGGCATGTGTCTCAAGCTTCGCATCATGCTAGCGAAGCAAGGTATAAAGATCACGAAGTGTTCGTCATCTCAGAAATTCTTTTCATCATCATCTCACACATTCACTTTCGCGATCAACAGTCATTCATTACCAACACAGTCTTTTCGTTTTGCAAAATCACAAAAACACGTTTAATTTCCCATTCCCACTAATTCCAATCCCAACCACCAAACTTCAAAATGCAGATCATCAACGCCAACAACGCTGTTCTCCTCACTGCCGCTTTGGCATGCATGCCCGCTCTCACCGCTGGAGCTCCGATCACCCAGGATGGTGCATTGGCCGGTGCGAGCGAGACTCTCTTCGACACCTCCGAGCTTGAAGCTCGCGCTGGCTCTCTTGCCGACAATGTCGACTTTGCTGATGAGCCGCTCTTCGAGGCGAGCGAGCTTGAGGCCCGCGGTGTCTCTCTCGAGCAGGACAAGAAAGATGCGAAGGCCTTCATCAAGCTCAATTCTCGTGACATCGGCGATGATGCCAAGGCTGTCATCAATGGTGCTAGCGACCCTGTGAAGAAGTTATTCGCCGCCATTCTCAGGCTCTCTGCAAAAGAGGGGTCGCAGCTTGCTCAGGGACTTGGTGTGCCGATCGCTAGTGCTGCTCTCAACATTGCCGCGAATGCTGGCGCCAACGCTCTCTCGACACGCGAGCCTGAGCCACTGCTGCCCTTCCTCGCCTTGGGAGTTCCCCTTTTCCAAGGCTTGCTTAGATTCGGCCTCAGGACGGGCCTCAATGTAGCCAAGCAGGGCGCGAGAGAAGGCGTCAGCCAAGGCGTGCAGGCTGGCATCAACAAGGTGCAGAACAAGAATACTCGTGCACTCCCCACTGACGATGATTTCTTCGGCGATGAGGAGGAATTGGCCTCGGAGGGTACGCTGATGGAGCGTGGCCTCGACCTCTCGAGCATCACCAAAGGCGCCAGTCCCGCCGTGGTGGCAGTTTTCAAGATGCTTGGTAACCTCACGAAGGCGGAAGCTCAAAGGCTTGCCCAAAAGCTCAACATTCCCGGCCTTTCCGAACTTGTGGGAAAGGTCCCGATTCCCACTCGCGGCCTCGAGGCTCGGGACAACGATGGCGATGACATTGACGTAGACTCCGGGTACTATGCAGACATGCAGGAGCTCGCCGTTCGCGCCCTCGACCCCAAAACCATCCTTGATAATGTCGGCCCAACCGGAACGAAGATCTTCAATAGCTTGACCAACCTCTCCCCCGAAGAATTGGCCAAGCTCGCCAAGAAACTCAATTTGCCCCAGGTCGAGGCGTTGGCCCTAGCTGCAGCAGGCGCTACCGGTAACGCGCTGAGCCAGCGCGACCCGAGATTCGGAGGATTTCTCAGAATTGTTGCCCCGATCTTCAAGAAGCTCCTTAGTAGCGCTATAAGAACTGGCACCGAACAAGCTGTCGGTGCAGCTACACAGCAGCGCGATGTTCCAGTCGACGAGTCTCTCGAATCCGCCGATGAGGTCGAGATGGATGAGCTTTTGACCCGTAGCACCGCTAATCCCTTCGGTCAAATTGCCAAGGGTTCCTCCCAGGCTACTGTGGACGTTCTGAAGCAATTTGCTGAGTACAAGAAGGCAGATGCCCTCGCAGATGCAAAGAAGCTTGGCCTTGCAGCTGTACCGACCTCAAAAGCAACTCGCGATGTCTCTGCTTCTGAAGCTGGTGGCCTCTTCGACGATGAGATGGAAGAGGAAGAGCTGGCGACTCGTGACTTGGAGGCACGCGGGCCAGCTATCAGTGCAGCAATCCAGTCTATCATCGACAAAGCCCCCGCCGCCGTCCGACCAATCCTCAGCGCAGCTGCTAAGCTTCCATTTCCGGAGAAGAAGAAGATCGCGGAGAAGTTCAACCTGCATTTCGCGAACAAGGTCCAAGCTCGTGACCCCAAGTTCAAACTGCGCCTTCCCTCAACGCCTAAGACCAATACTCCCTCCACCAAGCCTGACACCAAGCCTGACACCAAGCCCGACACCAAGCCCGACACCAAGCCCGACACCAAGCCTGACACCAAGCCCGGCGACCGGAACGGCCCCAAAACCAGCTTTGGTGACCGGCTTTTGCATGGTCTGGACACCGGCCTTGCCATCATGGATGTTGTCAGCCAGCTTACCGGCGGGATGAACGGACTCGTCATTACTGCTCTCGGCGACATCTTCGCACAAATGCCCGCCCAGTAATCGACTCTGCCAGTACGCAGATCTCACTTCTTTTCGGCGCTCGACTTGCAGGACAAGGTCTGAGTTTGGTTTACTCTCAACCCCTACTATTATTTCTACACCCCTTGCGATGCCTTCACTGAGCTTTCGCGTCCAGTCTCTACCGCACGTTTATTGCAGACGAAAAACCACAGTCCTTACCGATGCAGAAAAGTGGCTCACAGAGCTACGCTATTACTAGCACTAATTAGACCCCTAAGATAATGATCGAATGACACTCCCCCATTAATCCATCTTTCCAAGAATGTAATGTGTAATTTCCAGGTTGAAGATGATTGCGAGTATGCTCCTGAAGATTCCAATGATGACCTCAGCTCCTGAGCACCATACAGAATGATAAAGGCCTTGCCCTACTGGTGCCCACCAATACACTCGAGTACAAATCGACTGACGTTCATGACCGCTGCCCCGCTCTTTGTGTAACATCATCTTCTACCTGAGGCTCGATCCGAGACAGGAAAATTGTGTCTTCCATCTCATCAAAGTTTCGCCGGTTGGCCTGATCAGATGACAGAGACAGACCTCCGGCTTCCGACATGCTTTCATCAGAGGACCAAACACCAGAAGTTTGGGAACGTTCTTGCTTTGACCCGCCAAACTCATCGCCTAAATTCCTAGCGCCCGAGTTCCACCACATCGCCCTGGCCAAGTACCGCCGCATGAGGATAACGAAATTGTCGTCGTGCGTTGAGATGACGGTAACACGCTGCCGTACGACCGTGGTAGCTTATCCGACGTGATCACGCCCCCCCGTTGCTGCGAGATGAAATTAAGCATCTCCCATCGTCGCGACATGGATTCAACACAACGAGAATTCTACACAACAAGCATTGATCCTAAAATGAGAAGAAGCATGAAATGCGGCAGTCTCTCGATACATGAGCTCACGACATTCGGAATTCCCGCATGCAACACTAATGCCATCGTCAAAATTCATTTAAACCCAGAGAAGCGGTTTCGGTGGACATGACTCCGAACTCCTTCACATTCGCAACCATGCAAAGCTCGATCGATCAACTCGCCCAGCAAGACCATCGTCAACCGGCATTGCATGTGCCTCGCACGTTTAGCAATTTGTCTGCTCCACAAGCCTCGAGTGATGAGGTTCCGCGAACAACATACCACACGCCCTTCGAGTGGAGCCACTTGATTCAAGCCAACGACTCATCGATGAAGATGCACATTCACAACGCATTTCGACCATTTGAGAATCCTCGTGAAGCACCTCCACCACCAATTCCAGAAAAGAACAGATTGAGAAAGCAAGCACGCTTAGATGATTTGCACGGGCAAGAAGGATACGCAAGTCGTAGGAAAAGTTGTTCGGATGCACTCGAGAGATCCTCAGAAGACCCAGCAAACAGTCAACACACGGCGGCTTATACACTTGCGCTGCATGACGCTGCAAAGCAAAATCTCGATCAATTGCGTGCGCGGAGGAATAGGCATACATATCATGATGGATATGACTCAACGCTTGAGCTGCTCCCAGGACTTGCGCAGATCCTAGCAAAGGACAAAATCTACGCCACCAACGAAAGCACAAGTCGATCAGAGCACATGCCAACCACAGCACCACGAGACTCCAGACTCCAAAGAACAAGGCAGAAGTCGTCAAACCGCGACCATATTCCCCATGAACTATTCATCGAAAATCTGGCAATCCAAGACTCCAGCAGCGAAGGATCTCTAACTCCCCGACAAACCCTCCCACTCTTTCCCTCCCCTCCCACAAGCACAAATCCTCATATCCCTCCATTTCCCACCGAATCACATCAATGGCACCCACACTATATCCTCTCTCCCTCTCCCCACCTCAACTCCCACCATCTCTTTGACCTCCCTCCAGATCCCTCCCACCCGAATCCTGCCCTCAAGCTACGCAGAAAGAGTCTTTCCCGCGAACGTGGCCACGCGAATCTCAAAGCTGATGCGGCAGCAGGCAAACCTCGAATTAGAGATATGGCTCCGAGGAGACGAGCGAGGACGGTCGATTTGCTGGTGTCGACGGTCCCGGAGAGAGCGGAGCTTGGAGATATGTAGGATAGGCATGAGAGAAGCTTGTCAACTGCGGGAGTGGGGAGTGTTTTTGTGAGTGTGAAAGAGGTGGAGGAGGGCCTGTGAGATGGTCGAAGGGCATTGATGAGGCCTGAAACGAATGGGCGGTGGTAGTTTACATGGAAGCTTGGGCAATCTCACTTGAATCAACAGATTGGTAAAGGTGCGCGCCGGGGTATACGAGTCATCGTCCAGAGGAAGGATAACTGTTGAATTTGTACTCGATGAGAAGAATCATGCATAACGCGCCCTTGCTTTTTACAGAATACCCAATCCAAGAATAATCTACCAACAAAAGCGTAGTGTCGCAGAGACGGGAATTCCAGACCAATGCCTCTGTGTAATTTTCGCCATTTTATAATCACAACACCTCGCCACCGACAGCGCACGATCCGCAAAGTCCAAAGCTCCCATGTTTGCAGCCCTGCGCATCGTTCATGCTTGTCGAGGTCATGAACGGTAAAGTCTCCATCGCCGACATGAATTCCACATTGCCACAGGGCTTCGCACCGCGAGACATGTCCAACCACTGCTGACGCGAGCGAGGCGCCAGAGGAGGGCTGGCGGGAGAGTATACGCTTGTCTCCTGTTCAAAGGAAGCAGGAGGGAAGTCATCATAGCCTGCGCCGACAAGACGTGGTGCAGATGCATCGTGAATACGTGCATGAGGTGAGGTGAACATCTGCCAAGGATTGACAGCAGGACGATAGTTGCCAACATAGTTTTGTTGACGGTGGTAATGATTCGCACGAACAGATTTGTTGAAACGTCTATGACGTTCGGCGCGGGCGCCATCGCCAATGAAAGCAATTTCGTGACCATCACCACCGGCCCAGATTCCCTCAGTGACCCCATTGGTGTTGGGTGATCCAAATGTCCAAGAAGTGCTCGGCGAGCCCATGCTACCGAGAGTCGACGCGGGTGAGACTTCCGCTGAACTGAATGAGTTCGATGGCGATGAGAATGTACCCGGACGAGGGTGTGAGGTGAAAGTATTGCGATGGGAGTTTTGTTCAAGCTGTGGCCAAATCGGTGGTGGCGCGCGTCCAAAAGTCGGCTTGAACTGCTTCTCATCGACTGATTGAGCCATCCAATGGCCGTGTTCGGATCCCGAGCTTGACGGAATGAATGTGAGACCCAAGGATGCTGCTGACATTGTATCCATCCTGTCATTGAGACCCGACTCAGTAGTACCAGACGTGGTAGCATGTCCAGTATCGACCTGAGGCTCACCGGCGACTTGTTTGTGGAAGCGACGAAGCTCAACAATACTCTGACGAATTCTGGTCGACAAAGATGACCACGCATCCTCAGGACGATAGTCCAAAGCGCTATCTTGGACCAGCCGTGCGAGGTCTTGTTGCAATACGTGGTTCGGCATGAACTCCTGAGCCGTTGCACGCAGAGATGGTGTCTGAGGCTTGTCATTTTCGTTACCATTGTCAGAAGGCCTTACCGTGTTCAACGAGCTTGCGGTGACCTGACGAGATCGCACATGAGGTGGAATGACTCTATCAAGACCTGCTGGACTGGGCATCAAACGTATCGTGTTCGCGTTCACTGGCGGTGTCGACGAGGGTTCGACTTGCAGTGATCCAGGACTACTCGAAGCTTCAGTCGTAGTAGTGCCGCACAATGTTGTGCTGCTGGATCTACTGCTGAGTAGCCCGAGATGGTTGAGTTTTGCCTTGATGGGCGCCAAGATGTGACAATGGGACTCTCGACGAATGGTCGTAGTGTTTGCGACACTCGCATAGATGGAGCTTGCACGTGGCTGCATCCGGGTATTTTCAATGTTGTCTGGACTCACGCACGACACTGATGCAGCAGAGCAGTCGTCCTCGTTTCTCGGACAGACTTGGAGAGGTGCATCCAGCTGCATGGCAGGAGGCCCAAGAGGCCCGACCGCATCATTGGTGCCATTTTTGGAGCGAGCAAACCGCTGATGTATATGTGCAAATGTGTCCGGCAAATCTGTGATGATACACGCTGGAGAAGAACAAACCGAGCTCACGATAGTCGCCGCGGTTAAGATTTCAGGAACCACCTTGGCTTCGTCAAATGAGGCTGTATTGAGCTTCGGAAGCGTCTTGTTGGTCGAATTATTCATCTTCTTCTTCGTATTATTGTCTGCCGGGGGCGTGGCAAGGCTCTTACGGATAGTCGCTTTCGTCGGAGACATGTATGAGCTTGGCTTTTTGCGACCGGATGACGAATCCTTGGGCGAAGATGCCCCGAGAGGCACGTCCAACTTGCCAGGACTGCGACTAGGACTTTGGGTCTTGTTTATAGTTGCTGAAGTGGTGGAAGATTTGGGTGACAGCTCCGCCGGTTCTAATGGAAACTCTCCTGGTCCGGCGGTACCCTGCATCCAAGTTGCTGGCAGAGAGGCACGTTTGGCAGGCTGCCGCAACGTGCCTCTGCTGGATTTGGTGGGCGAACCGGTGTCGATAGCACGATGATCGTGGGAGTCGCAGCCCTTGTGTGCTGTACCCATGGCTTTGCGAGCGAATGCTACAGTCGATTGAGCAAAGCGGGGTGACTGACGTGTCGTGGACGTTACTTTACTCTCTACCGATGTTGGTGACGTTCCGTTCAGCTTGAGATCTGATCGAGGTGATTGTGTATGAGAAGTCTCGCTCGTATCAAGGACCGAATCAGTCCTAAAGCTCAGCGGCGAGTTGACCCCAAGCTGTGAGGACGTGGTGAGTGGCATTATGTTTTGGAAGCTGTACGTGCTGGTAGACGACGTACGGTCGGCGGAGCTGTGATTATTTGTCGGCAAACTCCCTGCACGAAAGGCTTGAGAAATGGCATCCATCATACCGGTCGTTGCCATATTTGCATACGAAGGCCTATCGGCATTGGTGGCGCTCTTTAACGCAGGTCGACTCTGAATAGTGGGCGCCAATTGAGGAAAGTCCAGAGGAGTACAGGGCGCGGAAGACGTGTTCTCTGTATCCCGGGCTTGCCGATTTGCTTCTTGTTCTTGCTGCTCATGAGCCTTTAGCAATCGCATAGCTGCCGACTCTGCCTTGTCCGCTCTACCTGTAGAGGTATTCTGGATTTTCATTTCAAATCGTTCTTTGAGACCATGGAATTCAGCCATCATTTCTGTCATCGCTCGTAAAGTCCCATGCCGTGCCATTCTAGCATGGGCAGACAAGTGGTCCACGTCACTCGGGCGCTGACTATGACTTTGTAAGTCCTCCTCTTCTTGATGCATGACCGGAGCCTGATGATTACGAACGAGCTTCGAGGTATGTCAGAACGCTGTCAAGTTGATCAACAAGCCATTGACTTACATCGCCGGCAATATCAAAGATTTGATGATGCTTGGTGCGTGATAAATCCTTGTTACGAGAGACGGTGTTGAAACCCTTGTTATGCCGCGCGCCAATCGAATTGGAGTCGGAGGCAGCTGTCGCCGCCATACTCTGAGCTGTGTTGATTGTCGATGCCGGACAAGATGCGACAGAAGAATATAGAGGGCGGACAGGTCGTTTTGACGATACTGACGATGATGCTGCTGATCTCTGCTGCGAATGTGGTAGTAATGGAGGACATGAAGCTATGTCTGTAAATGCCGTGTCATTGACAGGTGAAGGTCTTGACTTGGTCGAAGGTGTTACCGGAGTAGAACTTAGTAAAGGGTGAGCAGGTTGCGGGTGTTGCGTTGTGGTCGTTGCTGTTCCTGTCTCCACTGTGAGCTTTGGGCGTAAAGGAGGCGTGGCCGACTTGTTCTGAGCGCGCAACTTCTTCTTTGCTCGTTTTGTGGGCATCGAAGGTTTGGCAAGTACGACGGCTTCCTTGCCATGAGCCTCGTCATTTTCTGGAAGTGGCAGCGCACCAGGGCAATAGGCGCAGAGAACAAGCTCGTGGTGTTGACAACCTCCGAAATACGTGTAGTAATATTGGCACATCGTCGCGATCCCATTCATCGACAAGAATGATGAGCTCTCAGCGCATTAGCAGTAGGCGCTGAAGGGATATACAGGGCCGTAAATTGCGGTCTGCATCGTTGAATGGTGACCTGTCTTGTGTTCTATCGTTGTGATGCTGCAGCACGTCGCTCTTGATCTTGCATAACAAATTGAATAAAGCAGTCACGACTTTCGAAGCGGGCACAGTGGAGTAGGCTATGTCGCGAGACGAAGCTGGCGCGCGAGCCGAACTTGGCAGTGTACAATGAATGTGTTGCAGAAGCTGAAACATGCATTGTGAAACGAGCAGTGAGGAACAGCGCGTGAAAGCGCGGCGAGCTACCACCCATTAAAAGGACCACGACGCTTAGCATTCCAATAGCACATTTTACTTCGATGTCTACCTTAAAACTTGCGTATCTTCTTCTTGACAGCACCTGCGGCTTTTTGCCTTGCGCCCTCACCCTCGCCAATTTCTCTTTTCAATTCTTGACGCTTTCGATCCGCACGTTCCCGTGACGTTTCGTCTCTTGCGCGTGAACTTGGAACTTCTGATATTTGCCGACCGCGCATGGTTTCTTCATCATGGTTTTCAAGTTTGACGCTACTTGCCGTTGAAGGCGGCGGATCTACATTATGTGTTGGTTTGGGCGTGCTCTGCTGAACATCTAGCGGGGCAGAATGCTTTGCTCTGCCGCCTATAGTGCCAAGTCTGGCCTTCTTCGGGGGTGGTGACGTTAGCTGTGAAGTAGGCTGTGTCGCAGGTACTTCATTGCTCGGCCCTGGAACTTCCTCGACGGCTTTCTTTCGTCCGCCTATGGCTCCAAGCCGCTTCGGTTTGACGACAGGGTCCGATTCCACGTTTGGTGAGGCGATGTCTGACCTGCCATCAGTCTGATTTGGGACTGTAAGTGCTAAAGTACGTGACCGACCACCAACCGCGCCGAGCTTCTTGACGGGTGGCCGCGAAGATTGCTCACTTGATTCGGGGTTCCGCGAGGGCACTGGATTGTTACGGACGATTCCAGGCAACCCTTCATCATTTGTGCTCTCGTCCAGAGCGTTCGGTTGTTGCAAATTCCCTCGCTGCAAGTGTGGCCTTTCATGCGAAACAGGCGCCGACGACGCGCTGATGCTCTTCACAGTTTGTTCCCTTGTTTGTGAAACAGCAGTGGCCAATCCTTCCTGGCCGAGGTTACTATTCCCAATGTGTTGCCACCATTTGCTCGTATCTTGTGTACTTTGTGATGTATTCATGTCTGGCAAATTTTGCAAAACCTCTGCCTTTCGTGCTGAACTATCAACAGCTGATTCTTGCAACGCTTTCGGCCATCTTTCCGACCATGACGCGATGTCAAATGTTCCGAGACCAGGTACATGCGGACCAAGCTGCAGTCGTTGGCTCTTATTCCTATTCAATCTGAGCCCAGCCTTCGCTGGGAAAACTGCTGTCAAAGAATCCCCCGATGCTTCCAAACGATCGCAGATTCGCTCGAGGACATGATCTTTGGCTGCAAGTTCCGTCATTAGCAGATCGACTTGGGCGCGTACCTCGCTGGCATATAGCAGCAGAGGATCCAACAAATAGGTAGAGATCGCAGAGGGCGGTAATAGCTTTAAGTAAACGACCCATGTAAGATCGGGGAGTGGTGGAACCAGAGGTGCCGACATACGAAGACCAAACTCTTCGCCATCTTCATCAGCAGAAAAGCCCAGCTTGGCATCTTTTTTCTGATCTTGGGAGTCCGACAATGACTTTCTAATCAGATCAAACAAGGCTTCGCGATTCTCTGGGTCGCTTGGTTCGATCGCGCAGCGAATTTCGCGTGCGCGGGATTCGATCTTGTCATTTGAGAGAGCTTCACGCCACACTCGGCAACCATCAGAAAGTAGAATCTCGTAACCATTCTCAAATGTTGTCTTGACGAGGAGACGCGGGAGCTGAGAGGTTGCCTCTTCTCGTGCTTGTTTCAGACTGAAGAAGGACCACTCAGCGCGTCGTGGTGACGACATGATGCCCTTGAGCCGTCCGCCGGCAACAGACTTGAGTGGCTTATGGCAAGAAGACGATCCTGAAAAGCAATCGAGTGTAACCTTGATACTTTTTCAAGGTGATTTCTGTGAATGATTCGGGCTGAAAGAGGAATCGCACACAATATCATCCAGCGTGGGGCGTTCAATGTTCAGGTCATCTTTCCGCAGTTTTAGTCCATCTAACAAGCGCACCGGTCTATTAATCACAGCGAATTCCGTCTCGAACTTGAAGGGAGGAACTTGATGCATGCCCAGGTGCTGTTCGGCGCATGCGGCCTAATTGGGTCAACAAGAAGTCGCGATCGCGTTCGCTGACTCAGCGCCTGCCTGCCGCCCGGACCAAGTGTTGCCTTCAGACTGATCAACTGTTGGTATTCATGTCTTTCGTATTGTTCGAAAATATCCATGGAAGTTGTCAAAACCGGCGACTGATGGCAGAGACAAATGTCCATGACGCAAATCTTCCTCATCGCGTATCATAACAAAATGTGAAGTCTTGCTAATCCCGCCTACATGGAGGCGCCCCAATTTGCGCGAATCGTGATCCGTCTCCAAAACACTCGCTGCCACTGAATTCCACGGAATGCTTTCCTATGAGGCCACTCTCGCCAGCACGGGGCAGTTGCCTCGCCAGAACAGCGTGTTCGAACGCTTCGTCTGGCATCTTCATCCATCTACCTCAAGCCCGAACGTGTCAAACCAGATCCCTTGCCAGGCGTCGCATACATACCTCCGGAGGAATACACTTCGGCTTCAACCGACCATCTGGAGCCATACTTTCGGCAGAAGGCCGAAGATCCCGTCTGGCATCCTGTCAACCAAGAATCTGCCACCGAACTACCTGTCTCGTCCATCACGGTCACAGTCGATGACCTTGATATCTGGCTCAGTGAATGGTGCGAAGTGCACGACGAAGACTGCGGCGATCCAGGTCGCATAGTAGAGCCCGTCGACGATGATGACAGTAGCGCAGACGAATGGGAGGATGGGCAGACTTTCAGGGTCTTGCGATGTTGCGGCTTTGATCGGCCGCCTGAGCATGAGCCGCTGGTGGTGCGCGCGGGAGCTTCGCTTTCCTCTAGCAATGGTGCAGTAGGCGCAGCAGGTGATAATCAAGGCAATGAGTCTTATCTTACGGTGCATGACTATGTCTTCGCTGTTTATGAATGGCTCATGAACCATCGGGGCGATGTTCTTCTCGCGAAATAGGTCCGCGGAGTCAAGCCTCTGCCATCGGATACAAGGTTGGTATTAGAGAGTCCATTTGGCACAAGCCTCATGGCGACGGCCTATGCGACGTGGGGCGCGCCGTTGAAGTTGCCAGAGGAGCACCTCAACCACAACGGCATGATGGAACTGAACGGCGCGGTGAACAGTAATGAGCAGATCTTGCAAAGGTAGACAAGCCAGGGTCTTGAAGTTCCCGTTGCGCAGCGTCGCGACAGCATCAACGTTGTGCAGCACTCACGTCGAGTGCCACAGTAAGACGAGAGTCGTTGGCGAGCATCATTGAAAAGCTACATACATTGTTATCGTGACGCTGGCATGAACAGAAAACAGAACATTGTTACACAAACAAAATTTGCATTGCGGATCAACAAGCTGGAAAGCGAGCAGCGTAAATTTGTCAACCCCATCAGAAGTCGTACTCACGCACTCTTTGTCGTCACTGCTATCTGAAAACACCACGTCAAGCTTCGATTTCTTCATATCTCATTCATATCGTGCTCGTGGCCATCGTCGTCCTCTCTATCGTCCCATGCGGATGACTCCCGCAGCGACAAGCTTCTGTACCTTGCCGCGGATGTCTGGGTTCCGCATGTGCTCCTGTAACGCGGCTGGGTCGCCCTTAGCTTGCTGCAAGATGCTTTGCATGACAGGGTCTTGCAGAATCGCCATGATATCTGGGTCGCGTTGAATGCGCTCTTGTGCCTGCTCGTCCGTCTCGCCCTCACGTGCTGAGTACTGCGCCTCGAGCGCTTTTTGGCTCTGTGTCTCAATCTCGCGAGCATTTTTGCCGTCAACATCTTGAGCCGAGGCGGCGGTACAGACGTCGAGACATTTGTTATACTCCTTCATGGCAAACAGAGCTTGCGCTTTGCGCAGGTAGGCACGGATGAACGTGGGGTCTCGCTTGATCGCTTCGTCACAGTCGGTGACGGCGGATGGGAAGGTCAGCAATTTGATCAAACAGGCGGCTCGGTTGCTGTATCCACGAGCGTCGTCAGGCTGACGCTTGATCATCTCGGTGTAAGCCTCAACGGCGCCCGGCCAGTCGCTGTCTTTGAATTTTTGGTTGCCGAGTTCGCGTGCCTCTTCCGCTTTTGCCGGGTCGAGGTAGGCATTGCGCTCTGCAACGATTTTCGCCTTCTCTGCCGCACGAAGCTTGGCGAGAACATTCTTGTCGCGATCCTCGGTCAGACTGCGTTGGTAATAGTCGATCGCGTTGCCCAAATCCCCCTTCTTCTCGTATGAACTTCCGATCCGGCCAAATGCTTTCGCGATGAGTTTGAAGTCGGCTAGGACTTCACGACCGTGATCAACTGCTTTCTGACAAGCCTCAATGGCACTGTCATACTCACCCTTCTCAAAATATGCTGCGCCGAGGTTGGTCAGGTAGGTAATGTCCTTGTGGATCTCCCAAGCCTTGGTGTAATGTTCTATGGCCTGGTCGAACTGCTTCTTCTTGTAGAACTCAGTGCCCTGCACCTTCTCTTTGTCTGCTTCTGTCTTGGCCTTCTTCGCCGCAGCCGCTTCCTCATCCTCTGGTTCTGCTTCGGGCTCAGGCTCAGGCGCCTTCTTCGGCTCCTCGTGCTTGGGCGCGGGTGGCGCTTCGCTCATTTGTACGTCTTCCTCTTGCTCTTCCTGGAACTTCCTGGCTGCTGCGTCCGCGTCATCAGTGGGATTGAATGACATGTCGACTCCCAACAAGACACTCATGACCTGCAGGAAACGTGGGTCCGAGAACATTTCTTGCGTCATGCCGCCACCAGGGTTGTTCTTCATGCTCTGCAGTTTCGCCATGAAAGCTGGGTCGCTTAGGAATTTGCTGGTCTTTGGGTTGTTTGCAATTTTCTGAATGAGTTGAGGGTCGTTGAACATGTTGCCAAGGCCGCCAGTTGCATCAGCGCCGTCTTCTCGAGCTTCCGCCTCAATGGCTCTCTGTACTGAGGCAAGACCGGACTTGGCTTGGGCGTTGTTGCTATCCAGCTTCAAGGCCTCCTCAAATGCATCGACAGCGCCGACCAAGTCGCCAGTGCCGTGCAGAGCGGCGCCTTTGCGGCCCCATCCTTTGGACCAGTCAGGCTTGATCTCGGTCGTTTTTGTGGCATCCTCCAAAGCCTTTTCCCATTGCTTTAGCGAAGCATATGCACCAGAACGATTCGAGTAGAGGACGTGATTTGTGGGGTCTGCTTCAATGGCTTCTCCAAATTTGGTACTGTTATGCCTGATCAGTCACGAGCATTGCGATGACATTGGAAGATGCAAGTCTTGCCACCTACGCTGCACCTTCGAAATCTTTGGCTGCGAACAGCTTATTTCCCTCGGCCTTGAGAGCGTCGGCCATGTTGGTGATTCTTCTCGTGTCAAAGTCAAGGTTCAATTTTGGTTGCGCTGATGCAGAGTTGAAATGCGACGACCAAAATTATAGATTGAGTATCGGTGGGTTATTATGGTAACGAGATTGGCAAACAATTAATTTGTTTCTTTCACAAGTTTGTGTCGGTCGAAGCTCATGGAATCTGCAGAGAAACATCCAAGCTTACCCTTCCGCTACGGTGCGGTGACACGTGCCTGTCCCGCCCAAAAGATGATGTAGCCACCGCCCCGCTCGCGCGCCCTGGTCTGCTCTTCAGGGCCAAAATTCGGGCGATCCATTACCCATCGCACGTGCACGAGCAGCCTGGCAAGATTCATCGTCGTCGCACATCATTGTGTACACTGTACATTGCGAGTCATCCTTCCAGCTTATAATTGTCGGCCAAAATGAGTTCAAGGCGCCTCGTATGAATGTCGTGGCATGTTACATGTGGATCACTCCTCGCGGATACCGACACGCGAAGTTGAATTGCGGCAGATGACTGGATCGTTCGAAGGTCAACACATTCAGATGTTGCAGTTTCCATGACGTCTCATTTAACAGGCTCTCGGGGGCAAATGCCGCGATGACTGAACGTCGCTCGACACCTGCTCGCATCGCTTGCCTTGCATTTAGCCGTCTCGAGGATGAAAAATCAAGCGCAACCCTCGAGGACTCAAAGGGCCGGCGGGCGTCATGCGATCTGGCCATTGCGGATCCAATTGCCATCTAAACTTTCTGATCAATATGAAAAGCGTCACCTTGATCTGTAGTAGAGCGAACTTTTCACCTAGGCAGGCCCTCCTGCCTCCATGAAACGAGATGAACTCTGCTCGAGCTTTGCGGCGTCGATACTCCTTCTGAATAGCTTCCGTTGACATACCCCAGCGCTCCGGTCGGAAGTCATCCGCATCTGATCCCCAAGAGGTGGGATCCCTATTAGTTGCGTAGCAGTTGTAGCCTAGGTAGGTTCCCTCAGGAATAAAGATCTCCTGGTCATCGCCTAAGAAGAGATCCTTCGCAGCACGCCTATTGATCAGCTGGCCGATGGGAGGTAGCAGCCGAAGGCTCTCCAAGACAGTAGCTGAAAGGTGAGGTAGAGATTGCAGGGCATCTGCGCTTGGCGAGAGAGTGTCGACCGCCGCAAATTCTTCTTTCAGAATTTCTTGTTGTTGCTGCGGCATTACTTAGACTTCGTCATGTCATTGGAGTCCTTCGACAAGTACTTACTGGTGATTTGGCAAGAAGATACAATGTAGACACCAACGCCAACTCCGGATTCTCCTGTCCTGCCACGAATGTGATGGTCAAATTGTTTCGAAACTGGAGCTCGCTTATCTTGCCGCTCTCGAATGCATACAGCAGACTTCGGCTCAGGCTACCATTTTCAAGGTTCATGTCGAGTCCTCGACTTGAGTCTTTCGAGGGCATCGAAGGCCGACCGTAACATACTTCCTTCACACTTTTGACGATAAAGTCCGTGAAGGTCTTCGCAGCGCGTCGCGCTTCTTCTCGTTGTGGTATACCCAATGTGTCCAGGAACGGGAAGCTCATAAATATGGGCTTAAATATTTGGCGCTTAATTGAACTTTGGATGTTGCTGATTTCGGTGCTGTCACTGTGCATAGTCTGCAAGGGCAACATGGCTCAGTAGTGCTCAGCTCGCCGTTCAAGAATACGCATGGAGAATTACTTACACCGAAGTCAACCCCTAGTATGATCTCAGAGAGATTGGCGATAGTATAGCGTTGCATGTGTTCCCTGATCGAAACGGATTTCTGTGCTGCTTGCGCGGCCTCGAGATTCCGACCAAGCACATTCGCGTTTACAAACATCGTGTCGATTGTCCAGCGTTCTTGCAGCCCGGGCTGCATGATCACGCGAAATCGCTTCCAGATATTCCCATGACTGGATATGATATTCTCGCCGAGGTAGCTTGCAAGGACGCTTCCTGGGATCTTCTTATGATTTCCGCTTTTCTGGAAATCATCTTCCTCTTTGAATATTTGTGCGACTAGCGCCGGCCGTTGAACCAGCACATTCCATTGTGATGCGAAGAAAATCTTGACTGCGCCGTGTTTCAAAAGAGATTCTCGAATGTGCTGTTTGAAGATTACTTCTTGGTCTACGTCTTTCCACAATGCGAGGAGCGAAATCCAGAAGGGCACTGCAGGGATATTTCTGGGTTCCGCTGGCGGCTGGAGGAACACGACATAACCCAGGACGATTGTACTCAGCAACAGCGCGAACACAACACAAATGAGCTGCAACATCGTAGTGAGCACGAGGAGTGATATGTTTACACGCGATTTCACAATTTGCAAGAGACCAGCAAATGCATCTGGGATATATCTTGGCTTCTTCGCCCATGTGGGCCTCGACAAATGATCACAATGTCGGTGATGTGATAGCCCTAAATACCGGACACCCCACGAATGTTCGCCACGCTGCAGCACGCGATGCGAACGAAGGCCCGTGCTGAGCAAGTATTGTGAACAGCTTCCATGCTAGGTTGGCTCCTTTCAGGCATTCCTCCATCAACCACCTGCAGGAAGAGAGCTTTGCTCGGACCTCACGCATTCGAGCAGACCGCACAAACGTTTGCCCGTTCACGCACCTCTGCGGTCACCCTGAGGATCTGACACTTGCCTCGTTTCCGGTTTCAATGGCAGGGCCATGTTAATACGCATGCCAGACTTTCCCACCGATGATCCTGCTGTGCGCACACCTCGACGGACAGAAGCAGACCCACATCCCTCAAGCTCAAGTTCCTCCCTCCAACGATTGATGCTGAAGCAATTGATCAATCAATCGCAGGATGCCTGAGTCGATCCCATCACCATGAACATTTGTTGTGACTGATGACTTGCAACGATGCTCGTAATGATTCATGGCTGATGATCTGTCCGAACCAAATTTTAGGGTTCCAGTAGAATCATTTATTTAGGGTCTGGAGACACTGAATCGGTCATCGTCAAACTCATGCATTCGACGGACTCGATGGGCGGAACTTGTTCGTTAAAAATATGAGTTGAATTCCAATCACTTGTCCTCATTCATCCTGGCAGCTCATGTATGATGGTCGTTCTGGCCAGGCCGCCAGTATCGTCTTGGTTATGTGGTGACGTGCGCAAGTCTCCTACACCTAGCTCGGCCCTGGGAACGGACCGATGCCCCTGACTTGCTTCCAGCTCTCGTAGCTCGAGCTGCCCTCCTGGCAATTCGGATGTTCGCACCGTCTCCAATTCTTGAGGGTTGCCCTGGCCATCTGGCAGCTCTGAAATCAATGCCGACGGAATTGGTTTGAAGCAAGATTGCTCAAATTGTGAGTCAACTAACGATTCAGTTGCATTTTCGTCCAAGCTGATGTCGGTCTCACGATGAGCCAATTCGATTCGTCTCTTGCGCCTTCGGGCCAAGAATATGCCTGCTGCGGTGGTTGCCAGTAAGCTAAGAATTCCAACAACGATACCAACAATGCCGCCCGTCGTAAAGCTGCTGCTGTTACTGCTGCTAGCCAACTGTGGCAGTATAGATACTATAGATCGTGCGGACCCATGATTGACCTGACCGATGGTGAAGTTGCCCCGTTCATAGTCAACCACAAGATATGCCTCCTGGAGAAATGCCCTTCCAAGTGTGAGTTGGCTGTCGTTCGGCGCCTTACGGATAGGAAAATACCGAATAGGTGAAGTGCTGTTATAGAAGGGTATCCCCAGCTGGGCAACAAATGCTGAGTAGGGGAAGTTGATCGAGGTGGTTGAAGCTGATGTTCCATCCTTGGATATTGTGAAGGTAAGTTGTGGTTTTAACTGCATTAATTTTGCGTGTGTCGCATCATCGATGGCATACAAGGATGTGTCGTTCAGATATGTCAAATTGAACGCCGTCGCAAGCTTGTCGCAAATTACTGAAGGAAGCCAGATCTGCGATGCGGTCGAGTCGATAGCCATGCTTAGATTTTGAGTTTGGTTCGGGAAGGCTATCGTTCCCTGAATGGTACCCGTCACCTGCAAACCTCGGACGTACACACGTAGCTCAGTGCCCTGGTTTTGGGCCGCAGCTGTAGGCACTATGATTCGAGTTTCTGACAAACGCGAGTCATCATAGCCCCCAATGATGATGTTTGCAGCTTCCTGTCCTACAGTTCTCGTCAGCTATCATCCGCGATCAAGCTCATTGGGACTCACGATACCAAGCGCCGACGAAAATTCCGTACGACAAGCTTGAAATGAGGTTGTTCTGCTTGAGATATTGGACCATGCTCGGCGAGTCCGTTGTCAACACATCGAAATGTGTCGGATTGTTACCGAGGCCGAGTGAGCCAATCCAGAAGTCCCAGGAAGTAATCCCGCCGATCAGTTGACTCGGCATGACGATTGGTGTCTGCGAGGCTAGACGCATTGAGTCCTGTCCATACATCAGGTTCGTATATGAACCGAATAGGTTCTGGCCTGTCAGAAGACTGTAAAGCCCGACTGACCGCCAAGTCGTCGAGTCAGCGGTTGTAAACCCGGGAGACTGCGTTCCGTTGGCATTGCCTGCGCCACGAGCTTGTGCGCAACTGAAGCCTGTGAAAGACAAGTTCGTACACCCTTCTGGTGTCGGAAACCAGCTTACACTGGCAGTAGTCGATGGCAAGACATAGAACGACTGCGCCGGATTTCCGACGGAGATGTTAAAAGTGGACCAATTACCGTCGTTTCCAAGCCATGTTGATGCATCGAGGACAATGGGAGAAGGGAAAGACATATCCTCGGAGGACTGCGTTCTACCCGTATTCTCCGCACGATGACTTGATATGTCCTGTTCAAGTTCGAACACCAGACTGTCTTTGAAGCGGGAAGAAAAAAACTCCTCGTATGTATTCTTGCTGCATATCAAACGTAATTGCACGCGCGCAAACACAAAGAAAATTGCGAGCGGTAGTACTCATTAGGAGAATGGTGCATCAAGATGGAAATAGTCGGTAGAGCACATGGAGAGCGAGAAAAGATGACGATCAGGCAGCACAATCTCCAATCCACTAAAGAAAGGATGCGACTGCTGAAAGGCTCTCTCGGTATCTCGCAGAGCGTCATTTGCGGTTCTGCGCTGTGCGCACGGCTGCTACGTGCGTGCGTGGGATGCAGGGATCGTTCATCGTTCTCTATTTTCAGCTGCTCGTTGATATCATTCGAGCTGGAACTCATCGCCCTTCGCTACCCGAAACTTGGAGGAATGTCACCTTCAGAAGAGTCTGGCCATTTGGCGGCGCTGATGACACAGCCCCAGAGGTGCTCTGATCATCCACAGTGGGGATTTTTCAAGGTTGGATTGGACCGTTGAAATTTGGGGCTCCTGCTCAGGCGATGCTCGCAGGCGCCACAGCCGAAGGACCCGCAAACATGGTGCAGTTCTTAGCCCTTGATGTTATTGCGCAGATGTCATAAAAAAATGGCTTTGCCGATCCGGCGGGCGCACTCCTTCGCGGACCGCTCAGGAAAGAAGGATTTGTTTCGGGCGCAATACGATTGAACGCGACACTTCCTTCATCAAAGCTAAGGTCAAACGCCCGTGCGAGCATCGTACTGTTCAGTGCGGCCTCTTTGGGAGTAATCAAACCACACATGCCTCTGGGGCTGTCACTTCTCTGCAGGGCCATTGTCCACCGATTAAATAAAATACTCTTATGATCAGACAAAATATAATGCAAACAGTTGTTCACTTCACTTTCACTTCGCCATGATTAGGTCTACCGACCCGACAGTGCTCGTCCCGTCGACACAGTCGGCGGTCTTGAGCACGCAACCTACCACCACACAAGCACAGACTGTTGCTGCTATAACCCAATGCTCCACGCTCGTTTCTCCCTCTTGCGTTCCCTGCTTTATCGACGCTGCGACCAAAGTGTATTCCTTTCCGACATCACTCGTACTGATTACGTCTACCGTCTGGCTTCAGACGTTCGTATATACTTCTGATGGCATTCTAACGACCTCGATATCGACCTCGACGAAATCGGAGACGCTTGTGAAAACTACTGGTACTGTTTCAAGCACGAATACTGAGCCAACGAGCAAGCATGCCACCTACTCGAAGCCCATCACATGGACTACCGACGACTATACTCTGTAAGTCATCGAATGTCATGCTTGCATATGCATCTAGACTGACTGGTTATCTCAGGACATATCCCAACACATACATTCAGTATCATGCTTTTAGCGGCGTTGGCGCACCTTCACCCACTCAGGCAAGTGGAGCAAGTCGCACAACAGCATGCGCATCACACCAGGCCATCCGCTCGCTCACTCTGCCGGTCACAACGGACCGCTCGGCGCTTTTGTACACCGTCAATGGCGCGATATCTCAGCCCCTGCCCACAACTATCCCACCGAATATCATCACTTATCTCGACAGCCTAGCGACCGTTGGATCACAATTGGGAAACCGATCGTTCGGTTCGTGTTTGCCCATCACAAGCATCCGAAAAATCACTTCTTGTCCCACGAGTACGATCGCAACAATCACTCCCACCACATCTGCAACCTCAACATCCAGTCGTCCTGTCACGCAGATATCAGATGATCCAAGTGCGACCGATTCCGTAGCGCCTACGACAGCGTATTCCACGGCTCCAGCCATAACACCGATTACTGCTGCAACGATGTTTACAACCGGGACGATTATCAGCAGGGCTCCTCCTGGATGGCCCTCTCCCGGCTCCACTAGACAAGACACAACGTCTATCGCCGGATATTATTACATCGATGGCGAGACTCTGCGACCTGGGGAGGCAATCACAAGGGCAGGGCCTGTCATATCTCTAGCGTCTAATGGTGCCACATATTACGTGAATGGTAGACCTTTCACTGTAGTTTCTGGAAGTGAAATCAGGCTTGGCACGAGTACAATTACCGCTACAACGATGCATCAGACAACAACGACGACTCAGACCACAGCTCACGATATGGGAGATCTAATCTTGAGTGGCCTAGGCAGTCAGCAGGGTCCGGACACATCTGTCACACCAGGATCAGTCAAGGGGGACGGCAGTGACGGTAGACAAGTTGGAGCGCTTGGGTCGTTTGCTGCAGTTCTCGGAGCTGCAATCCTCATACTTTGAATTCGCGGCGTAGATTTCTCGCAATGAACCGCAATACTCCTTCTTGAAAGCGTCGTTTCATTATGCGAGTGGAGCGATTCCCATCATCATTGGCAAACTTGAAAGAAAGGGCGTCGACTCTTGGTGATGAGCCTGACTCTATCGTAAGGTTGACTCGGCTCCGAAGTCCCGTGAAAACCTAGTCAAAGCTGCACTAAGCGATCGCGAAGGACAATTTGTTTTGTTCAAACTCATATTGATCTGAGACCAAGAACAATTGCTGGATGAGATGTAGTGCTAAAGTATCGTGTTTGGTTTTTTGGTTGAGTCCGATACCGCGATCCCGAAACGCGGCCCGGGCGCTTAAAAGGTGACGGACCGAATGCCGAGAGGGATTATGATTGGCGAAAACGGCACAGGTCGCAACGCTACATCCCTTTGTAGGCTTGTTGGTCCCAGAATAGCTCCCGAGCTTCGCCCTGTTCATTACTACCGTCCCGTCTTCACCATGAGGCGCAGTTCTTCCGATGACACAAAATGTATGCGCATTTCCGGATCTCAATTGTCCACGTCAACTGTGATCTACATCTTTCATGTACCAGCGATAGTCACCGCATTTTAATGATGTGAAAGGCTTATTCACTTGCACTTGAGCGGCAATCAGCTGTTCTATCACGATGAGTCCGCACAATCTTTATGGTCACTTCGCGACGACTGTGACTCTTTTCAACCACCAATCAATCACAATCCCGATCTTTCCAGAATTCTCAGAAGCAGCAAATCCCACATTCACAACGCATCAGTCAGTCTGCCCAACATGCGTCCCAGTCACAGTCAAGCCTGGAGCAACCGATGCCACTGTCGTGCTCGCAACAACACTCGATTCATATGCGACGACTCTCCTTGCGCAGGGCGACTCCTGGCAACATTGGAAACTGAATGTATCACCGACTCCAACTACCATCTTCAACACGCACACGGCGCCACTGAGTAACCAACCGCAGCGTGCTGCCACAACGAGCGCTGTCTTGTTAATCTGCGTTGACACTTGTGCTCCTACTACAGCTCTTGTAGCAGCGCCAACCATTCTTACAACTACAGTGCCGACGATCAAGCCACAAGCAACGACGAATCTCATGGGAGACTACATTCTTCACGGCATAGGAGCTGGATGGGGCCGGAGTGAGGATACTTCATGACAATATGATGGCGAAAAATGTAATATCGAATAGGCTGGCGTTCTTGATTGTTTTATCACGTCTCTGGGCATGTATTGCCAATTATACAAAACGAATCACGGGTTCGGGCTACGACCGTGGTGCACGTTACTTTTCGGGCGACGCTTATCGTCATGAAACGCAGAGGGAAAGAAGCAAATGCAAGAAATCGCGATTTCAATTGGAATAATGCAAGATTTATCCAATAGTGCGACATTCCCAGCAACCTCCACCGGTGCACGTTCTCCTTCACCGTCTTAGTGACCGCCCTGCCTCCTTGCATAAGTCGTGTTCAGAATTGTGGCCATGAGCGAGAATACTGTCGAATCGCTTATCAAGCTCATGAGACGCGCGCAATTCCCAATATCCAGATTAAGTTTCAGGTCTATCACATTAGACCGCTGTAGGCCAACGATTTCATATGCTTCATCATATGGTTCCTGATCTCTTCTTGCAATTTGTTTGCGGAAATGTGCTCTTGCATGATATTTGGCTGAAAACCACAGAAGAGACAACAGGCTACCTCATATGGAACTCGTTGACGAAGAAAGTGGATAGCGGCGGGCAAATCGTCAACAAATTTGACTCTTTCTTCACTGCTCCCCCTGAAATGCTCCATCAGATGCTGCTTGTAATCGCCCGGGTCCGTGAATGCCTCAAGATGTGGACATTCACCGCACGCCCAAAGGTTCTGTGCGTGTTCAGCTTTGAAATGTTCCACCAAAATTTCGGATGTCTCATAAGTCTGATTTGGTTTCGAGCAATGCTCATAGATGCAGAAATATTCACAAAGTTTCGTTTCATCGATCCATTTTGGTAGTACGGGCTCTGTGGCTCTGAAATCAGCAAAATGTGGCGATCGCTGATATAGGATACGGCGCCATCGATCCAGCATCGTCGTTCGAAGCCGCTCTATCAAATAATCTGGAGTGTGGTATTTCACGGCATTCGGGATTTGTAAAGCACTCTGATCCGATGCGGCTAGCACCAGCACTTGTTTCTGCGCAGAGCGTGAGACTCGGTTGAATGCTCGTTGTAGGACGGTGTCGATACGCCTTCGATGTTTATCTTCCAACGGCTTGCCATCATCACCCAGTGGGTTGAAATTTGCCACATTTGCAGCCAATCGCTCTGCAACTTGGGTTGACATCTGCATACGATATCTATTCAATCGAAGACCATTCTCCGACAGCGCACGCCTCGATTTGTTCATATCGTCCCGTTCGTTGTCCGTGTCCAAAGATTCTGGATGTTTTCTGAGCTCATCATGAGATTGCGATAACACTGCGTCGTGAAAGGACTCCAGGCTGGCCTCGTGGGATTGAAGTAACTGAGCAATTTCGTTCGCGACCGATGAATTCCATCTACAGACCTCTTTCGCGATGCCTTGTAGGTTGTCTTAGCCCATTCCCATGTGAATTCTCCAGTCATCGAACCCCCCAGATTGGAGATAAATCCAACTGGACAATCTCGAGTCTTCGGGTATAGTCTTGCATAGGAATTTGAACTTCGCTCGACACGAATTGGTGAGCGGATTGATTTTGTCCGAAGCCATAATTCTGCGAATTGATGACACAGAGTGCAAATCGAGCGCGACAAGATCTTGACCGGTACTTGCTTCCTATCACTGGACTTGAGTGGGAAAAGGATGCCAAAACTTCATGAATAGCGGGTATTATCTCATAAAGTTTCCGAATGGAATGCGGACATATATATGTTCGCTGAACACGGAGTATTTGCATTCCATGTCGTACAAAGTTGCCAGGCTTCTACTTTCGTTATGACTGCAATCCTCATGCTGAATGCACTTATGGTTCGCATGAACGCTGGCGCTTAAAAGCTCATCTCTGACGCCGACGCGTATTTGTTCTTTACCTACCTGGGTACTGTTGAGACGTGTCTCAGCGTACTAAAGTTTTCCGAGAATGTACTTGAGCAGATAGGGCTGAGTTGATGGTACTTTTAAGGTTAGTCGACTAACGACTGCGATGATATGACAAATCAAAGCTTTGTGCGCACGATGAATGATCCCTAGGCTTTGCCACTCGCGCGCTGGCGCGTACTTTTGAAATCCCAAGAATGCATAGACTAGTTCCGAGTAGTAACCAGGTGATCATCCTACTGTTGGGCCATTCATTGTATATGTGTCCATAGATTCAAATTTGGAGGGGGCATTTGAAGGGGGATGAACGTTCGAGTCATTTGAGAGGTCAGAACGCCATTCCGATCATCATCGATCGGGACATCGACCGCACTCAATTTTGTGTATCGCTCGACGCGTGACTCGATATGACTGCCGTGAAGGAGTCGATGCTCTGCTGAGAAGATGTTGAGCTCCACAGTTCTTCTCACCTGCAATCCAGTGGGCTTGGGATCATAGCTTCGAGAAGCGAAACGGGGTCAACAACGCGCGGATGCTCGAATTTCTCCGGCGCTTCTTGTTAGTCGCTGATGCACGCGCCAATCACAGAAATGGCTATTTGATTCGACAGCTTTCATTCGTCACCCAAGGCGATCCAGTTTGCTCGGCGGTTGTTTCCATTGTATCGTCAATCGAAAGACTCACACTTGAGTCTACAAGACCAGTAGCCAGCCACATTTCATTTTTGTAAAGTGATCTCTGAGCAAAACCTTGTTTCGCGAACGTGATCTTCATGTGTAATTTGATTCGCTCACCCCCCGATGAACCAGACTGGATCGAATGTCGGAGAACTGGATCGCCGACAAGTCTAACCCTCCTCTTTGATCGGGAGGGGCGTATTCAAGTGCAAGATCTTTGCCTTTCATGATCACATTTCTCGCAACGACAACGTCGGCTTAAATCTGGCCTGTCATCTATTCTTTACTAACTTCCTCAGCTCTCGGAATGTCCCAAGGCATTGAGGCAAGCGCCAAACCATGCATGTGCTGCTTTGCCATGTGGTTCATCACGGCTTCATTTGACCCCCCCTGGTCATTCTCTGGTTCGAAGCCGCAGAAGAGACAGCGAGGGATCTTTTCCAAGATGAGCTGACGAGTAAATTCAATCAGCGCCTCTGTGACCCTCTCGAGATCAGCATGCTGTGATTTGAATGCGTTGTGATCAGCATGTTGCTCTTTGAAATGCCGTGAGAACTCGTCTGGGTCCTCGAATTGATTCGGCACTTCTTGTGGGCACGCGTTACACGTCCAGCAATACCGTGCATGGGCTCTTCTGCAATGTCTCAGCCACGCCTCGATGGTTTGATAGGTTACTTGTGGCTCTGGGCAATCTACGTGGATGCAAAAATACGGTGACATATCTTGCATCACATGCGCATGCCATTCAAGGCGCTGAAGAAGTCTGGCAGGTTTGAGTGATCCGCAAATCGTGCACGAGAAGGACTCCGTGCCAGGATTTACCCTAGGCAACACTGGATAGCACAGAGTCCCATCTCGTACTGAATTTAAGACGGCTTTCTGCGAATTTCCAGATTCCTTCGGCAGAACGTCATCTGCAATGAGCTCAGGAGCGCTCGTTTCAGGATCTCGAATTGAGATCTTTGGGTTCTTTCCATATGAATCATTACTCATCATTCTGTCGTCGTTGGGATGTATTTGTGGGTCGACTAAAGATGGAGTATTGCCAGTCGCTGAGGAATTCATAGCCCTGGCTAAGCCATTAGAATGGTGACGCTGATACGAAATACGCCGCCATCTATCCAGCATTGTCCTCCCAACCCGCTCTCGTAGATACTCAGGAATACGATAGTGCTCAATCTCGCGGTCTGGGTCGTTGGGTTCACGTGACTGCGCGGACGCCGGCAGCCCAGTCTTCCCAAAATTCTGAGCAGGTCCAAATGCCCAATGGAGTGTGGCGGCAATGAACCTCTGAAATTTGTTTTCAAGCGGTGCTCCATCCGTCCCAAGGGGTTGAAATTCCGCTACCTTTTTCAAATCTTGCTCTATTTCTTGGAGGCGTATCTTATTTGCGACAAACGTCAGGCGGCGCAGACCGCCTTCGATACGATCCTTCTGACGAGTAATCATACGATCGTCATCGCTCGGTATTGACTCTGCACTAACGTCACTAAACTCTCCGTCGCTCTCTTGCGCCGCGGCCGCCGGTAGCTCTGTCCCCAAAACCGTGCTTTGTAGCAACTCGAGGTTATACTCGAGAGCATCGAGGAACTGGGCAATCGTGTTGGCATCGGAAGTATTGTTGGACAATCTGTGAGCGATGGACAATTCGCTCTCCGCAAAGACCCCCAGAGTGTTAGTCCAAATCCGAAGACGTGAGGCTTGCGCTTCGAGCCAGCCCTCGAGGTGGGTGGGCTCCGAAACCTGGGTGAGCGTGTCAGTGAATATCTTTTGACACGACTTCGCTAGTCTAATGATGTTGTCGGAGGCCATGACGACAAGGTGTTGTCAACAGATTCAAAACTCTGATTTTACCATGTTGTCGCTGCGAATTCCTGGCTATCTGTGCTTTCATGCGGATTTTTCTCAACGCCGGCGCTTGTGCAACATGAAACTTGGAGAGATCCCTTTTGACAAACGCCAGTGACCGGCAGGGATGCTTGTACCTGCAGCCAAGCTGCGCTACAGGGAGGGACCCGAGATACAATGCATTGTGAACATTGTGTTGCGGGTTACATTACAACCCATGTAGAAATGTACTCGGGCGGTTCTCAGCTTCTCGGCGAAGACAAGCAATGCTGAAAAGGGGGTTGTTTAAACATGTAGGCGGTCATATGAGCCTGGTGATCTGTTTGATGTATCAGCCATCGGAGACTTTCGCCCGCGCTGGGCTGTGAGCCGCCAAATGCGCCATATGCGGGCACGCGCGCGAAATGCCTGATGATCTGAACATGTGCAGCGAGATACTTGTCGGCCTTCGTGGCGAGCACAGCAAGGATTGCTCGCATGGGCCCAGAGCTGAATGTACAAATCACGTGATGTCTCCGGCCGCTCCCTCAACGGCTGGACCGTCTAGCGCAGACGTGATCGTGGCGTCCTTTGCGCGAGTCCCTAGCTCACTTCAATTTGCCCTTCCCAGCGCCAATCACAGATTGAACATCTAATTCGCTGCGCTCTATAATGAGGAACTGCGGCGGCGGCGAGACAGACCGATGCTATGGAGCTCAGGAGGTGGAGTGCAAATAGCATGGACCCGTGGAGGTCAGCCCGGCCCTCAGGTTCAGTTCGATCGTCGCACGACGCCATGCCCGATCACGAGTGCACCAAGGTCCACGAGAACGTGACAACCGCGCCGACATTGACTCGGCTCGCTCATATGCAACGTGACCGATCCAGCGACCAAATGTCGCATATCCGTCCCGTACTTGTTGATTATACTGCTGCCAGCGTGCGAGACTGCTTCCCTTGAATGCTTCTGATATGCAATCTCGATCCCAACGACAGCCCACCGGCAGATCTGCTTGATAGGCGAGCGTTTTTAAAGAGAGGCGACGAAACACTTTCGCAAAGGAATCGTAAGGAGGGCAACTCGGTGAATACCTCCAACCAGGATGGGTGAGCATGGCATCGAGCATGCTTCCGGTGCCCATTCAGTTTCCCGTCAATCTTCGTTTTATGATCGTTTCCTGGCAAGCTACGCACTCGACGCGGACGGCTCGTTGATTCTTCGCAGCGGACCACAAGCAACAAGCCTAAAACGATGCTGGTCAACCTTGATAAGGCATATCGTCTTCCCTCCGTCAAATCCCGATAGCTCTGCACGAACGCACAGCATTCTCCCTTCCACATGTGGCCTTGGGGAGTCTCATGCCGTAGAATACTTCGAGAAGCAACTTCTAGCAAATGACATTGTCGGCATTGTCGTCCGCAAAGCTGAATGTCTACCCTTTGACGATGTCTACACAAATCTTGCTCTCGACTCGATCCAATCGGGTCAAAATGCCGATGTGCTTGAGGACCATACCTCTCACCAACATCGTATTCAAGTATCCCAAAGCATCGCCGAACTTTTCGATCAGACCTTACGACATGTCACCAAAGATGATGAGTGGGACTTCTCCGGCCGGGACTACTTTGTCGAACGGATCCTGCATTTCGTCTCTCAAAATCTTCCCATTGAACTTTGTTTGCCCGCATTTCCCTGCAAGTCATCGAATTTGGACAAAGTCAGCGGCGTACTACCGGATCGAGGCGAACGAATAGCTCTAGAGACATTGCACACTTTCATATGCTCTGTGCAGAAAATCTATGATCCCGGGGCGGTACTCTGGATCATCAGTGATGGCCATGTGTTCAGCGATTGCAGTGAGTATCAGCTTGATCGATAAAATAGGCGCGGCTGACGCGTAGACAAGTCGGCGTCGATGATGCTGTTGTTGATCGATACAATGAAGCTCTACAAACGATGAACAACTCTCTTGCCTTGGACTTCGGCACACGGGACCGTGTGCTGTTCCGCTCACTGGTCGAGCTCCTGCGGCTTGACGATACCAATCATTTACAGTCGAAGACCGATTTACAATTTGATTACAAGTCTCATTTCTTCGCAACGCAAATCGACCGACAAGCCGAGCTTTCTCGTCAGATTCTACTCAGTAACTTCCGGCCAGATTCCTCGATTTTGCGGTCTCAAATCAACGCTTGCGATCCGAGTACGCTTTCGCTGTATCGTGGATTCTCCCGCTTCATGCTGGAAGATCTTGAAAATAATCGATACGCCCTGGGGATGAGCCGTAGCCAGCGAAAAAAGCTTTCGTCGAAAATTGCCATCGAGATGATAGAGGTACGTGATGCCGTCTCCACCGATATCATATAACATTGTCCGCTGATCATCAAAAGCGCAATCAAGCATACTCGAACCTGATCGAAACACTTCTGCCTTATCATGTCAGGCTATCGATACATGCGTAAGTCAGCTCCAGATTCAGCGAATTTGCTAATTTGTAGGCTGATGGAGCAATTCAGACACAATAACGCAGGCCCCAAATTCGGCATCGATCTCCTCGGCGCTGGAGTGCGCGCTGTCAGGTCACTGACGTCCTTTGGAGAGCCAGATACTTCGCAGGATCTGCTCCACATCCCAACACCTTGGCACGGCTGCATCGTCGAAGTGGAAGGTCACGCACAGCTTTACATGACCAAATCGCACGCCGCTGAGGCAGCAATCCATAGCCAAAAGTTTCGAGGCTCGTGGGACATGTCGACGGCCAACATGGGCGGCCTGTACCGATTCCAGGATATACAGTCAAATGACGAACCAACATCTCCTCTTAGCACGACAGAAAGCGCTCCAAGCAGTATCTTCACGGAAAATTTACAAGCCACGATTCAGATCGAAGAGTTCGCTGTAGAACCGGGCGAAACATATTCATCAACTACGGCCAGAAAGTCCGTGAAAACATACATATGAACTCTGACCTTAAGATTAAGGACGCTTTCTCGCAACGCGCTTTGATAAGACTTGAAGTTCATGGCAGCAGCAGGTCCATTGCGGAGGTATACAAATGTTAATTCTCGGAAGAATTTCGCTGTCCATACCATTGCCCTCACAGAGCAATGGCAAGGCCACCGATAAAGATGGGATGCCATCACAACAAGATCGGAAGGGACTCCTTGCCAGAAATGATCGATGTCCACATAACCTTGTTTCCAACGACTTGGCATTCCATGGCTTTCGTCTAACTGTGACCCACGGTTCATTCCAAAGGGTTGGGACTATGGACTTCAATCCCTAAATCGATGGCTCCATCATCGAAATGAGGGCGTAATGTATCCCGCCTGGGCACGTTCAATAGCTCCGAGCTAGGAAAGATATGTCTGCTATCGCAGGAGAAAGAAGACACGAAGGTTAGGCTCATAGCCCTCTCAGTGATAAACAGATAATAGTGATATACGCAGTATGATTTGTGCTTTGATTATTGTTCTGATGCCATATGAAAGGAAAGTCGGAGGTGGGTTAAGTGGGAGCGAGTGCCGAAATTCGGGCGCGATGACGTGTATGGATGGGCCGAAGCAAGTCGCATGGCTGAAGTCATCCTCGCGCAATCTTGTTGGCTGGAAGGAATCATGGGATTTGGTCATTGTGATAAGCACAGCGTCAGCACCATCCTGGCTCTAGTACGCTTCGGCGCAAATCGATTTCACCCATGCCTTGCTCATGACAACCCGCCTGCAAGCAATAGTTTCTGGCCTTGACATTTGGAGAATCCTTTGACCGGACTAGACCAGCATCAACGCATGATTCGGCCAGCGTCGCGCCGCAATCCCGTCGAGACACGACCGTCAAGCGGTGATTCGGAACTACACCAGCTGTGATCTTATTCGAGGGTGCATGAGGTCAGGACATCAAGATCGCTATCGTCTCTCAGAACTCACGTCGATATGGCGACCGAAGCCAGCCCGCAGGAGTTTAGTCCTCGCGCCGATCGCAGCAATGAAGACAGCGATCAAAACGCGAACGAGTCCGCTGAGCGCGAAGCGTTTGAGTACTGGGGATATCTGTTCAAACCTGACAAGACCGGTACCGACAAGCTAAAGTTACTTCTGCAAGGACTGAAGAATCTTATGAACGAGAAATATGAGCTCGCCGAGCATCCAGGCCAGCCCGAACCAGACCTCACACCGCACCAGCTCGCGCATTTCTATCGCGATCTCCACGGCAACTACGACCAACTATTCCTAGGAACGCCGCATGAGAGCATCGCTTTCATCTATAAAAGTCTCGGGTGTCTGCACTCGCTGCAACCTGCTCACCACACCCGCGCAACCGCATTCACCGACCCAACAGTACCAGCCCTGAAGACGGAAGGATGGATCATGTGGCAGACTATTCAGCTGCTGCTGGGACCAGAGGAGCACGCGGGATTCATACGAGAGGCAGTACAACAATGGGACATTCGCGACCCTACCACTGGTGACCTCTTTCCGAAGATCCTTCCCAGGCGTTGTTTTCCCGAAAGTCCTGATAAGCACATGGTGGCTTGGTATGAGGGCGTCAGCGAACGGCTACGTCGTGAGGCTGAAGAGGAGGAGCGTCAGAAGCGTATCGAAGTGACACATGATGATGCGCCGCGCTCTCGTCGCTCGCAGGCACACGAGAGAAAGTCGAGGCATGACGACGAGGATGATGGTGGCTCGGTCGACTCTCGCGCACCGGCAATCGCGTACTTTGGCAATCCGCTTTATCGTCATATAGATGGTCGGCCTAGTATTGTGCGGCCCAGCTCTCGGAAGCCCGGGCCAAGTCCTCGCCCATCGATAATAATGAAAGGAAAAGAGGCGGCATCGACAATCGGAGGGATCGCGAAAAACATCGGAAGTCCCCATCTATGGAACGGCGGACGTAGCAGGAGTGGAAGTGAGACACGCGAGCGCAGACGACGTAGCACTGCGGACAGGATCGGGTCGGGCAGTGGGCGCGGCGGTACAGCCGAGTCTGATGGAGACAGGCGAAGCTCCGCCTACGCTGCGGGTTCCGGTTTGCGACTGCATTCGCGACATGATTCCGCAGATGGGTCTCTACGACCTCGAAGCCGAGATCATACACCAGTCAAGAAAGAGTTTGACGATCACAACGTGCAGTCTCCGGAAGAAGACTACTTTACCGGATTTGATGATCCTGCGAGGAACGCGGCTACAAAAAGCTCGCAAAACGACGGTGAACTCGAACCTTCATCCGCACATGACGAAAGTTCCAGCAGCATGCCACCAGGTGTGGCTGCAGCGGCTGCAGCTGTAGCAGCAGGTGCTGGGTTGGCAGGCGCCTCATTGGCTTCTCCAACCGGCGAAGACATCTCTCCTAGCCACCAACCTCGACCTCCTACCATTGGCCCATCTTTCGAACCTTCCACCAGCCCTTTATTTGCCTCGCAAGTTGCTCGTCAGCCGCAGCCATTCCCGGCTGAGTTCCATCGTCAACAGCCGGGCCCTTCACCAGCCCATTCGCCGCCGAATGCACCCACGGCTCATGGCTCGCAGATGCCTATACGCGACTCCCACCACCGTCCAAGAGAGGACGAGTCCTATGATCGAAGATACCCTCGCGATGATCCTCGTGCGAACAACCGTGATAGCCGGTTGAGTGTCGGTCGCCGTGATCGTTACGACGATCGGCCCTCTTCCGCGGAACCATCAGGGAGTGGACCGCGCAAGTCTCCGACGTCGCACGAGCATCGTGGGCACCACTCGAGACGCCATGGATCACGCGACTACGACCGCGATGGAGAACGCGATCACGGCCGCCGTAGCAACAATCGCTTGAGCGTTGCAGATGCCAATCCGCCTCGGCCATCGTCCGCGCGTCCCAGCGGATCCGACTCACGACGTAGACACCACGACGCATATCCCGATGACCGACGTCGCAGCGGAGATTACGATCGCCGCGGTCCGCGAGGAGATGATTACCGATCAAACGAGCACCGAGATCGGTATGACGACCGCCGCGACGACGCCGACGAGGAAGACTACGACCGACGTGGCGGACGATCACCTAACTCGCAAGCTCCGCAGAAACAGACTCGATTCGCCGATGAGCCTGCTGCTGAGACGGGCGTAAGCGGTCGACGATATCCCGAACTTGATGACCGTGGCCGGGATTATGATAATGTCCGCGACCAAGCGGAAAAGCTATATGACACTGAAGATGAAGAGGACGAGCACCGACGGCCGCCTGCCCGGTCGAGTTCGCAGAGAAGGCGCAGAAAGAGTCGCTCGCGAAGCCGACGTGACGAGGATGATCGATGATGAGAAATTGCGGTGAGAAAGAATTAATGTACAGATGACAATGGACGACAGGTGTGGTTTAAACGACACGAGTTATGATCTATGATGCTATGCGGATACGGAATTTTAATGAGGACAATTCTTGGTTTTAAGTGCCCCGAATGCAATTGTTCTATCCTTCTCATGCAGCGATAGATCGCAGTCCCTGCAGTATATCAGCCTTCAGATCCTCCCAATTTTCCACTCCGATGCTCAATCGGAGAAGTTCTGGCTCGACTGTCTGGTCGCTCATCCGTCGCCACTCGATCAAAGACTCTACGCCACCGAGACTTGTTGCGTGGTGGAACAGGTGCAAGTTACTCGGCAGGTGCCGGGCCATCTCTTGTGAGTGGAGACTGATACTAAAGACAGGGCCGAAGCCATTCGGCATCTGCTGCTTGAGCCAGCCCATGTCTTCCTTCTGCAGACTAGCATGCTGGATGCTCTTGACCGACTGCTTGATAACCGCAGCTTCTTCCTCGGAGATCTTCGGGTCGCCTTCCTCAGGCTGCGTACCATTCAAGCCAGCATCCAACCAAGCCACGAGCTTATCAGCATTCTGACTCTGCCGAATAACTCTCAACTCCAAAGTCCTCAAACTCCTCACCCCGAGCCATCCCTCCAAACTCCCCATCACCGAACCAAGATGCAGCCTCTCCCCGAACATCGTCCAATAATCCTTCTGCCAGCTCTTCGATCCCTTGGGTCTTCCTTTGCTCTCCCGTCCGATCGCCACCACGCCACACAACATATCACTATGGCCACCGAAATACTTGGTCCCGGAATGCATGACGAAATCCGCTCCCCATTTAAACGGATCCTGCAACGGCGGCGGCGCAAACGTCGAATCCAGTGTAAGGACTGCCCCTCGCGCATGGGCCTTTTCCGCAAAAGCTGCAATGTTGAACGCCGTGCCGTGAGGATTTATGGGCGATTCCAGGTGTACGACGTCGCCTTCACCTAAACTCCATCCCTCACCTTCCCAGCTTTTCTCGTCGTGTAAATCGACGATTTTGCAATTCGTCAGTTTCTGGTAGATGGCCAGAACGCCATGGCAGCCATGGTAGCCGCCGCTGATGGCAACGACGCGGGGATGGAGGTAGACGAGAAGAGCGTGGAAGGCGGCGAGGCCGGATGAGTAAGTCAGGACGGGTTGGCCGATGATTTCAGTCAGGAGGAGCTCGAGACGGGATGTGTTGGGTGCGGTCAGACGGGAGTAGATGTGGGCGTCGCCGGCGACGGGTCCACCTGGCTCGCGGGAGGGAATGTCAAGATCATCGACGGGAACGAGCTTTTCCGGGTCGGAGGTGTAGCGGAATGTGGTGGAGACGTGGAGGGCGGGTGCGACGTCAGAAGAGGTGTTGATTGGGTCATCGGCGTGGACTCCGAGTGTTGACAAGGAATATGCCAGACTGGCGGCTGAAGGCTTGGGGGGTGAAGGGTCGGCGACGTTGGGATTGCTTGAAGAGGCCATCTTTTCGTTTAACTTAATTGGACATTCACAGAGTTCTGAACGGCTTCACTCTGTGTGATTTCGCAGATTGGGAATCAATGAAGATATATACGGTATTTACTGTTCTCTAGCTATGTCTCAAACAATGACTTCTCGCAATCGGACGGCATTGCCGTTGACGCAATGCTTATCGATAGGGCGCACATGTCATCGTTGAGACCCCGCCATGGCGCAACCCCTCGCCCTATCCGCCCACAACGAAACAGCACACAATTTTCCGGGTACACAGAATCATAAAGAAATTCAATATTATCCCAAACGCGCTTGTTTCGGAGCTTAGATGAGGCTGAGGCGACAACATTGAAATTAAGCCGCAGTGAAATCGTGCGGAAATGACGTGCCGTAAATGTACGCGAAGCCCGTTCGTTCGTGCGGACTGTTCGTTAGGGTTGTCGTGTCGAGGTTGGGGTTAGCATGGTTTTGTGCTGCACAAAAACACTCCTGCATTGTTTACTAGAAGCATTAGGCATATCTTTTCAGAGCCTTGATATTTCAACGAGAAGGTAAGAGTTACATGCCGCTTCGCGATCGATGGGGGAGTTAGGTTTTAACGTGGCAGATTGCTGTCCTCAGGGAGAGCAGAATATACCATGTCGTTTAGACAAGAAACTTTGCGCAAATTGTGTTGTTCCACGGCCGATCTCAAACATTCAGAATCATACAAGAGGTGTCATTCCATTTCGTGATACATCGACTCGCTCTAACCAACAATTGTCCCTCTCCTGTCCATCTTGACCGCATAGCGCACATACAACTCATTGACGAAATATTCATGTTTGATGCCAGGCGCTTTCTTCTGCGCAAACTCCGCCACGGCATCATCTAGCTTGTAACCCAATCTCTCCACGAGATAACTAACGATGAAGAACCCCGTCCTGTTGAAACCATAATGGCAGTGCACACCGATCGTCGGTCGCCTTGATCCATCCTCTGATGGCTGCATGCAGGGCGCTTGGCGAAGGCCATCGACCAGGGAGAGAAATTGCTCGACTTCGGCCGCTGTGGGTGGAAGTTTCGAGACGGTGGGAAATTTGTGATACTCTACTCCGGCGCGTTCGAGACCTGTTTTATCATACACGGGTGACTCGTGGCTGATGTCGAGGACCATGGCCACACCGTCGGGCAAGACAGAGGCGCCGAATTTCTCGACGAATCGCGCAGGACAGTGCTCGGGGTCGACCTCTCGCATCGTCTTCATTGCGCGGAAGACCCCCGCGATGGGATCGGAGCATGGTATGATGGATTGCCACTTCGCGAGATTTTTGACATCCCATTTGCCGCTTGTGGTGAGGAACTGTAGTTGCCAGCCGGGCGAGAGGCGAGGGTCGAGATGTTTACCTGCGAAATTCTCGATCAGGCCGGAAAGGATGCGAACGTCAGCAGCGTCGTAGAGGAGACCGTGAGAGGCTGGAGCTGGAAAGATAGTCGTTTTCAGCGTGAAAGAATGCTTGGTGGATGTATTCTCATTCTGCATATCTGTGCTGTTGGCCAAAGAAGGTTGGTCCAGATGAAACTCGGCAAGCTGTTCATGGGCGATTTGGACATCTCCAGCTACTGCAAGCGGCTGCACGGAGCCGTTCTGCGGCTGTTCATCATCGGGGGCAATATCTTCATCCCCCGCTGCTTGTTTTGGACGAGTACTCGAGCCTTGGCTGTCCGTCAACCATTCCGCAATTTGTTCAACGTTCTTGGGTGGTGCTAGCTTGTCACTTTCGGCTGCTACCAGATACAAGGGCACCTTGATTCCCGACCATACGCGCTCGCTCAAGAGACTTTTCTCACCGCTTGCGGCGGTCCTCGTCTCCATCAAATGCATACCAAGACAGAACTTCTGGAAGACTGGTGTCTTCGATTGAAGATTGTACTGCAATTGTAATCTTTTCGTCATCAGGTCGGCGTCTTTGCCGACAACTCTAGCAACGCTAACACTGTCAAGTCCGCCGCGCCTGTCAATCATTCGCATCATGTCGAACAGCCACGATGGTATGCGGTTTAATCTATGAATGGAGGATAGATCGTGAGGCGATAGTGGTGATGATCGGGGACATATCGCGATCATACCCAGTATATGCTCAGAGCAGAGATGTGCCAGGGGTGATGATGACGATGCTAAGAGGGCTGATATTGAGCATCCCATCGAGTGGCCAATGAGCACCACCTTTTGGTCGACATCCTTGTTGCGGAATCGATCGATTGCTACATACAACAGCTCTGCGAATGATTTTGTTGTGTACGCATCCAGAGTGTTTGGCTTGAAAGCTGAAAGACCGCAGCCGGGCAGATCGATGGCCAGACATGGCGCTGTGTTCACAAGGGTCGTCAGAAGCGGCGCGAATTGAGCGATCGATCCGCCGAGACCATGCATGAACACCAGCAGGGGCAGATTCGCCGGCAGCTTTTTCGCGTGAGGGTGCTCATTGTAGAAGGTACGTATTCGTGGATAGACATGACCGGAAGGTGTTGTATAGGACTCATATCTGCTGCTCTTTTTCAGCAGTCCTGGATCAGTCGACACAGCTGAAACTGGGCATCAGTAACAACATCATTCCGCGCTTCATACGATTCGTACCATCGTCAAGTCTTGCTTTTGATAGTTTGAACTTCGTCAACCATATGTACGACACATCTGCAATTAGGAGTCCGACTATGACGCTAAACAGCGTCCATCGACTTGATTCGGTGCGCAACCAGGCTTGCATTTGGCTCGTGAAACTCGTCGCGATTTTGCTCGTCATTTTGAAATTAAAGGCTTGACGAGACAACAGAGAATTTTACATGTTTCCAGTGCTGGGAATATCAAGAACCAGAGGCGAACGAGATTTGCTCGAGCGATGCTCACCGAGTTATGTATATGAGTTTGCGATTAAAAGACATGCATACGTCAAGGTCGAAGTTGAACCAATCGGAAAAGGGTTTCCGCTAGCGCAGCTGTTCTACAATCGCATTGACTGCCAAATCATGATAATTACCATAGACGAACGGATTCGAGAAAGATCACTTTGATAGATCAAGTGTAGCACATAAACGATCATTCCAGTCCGTGAAACGACGAGCGGGTTGAGAGCACGTCGAAATTCGCTTGTCATTATGCAGCTACTTTGCAATGTCTTTGAAATGCGCCACTGCAACATAGTCCTCAGACTTGGCTATTCAGCCCAACACCCAATCAAACGTTTCGCTTGCGATGTACATGTTCAGCCACTCGGCGTTGACAGGTCCGGCAGATTTCGTGCAGCTTCAATCGAGTGGGCGTCTCAAGCCACATCGTTCTTCCTCCAGAGGCGATTCATCGGACGAGGACAGTGATTGAATTTGAATTGATAGTCGTTGAAAATCCGCACGTCGTGGCAGATGGAAACCGAGCTACGTAGCTACAACGCCTGCTCCATGGTATGCATAAAGACCCATTCCCAAAAACGCTTCAAATTCCTCACATGACGACACCAGAGTTGGAGGCGATACGCTGTAGAGATACGATTAGCAACAGTCGATAGCGAACCGGATCTGAAAGGTGCGACAAACCGGCCAAAGCTCCGCAGCCTCCTTTCCGACGGGACCAGTGATGGCTGAGCCCTTCATCTCACCCTTGGGGTTGACGATCTGCAAATTCACCCATATTAGCCTGTGACCATTCCCTACGCAACCCAAGCGCTACCAACGAGGCTTCAAACAACGATCCAACATACCACACCAGCGTTGTCCTCGAAGTAAAGGAAGATACCGTCGCCTCTCCTCCATGGCTTGCTCTGTCGCACGATGACCGCGGGCATGACCTTCTTTCGGAGCTCCGGCTTTCCCTTCTTGACAGTGGCCATGACCATGTCGCCGACACCACCAGCCGGGAGACGGTTGAGTCGCGCACCGATACCCTTGACGGAGATGATGTAAAGGTTACGGGCACCGGAGTTGTCGCAGCAGTTCATGACGGCGCCACTGTGAGGAAATGCAATCAGTTCTCTGTCTTTTTCCCACACATTTCCCCTCCCAAATCCGATCAATGCATCCTGTATCCAACTCTTTCCAGTCCGTGGACCTTTCCAGCTATGCGCCGATATGTCGCGATTGGGCGAAAAATGGGAGTGTGGAATTTGACATACACAGGCAGACCGAGAGTCATCTTGAGCTTCTGACCGGAGATGTTTGTCGACATTTTGGCGGTATTGTTGGTGGTATGTGTTGATGCTCAACGGGGATCACGACCTCGAAATCTTCAAATCTGCTGCCAATATCTGAAGCGCCGGCAGTAGTGACGGCGAATTCGTCGTGTGTGGCGCGCGAGTCATGACACAGCCTTGGCGTCTTTGAGTCACGTGATCGAAATCAGAGGACCCTCGAATTTACATGCTTGATGTCTCTCGATGGACTTCAGCAAGTTCTCAGGGCTTGACTCGAACGTCACGTCGATAATATTACTTGATGTCTCGGAATTCCTCTCATCACATTGTTCTATTGTGATGGACTTGCTCCCTTCTAGAGACCGGCAGTCGCTACATGAGAAACGCGTCAATGCCACCCGCATCGGATTAGGCCCGCCGCCTGGGGGTTCTCTCGTCATGACACTTCCGATGCGGCCAAGGTGCACTTTGACCTTCCGCCGCTAGACAAGCTTCTCATGTTTTGTATCCCGTTTGTGCTCTAGACCAACCTGATTTGATCGCGCACCGTCAAGGACCGGTGAGTATGGTGCATGGGTGACCGGTCAAGGGATCCTGCTGTTCGGCCCCCACATGGCTTAGGTAGTCTGCCTCACGATGAATACGTCATTTATCATAGCGTTGAGGATTCGTGCAACACAGGCGGAGTCGTCTCGTGTTGCTCACGGCAAATACAGGACAAATGCAACCCGGTGATTGCCCGGCCGCTTTGGCTCTTATCTGAGCACATAGAACAGTTCAGTCCACAATCATGATCATCAAGCCGTCTAAAGTATCGCTTCCAAAGTCCATACCCACTGACCACGAAGAAGAAGACCACGAAGGAAGCCGCCAGTAAACAAGATTGAAGATGGCTCAATCATCACAAGTACCGCTCTGGATCAATGGCGAGACGGTACTCACTGCGGAAACATTCGACGTAACAGCACCAGACAACGGTGACAAGCTCTGGTCATCATCAACAGCCAACGTGGATGATGCCAACCGAGCAGTGAACGCCGCACATGCAGCATTCCCTGCCTGGCGAAGGACGAAACCTGGTGTCATTCAAGGTATTTTCATACGCGCTGCCGACCTTCTGGAAAGCCAAGCGGATGAACTCGTCGCAATATGGAGACAGGAGACAGGCGCACTTGAAGGTGTCGCTCGTTGGCTTATCCAAAACGCGATTTCCAACATCCGTGACGTCTCGGGCCGAGCGGCTAATATTCATGGATCGATTGTACAAGTTCAGAGCGACGACCAAGTTGGCCATCTGATGAAACAGCCCTACGGTGTGGTAGTCGGCATTGCTACATGGAATGCGGCGTTCATCCTGGGCACGCGAGCATTCACTTTCCCACTGGTTGCAGGCAACACAGTGGTGTTGAAGGGCAGCGAGTTTTGCCCTCGCACGTTCGAAGCGCTGGTACGGATATTCGACGATGCTGGGCTTCCTAAAGGGGTGCTGAACTTTATCACAACACAATCTAAAGATGCTGCGGCTGTCACCAATGCTCTGATCGAGCACCCGGCCGTCCGGAAGATCAATTTCACCGGTAGTACGGCAGTGGGCCGCATCATTGCTAGCAAGGCCGGGCAAGAGCTTAAGCCGGTCGTTCTAGAATTGGGCGGGAAAGCATCCGCGATCATCTGTGAAGATGCTGACCTTGAACTTGCGGTTTCGCAGTGCGTCCCCGGGACTTTCATGCATGCGGGCCAGACTTGCATGTCGACTGAACGGATATTGGTTCATGAGACATTATACGACGTCTTTCTCAGCAAGTTCAAATCGGGCATTACGAATCTGTTTCCGGAGGACGGGCCGGCTCCTCTAATGACATCGGCAAGCACAGCTGAGAAGAACCGCTCCCTCGTGGAGGATGCTCTCAGAAAAGGCGCCGAGACTCACACGATCGGTGACTCATTCCCGGTGTCATTGAGCGGAGCTTCAAATGCCGGGGAGGATGCTTCAACAAATGGGGCCTCAAAGGCTGAAAACAACCATCACCAATTACGACCTACCATCATCACCAAGGTCACTTCCGACATGAACGTCTACCACGAAGAGTCGTTCGGGCCGACAGTTAGTGTCCTAGCGGTGAAATCCGACGACGAGGCTCTCTCTATAGCCAACGATACTCCCTATGGACTGTCAAGTGCCATATTTACCAAAGACCTCGCGCGTGGGCTACGAATGGCTCGAGAGCTTGACTCCGGAGCCGTTCATATCAATAGCATGAGCGTCCACGACGAGCATGCACTGCCGCATGGCGGGTTCAAGGCCAGCGGTTGGGGACGCTTCAACGGGCAGCAAGGCGTAGATGAATTTTTGCAAACGAAAGTCGTGACGTACATGCAATAGGGTAAACTTGTACCATGTCGAATACCATCGATGGGGGCTTATTGAGCAAAGGAATGCCCACTGTTGTTATGAAAGCAGCGTGTGTCGTCATGAGCAGACATCGAAGATCGCTCTCGTCAAATGTCATCCAACACCCCGTTCAAGGTCTCCCACCACAGCCCCCTTGCTCAAAGCCCTCCCCTCTTCGCTCTCTCCTCCCTCGCACGCAACCTCCTCAACTCCGCCGCCGAGATCCACCCATTCCCCCACGGCACCCAGAGTCTCGCTACAATACATCCCGGACAAGGATGAATCCGGGGCAGATTCTCCTCCGTGGCATGCTCCTTCACGATGCCGCAGCCGTCGCAGTGTCGCCAGGCTTTGACGTAAGGCTCTTCGGCCTCGCGATGGCCGCAGAGGAAGGTGTTGATCTGGGTGATGCGGATGCACATTTCTGTGCTTTTGGTTGACTTGGAGACCTTGTTCCTGCTATGCTTGCGACCTTGGCTTGGCGCTGAATTCTGCCGCCCTCTCGCTTGTTTCGATTCTCTGACGATGATCGAAATGATCCTGTCCCGGAGTTCCGAGAGCTGCGTCTAGATCCTGCGAATGTGTCGACCAGATTGATCGATCACTGTGGGGATGACGTCGGACTCGGTGTGATGGGGTTTAACTCTGGCAGTAGTCGCAATCAAGAGTACCTCTCGTTCCCGCGATTCGTTCTGTGCGGGTTGTGATTTCCTCGACGAATTCCCCGAAAGATTGATCGTGCTGACCACGAGAGCCGTCCGAGGTCTGATCCGCCCGATGGCTCTGTACCGATCTGTTGGAACGATTGTATCCCACCGACCGAAATCCGTGATCCGCATCAATAACCCTCCATCCGAATCCCAAATCGAAGACAGCGACCCTGTAAGAGATGCAAGAAGTCGCCGGAACAGCAATTTCAACGATCGCAGAGAGGGGCAAGGAAGGGCGGTCGCTTCCTATGTATTCAAACAAAGAGGAATATCGAAGAAAACCAAAAAGCAACAACAACCAAAAGCAGTGCGACTCGAAAAAAAGGAAATCCCTGTGCGACACCACGGCGCAATGACCGACTTCGGAGAACACGAGGGAAATCGTAAGTTTCTGTCCTGGCCTCCGGAAGGAAAAGGTCGGGTTTTCTGGATCGGTCGTCAACTGTCACTTTGGATATGAGTGTCTGATCGAGAATAAAAATCGCCTTTTCACCAGACAGATCGAATCGTTGGCAATGAAGCAAGCGGTGGTGAGCAATTTAGGCGAAACCTGTCCACGTCACTCGAGTGAATGAGAGGGAGAGGGAGGGAAGTGAAATGAAACGAAGGCCAGGAGCAGGCGGGTCAATGCAGACGCTTTTCTTTGTCTCGTCACCTTGCGAGGCCGCATCTCGTCTGTGTAACGACGAGGGAAAAGAGGCTTTACCGTGGAATGGGTCGACGAATGCCCGACGTTGTGAGGTGGCATCGTGGTCCTCTCTCCTCTCGCCGTGTGCGTTCGTCGGGCGACGGCATCGAGTTGGGGTGTACGACATGGGGCGGAGACGCGGTACATTGGTTAGTGCAGACGCAGATGCAGATGCGGATGCGGACGCCGATCAGAGGAGGGCGTACATGAACATCGGATTTTTACCGCCTCTGGGGATGTACCGAAGGGAATGCAGCATGTGTACATGTGCATGTTTGCTGGAGGTGCGATGTACTGTACCTATATATGAAGAAGTAGCGCCAGCGCATTTGGACGGATGCAATCCTGCGCAGTGAACATAGCGGAAATAATAGGTTGAGTCATCACTTTATGGGGGTCATGCCAACACACCCAGCTGATTCGGGACGAACGAGTCCGCAATACGTCCTGAAGACAGACATCTCCAATTGATATGTCTGGTATTAACGTACTTGATCTGAAAAATCGCTGCATTCCGTTAATAGCACATCATTTCGGGAATATATGGGGATATATAAAGTTCTTGAAAGTGTCTTTTTTGTATTCATGAATTACATACGTAGCAGACCGAGTCTGACTGTGGAATATTTCAAGAAAGCCTCTTAGAGGCGTGGAGGGAATCGACCAAGTCGGTAGTGACGAAAAGAAAATCTTTGGGGTTGGAGCTGGGTACAGTGCTGGCGTGAAACATCTAGTGCTCTAGCAGACGCAAGCTACCTTGCACAACGACGTTCTCCAAGATAGAGCCTGGAGGAACATCGATTGTGGAGCCTTCCGTTGCGACAATGATGACGGTGCCCTTGAGGACGACACCACGACCAAGGTTGACAGCACCGGTGATGGTCAGGTGGTCGAGCTCGAGGATTTTGGGAATTGAAGGGATACGAGACTGGAAGTTGGAGACCTTCTTGAAGTCGTTGCCGAGCTTGATGAGCGGTGCTGGGCCGAATCGGTTGGGGTCCATGACGAGCTGACCGTGCTTCAGAGTGTAAAGATCTGACTTGACCAACATCAAATCGGAGCAGGTCTTGACTGGCAAGAAACGACGTCGTGGGACGTTGACACCGTGCGCGTTGTTGAAGTGACGGATGGCAGCACCGACGGCGGTCTCGAGCTGGATGATGCTCACATCAGCCTCACCCTTCTTGTCTGCGGGAATGCTCTTGCCGTTGGGGATGATCTCCATGCTGAGTTCGTTGTTCTCCACGACACGCTTCACCGCGCGAAGGTTCATCCAGATGTTGTTGGTGTTGAAGTACTTGAACTTCTTGATCGACTTGAACTCGTTGACGTATTGCTTAGGAACCTGAGCGATTTCGAGCAGGCGGGCCTGACCCTCGTAGTCGATGATGGTACCACCCTTGACGTCAGCCTTGGTCTTATCGGTCAACTCCATGATGTACTCGGCACGGGTAGAGACCATGTGCTGTAGAATATTCAAGTCGACCACGGCACCGAGGTTGTCGGCGTTGGACAAGAAAACGATCTCGACACCGCGGTCGAGAAGCTTGTCCAAGATGCCGGAGTTGTAAAGCGACTCGAAGACGTCACCGTGTCCAGGTGGATACCAGTCAGAGATTTGAGAGCTGGCGTTCTTGGGCGCAGGAAGAAGGGAATCCTTGAGAACACGAGGGTACTTGGACTGGTTGAAGGTGAGGATGTCGATGTTGTGGCCCTCGTACTTCTTGATGATCGATGCAGTATCCGAATCGGTGTTGAAAGAGTTCATGAGCACGAACGGCACGTTGACGCTGTAGGTGCGGTTCAAGTACTCAATCTGTCGCACTGACAGGTCAAGGAATGACATGCCGTCACGGACTTCGATGACGGACTTGGGACCAACACAACCCATAGAGGTTCCGAGACCACCGTTCAATTTGAGAACGGCCAACTTGTTGAGGAACTCCACCGACTCGGAGTTGCCGAGACTGTTGTAGTCAACGACCTGCTCAGGCTTCGGCGGAGCGATGCGGCTCCACTCGATCTCGTTGCCCTTCGCCTTGTCGTTGAGGTAGCGACGGAAGAGCGCAAAGAAGTTATCCATTTCCGTCTCGAATCGCTATTTGTCCAATGTTACTATGTATTCTCATTCTCGCGATATCATGATCGTCCTTTACCTTCTTCTCCCGTGGGTCTGTCACGCTATCGGCGAGGTTGTTGAGCGCATTTCGCATTTGCGAGGCGGCGACTGAGGTTGAGGTGTTCTCGAATGCCTGTTGTGTTGATTAGCTCGTAAGTTACGATGAGACGAAAGCGTGGAATGAGGCAAAGTGAAGGGTGTACGAATCATGGCCGAGATGGACACGCGCTCAGTCCTCATCCAGAGGCAGTCATGAAAATCATGCCTCTAGCGAAGGCAATGCATGAGGAACATAGCAGCGGGAGCTTGAGGAGCAGCAACGAGACATGAGACGTGCTGGATTTGGAAGCGGAATAGAAGCTCCAGAAGTATGCGTGATCTCGTGGATCTGATTATGGCATCGCCCTTGAAACAAGACAATGGGCGGGATATGAGACTGTAACGTACCACGTGTGATTGTGACTTTCCATGGTGCCGGGCAGTCTCTCCTTCAGGCTTGAGGTGAGTCGGGAGGGCCTCCTTGATCTTTGCGGTGACCTTGTCCATAATTGCGGTGATGTTTCAGTGGTCTGTGGTGAAGATGCTTGTCAGATCAGATATCACTGGGAACCTCGACTCGATCATGATAGAGCTCGCTTCTCTGGGCCCAGGAGGATCTCACGTACATAGGTTTGGATCAGTGTCAGGTTTTCTCACCGATGGAGAGTGTGATGAGGAAGATGAGAAAGAATAAGATGCAACCTTGGAAAATAAGAGAAATGTACTCCTCTGAAAGGGCGGTCGCGACTGGGGAGGTAATGGAGATGCCACAAAATATTTAGCGTCACTGCGTGCTGTGTTCGAGGGGCAATCGAACGGCAACGGTCTGTGTACTGCAGTGGTGGCCATTTTATGCTTTTGGTCCTTCCACTCATTACTTTTATCAACAACCGCCCAATGCGCCTTCTCCAATCCCAACAGCTACCTGCTACACCGAGCAAATCACCCATGAATTCCAAGGTTGCTGCTGATGAGGCAACCATGTGGTGGCGGTGGGCATCGGCCGATGGGCCAATTCCCAACGTGCATTATCGCCATACCCGATTCAACATTCCGGTCATGGCTCGCTCTTGCCCTTGCTGCTGCTAGACACGCACGCCTTTCGTGATCGCCCGACGAATGAACTCGTCAGGGTCTTCGTGGTACCAACGCGAGCTGTGGGCAGAGAGAGCTGCGGTGGCTGCCAGATGGAGCACAACCTCGGAACGGTGGTCATGGAATGGTCATCACAGTGATGATTGTATACCTCCAGATCTTGATGAAATGTGTACAATGCATGCAAGCGGTGCCCCTCTACGACATCGACAAGCACCAGGGCAACTCGGAGCTCTGGCCTCATCACAGACAACAAAATATTGGTGGGGCAAGCTGTTTGCCCCATGACGCACGGGCTCAGGGTTCCACCCACTACACCTTTTTCTCCGATCCTAGATCAATCACCTACCAAAGTTCAAGGTTCTTCTGATCCAAGAAGACACTGAGCCGTCTGGACTTCTCAGGTCTCCTCCATCAATGCTGCAGGTGCCATTTTATCGAAGACTACTGTATTCCCAGTCCGAATTTGGCACTGCGTTGGAAGTTCCCTCAATGGGATGAATGGGAACATTTGCCCGATAGTCGGTCCGCGCCATCGTCGTTACAGATTTCGCCCGTCAATAACCGTCATATTGACATCGTCTTTGTATGTACAACTCGAAGGGCGGGAGTTCAAACAGAAATACCAGGGTCTTCGCCTGTCAATGCCCGAGCAACGTCGGTCCACGTCCCCAAATCCTGCCTCGCAGTAAAATAATCCGATACAGGGATTGAGAATAAAACACACTTGAAGCACTTCCAATCCACATCCTTCTCCCGACGTCATCATGATGATCAAAGAGTAGGACAACATTTACCACATAGATGCACCGCCGATGCTGTGCAGCAAAGTCGTAAGAATTGTCATCAATCGTTCTCTGGTTCTCCAATGCGCTGCTCCATACGGACAGCAATGCCGTTTTGCACCGTGGCACGAGTGAGTCGTGAAACGCATCGAACCCAAAGTCTCTCGTCGCCGGCGCGTCCACATACAGTATGAAGAGACAACCCATCCCACCCCACCCACGTGCAGCCTTGACAGGTCGGAGGATGCGAACGCCATGAACTTCGCGGCCGTCCCAAATCTCCCCGGACCGTGGTCGAGGCAACACGCACAGCGGCTATTCTCTCAACCCATTCATTCATCATCAGTCAACGATCCCTGTTGTGTCGGTCGTCGTCGTCGTCGTGCTGGAGCCGCAGTCGTTCCGCTGGCCGTCACACCTCAACTTCAATGATTCTGGGACTGCAGTTCTCGCGACGCGTGTTCTCCCGGGGGAAAAGTTCTGGAGATTTGCGACTCGGATGGCGCGGTCTATCGTGGATGGCAGGCTGGTACACTTCAACGCGCACTGTCGTGAGCCTTTTTCCGAGATCGAGTCGAAGCAGAACACAATTCTACTCGTCATGCTTGCGGCCCTGACATGCCCAAGACAATGCTCTACAACGTGCGTTTTCGAGCTCACTCCTCGCCGAGTTGTTATTGAACATGGTCTCTCTCGTGGATGATTAGCGCCTGTAGAAGTGCAGCCTGCTTGATGACAGAAATAAACAAAATTGTACTACGGGTGATCGTTATGTCAAGAAGTCGCGCTTTCCTGCGCTGCAAGTTTCGACTGATATCTCATGGACCACGTTTCGATCGCTGAGAATTGCTCGCCATTCTTTTTGTCTATTCCGTTTCTCCTCCAACATCGCTAGACTATCGAAGCACGAACTCGTCATTGCATCACTCGACTGGCACTCCCACAGCCATCCACGCACAACCAAATGAGAACTCTTCGCAATTTGAGCCTCCAATCGTGTTCCCAGCCGAAAGCCTCGTCGGCGCCGAGCATCGATTCCCGATGCGTCGTCCCGAGGCTTGCTGACTTGAGATTCGGTGTGACAACACGCCCTGTCGTGAGAGGAAAACATGCCAAAAGTTTCCGTTTACTTTCCTCAACCAAGCAGATCATCCAATCCGTTGCTTCCGGTCGAAGGCTTTGCAGGTGCTGCCGGGGAAGCCGCCGCTGCGGGCGCGCCGTAAAGTCCAGCCTGTGTTTTCTGCTTAGCCATGTCGGCGATGGTCAGACCCTTGTTGCCCGTGGTCGCGGACTTCTTGGATGAGCCAGACAGCAAGCTGGCGAAGGCATCGCCGCCTGCACCGCCAGTCCGGGCGGCGGGCTTGTTGGTCCCGGAGGAGAGTCCGCCGAATGGGGTGCTGGTGCCTGAAGCGGTGGCGCTGCCCGCGGTAGGGACGGGCACAGAGGTGAAGTAGTTGGGTCCAGCAGGCTGGTAGCCGCTTGGCTTGGGTTGCTGCTGTTGTTGCTGTGCAGCCGCCGGTGTTGCGAAACCCGAGCTGGCCGGAGTAGGGGCTGCGTAAAAGTTGGAGTAGTTAGGACCAGATGAAGCTGCCGGCGGTGGTGAGAGGACGCCCGAGGATGACGCAGACAGAGCCGGGGTAGATAGTGAGCTGTAGTTTGGCTTCGGCAGTGGTGCAGGCGCTGCGTTTGAAGCTGGCGCAGCCGATTGGAAATCATCAAAGTCGTCATCATCATGCTGAGCTGGTGCGGGCGCTGGCGGAGCGCTTAAAGCCGACGAAGCAGCCGGCGCAGAAGTAAATGTCGCAGGCTCATCGTCACCAAATTCAAACAGATCCACCTCAGGCGCTTTCGGCTTCGCTGGTTCGGCCTTCTTGGCGGCTGATGCTGTTGCTGTAGGTTTCTTGCCTGCACTTGCATCCGCTTTCCGTCGGCCAGGCGCAGCATGAGCGCCGCCATCATCATACTCGTCATACTCATCAAAACGCTCGCTGCCTCCTGTCCGGCCTCCCTCGTTGTATTCATCGTGGGCCTCGCCGCCGAAACCGCCACCGTCACCATAGACACCACGAGTCTGTCCGCCGTATCCACTTCCGAATGACGGTGTGCCGCCACTGCCGCCCTCGAATCCACCATATCGACTGCTGCTGGCTCCGAGACCGGCGCCTGCGCCACCTTCAACACCGCTGTATTTGTTTCGCGTAGTTCGAGCCTTTTTCCTCTCCGCGCGAATCTTCTCGACATCGCTCAGAAGATCGGTGAGCTCCTTGCTTCGGTTGCGGACATTGAGTCCCTGATCCTTGCCGTTCTGGTCGATGTAGTGAAATTGTCGAAGCATCTTGAGAAGCGAGAGGTGCGAGCGCGCATCGTCAATAACTCTTTCCGATCCATTTTTGACGAGGAATTCCATGAGTTGAAGCGCCTTGTAGATCTGCCGCCATTCCTCTGCTGACTTTTCGGTAAATCGCTTGTAAATCATGGGCATGATCTCGTTCAGGAGCTGACTGGACGCAGACTTAGTTTGCGATCACGATTCCACAATCACAGAGGTATAACGTACTAGTTGAAGGTGCCGCTCGCAATTTCTTGCATCAAAGTAGACGACGCACCCCAAGGTTCATTGTTTGTGGCTTCACGGACTTTCGCCTCCATTTCCGTGTAGTTCATGACGGCTGTGACACGGGTTTAGTACAACGCACGACAAAGCCATATTTCGCCAGCGTCCATTGCGCATCCTACCATTTTGCACTTTGCGAATACTCGCTTTGACATCGTAGAGACTCAGGTTGCTGACCTGATCTCGAAGGTTGTTCCAATCCATTTTGACGGCGATTTCGCGAGTAACTCAGTTCATGTGATTGTGTGAGTGGCCTGCCGACCAGACTGTGACGTCCAGAGAACGTTGCGAAGATTAAACACTGCTTCGTCGAGAATGGATGCGGCACAGAGGTCCTCGGTTGCGATGTTGTTCTTCGTGCGGTGCCGCACAGGGACAGACAACTGGACAAACAATATCCAATCGGGGTTGCGAGATGCGCGCGCGGGTACAGCCGCAGACCCTTGATTCGTGCCTGACGAGCGAAACGCGCCAGCGATTCCGTGAAGCAGACTCCAGAATGTGGTTCGTTCTTCTTCTTCTACAACGTTAGAATACATCTTCACCGCACTTTCATCAATCTCGGTGAGCTCCTATCAAGGTCCAGGTCTACGACTTGAACTTGTACATCAACTGCATTGGTGAGTATCTTTGCTCCGGTGTGAGATGTGGCCTCTGCAGCATCATACCACTCCTGAAGCTTTAATTCCGGGCATTGGCTGATGGCGTCGATGACGACAGTATCAATATTTGCGATTGTTCCATTCCATCAAAACCCTTGGTGAGTCCATCTCAATTAGATCTATGTCAGTCTATTCAATGGCACCATGAGGCGCCTTTCCGTCTTGAGAACAAGATTTGGCTCTTTGCCTACGGATTGGCGGTATATCTATCAGCGCGGCAACACTGCACGACCCAGCTCGGCCAAGCTTGCTTGAATGCTTGAAGCTGGAAGTGCCATTTCTTGTCGAAGACCTGGCATGGCGAGCGGATGCATGAACGGGCAGACCAAGAAAAGCATCTCCATGATGATGTGTCTTCTACATGCGTTGAACACATTGGGAACGCATGCTTCGAAATTGCGTGGCGAGGAATTGCATTCAAAGTGCTCATTGGGATTGCTGGTTGAGTCCTGAGTGCGCATTCCTCATTGCAGTCTACTACACACATTATTCTGCTTCAGCTCAGGCGCTGCTGCCATGTTCGGCTGTGAGTCAAACTTGAGGCATCGTCCCATCTTCTTGATGGCTCCTGGAGGGACACAGTGTGCTCCGTCAGCAATAGAAGATGGCAATGCACCACAGTTGAGGCTTCTGCATTTGCGATTGGACTTCTGCACCGCTATCCAATGGCTCGGCTTGTCAGAAGATTGCGTGCACGCTCATTGCATGTACCTCATGACGTGCCTTCAAGGTTGCCCGAATTCGTTACAAGCACCACAAGTGGCCGACCGTGAAAAGCGAGATCGACGACCGATGATGATTGGCAGAAGTCGCTTTCTCTCGCGAGCAGGAAAAAAAAGAGAGTTTACCCTGGCTGACGTCTCGTCGTAGTGTACAACAGCGCCCTGCAGCAGCTTGCCCTATTACAGTGCTAGGTGAGTTACCCACTCGTCTTGTTGCCCCACCATCATCATCGTCGTCACAAGCGAAGATCGTCATGAGCGAAGGACGCGCGCGCCTTGCCCACGAGGAACGGCGGCGTTGTTGCATGGTAACGGCGAAAATGCGGACGCCCCTCCCCAACCGACCTCACTTTTTCTGTCATTGAGGGTTCATTTGCCCTGTTTGTTTGGGATGACCCCGCCATTGACGCCGACACACGCATCCAGCTTTTTGAACCCACTTACCGAGCATCAGCAGCAGTAGCTTGCCCGCCATGTCGTTGCGTTCTTCAATCGCCCCTCTGCGCTCCGCCGCATCCGCCTACAATAAACAGCCTTTCACTTCGTCTTTTCTTTCTCAACGACTTACCTCCACAACACCTTTCACCCGCAACTTTTCAGCATCTACCGCCAACATGGTTCAAAAAGTCTACTTCGACCTGACCTGGACCGGTCCTACCATCAAAGTCGACGACAAAGGCACCACCATCTCCAACGACAAGACCAACAAGGGTAAGTTGCGACCCATTGAGCATTCAACTTGATGGTTTCCACTGACAATCTCCTCGCGCCATAGAGCAATCTCAGCGTGTCGTTTTCGAGCTCTTCGACGAGGTTGTCCCCAAGACTGCCGAGAACTTCCGCGCCCTCTGCACTGGCGAGAAGGGTTTCGGCTACGCCGGCTCCAAGTTCCACCGTGTCATCGGAGACTTCATGCTCCAGGGTGGTGACTTCACCCGTGGCAACGTAAGTTAATGCGCATTCGTTCAATCCGTTCGCGAACGCCGGAGCTGACAGAACGATGCTGTAGGGCACTGGTGGCAAGTCCATCTACGGCGAGAAGTTCGCCGACGAGAACTTCAAGCTCCGCCACGACAAGCCTTTCCTGCTCTCCATGGCCAACGCTGGCCCCAACACCAACGGCTCGCAGTTCTTCATCACCACCGTCGTCACCTCGTGGCTCGACAGCCGTCACGTCGTCTTCGGCCAGGTCACTCCTGGTGACAAGGAGGCCTACGCTGCCATCCGCTCAATCGAGGCCATCGGCAGCCAAAGCGGTACTGTCAGCACCAAGCCTGCACCAACCATTGCTGCCGCTGGTGTGGCGTAAACAGTGTAAGAGTTACGAATATGGGACTAGCTATCTGGTCGAACAAAAAGCAAGATATGGTTCAATGTGGTTCCCTGCCACGGTATTCGACTCCGTGAGAAAACGATCTCTGGCTTGGCCTGCAGGGGCATGTTATTGCGTCACCTGGCAGCCATGAACCCGCAGTGACGCGAGTTGATATCGAACTATTTTAGAAAAGTGCATTTTGTTCTTCTCGTGGTTCTGTTTCACTCTTTGTCAGTATTGTTATAAAGCGTTGCTGTGACGATCGATGGCGCATCCGCTTTTGCCGCCGACGTGGCCACTTATCCCATGATCGAAACCACCCAGATACGATACCGAATCCCATTATCCATCATGCAGCAATTTGTAAGTCGTAAGCGCGTCGCGACAGTGAGCGTTGCGCAAGTATACGGAAATGCATCAGGGAAACTGCAAGCTAACGAATGTCACGCGTTGACGCTCTCTCCAATTCCAAGGTTGGCATCGAGTGCTGACATCGAGGAAATATCGTTCTGGGCAGACACCGACAAATTTGCTGGCCGTGGACATGGGCATATTACATAGCTAGCACAGAGTACACGACATAATTACCCCACTGGCTGTTGAGTAATGCAGATGACGGCCTTAACAGTTTCATGGCGAGATAAATTGATTGAGAAGACCACCACGCATCTTATCTTTTTTGCTCGTGGGTCGGATCACGATTTGTACTGAAACGTCGTGCAGGCATTATGACCATGTGTCAACCGGTCTCGCGGGGGTCAGGCATGCATACGGATTCGAACATGCAAGGTGGGGCATCGTGCATCTGGGACGGCACAGTGTATAGTACTGTCGCACAAAAGTGATACAGGATCGCACGGACGATCAAGCACTCGGAGCTGGGCAGCGCGGTAGTCTTTCATAAAGCGCGGATGTCAAACAGTATGAGAACATAATCCTCAAGACGCCTCATCATCCGACTGAACATGGCTACTTCTGACGAAATCGCTCCTGTCACCCGATCATGTCAAGAAGCAATCAAAGAAACATTCAAGCACGTCCTGGATAACCCCGAGCTCCATGACTGGCTCGAAGTTCAAGCGGCGGGTCTCAATTTGTGGATAAATGCCCTGGGAGTGTATGCTCGACAGGAGCTGTCCATCGCGCGCCGATTGTCAAACAATAAATTGATCGCCACGACTGTTGTGCAACTGCTCAAGGCATTCCGTGGTAACTTCAGTCTGCTACAAGATGCCATACTCAAAAGAAAACCGGTCGCGATCGCAGTGCAATACGATGATGGATCGTCCAGTGACAGCAGTTCCAGTGCAGCATCGGCCGCCTTTGAAGACATCGTCGATCGTCAGCAAAGCCGAATTCAGGACAACCTGCGCCACCTGACAAACATTGCCATGAAGCTCCGCCGCGAAGGGACGGAGCGAGCGGCGGCACGAGCAGCAGCATATCAGCCTCTGGGAGATGATGGTGAACCTCTCGAAGACGAGTTCAGGTGCCTCATAGACAAAACGCTCCAACGCGCATTTGACACCTCTCAGGATGCTCGGCACGGCGATGCAGCTCTCGTTACTCCAAAGAGTGATCCTGTTGACACGAACTTGGGTGCTCCGCAGTACCGCCTTCCTGAATACTTACGGCAGCGACTCAGGACGACGATGCTGGACAGGTGGCGCCGGATCGCGTACCAGCAGCATCATTCGGCTGGCTTAGCTAAAGTAGCAGAGCCTCCAGTAGTCACCCTAGAAGAAGACATTGATGTGCGCGATGTTTTACAAATCGAGGCGGACACTACTGTTACCACCGTCAAAACTCAAGCACCAATCGCAGAAGGAGAGGAACAGACATCCTGGTCAAGGGCACCTAAGACGACCGCAACCGAAACTCCTGCAGACTTTGTCCTTCCCAAAGAATCCGAGCTTTTGCCCAAGGCCCCAGGCACAGTTGCAAGTTCGTTACGCGCGGGTCGATTGAGTTACCCTTCAAAACCTAAGGTGAGGACGGATACAGAAGTCTTTCCATGCACATTCTGCGGACAGCTGCAATCTACGGAACTACTCAAACGAAGAAAATGGGAGAAACACGTGATGCAAGACCTGCAACCATACATATGCGTGTTTGAGGATTGTTCCAAGCCATATCAAAGCTACCAGACCACCGAAAAATGGTTGCAACACTTTGAGGATGCTCATGCCCAGGATGGATGGCTGTGCGACAAATGCCCCGGCGGTACCTTCGACATGTTTCTCACCCCAGGAAGCTATACCAAACACTTGAATGAACATCATGCCGATGGTGACTTGACCGCCGGAGAGATCGCTGTCTTGATAGATTTCGGTCGTCAGCGGATCAGGCCCAAACTTCCATATTGTGTGTTTTGTGGCTTTGAGCCAGAGGAAGGCTATCTGACCGAGGATGAATCGCAAAGAAGGATCATAGATCATATGGACAAGCAGCACATGCGGGTGTTCGCTCTTGATTCTATGCCCTGGGATATTCCTGGGGCCGCCGAAGATAGTGCCTATCGCATTACCCATCAGAATAAGACCGACAGTAACGAAGCGAGGAGTATGATCCTTGGAGACGAGGATCTTACACTTGAATATGACCAGCTCGATGAGGAAGAGAAGGACAAGCTTGCCAATGATCCATCTCTTCAACGATTACTCCAGTCTGGCTCATCGAACTTTGAACAAATCAAATCGTATACAAAGATGTCTTTCGATAACAAGAGCCCTGCTCAAAGATTGCTTGACAAAATGCAGATGTGGCCCAGTGCTGACAATTCAGATTCAGAAGCGGTTCTGTCGATTGCTCCCGCGCATCGCAATATCCAAGAAAAGAATAAAGATGCAGAATCCCTGGCACGCGTCCGGTACGATGACGTTATGGATTGGATTTCGCCACCCAATCAATCGTCAATCCATGAATCTTCACGGGCACAATGCGAGCCAGGGACCACGAACTGGATTCTTGAAACTGACGTCTACGAAGCATGGAAGGCTGGCTCAATACGGCACATCTGGTTGTATGGTGGACCCGGATGCGGAAAAACAATCATGTGCTCCTCGATCGTGGAAGATATTCGCGAGTATTGTAAAATCGTTTTGAACGTAGGGCAGGCGGTGTTCTACTTCTCCTTTACGGATACGTCCAAGCAGTCCATGGATAGTGTCATTGGTTCTGTGGCCATTCAACTTGGAACGAAGGAGCCGGGTCTATCGATACTGTACGATGCTTACCAGAGCTCCGGCCAAACCCCTCCAACAAGTGACCTATTGGCTCAAGTCTCACAGGCAGTAGCGAACTCATATGATGAGGTATTCTTCCACGTCGATGGCTTGGATGAATGCTCGTCATCACCAGATGACGAGCACTATTTGTTACATGATCTAGAACGCTGGCTTGAGGGAATTCCCCAGATACGATTAATCATCACGAGCCGCAATGTAGTAAGAGTTCGTCAGTTCGTACAGAACATAAGCGCTGTCCCGCTAGAGATGAGGAATAACCAATTGAATGTGGATATACAGACATATGTGTCTCTTCGACTCAAAGAGAGTCCGACACTATCGAGGTTATCGCCGTCAACCAAAAGCATGATCCAGAAGACGCTCGTGCAAAAAGGCGGTGGAATGTAGGTCTTAGTGTGGCGTTCACAATATTTTGAAATCCTGACATTCTATAATAAACAGGTTCCGATGGGTAGATTTACAGCTACAGGAGCTCGAGCGGTCTAGATCTCTAGACGAACGTCAAGTCTTGAATTCACTCGCTGAGTCAACAAGAACTTTGGACGAGGTATATGAGCGCTTGCTTGACGACATTCCATATCCTCAGCGTTCAGCTGCGCTGGAACTACTTGGATTTATATCATTCGCCCAGTCCCCACTGTCATTCGAGGAGCTCATGGAAGTGCTAGATATGGACATCCGCAGCAATATGAAGGCGCTGCAGCCCCTTGGCTGGCGAGACATACTACAGTCTGTATCGCGCCTGGTGATAGTGCGGAGAGACAAGGATTCAGATACGGAGGCTAACAGCCAAACTGGACCCCAAGACTTGTATCCAGTAGGGTCTACAGTCCGCCTATCGCACTTTTCCGTCTATGAATTCTTGAAATCGGAGAGGATTGCGACGAAATGGTTCCATCTCGATCCCGTGAGAGAACATGCGCACATAGCTGAAGCCTGCCTCGCGTATCTTACATACTACAGCGACTTTTACAGAAAGGGGGAAACCAGAAAGCTTTCGTTTGCCTTCAATTTCCTGGACTATGCGAGCAGAAACTGGTACTTGCACGCTCGACTAAAGGAGAACAAAGTCGACATTTCCAGGGAGGTAGCATTTTTGACGTCCGAGAAATACTTGCATGAGTGGCTAGCTCTACATGAGCCCGATGAATCACGACAGAGCCGATTCAGAGAATACAATCGAGAAGAAGTGGGCACAGGTCTTTATTACGCATGTGCTTGTGGTCTGCCAGACGTGGCCAGATCATTGCTCGAGGCTGGACATGATCCAAACCTTCAGAAGGGCCGCTGTAAAGTTCCTTTGGAAATTGCAGCATTGAACAATTACATTGAAGTGATGACCGAACTGCTGGATCATGGAGCCAACCCCGATGCACCAGGAAGCCTCTGTGGATCCGCAATCAACGCGGCGTCACTCCGCGGAAACGTCGAAGCGGCGGAACTATTGATTGGAATCGGTGTTGACATTAATTCCCCTTCCAGAAGCCATCACGCCGTCTACCAAACCTCCACCGCAAGACCACTTCGATTCGCAGCGTCGAATGGTCATATTAAGGTAGTCCGGCTGTTGATCGATCACGGCGCGGACGTTAATGGGTGTGATGAGGATGGACATGGGACCGCACTTGAAGCAGCTATGCAGGGACGACACTATGAAGTAGCCGAATTCCTCCTCAAAAAGGGTGCGGTTGGCAGTGAAGAGACGCACAATAAGATGGACATGATGAGGTCCGACAGCAGTAGAAGACAGACTCCGTAATATCTACATGCTCAAGGCTATGCGTTTGACACCGATGATTTTCGAAGCGAGGACACGAAATAAATAGGGGCGTGTGATGGGCATTCTTGTGTTCGTACGACCAATTTGCTTGTTGGTTTCTTTAATCTATTCGTATGTTTTGCATCTCCAGAACAATCTTCAGAGTTTGAGGTTCGTGATGGACCGACGCCAATGAGATGGATGGTATTACAAGCTTCGGCATTTCAATTCTGTCAATTTATCAGTCGAGATCTCACTCGCGCATGCGACGATCAATCTGGACATGAGGCGCGGGCCGCCATCCACCCTGCTTGCACGCCACCTCATACGCATCTGCTCTCTCTAGTATCAGCCATCCTTGTCCCGGCAGCAATTTCTCTTCGAGCAGAATGCGGCGCACTGGACATTAAATTCGCGATGAATTGGGGCGCCGCGAAGGGCAACGTGATGAGAGCTGGGAGACTTGCGCAAACGACGCCACGATCACGCCCGCGCCAAAGGGGCGGGCCAGCCCTTGAGACGCGGACCGAACCCCTGACAACCTTGGAACCATTACCCACGGCACGTCACGTTGTTATCATCATCATCCATGGATCAATGCCATTTCCGAAGGCGGCCAAGGACTCTGACAGAGCTCCAGGATGTATATATAATGCCATCTTTTTTGCACCCTTACGTCCCTCACCGGAAGCGAGATTCGACGTGCTCTGAATGAGCCTACAGGATGTCGTTTGAGACAGCCGCCCCCGCATTGACGTTCAATCAGAACCGCTGACATCTAAATTTCATGTGCTTATCTCAGGCTCTCCGTCCCGGGGAGGCTTGGCTCAACATAATGCGAGCTCCAAGCAAATCGTGCATGTTCGGTGTGAGAGCTGGAGTCCCTCACTGTGCTCCAATACTTGCGGAGCACGCGATTCCGTGTAGTCTCTTGATGTCTAAAACACCTAAGGAGACAGCACACGCGGCCATCCCGCAGTCGAAGGCCATTCAGCTGCGATGTCTACCCGCGCGGCTGGGTCCCGCGTTGAAGAGTCTCACGCTGAAGGACGACAACATTTCATTCGACACCATCCCGGCATCTACCGAGTGGGCGCGGCGGCAATGGAAATATTTCGTGCACCTGCGACAGGATCGTAGCATTTTCGCCCGGAAGAAGTCGCCGTCTTGTATCAAAACATTTATGTAATAGACTGACGTGCGCCTGAACATGCGCATTCTGTCCTCATCTGTCACAAAAAGACATTTGATACCATGAATGCTCGTATCAAAACCTACATGCTCGTGCCAGAGTTCAGCTATCCGCCTGGGCAACGGATAGCTCTGGGCACAGTGCTCTCGCTCAGCGACGCCACAAAATTACCTGACATCGACGATCCGCTGGAGATGTGCGTGCCTGTAGCGGAAGATCGTATCACGCAACAACTTCAGCGACCGTTCGAATGGAACAGCGATGACGCGACAACCACGGCGGCGGGCGCTACTGCAGATTTGTCGTTCTTCACCGGCGTGGGCGCAGGCGTAAAGGGCGAACATCACACCTCGCTCGGTTTGAAGATCAGCAGTGAACTCGTTACGAAGACCTGGTTCAAGCCTACGCCGCAAGAATTGACGAAGTTTCTATCCGATCCTGCGGTCTTTGAAACGCTCCAGGAGCGATCGCGACCACCGTTGTATCTCGTGACGGGTCTGATGGTCGCCGGCGGTGCAACAATCGAAGACAGAGCGGGACAGCGTCGAGGCGGAGGAGCACATGCGAACGCCGATCTTACAGCGCTTCAGGCGCCCCTCAATCTGGGCGTGGAGGGAGAACGAAGCCGGACCACGAACACCAGCGGCAGGACTACCATTGAAGGCGAATTTATCCTCGCTTATAAGCTGTTACGTTTCAAGAAGAGGTTTTTCGGAAAAGTTGAGCAGAAGACGGAGACAAAATGGGCACTGTTCCATGATACGGTACCGACGGAAGGAGCGGTCACTTTGGACGAGTATCTCGACGACGACGATCTCGAAGACATATTGGTTGGTGGTGATGGCAGATGACGCTGTAGGCTTTCGTTGGTCGAGTTTGCACGTATTTGTTGATTTTCCTGAAATACTGATCGCGACCTCGGAAAGCATGCTCCTTCCCGAATGTCAAAATTCGGCACATCCGAATGTATCAAGAGAGTCGAGTCATGCGTCGATAGCCTCAAGAAGGCTCTCGATGATTGACATCGCCGTCCTGTTCTTATTGAAGACCGTCCAAGGCGTCAGATAGTCGTAGCCGTCTCGAGTGTTTTCCCCCTCGACCATGAGCCGTAGGACGCTCGCCATGTTACTAGCCTTTCCAAGAACGTTGAGTTTGGCTCGATAGTCGTCCCGTCTCTCATCGATGCTCTGATCTGATTGATCCATGTGCCTGTGCGCAGCGATGTACTTGTCTTCACTGCGTCTCAGCACGGAAATGATGACTGCAACAATCGCAGCGCAGACAGGCGTTGCGGTCGAAGTACCCGACTTCCTGATTACCCCATGCTCGTGGGGCCACAGCGCCTTCACGGCAGTGCCGAGTGTAGCGAAGTTGTCTGCTCGCAATCTTGCCGTAGGATTTCTTTGGTATTTGTTTCCAATCCCGGTCGCTGCGTAGATGCTGAGGACTTTTGCATCACGGGCTGGCCAACTTGCTTTCGCATTAGCACCACAATTTGATGCTGCGGCAAGCAACACCACATTGTTCTGTTCTGCGCGGGCTAGAGCAGCATTGATGGCCGGTATTGGTTTTGGGAAGCCGAACGACATAGATATCACGTCGACTTTCCAGACGTTCACTGCGTGTTCAATGGCCTGTAGAACGTCAGCGGTCGCCGGAAATTTTACTATCAGGCACTTACGTTGACAATGCGATCCACTGCGGAGGTCCTTTCGTTTTCGCCTTGAACAAGCTGCTCTTTTCTTCCAGCAAAGACTTGTGCAACGTACACATGAACGTCAGTCGAGCGTGTCGCCTGCAGGAGAACGCTGGTGACGTGAGTGCCGTGGCCGTCAACGTCATGAGTACCGAGAGGCAAGGATTCACCTGCAGCTGTCGTCGTGCCGATCCAAGTTCGGCATTCCTTAAGTCGATTTTGGTACGCGCGCTTGTAGTAGTCTTTGGTCATTTGGACGCCCGTGTCAAGTATCGCCACATTGACCGGTCGTGCGCTATACCGCTCGTCGACTTCTGGACAGAGTTCGTCGATCTTGTCGAGCATGGTGGAAAAGCATTTCTGGAGTTGATCCATATGGGCGTCGGCATCTCTGCCACTAGGAATTGGTCAGTATTGCGAGTGGATGCTATCGACGTTGAGCTCATCGCCCAGATTCAATTATTACCTGCTATCCTCGACTCTCTCGTATTCGTTATCGCCGTCGTGCAAGCAATACTCAATTGCGGTAGACTGAGGTTCAGCAGGGCGCATCGGTGGTGGTCGCAAGGTGATTCTCCTGACTCTTCGCGGCCTTGCGACTGGAGGCGCAGGAAACACATCTTCTGCGGCAACATGGAAACCAGTGCATACTACATATTGTAGCGGAAGAAGCACCTCCCTGATGAACGCATTACGCGCCCTCTGATCTTCACGGATGGTGGATATTTTGTCTGAGTTTGAAGATGGCTTCTGAAGGCATGCATTTATCGCCCATGTCCATGGCCGGCCGAGAAGATCATCCTCGCAACTATAAAGTGCTGCTGGAACGTTGTCCCATATGACTTGATGCCCAACCCAGAGTTCAAGTAGGAGCCTTCCAAATGCCACAAGGCTGGGCATATCGTGATTGATGAGTTGTTCGACATAGTTGAGACGAATTTCAGGTGTATGCTTATCGTCCCTTTGCAAGAATGCAGCAGAGAAGAATGCTGGTGGAGGTTTGTTGACGTCAAAATCGTTGGGAAGCATGACGCTTGAACGATTGGTGTAGGGCCACCAACAGCCTCCACTTAGGTGAAGGTAAGCATAAGCCAAGTACAAAGCAAGCATCAAACGCTTTTTCTTGGACAAGGTGTATACAGGATGATTCGGAGCTAGTTCAAAACAGGGTGACAGCGGCAAAGACGGCAGAGGCGAGTTCTTCAGAGCGCTTGCTTGTCGAAGCTGCTCTGTGGCTTCCAGGTGCCAAGCATCCGATCCTGACGCTACCCGGATCAGATCGCCCGTGGCTACACGATGCAGTGCGGAGCAAAAGAGCTCGGACGGTGGCATGTCACCTCTCGCTCCCCTGACATGACCCTTGGTTGCCATGGAAGTCTGATATGAGTCGCGCTGCTTTTGGTATTCGAATGAGGTGTGTTTCCAACCGTCGGCCTCGTCGTCTTGTGTGCGGAAGTACATCGTTCCCATTGCGTAGCAATTGTCTGAGGCAGGTGGAGCATAAAACGAGAACACGGCGTCCTGGTGCATACGATCCGTGTAACATTCGCAAATCCATGTCTTGGCAAGAGTCTGGTGAAATTCCTCGACGTTTGCAAACAACGGCGTTTCTAGGAGACGTTCGGAGGTCTGAACCTGATCTAGAAAGAGCTCCTTGGCACTCTTCTGGGGCTTGACCAATGCCTGGATCTCCACGAGGCAGGTCTTCATCGCGGACAAGAGAGGCCGTCTTTGTTTACTCTTTGTCTTCGTTATGTTCAGTTCAATGACGAGCCAGCTCGCCTTCTCTGCCGTGGTTGCTCCAAGCGCAAGTTTATTGTACTGGTCAGTCAAGCGCTGCAGCGACATAAATGGGGCCTCAGGTTCTTCAGACTCATCGTCAGAGCTAGACTCCCCTGACCTGTTAACAAACTGCTCCTGGACCACATGGAGAAGGCCGCGGACTGCAGAAAGGACGCCTTCGCTGTTCCATGTCGATTCTTCCTCAATGTTCGGCAAAATGGCTCTGAGGGTGTCTGAATCAGAGTGAATTGTAGCAAAAAATGCCCCGTAAAGTTCGGTATCATCCTTAGCTTCCAGGCGTTGTCGTGCTCGTTGAGCAGTGGCACCCTCGTCAATGATCAGATAGACGGCTGCCTCTTGTAGAAGGTCGATGACGTTCCGGAACAGAGCGAACTCATTCCCGCAAGCACGCACCATGCTTCATGTCACGCTCCGACGTCTGAACGTGATCGACACAGTAAACCATAGCTGTTCTCATGCAGTAATCGCGGGACATGAAGCGGGTTTCTGTCGGTGGCATCACGTGATGGACAGCCAACCATGACTGTGAGTCGTCACTCGATGCGTGCATGATTGGCACATCACATGTATGCATGCTAGTCGAGCACGGTCGATGCATATCGATGGCATCTCTGTTCACGGGAACCATGAATCTGTTTGATCATTGGCATTCCACAGATGAGGTCTGACGAGTGTAGATGCCTACACAAGGCCTTCTCACGTTGTGCATCCGCTATGACCACGGCCCGCTCGGGGGGAGCAAGCACTGGCGCGCGAGGCGGGGACGGGCAGACTTGAAACCAGCAATTCAGACATCCAAGGTTACTGTATTATCCGAACGTGGAGCGATGCCAATCGGCGCGCTGTAGTGGCGGCGAGGGCGGTCCGACGCGAATCCTGCGCCGATCCAAGACTACCTAGGTACCTCTTTACATGGATTTGTACAGCCATGGATCTCAATCAGGCGACGCATGTCAGGATTAGGCGAGAAGAAGTCCCCTTACCCAGGTACAACACTCAAATACTAATGACGACCTTGGAAGTCTGTGGGGCTCAAACTTGAAATTCTCGTCGGGTCATTACATGATCAGGTAGTCCTTTTGGCCATCTGGGTCCGTGACGGATTAGTATGGGCGTTGTCAACGATGAGGGATCATCACGCGCGCTCAACCGTCATCGAGGCGGCACACCAATGCTATCGGTAGTTGATTTGTACTGATTGTAAATTGTACTGAGACATGAAGCGAAATCCACAAGACAACCATAAAATTCATCGCCCTCCGTAATTGGACCACGTAATGTACAAATCGCCGAACTCCGGTCGATGTTTGGTCCTGACATGTTGACAGGACACGGCAGGTTTCGTGATCTGTTATGCACGTCGAATGCCAGCAGCTTCTGCAACACAAGATCAACAGCGGGAGCGCGAGGCCGGGTATGTATGGTCACGTGATGAGACCCATCGATGCCACTGATCTTAGGGTTGAGACCGGAATTTGGGGCTCCAGATTTTCACATTTCCACTGTACAGGCAATGAAAATAGTCCAGCAAATAACCACAATGACTGATGACGCCCGGTGAGAGGTCGTGAGATCGCAATGACAGATCCCCTCGGTCCCATACATATTTGGGTCATTTCGCTCTCACTTTGGAATCTGAAGCGGGATGACAATTGGATTCTGACGGCGTGAGTTTGGTGACAAGTTAGTTCCAAGTCCGGTCGTATCTGTGGTGATTATACCAGAAATCTACTCAGGTGGGTAGGGAGATGGGTAGATAGATGAGTAGATAGATGGGCAGGTACGGAGGCACCGTTTGGGATCAAAGCGATTTGTGCTCGAGGACGACAAGTAGAACGAGAACAATTCATGTGCCCAGGTGTGCTTCGAACCATGTGACGACACATATACTACGTACATAGCAAACAAACGTCTAGCTGGTCACCGCAGTCGGCGACGGGTGTTTGAGCTTCGAGTGTACCGAGAGACACCTGGAGTATTTTTAGCATGAAAAAGCGTTCGTCCAGGAGTGTCAAGAAGACCCTCGTTTCCGAGACAAACCCCTTCACTCCGTTCACCCTTCACCCTTCTGCGCTTGGGCTCCATTCGACTAGTAATACTTTGGGCTGCTCCCCCGAGTCGCGCCGCCGGCAAACAATCATCACACTTCGTCAGGCACGGAGCCGTGAGAGCCCCACATTCCTGCTGCTGCTACTACACGCGCGCATAAGCCGTGCCACTACCTAGTACGTGGACATATCCACCACCACCACCACCTGCGCACCCACGCACGTTCTCGTGTGCGAGGCTACATAACCGACATGCTCGGTCGACACCTTTCCTCCTCTGCCTCAACATCCCGAATGTGTGGTCGAGCGGTGTCGTTGCGAGAGCCTTTTCCGTAACCCGACTTCCCCAATTTGCAACCGTCCCCCGCTCCACCTCACATTCGGAAGCACGCGAGCGGGAATTTGGCGTCGTCACCCATCTGACCGGAGCGTGAATTACGTTGTTCCTCCATTCGTCTTGCCATGGCCGACGATGACTCCAAAGGTAGCAAAGGAAAAGGCTTCCTCAAGAAAAGCAAATGGGGAAAATTGTTCAAGGAGGACGATGCCGGTCCCACCTTGAAATTGAGTGACGATGTCGTCGACTTCCTGAAGCCCTCCACTGAGAGCGCCCGGTTTGCTACCATTGCCAACCCTCCACCAGCGCCGAGAGGCCCGACAGCAGGCGGTGGCCCGCCCAAACTCAGTATCGCTGTCGCCCAGCGATTCCCTGCTGCAAATGAAGTAGTTCCCGCCGCCGCATCGTCCAACCATGACGGACCGGCTTCACCGCTACCCCCGACGCTGTTCAATGGACAGCCCAAGAGACGGAGAGGGTTGAAATTAGTCGTGGGTTTCGCGCGGACACCACCTGATATCATGGGAGAAGGAGGAGACGAGGCGCCGGATCCACCCAGCGAAATTGGGCGCCAGAAGGCTGCGTTGACAAGGTCGGTGTCGGAGAGGCGTGTCCCTTCGGAGCCGCATCAGCAACAGCAGCGACAAGATATCCCGCCGCCTAATCCCGCACACTCGCTCGCTGCAGGGCCCTACAGCACCAGCAGGCCTCCTATCCCCGCAGTTCAACAAGAACTGCCCAGGCAGATCCCCCAACAGGTGGCTCAACAGCAACACTCACAACAGACCCACCTCGCTTATCAGCCGCGCCAGTACCAGCCGCAGCACCAGACTAACCAGGCTCCTAGCAATGGACAAGCAGGGTATGGAGGAAACGGGACCCGCGACCAGCCAGATGATGTGCGGCCTGGACCCCTACGTCGTGCCAACACATCACACAATGAGGTCTCACCGCCAGTGCAAAAGCGGACTGCCCCACCACCCGTTGGACCGCGGCATGTGCACAAATCGAGCCTGGGACGTGTACCAACGGGATTCACTGCTCACATTCAGGATTCACCTGAGGATCCAGTGGGTCCATCCATCATCGTGCAAGATCATGCGGAGCCGAATGAGCACGAACGGCCACCGTCCCGCATCAGACCTACCGTGGATACCGGCATGGGGATCGGTGTCGTGAAAAAGCAATATTCGGGGCTTTCGCCGACCACACCAATCTCACCCGCAGCCCTCAAAGCTCGAACAATGCGCACGAATGAAGGCGCGACATTCCGCAGGGCAAGCATGCTGATGCTGCGGGACGAAGCAGATGAGGATGAAGAAGGTGGTGTAGGCGGGGGGAGCAAAGTGCAACAGATTGATTGGGAGCAAGAGCGAGAGAAAGAGAGGGAAGCAGAGAGGGCTGCAGAGCGGGCGGCCGAGAAGGAGAGAGCAGAATTGATGGAGAGACAAAAGCAACACGAGGCCCAGTCATACCATCAATACGGCCAGCCTTACGGACAGCAACCGCCACCCCCTGCTACAGGAAATGCTCGTCCGCGAGTACCCACTGTCGATGTACCAACAAATGACGAACTCGGGTCGAGATCACCACGAACTGTAGATTCGCCTACCGAGCACAATCCGTTCGCAGACCCGAAGTTCTTGAAGCGCTCTTCGCGGGAGACTGCATCTGAATCTCTGAGTACATCAATTCAAGGTGGGGCAGCCAGCCAACAACGAGCACCTTCACAATCCTCCCAAACCCAGCCGTCGTCGTCAAGGCCAATGCACAGCTTTTCGAGACCAATCCAAGGCGCGGATGCCTACTCTTCCCAGCAACAGCAGAATCAACAGCAGCGGGCGCGTCAGCCGTCACAGGGGCAGACCCTCGCAGCAGATCCTAGAACACACAATGGCTCCATGAGTTCTACCCAGGACGCTCAGCGGCCTGTATTAGACATCAACCGCCCATCGCCGATGCAGAGCCTTATCCAGCAAACACGACCTCGAGTGGATGCGACCATACCATTGTATCAATCACAACAAACGCAGAGCCCTGATTCATACTATCAGCCTTCGCAGAGACCGGATCCTCGTGGCGCCGCGCAGCGATCGTTTCGCGGTGACGAAGGAACAGGATACGCTTCTGCAACAGCCGGAAATGCACCGAATGCGGCTTCTACACAGAACCAGCCGGGTCCCAGGAGTCGCCAGTATTCCGAACCTCAACAAACACCAGCTCGGGCTGCTGACGGCTTAGCAATACGCTATGGGCCCTCAGGTGAGCAGAACTTTTCCTCCAGCCAGCACATGCAAGTCTCGATGGGAGCGAGTCGATCGCGAGATCCGTCTCCGACTGTGCGTGATCGTGCCTACACCCATAATTACGTTACGCAGCCGCAGCGGCAACAACTTTCTGTGGACGCGAACGGTAGCGAGTATTCGAATGACGCCTCGGGTCGAGCGCCGCATACGCGAACAATTTCGCATGATTCTGGTCCATCACAGAGAAACTCACCAGCTAGCGCCACTTTGCAACAACCCCCCACCGTTTCTCCGCGATTTGCACATCACTTTGCTCCGCAGCCCGCGTCGGGCTCATCGCCTCGAGGTCAGACGTCCGTCAGTGCAGGTCAATCGGTCAAAGGGAGTTCGCCCAGTCTTCGCCAGCAGAGCACCGAGCAATTGCCTCCTGCCCGTTCATCACCGATGAAACAAATGACGCCTACGGTGACTGCGGCGCCAGCCACTTCTGCTCCCCAAAGAAAAGCTTCGGATACAAGCCAAAGCCAGCTTCTGTCTACTGGCCGCCCTCCCCTGGTCAATCAGATTTCGCAAGAAGGCAACCCGGCCGCAGACGCTGCGTTCGCCGACTTTTGTGCTCGTGTCGCGCATATGCGAGGCGTCTTCTCGCTCACGGCCGAGAAAGAACAGACCCGCGACAAGAGCTCTCCTTCGAAATGGTTACGCGCTGCTGCGTGGTGGTTCCTCAAGGGTAAGGCTGGTGTGGAAGGCATGATGCGCACGGTATCAAGTCAGGATCCTGGCCAACCGCGTCGTGAGCTTCTAGCTCAGCCGCACGTGGACCTCGCGAAGGCATGGTGGATCATCATGGACCCGCTACAACTCGCGAATTCATCAGACGGTGGACCGCAGAATGCCTCCGCCGTTGCTCTGCGGTCTGCGCTCAAGTCAGTGTGCTTAATGATGGGCCGGAATGGTCTCCTTCCCCCGACACACGCTCTCATCCAAGGACAAAACACAAATATCTGGCTCGAATACCCTCGCTTTAGGGCGGATGTCACCGCCATCTTAGGTGGCGACGATTACGGCAGCACTCCATCTGCTTCGGTTGATGCTTTCGAAATGATGCCATTGGGCGATACACGCGACTACTTCTGCTACGGACGCTTTCAGGTTGACGCCTATATCAATACCGACGACCCTGAGACTGATCGGATTCCGCTACCGTGCATGTTCTCCATCATGCGCAGTCGGCGCGACTACCAGATGGATATCGCCATCGTCACTCAAAGTGATCTGATCACCGTGCGCGTGTCACCACGTACCACTGAGCGTCGACTGCTGTCATGGTCAGATGTGTCATGGAAACTAAACACATCCGGCATGGTCGTTCATCTGCCGCGCAATCTCGATCTCAACGTCCGTCTGCAGGAGCGTGACTATCGCTACGTTCGCGGTCTCGCAGAGTACGCGCGAGGTGTCGAGCGCGATATGGTCGAGAACGCGGACGAGAAGTTGGTGTATGAGACTTCGCTCGCCGAAGTGCAGTATAGCGACTCTGCCAATGCTCAGGCGTTTCCTTCGGAGAAGCTGCGGGGTTGTACTGCGCTCATCTATGAGCACTTGGTAGAGGAAGCTGATGGCAGCGGACGGCGCAAAAAGCATCGCGGGTTTCGCTTTCTGTTGACGACCGACGTGGGCCAAAAGACATTGAGCAGTGTCACCCACGACCTCGGTCGGAATTCGCCCATTTATGTGGAATTGGTCTCGGATAAAGCTGCGTCGGCGGCAAGTGGTCAAGCGATCCTGGTCCTGCGTATCCGTGAAGAGAATCGACAATGCCGCGCTATCATGACATTCTCCAACGCCCAGGGCCGACAAGCATTCTACGAGGCCTTGAATGCTCTCGCAGTGGGCCCCGATGAGACCATCGTTGAAAAGATTCCCCTGACCGCCCTCAACATTGAGCCTGTCGGAGGCTCATCATCTCAAGCAGCAACTGTCGCCCTTCAGAACTTGCAGTGGCAGAAGCTTGGAGTGACTAATTTCTATTCGGACGATCCGAACAATCGCTTGGCCGGCACCGTTGAGTCAGAATCATTGCGGATCCTCCTTCGCCACACAGCTGGCTGCATTGTCGACCGGCTCAACCTCAGCAAAGGCGAATTTCTCCTCCGCCTTCCCGCTTCCTCCAGTGGCAGCAACGCTGGCAATGCTATCCAGCTTCTACGTCGGGCTCAACTCGACATGACCATCTCTATCGACGCTCGCGGGGTACCCCAGCCCGTCTCTGAAGCAATGGCCCCCCTCCTCCATGCTGTCCAACAAACCCCTACAATCCGAACCTTCACCTTCGCGTCTCCGGCCGACCTGCACGCCTTCCAAGCCAGCTTGACCGGATACGCCGTCCACTACGATGGCACCGCATCGACCCTGGCGATCGCCCGGCGCCGCATGGTCGTCCCGATCTACAAAAAATGGGAGGCTTCACACGTGCGCATCCAGGTAGTATCCAAGGCCGCACATCAGGCCGACGGCGGCGTCACCCGCGTCCTCGCTTTCTTCCCCGACGGCTCCTTCTCCCACGCCGACGCCTTGTGCTTCCGCGTCCTGGGCACGGACGTCTTCGAGAACGTCAAGGGCAGCAAAGGGGCGCCGGCAGCCGTCAAATTGGTCGACGCGAAATTCAGTCTCCCGCACGACCACGGCAACGGGAGCGACGCGACAGAAGGCGATTTCGCGTTCCCCGAAAAGGTCCGACGGCGGTTCGTCAATCTGGAAGGCTTGGACTATGCAGAGGAGCACGACGATATCACCGTGGGCTTTGCGGACGAAGCCGGTAAGCAAATTTCCATTCTCCTCCCTGCCGTCCTTCCCGACGACATCTACTTCCTCGTGGAATTTTTCCCTTGCTGACCTGTGTTGAATCCAGAACGCGATCGCTTCAGTTGCTCCTTGCCGGGCGCCACGAGCGTGTCGCGCGGTCTGACGCTCAAGCGTCGGATCTAACCCCACGCGAATCCCTCCCTCCCTGTGAAGCGGGGCCTTCCGATTACAAAGAAGCGACCGGAATCTTGTACGACGATATGAATGGACGGTGGAAATGGCGTGATGACGATCGCTGTTGGAAACCCCCTCCGCCAAATGTTCCGTTTTCTTCTTCTTTCACCGCCGACCTTCTGGTTGGGATGGGCGGCTGCGCATTCCCTGGCTGGCCGAACATGGCGGGCACAGAGGAGGCGTAATGTAGTTCGATAGACATTCTTTCCCTCTCCCCGTCGTCTTCGCGAATTCGGCGGAGGTCGGTCGACGTGGCATTCTATATAGATCATCAACCCGGGTTATCACCCAAACCAACAACGACTCGGCACCGTAGGGATCAGCATACTGAATAAACTTTGAAAATAGATGAATCGAAAACAAATTGATTGATTAGAAAGTAGGGTCTCGGCGACCCTCTCAGGTATCACAAACGCATCGCATCGCATCGCATCACATCCCATCCAAATCCTCACTTCCCGGACCAAGAGCCCGCACACAGCGCTCGCTACGCCCAACCGCCCACATCCAAGTCAAGAAGGCGGGGAGAGGCTCCGCGAGCTCGGATTCGCGCTCGCCTCGCGACCGTCGACCGTATGTAGGTTGAGCGTACTCACGCTCCCGCGCCGAAGGCCGGTGACCGAACCTCGCAACACCTCCCTCCCGTGCTCATACACCTTCCTGGCTGTATCTCCGGGATTCCGGAGTCTCCTCTTCACGGTCGTTGTTGTCCCGCCGCGTCGCTGCTAGCCTGAGGGAGTCACCGAGCGTTCCCGTCGGTTCATGAAGCGGCCGAGGCTGCGGTGCTTCATGCTCGCTGCGGGACTGCTGGGGGCGGAGCGCTCGCTGGGCTGGAAGGCGGTTTTGAGCGAGACGACGCCGGGGCCGACGTTGATTTCTTGCTCACCACCGAAGGACTGGTCGTTGATGAAGAAGGGCGCTTCGCCGAGGTCTTCGGATCCGCCGAAGGTTTTGTGGTTTCGCACGGCGATCTTGAATTGCTGGGCGGCGCTGCAGCTCGTCTCCTTGGACTCCTCTTTGTATTGGGCTTCGCCGGTCTTGGTCTTGACGGCTTTGGTCTTGAGGATCTCTTTGCTTCCTTGTGAGATGACGACTTCGAGCTTCTGTTCCTTGGCTTCGAATCCCGCGAGGCTGAGGACGGAGATGGATGCGGTGCCATGGTCGGCCCCGGGCGCTATCGAAGCACCGCCGGCGCTCGGTTGGCGTTGATGAGGAGTCCGTGGCGGGGCGACGTCGCCAACCTCGATCGAAGGGATGACACTGCCATTAGTAGTGCTCGGCCGACCAGCGAGTGATTCCGTTTCCATGTGGGTATCGTGAGCTTCCGCCACTCCACCCTCGTTGTCGCTGCTGGCATCGCTCGACGATCGCTTCTTAAATCCGCGACTGACGAAGGTTGCCACTTTGCCCACTCCACTGCCGACGCCACCCGCGACTTTACCGACGCCCTTGACCGGTGCTCCGATGATCTTCCCAGGCACGGCGAAAGTGCCTGAAAAGGTCGATGTGCCTTGTCGTGACCGCACGACGTAATCGGGCTTGAAGAGTAGCTTCAGACGGACCGCACCACTCTTGCCATCGAGATTGAGAACCACTTCTTTCGCTTGGAAGGGCTCAAGGATATCAAGATTGATGGCAGCTGAGCCGAGGAAATCGGCTTTATCGCCAAAATCCCAATCGTACACATTGCAAATGAACTTTGCTGCCGTACGACTAGTGACTGGCACCTCGAAGAATTCATTCCATGCCGGGTTAAGGGTTTTCTTCTGAGTCTTAGTCTTGTAGACGTCCTTCTCGTTCAGCACGAATCGACAATATGGATCAGAGAAACCATTTCGGTCAGCAGACGGCAGGTCAGCGGCATCCAAAACCTCGACGCGGAGATTGCCGGAGTTGTTGATCGATTCGCTCGGGTCGAGTTGCATCTTGATCGGCAGATACTTCATCGATATCCTGATCTTACTCTCTTGGCCATGCTCATCCTTAAGAGCGATCCAATGCGAATTGTACAGACAACGCTTCAATGCATCCAGAGTCGGGATGGTGATGCGGGCCTTGTGACTTTCCTCGGACTTTTCGCCTTTGCGATCGACTTCGGTGACCAGGCGCAGCGTGATCTTGGAGAGGTCCAATTCTCGCACCATGACATCGCCGGTCTCGTTGAAGTTGTGGGTTTTGCCACGAGTCCTAGCGCTTGAGTAGGCGGGAAAGCGCATGTCATCCATGAGGATTTCAAGGTGACTACCAGAATGCGCCAACTCTGCTTCATGGATCGTGAATACCAGGAGACCGGTTTCTGTGGAACGTTAGCATGGTCATAGCATTGCCGAAATGGATTTCGATACATACCATGGTGGACAAGATCATCGACAGTCAGTCTCAGCTTAGGAGCAATCAGCGGAATTCCAACTTCATCGGTCTCAGTCTGCTCTTTCTCGCCCTTGTTAAGAGCTTTCTGCATCTCTGCTTCCTCAGGAGACAGAATTGAGTTCGTTGTACGGATACTACTGATCGTGCCGGCTGTAAGACTCCGGACGTGACGCGGGGGCCCGAGAGTGAGGGACGTGCCGCTCGTCGCGGTAGTTGGGGTCGGTGGAGCGATGATGGAGGAAGCTCGTGACACATCAGCACTGCTAGTCTTGGTCTTTTCACGCTCCTCTTCATCGGGGTCGACAGTCGGGATCGTGGGATAAAAGGCGACAGTGAAGTTGATTGTGCCCTTTGGCGGACTGTGACCCACTCGCAGCTGAGCGGAGATGACCTGGTTCTTGCTATCCTGTACCAGGTACTCACCGCCGTCACCTTGACGCACATAGTCGGAGGCCAGGATTTCCAATTGGCCCAATGTTCGGTCAGCCTGCGTGTTCTCCTCGTCCATGACCTCTACGACAAGACGCTCACGCGCCGTGTGGACCGGTACGTAAAAGACCTCGTCCCAGACAGGGTTGAGATTGTTCTGCCAGGTGACGGTTCTGCCCTTTGTAACTCCAGAGAGAAGTACCCGAGCGTAGGGATCAGATTTGCCAATTTTGTCGAGGTTCTTCAGGTCTGTGGCGGACTTGAAGTGGAAGCGCATAACACCAATGGGGGTCACGTAACCGCTCCCGGCCATGGCACCCTTGAGAGCGACGGGTTTCCACTGAAGCATCATCTTCACTCGTCCGGTCTTGGCTCCTGCAAGATTGTACCATTCAGTGCCTTTGGAGGTCAAATCCAACATGTCGTCAAGCTTAATCTGGTAAGTACCGATGACCGGATCGTGCGCAATCTCTCGGTTATCCTTGATGACGAGGCCCAGTCGAGCTTTCTTGCGATCAGTGATTAGGAGCTCCTTCGTTGCGTCCTCCCAGATTGGGTTGTTGGTACGGTCCAGCTTCTTTGAAGTGGCTACCTCCTTTCCATTAAGCAAGAGCACGGCGTAGGGGCTGAGTTGACCAATCATCGATTTGGTACCGTCTAGATCCTTAGCTTGCTCGACGGTGAACTTGGCGATACCGGTCAAGCTCTCCGGCGGAGGCTCCACAGTTCCGTCAGCCAAAGTTTGACCCTCGAGAACCGGGAAGAAACGGATGTCTGCTTGCACTATGCCGCGCGGCCTTCCACTCGCGATGACTTCCAATTGCTCATTCTCGAATTCATTTTGCGATGTGAGCCGTTCAAGATCGAAAGTAGCAACTCCCAGGGACTTGTCCTTGCGAATTTCGTTGTAATCCATGACTTGAATGGTGAGGGGTTCTCTGAGACTGGTGAGAATAACGTTGATAGTCTCGCTCCATCGTGGATTGGCATTTTGGTGCACTGTCTTCGTTCTACCGAGAGCGACGCGATTGTTGATCGAAACTTGCGCGTATGGATCGGGCGTGCCAGAGAACTTGTCCGGATTCTTCAAGCCTTGTGCGCCATGGAATACCACCTGCAGCACACCGATAGCTTGATCCACAGGGTTGCCAGCGAGCATTTTTGCGATCTCGATCGGGAACACGTTGGGATCGTACATCATCGGCGCAAGAACGGAGTGTATTGTTTCTTGGATGAATCTTTCTAAACCAGGCACAAAATTGATATCGAAGCCGAGCATGTCGCCACCGATTGGCTTGCAGACGTAATCGAATGTAGGACGTCCGAGGAAAGAAATGTCAATGCGGTCGATGTGTGGGAATGGGAGCATGAGCTTCATCTTGACGCGCATGAGCCCAGTACAAGCCATGTCCTCGACAATGATATCAAGACCCTTCGAAATCATAGCTTTACCAAGTCTGACCTCCAGGACAACCTTCGGATTGACCTTGTTCTTGACCTGCCGGGCGGTCATGTCTGCGGTGTCATTTGGTGTGAAGCTGAACTTCCAATCCATGATCACAATGTCGTCTTCAGCTCTCGGGTAAGTCTTGACGTGTTCGAGGCGAGGAGGCTTGGTGCCAAGAGTGAAGTGCTTCATGCGCATGCTGTCCAAAAACGCCGGTGTGGAGGTGCTGAGGACTTGGTCAACGGAGGCCACGATGGTTTTGCAAAGAATCGGCGCATAGATCGGCCAGAATTTGACGAGGAAGCTGTTCATCCATTCGAGCGACTCGACGTCAGTCTCCAACTTCGCTTTGGCGAGCTCCCGTGTGATGTCGTCGCGGAAGTTGCGCCTGACACGACGAATCGATGTCCTGTAGAATGTCGAGCACGCTGCCATGATTAAGAAGACCCAGCCAAGTCCACCGCCGAGGACTGCCACCGTCCAGGACGACAAACATGCGAAGATGATGATCCCTGCATTGTGGTACCAGTCCCCGAAGAACTTTTCGCTGACTTTGCTCTCGAGAAAAGTCTGGTGATCCAGCATATTGGCCTCCGGCTCTGCCTCTGGATGGCCAAACCTCGGTGCCCAGCCCACATTGGCATATTCAGCGTCCTGCTCTTTCTTCGCCTCGGATGGTGAGATTTCCGTAGGTGATGTGACGAGGGCCCCGGATCTGCTAGGAGTTGGCAAATCGTATCCTGCATCGGGACCATCGTCCTGGTCGGTGACGAGCGCAACCGGTTGCTTCTTGAGGTGCGGCGCATCTACGATCGCCGTTGATTTGATCTGGGCAGCCTTCTCCTCGGGACTGGCGTAGGGATCGAAACTGAAGGCTGCAGCTCCGCCTGCGCGAGCCTCATCATGCATGACCTTCTCGGCATCTTCGGCGGTGACGGAGCTGTTGGGGTCTTGCGCGGCTTCTACAGCGCCCTGCGACTTGAGCTCATGGACGCGTCCAGCGAGGCCGTGCAACATTTTTGCAGATGGGACTACCTCTCAGGCGGCGATGTGGCCAGGGTGCCAATGGGCGCGAGTCGGTGGTCTGCTATGCGGATTTGGTGCAGCTCTCGCGCAAGCTTAAACTTCCCCAGCGATCGAGGGCGGATGACGTTTGCTAAACAGGCCACGGCTTGTGACCGTACAGAACGATTCCGAAGTAGGCTCCCTTGAACGGGCGAAGTGGAATTATAGGGAATTAAAAAGAATGTGAAGAGCGAGAAAATGAGGATGCCAGGAAGGTGGCAGGGCCGTGAGAATGTGCATCTGCATGTGCATGTGCATGTAGTGAGTGGGTAAGTGGATGGGTGTGTAATATCTACCAAGGGAACAAAGAGCTAAGCCGACCACGTCGCAAACCAGGCGTTTATTACACCTAGGCAGTAATCAATACAGTACAAACCTTGGCCGAGAAGTGGTCGTGGGCGTAGTAGTACACATGCACGTACAGTCCGTCAGTACATAACATACCATACGGCACACAGGCATCTCCCGCAGGTCTCGATCGATGGGCGCAGGTGCCCGGGTGAATGTTCTCTCCAGCTCCTCCCAATGCGCAGGCGCTCGTTAGCTTAGCTTCACCACCTGGGCACGCACGCACCTGGGCAGCTTCGTCATCGGTGCACGCCCATTGGCCGTCCGCGCTGTCTTTGTGTGTACTGGACTGTACTTCTCGATTTACGCGAGCAATGCATTGTCCGTTTACAGCGACGCGACCTCAGCAGAAGACCTCTGCATTATCATTACTCGCATGCACAAGATCCCTCCGCTATTTGCAACGCGGGCGTGGATCGTGACCGGAATTCCTCTCCGATCGTGAGGGAATTAGTCTTCGCATGATGATAGGAGAACATGCGGCTGCTTGGGATGAAACGCGCGTCATTTTCACTCATTTGAGATTACGCGGTCTGGCCAGAGCTGTCGAACCCTAATAAATCATGCCGCTGGGCCCGGACTTTGTCGATCCAGCACCACATTGGCTTCGTGTGCTTTGGAGGCGCAGGTCATCAGCTGGATGCTGACTACTGTCTTGTCATACAATGTTGTGATGGAGGCTGTCGGGGATACTCTCTCTCATGTCACGGTTACAGTTCGACTGACCAGGGCTCGTTCAAGCCAGGGTTACGCCATGGAATGCAATGCTTGCGGGAGCGAGCTTGAACATCCCGCGTCCAGACCTTGCGTTTCTTTCCGCATGGTTATTATCGGCCTGAGGAGGATTAATTACTATTATTATTAAGATCGTCTCTACGTCTATTCATTATGTGCACTCTGTCCTCTGCCTGAGAAATAGCCGGATACTGTGAGACCTTCGGACGTCAGTGATAGAATGCATCTCTGATTGAGCCAGGGAAGCAGGCGGTCTGGCATGTGCATGCCAGCGCACAGCACCGTGGGATGCATTGGCAAAGGATCGCCCGGCAATCACCCAAGCAGCTGGCCATCTGCCCATACACTACCATCGCTCGGCTTTAATGCACAAGTTCTGGACCTGCCATGGTGAATTCGAAAAATGACGGTTCGGCAGTATGAAGTCCATGATGTCAAGTCTTCGGGATTGGCTTATCGAAACCAGTGGCACTCTGTCACGACTTGACTGTAGTTCACGGTCCATATTTCGGACGTGCCTGCGGGATCGGCTGACGAGCACAGGTCGCACCGCTCGCGAAGCGGGAACGCGCATGTTGAAGAGTAGATCGAAGTCGATCGAGATGATCGATCTCAGCATATAGAGGATTTCGAGACATGGTATATAATTTCCGCGCCGATCATATGCAGTCGTTGGCTATTGGAACCGTTGTCTCGTCATGGAGTCGATCAGCTCACGCCCTCCTCCTTGGTGATGATCAAGAGTGGTCCTTCGATCTTCTTCACTTTGCGGCCTTCCAAGTACGTGATGATGCCTGCAAACATGGCGACGCCACAGCCAAGGGCGATGAACGTGCCTGTGGCCCACGTGGGACGGTCGAAGCGCGAGTAGTGCCACATGAAAAACGAGAGCACCGCCTGTAGCAAAGAATTGAGAACCATCATCCACACGACAAAGTGTAACTTCCACATGCGGGTCGGCGGAGCATGGTTGCCCGTATAGGTCGGCGGTCGAATGTACGTCTTGTGATGCGGTCCCTTCTGGGCCTCGACATCAGGCGACTGTGCCGATTCCCATGCGATCGGTGGGCGGAACCAGGACTTGTTCTGCTCTGCAAGGTGCGCACGCGCGTCCGGACTGCGACGGTATCGGGCGCTCGCGAGGTAGTAGAGGTCGCGGAATCGCCATGGCGCCAGCCCGAAACCGGTGACGCAGAAAAGCGCATTGAGGATCTGGCTGTCAATCTCCAGCCAGACCTGTCGCGGCGCATAGGGATCATCCTTGCTCGGTTGCGCCATGGCGGGGGCCGCATTCAGCAAGAGGAAAAACAGCATCGCGCCCCAGGCGACAATGTTGAGGCCGTACAACGTAATGAGAAAACCCCAAGGCGTGATCACAAATTTGCCAAACATCGAAAGACCATGCTTCAAAGCGACCGCCAAAGATTCTCGCTTTCTCTTCTTCGCATCATGTAACGTGCTGGTCCCCCTTCTTTTAAGCCGACGCTCCGCTTGTGTGAGTTCATCGCGCGGTATCTTTTCATCCTCGGCCTTTGTTGTTTGAACTTCGTCTACGTCCTCTTCCTCCTCCTCCAAAGACCCGCCGGAAGGATCACGTACAAGCAGCTGCCCATCTGCCGTCTCTTGTACACGAATGCCTGTCCGCGTGCCGTCAAACTCGAGGTTCTGTCCTCCCGCTACTGGTTGGCGCAGCTCGTCCACATTGGGTGCGTTGGCCACTACAGCCGCAGTGGCCGCCCACATGCCATAGGGTGGATTGGCATTGAGGAGCGATGCCGACGCGGCTCGAGCGCGCCCGATCGCTGTCGTGGGCGGCTTGACATCCTCGTCGCGCGCAGCCATGATTGACAGAGCAGGGGAACCCGGTTGAGGACGGGAGGCGAGCGTTATGAACGTTCACTGACCATGCCGATAGCCTGGCCTGTATCGACAATGCGCACGTTGTGGCAGGAATCGCGAATATATATTCAGGTGAGCGAGGTGACAAGTCGCGTTCGGAACCGCACAGTCGGAAGTCCAAATCCTGGCACGTGCCAGGCACGTACCTTGTACAAGTCCACTGGACCGCTCGGGGGAGAATGCCCGCCGAGCGCCGGGGATCACCACCGCCATATCGGCGTTTAGGCGACACAATTGGCCCGACTCACCCGTACCGGCATTGTCATGAGACATCAGGCCGAGTTAGGACCGTCCTTGGTCCGTGAGCCGATCATTGATCAATAACAACTATCACTATCAGGTACCACGCGCTCATACGATGGCGGAGTCGGGTCAAGCTGCAATTGCATGTTCTCTACCAGGAGCTCGTTGGTACTGATCTTAGCACAAAAACCACGCGAAAGGCAGCCGAGTGCTCGAGACAGGCGCGTTTCTTGAACACGCAGCAGCCAATTCGCGATGGAACCTCAACAGCTATTCGGCGATGATGGTCGGGTCGAGTTGAATATTCCTGAGAAAAAGACCTTTCAAAAGGCCTGGTTCGAGCGTTACACAAGAAATGGTAAACACTGTCGTTCCAATCTCGACCATACCAAATTACGACAGGAAAAGAAACCCGAAGACCTGCCAGTCCCAAAACTCAACATCGCTATCCATATTGTCGGTTCTCGAGGAGACATCCAGCCTTTTATCCCGATCGCGCAACTACTCTCGCGTCCGCCGTACAATCATCGCGTTCGATTATGTACGCACCCGGTCTTTCGGAAATTTGTCGAAGACAATGGTATCGAATTCTTCTCCATCGGGGGCGATCCCGAATCCCTGATGGCGTACATGGTCAAGAACCCCGGACTCCTTCCTGGCAGGGAAAGCATCCGCGACGGCGACATCGGGAAGCGACGCAAAGAAATGGCAGAGATCATCGAAGGATGCTGGCGAAGTTGCATTGCTGCGGGCAACGGCAGTGAGAATATCGAACCCATCGATGTAGAGAGCGTCACGGAGCTGTTCCTAGCCGATGCCATAATCGCCAACCCACCAAGCTATGCGCACATTCACTGTGCCGAGAAGCTGGGAATTCCGCTGCACATTGTCTTCACGTAAGCATGTTTCCCTGCGTATATGAGTCGAGCTCACAATCTCGCCACAGAATGCCTTGGTCGGCATCACACGAATTCTCGCATCCCTTAGCATCGTTTGCAAAAAGTGACGCAAATGCGCGCACCCTCAACTTTCATTCTTTTGGCTTGATGGAGCTGCTCGCTTGGCAAGGGTAAGACTTGCTCCCGACAATGGTTTTGTGTGGTTGATGTATCAGCGCTGACATCATACTCAGTCTCGGCGATATCATTAACAATTTGCGAGTAGATACGCTGAAGTTGAGCGAAGTGAGCCCGCTATGGGGCCACATCTTGCTCAATCGCCTACAGGTACCGCATTCGTACTGCTGGTCACAGAGTCTCATACCGAAGCCTTCTGATTGGGCAGATCATCTGAGCGTGACAGGCTTCTCATTTCTAAAGCTTGCAATATCCTACATTCCTCCACGGGACTTGCTTGACTTCTTGAATGCCGGACCAGCCCCGATCTACATCGGATTTGGTTCTATCGTCGTCGCAGATCCAAAGGCTTTGACTGAACTGATACTGAAGGCTGTACAGAAGGCGGGTGTACGTGCGATAATCTCACGCGGTTGGGGCGGTGTAAGCGCAGAAGCAGTGCCTCCAAACGTCCACTTCATCGGTAATTGTCCCCACGATTGGTTGTTTGAACAAGTGAGCGTAGTCGTCCATCATGGTGGAGCAGGCACGACAGCTGCAGGAATCGCGGCAGGAAAGCCGACGGTTATCGTGCCGTTCTTTGGTGATCAGCCTTTCTGGGCCAATATGGTCTGGCGAGCCGGGGCCGGCCCTCAACCTGTACCCTTCAAACAGATGACAGCCGACACCTTGGCGCAGAGCATCCGTACGGCACAGCGACCGGACGTGCAGAACGCCGTGAATCAGATGCGCGCGAAGATAGCCGCCGAAGACGGTGCGCTTCAAACAGTGCTCAACTTTCATGACAAACTCGACATCGACCGCATGCGGTGCCAAGTGTGTCCAGATCAACTTGCCATCTGGGATGTGAAATTGCGTCGCAAGACGTATCAACTCAGCAATCGTGCCGTTGCGGTTCTGGTCCAGGAAAAAGTGATCAACGCAAGCCAATGCCGACTGTAAGATTGATGATCAACATCGATGCCCAGGAACTCAGCTGATCATCATCAATAGAGCTCACAACATTCGCTGGGATGTTGATGAAGGCGCCGAGTCGCTCTCGGTAGGCCTGATCGCTACCATTGGGTCTATCGGGCATGGCATCGTGAAAAGTACGCAAACGTACAGTCAGCGGCTAAAGGCGAAGCGTCACAAGTGCAGGGATCTCCCAGAAAGTATTGAGACAGAGAAGCCGAAGATATCTCGCAAAAGAAACATGGTGGACTCCGCAGCCTTGACTCGCAGTATCACGCTGGACCGCATTGATGATGAACTGGTGTACAAGATCGCGAACCGGATGGCAGCCAAGAGGTACTCTGTAAAGGCCTTCGAAAGTGAAGACGAGATCAGAGCACGGCGGACCCAGCGAAGTCGTGCTCTGGAGGTAGCTGCGGGTACGGCTGCGTTTGCAGGCGACCTGCTGAAAGTTGGTTTACGAGGTATGTCGCAGCAAAGCATCACTGGAAAGCTACGCTGACTCAGGAACATCAGCGCCCGTCACTTTCACAAACAACATGGCCAATGGATGTCACAACATGGTGGACTTCATCAACAGCGACTCAGTCCTTGAACACTACCGGCGGAGAAAAGAGATTCATGGCTTTCGATCCGGTCTGGCGGTTGGTGCTCAAGTATGATTGCATCTTTCACAGCTTTATTTCTAGAGCTGACATTGTATAGGGGTCGGCACTTGGATTGTACGATGCATTTGCGAGCTTCGTCCGCCTTCCGATCCGAGATGCTCGGAATCACGGGCCAAGAGGCGCCGCCCGTGGGGTCGGACGGGCTACCGTGACTCTACCTCTGAACTTGGGCGCTGCGCTGTTCAGCTTGCCCGGATACACCCTGAAAGGTCTTGAAAGAGACATTCACAAACGACGTCTATCTAAGCTCGAAGCGGATTTGCTCATTATACGAATTCGCCAGCTACTAGCGGAGTGGCCAGAGCTGTCTGCTGACAATAAGCAGGAGATCCTGCAAGCCTGGGAAAAGTTGACCTTATCTTAAGTCGACACAAATGGACAAAGTCCAAAGACTCATCCATAACTGCCAGTTCAGCACAGGAATGAATTCTTAATCCCGCGTCCTTGGCAGCGGAGCTTCTCCCGAATGCGCATACCACATCCTCTCATGCATTAAGCTGAACCCTATTATTATCAATCTATGGGTTTAGATGGCACTGATGAACTCTCTCAGTAGATGTCGTGACGAAAAAAGTCGTGGGCCATGATGTATCCGACTTCGAGTGCTAATCATTTGTTCGCACTGCGTGCTGGTTGCTTTCAAAACGTTCTGCTCCTAATTAGGCCTCCTGCCGTTCATTCCCTTTGTAGATGTGCGCTTTTCAATTTTGGCCGGCGCGAAACCCTCGAGCGGGGTAGCCTGGCCCAGGAGCCACATTGACACTTTGTTGAGTGCGAGTAGAAGATTCAGTACATTATAATGTGCTACGGTGAAATCCGATGATGCAAAGGAGAATCGCTGTGGGCGCAAAAAGATAGGAATCCCCCTCGCGTTGCGAAAACACCTAAAAGTTCGGCTGGCGGCGTGGATTGATGGAGCCGGGCGTGCATACCGCTTGTGGAGCCATCAATTCCGGGGTACATCGGGGTCATTTGGATTGCCCGCCCGGCATTGTGTCGTTAATTTGATATTCATTGCGCGCGCCGCACATTGAATTTTGTCAAATTCGTCACTCGTCCGAAACCTGCTCGAGTATGACATGGGTTGGAGGATCGCTCTTGTCCGAGCGGTTCTGGCGCTCCAGTCGGAATCGTATCATGCGGCACATTCGACCGGGAGGGCTTGTTTGCATAGCGTTTGACGTTGACAAATGCAGGAACTAGACAACAGTGCCGGGAATTTATGCGATAAACGAATTTGTCGACGATCAATGCTCTCCGTGGGCTTGAGTTCTCGATGTGGCGAAGCATTACTACACGATGTGCCCGCCTTACATGAGAAGAGACTTTCTTCAATGGAGCGCGAAGTAGAAGCCCACAACTTCAAAGTTTCGCGAACCCGAGAATACAGGTCACTTCTCATACCAAACATACACTCCAAAACACCATGGCATCTTCCACGAATGATGGGTCAGCTTTGCCAAAGGTGACTCTCCACTGGTGAGTATTGCTTCGACTAGCTGATCGCAACTCGAATCTCTTTTCTGACTATTTGACCTAGGTTGGAACAGTCCCGTTCGCAGCGCATAGTCTGGCTGCTACAGGAATGCAAGGGCATCGATCTCGAAATCAAAATCTACAAGCGCGTGAACATGCTGGCGCCGCCTGAGATGAAGAAAATCCATCCGCTTGGCAAGTCACCGATTGTCACGATTCAGGCGCCTGGTGCAGCTGAGCCGATAGTTTTCGCTGAGACGGGTGCTATTACCGAATATCTCACCGAATACTTCGCACCGCATCTCATTCCAGAGCGATTTCCCAAGGGCACCCAGCCGCGTGTCGGTGGAGAAACTCAATCATGGCTGCGATACCGCCATCTGATGCACTACGCCGAGGGTAGCCTGATGTCGTTGCTGGTGCTGGCGCTGGTCATGGATCGTATGTTTCACATGCTTCTTCAGAGCTGCCTCGGCCAACTTTAGCAGATTTCGCTGACCCTGGCGCTCGCATTCACAGAGATTCGCGACAGCCCACAGCCATTTTTCGTGAAGCCGATCACGCGTGGGATCACAGGCCGCATGGACGAGATGTTTCTTGATCCCAACTACAAATCTCAATTCGGATTCTTGAACGAGCAGCTGGCGACAAGCCCTTGCGGCGGCAAATTCATCACAGGCAAAAGCCTCACTGCCGTCGATATTCTGCTATCGTACCCGCTGGTTTTCGGCAAGTCCAAGATCAACCTAGCCGCGTATCCCAAACTCGCCGAGTACATCGACATGCTCGAGCAGCACCCGGGCTATCAACAAAGCGTCAAGAAAATAGAGGAGCTGACTGGCGAGCCGTTCCAGCTGCACCTCCAGGTGAAGCATTAGAAATCATTCGTAAAATACATATATCGAAATTTCAACCCTTTCCCACAGAGAAATGGAAGGTGGTGATCGCGTCAAGATATGCTGGATGACGAACGTTCGGTTTGTCAAGGATGAGTGTAGTTTGTCCTTTGTGAGTAACATTCCATATAGGAGAGAGTCGAATTCGAAAACTCCCTCTCGCGCGGCGTCGCTGTTGGTTCTCTTTGGCTGCGAGAACTCGTCAAATCAGTTGTTCACTACGCGTCGGATCGAGACAACGTTTCATCATATCACTTGACGGTTCCCCTTCAAATCTATCGATCAAATATTGCTGGCCTGACATTCTGGCACTGATACTATCCAAGACATGCTGAGAGCTGTGAAGCCAAGCTGTGTTGGGACCTCTCCAAAATGCCTCTCGAGATGACTAGATGTCGCCAACGCCGTTTGGGGATGAATTTTTGCGCGTAATGCGTATGCGCCAGTCGCGCGCCGCATTATACATCTCGGTATCGGTCTCGCGCAGTTGGAAAATTTGCGCGATGAATCTATTTAAATGATTCAGACACGCCAGGCTGACCCTTGATTGGCGACGAAATCTGCCTGGTGGGCCGCGCTTGTCGTTTATCGTTTACCCTACAGCACAGGCACCGATCAAGTCATAAACGACATTCAGACACTTGACCCCAATCACATAAATATTCCAATGGTCCTCACTTGATTGCAGGGTAGCTCTCTCGTCAGTGGCCTGGTATTTGTCCATCCTACATAATAATCTGTAGGAGTTTTGGTCGGAAGGTCGCAAGCTTTTCAGGTGGCCGCCATGACCGCGCTTGAATTTCTGCCGACATCGAACCCGTGGGCCTTGGCCGCGGTCGTGACACTGTTATCCTTGTGCTCGCTTGTATACTGGCTCGCACAAAGGCCAGCCTTCCCGCGGAATGCCCCGCCGATGATAAAGGGAGGCAATTTCCCCGTCTTCGGTGCTGGGCTGCGCTTCTTCAAGGAACGATGGGTGAGCGACAATAGTTGATATGTTCAGGGCTGACAAGGATTGAGAGCTGATGTGATTCGTATGTCAGGATTTCCATCGCCAAGCAGCGATTGATTCCAAAGGCCAGCCTTTCTCCTACTATGTTGGCCCGCATCCGGTGATTGGAATGACCGGAGAGCAAAACCGCAAACTCTTCTTTGAACACAAGGGCTTCAACTTTTCCAACGCATATACGACCTTGTTCGGCGGCGGCGGCCAGATCCGCGAGGACACCGCAGCTCGCGCGACTAGCGATGGTGCAGGATCTGAGGCCGGGGACGCCAGCGGCTTCGCTTTGTACTTCAATCGTCGTTTAATCGCAATGCTCAAGGGCAACGTGATTCGCAAAGGTCTGCCCAACCTCTTGAAGGACACCCGCGCCCGACTCGACGAGCTGGCTCGTGACTCACGTGGCATCACCGATCCGTTCGACAGCATCTATCGTATCGTATTTCAGTTGACAATGAGAACGGTGGCGGCACGGGAGATCTGCGAAGACGATGCTTTACGCGAGCAATGCCTGCGGCACTTCGAGATGCTCGATGAGAGCACGTCCGCGCTCGGAGTAATGTATCCTTGGCTTCCGTTGCTGAGCACAGCCAAACGCAACTACGCTGGCGCCCGCTTGTATATGGTATTCAACAACCTTATCACGGATCGAAAGAAGCACAACCGGACGGAGGACGATGCGATGCAGTATCTACTGGACCAAGGAGACAACGTCGTAGATATCATCACGGTAAGTGGAAGCTGATCGACTATCTCACAAATATCTACTTGCATCGTAATAGAAAGCTGACAAAGGTTCAGTTCGTGCTAGGATCATTGTTCGCGGGACAACTCAACTCTGGCATCAATGCGGCGTACCTACTGTGTTTCCTCGGACGGGACCCACACTGGAAAGGGAAAGTGATCGAGGAGATCCACACTGTCGCGGACAAGTACTCCCCAGATGCGACCAAACCGCTGGTAGATCGATTGATGGACGTGCCTCTAGAGGCCTGGGAGGGCGAGTTCCCCGTCGTCGACATTTGTCTCAAGGACTCGATCCGCCTGAATCTTCCGGGTACTGCATTCCGCCAGAACCTAAGTGGCCAGGACATCCCACTCGACAAAGAGGGCCGTACAGTTGTCCCGCATGGTGCATTCATGACTTATGCAAGCGGCGACATGTTCTACAATCCAGACATCTACCCTAATCCGGAACAATGGGACCCTGCACGGTACTTACCCGAGCGCGCCGAAGATAAGAAGGAGCAATATTCCTGGACTGGTTGGGGTGTGGCACGCCACCCATGCCTCGGTATGCGCTTCGCTAAGCTCGAAATGAGCATGATTGTCAGTTTCTTTGTCGCATACTTTCCCGACTTTCATCTCTCCGACTCTAAGGGCGTAAAGAGCGATTTTATTCCTTTAGGCGACCGCAACAACCTGACGGCTAAGAAGCCACGGGAGAATGTGTATCTTAAATATCAGTAGTCGCTATGAATATGAGCTCAATGAAACTTCCATAATCGCCTAGACCACAAGTTTGGTAGGCTTTATGCGACTGTTCCGTCATCTAAATCTGCTATAGTTCTGACATTGTCACCTAATGGGAGCATTGGAGGATTAGATTCGATCGTCGTTAGCTGCTTAGCTAACGGTAATGCTTCTCCAGCAAGATTTAGAAGTACAAGATTACTTTTGACAGGGAAGTAAGAGACAATAATACCATATACATCTATAAGTTACTTGCCTGTAGCCGACATCCTGGAGACCGCTATGCTGATACATTGAAAAGGGCGCAGCATCTACACCAGAGAACCGTGATATGCTGCGACGACAGCATCAAATCATTCGGTGCCATGATGATCGATCTCCGATGGCCGTGAACCACGTGAGTCGTTCAGCGACGTTTCTGCTTGTGACATGGGACGCTCGCACATACGCACCGCGATGCTGCAAATCCAATGCCAAGAAGACATCGTATTGGAACCCCAGGACAATGCTTTCGCATCCAAACTTTGCTGCTTCACACCGACGTTTCTCATCGACTATTCCGGGACTGAACGGTTTGCCAACCTCTACGGACGTATTGATACGTATCAAGGCAGCTGTCGAAAGTCTTGAATGAAGCGTATGATGTATATCGACGGGCAGGCTCATGTCAGAACCACCGAACATCGATTCTTAGGTCGGTCCAAAGTGGATTTCGATCGAGGAATACCTAGACGACGCGCGATGATTCCTTCGATATTCGAGGTTTCGAGTTAAAGCATCTCGTTAAAATCGGAGGTATTCGCCTTGGTCGTGCAGCCTAGGGATCATGTCCAGATCGCTTTCTGAAGCATGAAACTCGGTTCTTGAACCTTTTGTAATGGCCACAGTGAGCTGTTGGCCACCATCCCGCATAGGCATACTAATTCTCATGACATGTCACTCGAGGGTGCGAGATCATTGATTGGATGAGAATGAATAATCTCTCAAATGAGTCTCAAGGGCAATTGCACGGCTACCAGAGCGAATATCTGCGTCCTGATGGCTACCGGGAAATGATGATCTGATCCCTACAGCCTTGGAGTGACAAAACATTTGATATCTTGCGGCAGAAGCGTCCAGACCATCATCAAGTGCTTGAACGGCGCTCGTCCCCTCACCATTGCCCTATGGGAAAAATCATTCCCTTCACCTGTCGTACTGCGTTCATCGGGTCGAATTTTTGTAGTCTGTTGTACATTCGGACCTCCACTCGTCCACAAAAGATCGTTTAGTTCATAAAGTTTGATGTGTGGGAGTGTGTGTAAGCTGTGAAGTGTGAATTGCAAATTGTGAAATGTGACGCGTGAATCATGGAGTGGGAAGTACCTGGTATGCAGTCCCGGAGCCTTGGAATTCTCGTCCAGCGATTGGAATCGTCCCGCAATAGTCAGCGCTTGCGCTGCTACGATCCGAAAGTGCCTGCATTTCTCCGGAGAGTGCACTCGGCAGGTTGTGAGTTGTCCAGGATAGATTTAGCTTGTCGGTCAAACGCATATCGACAATGCCGTACTCACGTCAAGTGCACTCACAACTTCGATCATCGATTCCGGTTCTTTCTCATTGTAAAGATTCCTGAAAAGTGATTGTCTTCGAGACGTCGAACAGCATGACTACCTGATATCGTCTACTTCCGCAATAACCACCATTGGTCAATAAGACACTCTTGGTACTTGCCCTTGGGATGTCCTGAGCACAGCCAGTTGCATCTTCGCCCCGCGCGACGGCATCTGCACTGCGCGCTACACGGAGGTGAACACTTGCAGAACAATCGCATGACCTCGAGGATTGATTTATGCAACGCCGGAGTATCGAGGTGCGGTCGGCTATCACGGATCAGTGACTCGAGACAAGTAAACGTCTCACCGAAATCGAGCACCGTCGGCTCGTTCGTAAGACTAGGGTTTTTGAGGAAGTAGGCGCAATTGTGTATGTGTTGAACCACGCAGGCTTCGTCCCAGAACATTCCCCCGGTCATGACGCTAGTTTGAACAGTGTGTACGGCGTGGATTATGCGTTGTCCAGGGGGCATGACAAAGGTGAAGCCTGGCCGAACTAACACACCATAGATAGGAGCTCGAGTAGGAATCCATTTCTCACCGGCTCTCTCGTACTCGGCCCAGTCAGCGGCCGTCATCTTGTTGGGATCAACCCACATCCAGAGCTTGATGCCGAAGACGCAAGTTACATAGGTGCCACTCAAGATGTCGCAATGTGGTGCCGAAAAGGCGCCTGTGCATCCAAATATGTTAAATCGCAAGCATTCCGTAATGTCAGCTGCTTTCCCGCTAGACGACATTTGTCTCCAGGCCAAAGTTTTCAGTAGCTTGAAGCTGTGCTTCTGTAAGAAAGCAGGTTCGGCAGCACTTAGGTAGTCGGGCATATTCAATGCATTCGTACCAAAGTTTGGAGCGCTTGACAGACCCCGGACGGCTTCTGACGTAAGCTGTTGGTGCTCCGAATAGCGAGGGTTAATGATCTCAAGCGATTTCTTCGGTCCGAGGCAGTCCGCAACATGACTGAGATAGCTGTCTAAGCTCCACAAACCTTTGTCCATAGATTGTTCGCGAATCAAGATTGGCTTTATCCAGACTTCTGGATGCTCGCGAAGGAACTCCTCTGTCCGATGGGAATCCAGAGTGAGATATTGGATTTCCAGTCCGTCCTGCAGGTGAGCAGTGAAAGCATCGTAGCCGACTGTAGGCGTCATACCTTCTATCCAGCTAATCTGAAGGCTGGAGTGATGCATAGTCGGTTGGAGGATCTTCTGGCTGTGTTTTGCTTGTCGCTTTGCTTCGGCGAAGCATGCTGAATCATCGTCAAGACTACAAGTAACATTGTACTTGAGCCCGTCGCTGTTTTCCGTAGTCTCATCAATCACGACAGTAGACTTGTCACTGGAGAAGTCGTCATCGTGGCCTCTGTCGTGTTCGCGGTTGGGAGTAGCATCTGCACTCTGGCTTGGAGCTGGTGTGTTCGTTGCCCTTGTCCGTTTGTTCAGAGCTGAACCACTAGGCGGGTCGCGTTGATGGTTCCTCTTGGAGAATTTTGAAGCCAGCTTATGGGGCGTCTCGTTGCCGTGACATTCGGTTTTCGTAGCCGGCGTCGCGTCAGGAACATGTAGCAGCTCTTTCCGCCGCTGCCCTTTTTGCGGAGAAAGATGTAGAGAGCTCGGAGTCGTGGGCTTTTTGGACATTGATTGGTCTACAGTTCCAATCTGGAATGTTCTCGTCGCGGACCGCAATGCTGCTGGCGCTTTGTCCTGACAGACTTTGTTGCCTAAATTCACAAGCATACCATGCTTGTCCCAGGTGAGTGTATACCAGCCATGAGGGTCGACCAGCCGTTGCACGTCGCATGGATTGAGGTGCTCTATAGTCTCAATTCTGTAATCGCCATCCAGAAACCTCTCGATGTCTTCAGTCGTCACTCGCACACGATCTATATTCTTGAGAGTATGAAAGTCCAAAGCACAAATGGGTGATGCAGCGTCTCGGACAAGTGCCTGAGGATGGTGAAGCCCGATTCGATAGAGCGTAGCAGGATCAGGGGTATTCAGTGAGTCAATGTGACGCTGGAATAAAACACGGTTCAACTCTCCGACAAAGACTTTCCATTCGGGGTATCTCTTCGCTTGCTTAACAAGTTCATCAAGCCAGTGGTAGCCTTGTCGGTCCCATTGGTAATGGAGTACTCTAGGAAGGGACCATTGGCCAATTAGGATCGCGAGGGCTCTGGCTTTGCGGCGCGTCTTGACACCACTATCGGGAGTCTCCAGAGCTTTGCACTTGTTCCAAGAGTTATCACGGATCAGGTCTCGAGACAGAGCGATCTGGTACACTGTCACCGAACAGAGTGCATATTGCTCAAACGCTCGGTCCCGGAATTCTTCTACGACCTTGAAGCGTTCACCCTGCGATTTGCTCTGTTCTAGTCTTTGATGTAAGGCCTGCATAAATTGGACTTCAGATTCTGAGACATGAGCTATACGATTGTCTTCCATGTTGATTGAGGTATCCATTCGCGTGGGTTTCATAACTCCTGTCGGTATATATCACTGAAGGAGGCAGCGCACTGACCAACTGCGGCATGCCGCGGTTGGTCAGTGCGCTGTGCCTGCATTCCTAGGTTTGAAAGCGTATTGCCCGACTTGTAAGAAAATACTAACGCCTGTACTAATTCTCATATGAATTGTTGTCTTAGTGTTACTGCGGAAGTACTACTTATAAACGGAACCCTTAGCATTTATCAACGTACTACTAGTAATAGAAATCTCTTTGAAAGGCAATTCTAGGCGTCTTATGTTTCTATAAGAGCTATTGGCGAGTTAGAAGGTCCAGTATCTAGGTAACAATGTCAAGTGCCCAGCTGGTTTCGAAGTCCGATTAGGGTTGAGTCTAGGGTTGAACCTGACCATCGACACATTCGGAGCTCCATTTGCGAGATGTTCTTCCACTCCTTTTTCTTTCATCGCAACATTTTACATAAAATATAAGTCCCATGAGATCCACCGCCAAACCGACCATGTCGAAATCGAATTGGTGATTATCTGATTTTCCGACGAATCGCAGCACTCCATGGACAAATGGATCGAATGAGGCGACTTCGCCGACTTATGATATCATAAATCAGCGACACCAGCCGAACGAGAAAAAACGATTGTTTACCTTGAACACGCGTGCATGTAGATAGACAAATAGTTCTCGTCTGAACGCTCGTCCAGCATGGCCTTGACCATCCGTATTCCCGCAGATTAATTCAAAATGAGGTTCCTTGCCGCCTTCTGGACGATTCTCGCCGCGACAGCGAGCGGCCACGCCTGCGCCAAACCCACGGGCCCACCACTGACGTTCCTCCTCTCCGCCAATGTCACCGCCGCCCCCAAATTCGTCGTCGGACCAGAAGCCCTGGGCACTCGCGTGGGACTGCCCATCGCTGGTGGGACTTTTGCCGGCCCGTATCTGAATGGCACCTTCCTTCCCTTGGGTGTCGATCTCGGGATCCTCACCGACGATGGGAAATTTTATCCCAATGGGGTCGCATACTTGAATACGACCGATGGTGCCATTATCGTTTTCCGCGATCAGGGATATCAGGCGGACGGCGCTATCTACGGTTCCGTCTCGTTCGAAACGGGGTACGAGAAATACAAGTGGTTGAATACTGTTGTAGCTATCAGCAGTGCTGCTTTAACTCCGAGCGGCTCGGGCTCGGGAGTTGGTCTGGATATCTTTATCGTAAGTGCAATTTCCTGATCGCTCACATCATGTTCGGTGGGGAATGCCGAGCCCAGTGCTTACGTTGTATACAGGTGGGTGAAATCCCATAGGCCATGGGCTGTCTTCTACCAGAAAGGGCAAATCGCAAGAGCGAAATAAAAGAGATCATCACACACGAGATATTTCCTATGGCTTAGGATTTCGTGCTCAGTCCAAAGGTAGCATCTCATTGCAATATGCGTACCTGGATCGTTATTTCTCTACATTGCAGTATAAATAGAGTTTAATTATTTTACACTACGTCGCCGATATTAATTGAGAGTTATTTGAGCCGACCAATCCAGCATTCGATATGTCGCTTCTGGTCGCCTGCTTCGACGCTGTTGATTCTATACTATCGTAGGTCTTCTACTCCTTTATTATAGCGTCACTCTCGATCCTTCAACTTGACGTGCCCGGTGCTTGATAGAGTGTCAATCTAATAGCAGCGTGATTCTGGGGAGGGAAGGATTTTCTTTCATGGTAGACATGTATATTCAATCGATAATCTATTTAGATAGTTCCTTGTGCTTAGGTTAGAGGCAGAACAGCGAATGAGTTAGGATGTGGGATAAGAGTGATGATATTGTGGACTTCCGAATTTGTGCATTCAACTCGATAGACAACAATCTTCACAGCCTGGCTCTTCAGCACTAGCGGTAGGTGCTAGTCGGACGCAGTCCAAGCCCACTCTTCTCATAAGCCATATCGACCATCTTCATCTGCTTGGTTGAATCATCTCCATTCACCCAGTAATGTGCTTTCCGGCCCTTGACCTGGTTGACAAAAGCCTCAAGTTGATACCGGTATGACATCCACCAAGCCTCGCTTGGGAGATCGGCATGTTCCCCACCCGCCTCTTGATGTGTATAAGCTTTATACGAGCTCTTCTCGGTCCAAGACTTGATGGGTCGACCGTCAGCTTTGTGGCGGATCACGTAGGAGTCCTTGACATCGATACGGTGCCAGAGGACGGCGTGCATACAGCCGTGGAGCGTGGTAATGCGCGTCTGGAATTTCTGCTGAGATTCCGGGAGCGATTTATCCGGCACTGCGACCTCCCGGTGCGTGACTCGGCACTCTGAAGGCTTCCATAAGAGCGGACCGCGAAGGGAAGTCGTCGCATCGCCGGTGCCATTGGGAAATCGGAACGTCGAGTTGAAAGTGTAGTCACACAGATCGTGGACGCCATCGGCGAAAACCTTCGTGTCGCAAGACAAGCATTCCAGAGGTTCTTCACCGAATGCCATACGCATGAGAGCGAAGTTGTAAGTTCCCAAGGCCATGATACTGCCGCCTCCAAGCTTGTAGTTGTACTCGAGGTCGGATTTCTTCGTGAACCACCACGGTACCATGGAATCGGTGTAGACGTGGACGACATCGGCCGGTGAGACGAAAGTCATGAACTTCTGGACGGCGGGATGGAATCGGTTGTGGAAAGCCTCCAGCAAGACCGGAGCATCGGGCTGCGACAGCTCGGGTAAGTTGAAGAGTATGCCTGCCTCGGTGGCATTGTCCGTCGACGGCTTTTCCACCAAAACATGCTTTCCAGCTCGGATGGCACGGACGGACCACTCATAGTGCAGTCCATTGGGAAGTGGGATGAAGACGGCATCGATGTTGGGATCGGCGAGAAGTTCTTAGAGGCAAGGCGTTAGCGGGTCATGTAGAAAATGGAGGGGAGATTCTTTTACCTTCATAGGAGTTCTTGACTTCGGGAATACCATGCTTCTTTGCAAACTCTTCCGCGCGAGTTTTGTCTCTGGCCGCGACGGCTTGCACGATGACTTCTGGGTGCGACAAGGCCGGAGTTATGAGAGCCAGTGGTCTATGATTTTGCGGTTAGGAAGAGCTGATCTCTGTCTGGACGACCGCACTTACGCAATTTTAGCAGCACCCAGAATCCCGAATCTGATGGCGCCATCTTTCTTCTCTGCTTTTGGCGGATCAAAGGACGTAAAAACACGATTCAGTAGGGTCAACATTTTGGAGAGTGCGCGGGTTTGTCAACAGGATGATTGCTGGCGAACGCTCGTCTCCAATGCGGCTTTCGCCATGTTGTATTCAATTCTTGCAGCCTCGTCCATCGGCGGCATAGCAGGAAAATGCGATGATGCAGCGTGTGCAGATCCCTTATTGTCCGAATTGTTGTGGTGGAGCATGTACTCTCGAGGGCGACCAGGCCTAACCATTTCCATCAGAAATCGCCGGTCCTAAGCCCTTGCACCGAAAAGTGTAAAATCTCCGAAATTATCGTTCTTAATGATTTACATGAATTTGCATGATGAGAAGAAAGGTAATGCTACAACTTCATGGAGCCTCTCTGGAGGACTGGGTGGAATATTGATGGAAAGAAGAGAGCAAGCAAAATCTACGATGAAATTTGGCTAGGAAGAGGTGATTTTATAGCCGACTACCAATTAGGTCTTCGAGAAGCGTTTCCACCTCAACTCTGATCATACGCAGCGGAAGAATAACATGACAATAAGCTCCGATAAATTAAAGGCAGAGATCAAGCCGACCCAAGCCTAAGCTTGACTTCGAAACAACCTTAACACGGGCGAGATCAAACTGACACAGTTCCAAGTCTGATCTTGGTGTCCGGCAAAGGCACAATCTTCAAGGCCAAAGGCTTACCATCCGGACCAAATCGCTGTGCGTCAGTGTGCAAGTTCCTGGAATCTCGCACTGCCTGTCCGGCTCGTTTAAGCATGGCCCCGGTGAAAGAGGCGACGGCGTTCTTGACCTTGTGAATATCCTTGTAGTCACCGCTGCTGGCCAGATCACCAAGCACTTTGCTCAACACAATCGTGTCGACGAGGGTGTGATAGCCACCTTCTCCTCGAAAAGGCACCATGGCATGTGCGGCATCGCCCATCAGAATTACCCGGCAAGCTGGGACTTGGGCAGGGTCCAGCTCAAGGTCTCGCCAGACGCGGGTTTCCTTCTGAATATGCTCCGCCTTTGTCGTCTCGAAAATCGTGCGGAATTTAGGCGACAGCTTCCGCGTGTTCTCGAGTACGTGGTTCAACTTTTCCTGTTGACTGGCGTTCTGTAACCAGTGGCCGGGTTGGCCAATGCCAGCGTCGGTTTCCAGGAAATTCCAGTAGTAGCGAGCCGAGAGTCCGTCGGGTTGGACATAATGCAGCCCTGCGAAACCAATGAAACCAAGATCTGGCCGAATGAGCATGTATCCACTGTGACCGAGTGCGAGTTGTTTCTTCATCTCCTCGCCCGAAAGTTCTAGCTCTCCGACAATGGTGGCCAGAGGAACGACTTTGAGAAGCTCAATGGCCTTGCGATGAAGGAGTTGCTCCCGGACTGGACGCTATATGGTTAGTGATCGTAACATGTGCGCTGATGCGTGGATCAAAGACACTTGCCTACACTGTTAATGCCGTCGCCAGCGATCAATAGGTCGCCCTTGGCAGTGCTGCCATCCGTAAATCGCACTGTGACTCCATGATCGTCGTGTTCGAAGCTCTCAAGACGTTTGCCCCATTGCACCGGAATTTTAGTCATCAGCCAGTTTCGAAGGCGGCGACGCTCTGCGCGGATGAATGGAAAATCTGCTGAGTCCTAGGAATATTGCGAAACTCAGCAACTTTGGCAGCTTTTCTCGGCCCCCAAAGATGACCTCACCTGAAACCCCCAGCGATCTTCTCTTCCCGGCAAGTACATGCTTAATTGGGCCGATAGCTCAAGCGGTACTAAGTGGTCTGTCGAAGCCCTTAAATCAGGCATGTCCTCTGGAAGCACGGCTAGGAGCGTATCGACAATGCTTTTCTCTCCCGTCAGAACGATCGCACTCCTTTCTTAAGATACCACGAATGGTACCGGGGGATATATTTACGAATGAATCGCTATGGCCCATCCTTGGAAACGGGCATCCGCGTCAGAATCACGCTCGAAGATCTCGAAGGATATGTTTTGCTTGCGCAGACTCTGAGCCAAGCTCAGGCCGCCAACACCTGCGCCAGCAATGAGGACATGCATCTTTTGTGTTGTGGAAGATGGTAAGGAGAATCAAGCCGTCAATGAAATTGCGTTTTGTAGCTCATTAAATGCCGAGTAAAAAATTCGAGTGAATTCGCTGTCGTATTCAGCGGTCGATCTTTTGCATAGCAAATGAATTATCCTAGTATCATGAGCATCAGCACCGAAGACCCCCGAATCTTACTGTCATTTCGTCATAGATCAAGACTCGAAAAGTGATTACGTTGTTATCCGTCGAACAGTGCCGATCGGCAACGACAGTTCTTCGGGCAGCTGAAGTTCAACCTGCATGAAAATCGCCGAGATCTCCGCGCCGACAATTGTAGCGATTTGTCTTCCAAACCGTCGAAACTTTATCCCTCGTGAAGTCTATGACGATAAAACTTCCGACACCTTTGAAGTCAGCTTCAAGGATTGATATCCCTCGTCTACACGCGTTGAGCCATCAAAGCCAACACCTTGTACTTCGCCTTTGACGCCCCGTATCTTACACCCACTTCATTTTGACAATATTAAATCCAAGCTCAAACACAAAACGACATGAAAATGGCGGTTGAAGAAGTTGAGTTGCCATTGATCGATATAAGCGGTTATCTTAACCCTCGGAAACCCGGTGACAAAGAAGCGGTGGTCCAACAAGTGCGAGATGCAGCGCGCCAATATGGATTCTTCCAAGTGAAAGGTCATGGTATACCTCTTAGTCTTCAACGTGATTTACTCCGCTGCATGGACAACGTCTTCAATCTGCCAAAGGAACAGAAGATGAAAATGTCGTTTCTTGATAACCCATGCCGTAGAGGCTACGAAGCGTCTGGCATGTCGCACCGAGAAGGGGACGCCCTCCCAGATGCCAAAGAGGTAGGCGAATCACCATGTGTTGAATTGAGTTCTTGCTGACTCGCTAAAGTGTTTCTTTGTTGGACGTGATGATCCAGTAGTCGAGCTTTCGGGTATCTACGGGCCCAACATCTGGCCTGATCTTCCGGAAAGCGATTTCCGCGGCCCTGTCTCATCGTATTATCAGCAAACCAATGAACTCGGCAAAAGCCTGTGGGCGATTTTACTCGAAGGCCTCGATCAGCCGGCCGAAACGGTAGCCAAATTCTCTAAGCGGCCAATCGTACCCATGAAAATGATCAGATACCCCCCAAGCAGCAACGTTGCCAAAGGTCAATTTGGCATTGGCGCTCACACCGATTTTGGCGGCGTGACCATTCTGTTCCAACAACCAAGCAAGGACGGTCTCGAAGTCTGGCACGACAGTCGTGAGGAATGGATCGATGTACCTGCGCTGGAGGACATCTATATCATAAATTGTGGAGACATGATTCAACGCTGGTCGGGAGGTGCCTATAAGAGTGCAAGACATCGGGTAATCAACAAGGTCAATGGCGAGAGGCTTTCCTGCGCCACTTTTTGGCACGGCGATGTCCATGCCACGAACCCGCTGAAGCCGGACGATCCCAGCAATGAGACAATCGGCCAATTGTTGGCTAAGCGATTCGGCAACCAGTACTCCTTCTCCAAGGAACTCATGGCGGATGTTCAAGCAGCAGCGTGATCATGATTATTGAAGATTCTCCGTACATATCATCAATAAAGGTAGTTGGTGATTTCTCTTCGGTCGAATTGCATAATCCTGAATCGAACTATACTCGTGTCATTTTGCATCGTGCATTGAATGTGGTAGCATAATTTACGAGCGATATTCTCGATCGAATTTCGATCAAAAGCTCAAGTAAAATCAGGCGCCACATCCATCGTGGACAAAAATCTGTGAGGAATTACAATGGAATGTTGGAATGCTGGGAGGCGCGCAAGGAAAGAAAGTTCACTATTACCTGGTAGTTAGGGTCTGTTCTGCGGCATATGTTGGCTGGACTGGGTCTGTATCCGTTGACTGGTGCGTCTTAGCAATTCGATGGCAATTTGATGTGACCCCGTCAATTCACATCAACATATTGATTGAACCCCATCAATTCGTATCGATATATTAATTTGCCACCAACCCTCCGTATTACTGATATATCCACTACTTTTGATCCAACAGTCGTGGGTTCAGCTGGGCTGCTATCTATCTCTGGATTGACAATTTGATGGATACGTGTGCTGGATGTCCAGCAATCCAACATCCAACGTCAGCCGCAGAACAGAGCTGTACCTAGGCTGATTGAAAACAAATTTTCCCAAACTCAGAAGAGTGTGCCTGAGGCTACAATCATGTGTGTACGCAACTCGACCTGAGACACTACACGCAAGATGCATCATGCACCTCTGACAAAACCATCCAATGGTCTTTTACCAAACAATGTCATCTCCATCTTGGCGATGTCTCTCGATCGTGGTGGTAGCGAGCGATTTTTAAGACTCAAAATCCACCCATCAATCGGCCCCGACAGTCTCGGACGACGTTGATTTGGGCGAATCCACCTCGGCCGAATCCCCAGAATGGGTTTTGAGTTTGCCCCAAGGAATAAAGAATGTGGATATAAAAGCAAGGCCACAGAAGGCCACCGAGACGGCGAAAGCTGACTTGAGGCCATGCATGTATGCGAGCAGCACTCCGGGAATTTCCTCGGGCGTGAATACTGTCCGCAGGTCAGAAGCCCCCGTTGTAATCAACTTCATGGCGTCAATCTCTGGTGCAGACGTGCGAAGTTTGCTGATCGCTTGATTTATGAATGCTGCTTGGGCTGACGAGACGGTGAATGCGCCGCCAACGGTTTGGAAAACTGTGACACCGGTCAGCCATGGACTACAAATGCTCTGCCTTATCCAGACTCACAGTAAAGATTTGCGGTGACTGCTGGAAGATCTTCGGCATCAACGCTCGCTTGCGCAATGTTCAAACCGTTCTGGACCGAGAATGCAATCGCAGATCCCACAACAATTTGGTAGCCGATATACTTGGCGGGCGACGTGTCGATTTCCAAAGTATAAAGGAGTCCGCAGCCAATGGTACCAATCAGTGCACCAGCAAACATAGCCGGAGTTGGTAGTCCTGTCTTGGAGACGAAAATGCCGCCCAAGACGCAAAAGACGGCCACGGAGATGACGATTGGCAGATTATCGACTCCGGACTGAATGGCAGATGCACCCCTCACGGATTGAAAGTAAATGGGGAGATAGTACAAGATGAGAATCAAATCGCCCAGGAAGAAGAATTGGTAGGGACATATGCTCCACAATGCTCGCTTTTTGAAGAGGCGAGGAACCATCATGGCATACTCGTCGAGCCATATGGACCATGCGACCAAGGCGAAAACGAGAACGACAAATCCGCAGAGAAGTCCGATGACCTGACTGCTGTTCCAGGAGTAAGTGGTACCGGCGTACTGAAGACCGAGAATGAAGCAAATGATCGCTGCCATTGTGAGGCAAATCCCAACAGGGTCCAGATGAAGCAGCTTATGTCGCAGAGCAATTGGAGCTGGTCGGGCTGCTGCAGGGAGATAGAAGAAAATGATGACAACGAGAGCTGCGACTCCTCCGATCGGAAGATTGAGATAAAAGCACCATCGCCAGGTGACGCGATCCGTGAAAGCACCGCCAATGATGGGACCGAGAACAGAAGCCAAACCGTACGTCAAACCGATGAATCCCATCATGATCGGGCGAGTCTTGGGCGGAGTACTGAAAGCGACGATACTGGTGCCTCCAACCGAGATCCCAGCTGCTCCGACACCTGCGATCGCCCGGCCCACGATGAGCGTCACTGAGTTAGGAGCGACGGCACAGATGAGACTCCCAATCTCAAAGATGATCAAGGAGAGCACAAATGTCCACTTGATGTCGAAATATTTGAACGCCTTGCCCCATGAAGCCTCGAGACCACCAAAGGTCATGAAGTAGGCTGCACTGTACCATGATACGTCACTCAAGCCGCCGAATTCTGTCGTGATCTTGGGAATGGCTGTGCCCACAATGGTCTACGCCGGAACATCAGTCTTTGATCATTGGGATATGGCACGAGGCCACGATGTAAGATTGCCGTCATATGAGCTGCTGACCTGATCTAGAGAAATCAAGAACACTCCCATGATGGATGCTCCGGCGAGGAGAACCAATCGCAAACCGGTCGGATATGACACCTTGACCTCATTATCGACTGAATGCTCTCGATTCGTCGAACGCAGGCTCTCGCCATCGTTCTTGTCGGCTTTCTCGAAGACTTCAGTCATTGTGGTGAAGTGATGAGAGTGTTGTGTGTCAATTGATTGCTCTCGACGATGTTTTCTTTTCGAATCGATAGCGGATTCGAAAAGATGGATTCGACTAAGACACGTGAAGATGAATCGCATGCATGGCCAAAAAGGTGCCGTAGGGTTAAAGACTCACACCACCGCTACTACTCGCTGAGGGCACAGCACGCAGATGCTCGACTCCCTGAGCGACCTGATTACCAATCCGGTTACTAAAATTGTGATTTTCGGGGATATGATCTACATGAGTTGTTGCCACGGAAATTGGGGTCAAGGGTCCCTCTAATGGACGGAGGTTTCGTCGGACATATCTCAAAGAGCGTGAGAATTCCTGTGATTGGACTTTTTGCCAAGGATCGGCGTTTTACATTTTGTTCCACTCCGAAACACGTCAGCCATCTTCCGAGAGATATGTGCTCTATTGCTCACGGTTTATTTGACCATCGATAGGGAACAGTATCTTAGCAAGTCTGCACTACTAATCTTACTTCCTGAGGCAGTAATTCAAGATCATTATCACATTTTGAGCTTTGCTCTCCGTGATGTTCACGCTGCTGAGAAAACAACGAGATTTTCGTCAGAACTAGCTTTGCAAACTGGCCAGTGTTTTGTTCGACGTTATACGTAATTATAGAAGAGAGCTGTAGATTCCGATCGATACTGATGATATTAATTGTGCACTTCTGCGAATACGCAGTGCCAGCGAATCCCTGTTCCGAACTCCAGGCTCCAGAATCGAACTTTTCCCAAAATATAGATATTTAAATGACAATTCCCAGCCTGGCTCGCAACTGCTCGAGTCGCTGCTTCAGTTCGACTCTTAGCTTACATACATCCGTCTGCAAGCTTTCAGTAACGTATGAAGACAGCCCATTTAGCACAAGCATATCGAGCCCTTGATCCTCTCGTTGAATGAAATATGAACACATCTGAACGAGGGAAACCAGCTGAAGATGCATCTGTCCCTCACAATCTATAGGCTGTGAAACTTTGTCAGATAGCTGATCGGAGCGGGTGCTATTGTTATCTTCGCGCTCGCAGAGTGCGTCGGCGCCGCGTTGGAGTGCGATGAGAATCACGATATGCATGTTGAGGAGTAGGGTCAAGCAGACGACGACGAGTTGATGGATGACGCCGTAGGATCGACTGCTGCTATCCCCCGAGGAAGGACCAAGGCTTTCGATGGACGAGTTTGCGTTGGAGAAAGCTGGCTGAGTATAACAACTCGAGATGGAGTTCTGCCGCCCAGAGCTAGAGGCGGTACTCTGCGCCGATGACGTCTTGGGTGTCATTATATCTTCACGTAACTGATGTAAAATCTTCATCGCCTGGTTGGATGCGGAAAAGATATGCGGGAGTAAGTCTGAGGGACTGCTGGGGCCGGAATTGGCCTGCGTTAAGAGTGCCGGATCCAGATCCACGGATCCCTGGGTCAGCCACGCGTTGACGGAGGTGAAGACGGCTCGAATGGCGGTCCTAGCTTGCTCGGCGGAGCAATCGACGCCAGAACTCGGAGAGACTTCAGTGACTTCGGAGAGAAAGCCTCGTGAGGAGCCGAGAAGCTGGGAGAGCTGGGTGCTAAGACGGGATAAGTCTAGGACGTTGAGCCTGAAGGAGCTTTGATCTGCGGTGAAGCTCATATTGCCTTGGCTGCAGTTTCTGCGTTTCCTGGAGTGCTTGTCGGTGGGATGCTCGTTTTCGTCAGCTTCGTCAGCTTCTTCAGCTTCGGAGAAGATCTCATCCCTGCTGAAATTGCTGGAAGCATTGTCATCACTTTCCTCGGCAGGTGGTCTCTCGGCAATCTCAGAAATTGGATGGGGGGGTTGAAAAGTCGGAGCCTCCAAGAGAGGGTCGATGTTCGATGTCAAGGCTGGATCAGGCGTGAGTCCAATCATTCGTTCTCCAATTCCGGGGGCATCCTGCCAGATCTGCATACAAGCATCCGTATATTTATGCATGGGAATCGACAATGACATGCAGTTATTTTGCAGCCCCCAGTCGAGATTGGGGTCCCCGAAAGATTGATTGTGCTGAGGTTGTACCATAGGCATGACCAAAGATTCGGGAGATATGTGAACCGGATTCAGTTCACTCAGGGCCGGATACGTCGGCAGCGAAGAACTCGTCGACTCCGGGACTTGGCGTCTCGCAGCCTGTTGATTTTCGTTGAGACGATAGACGGATGGCCGACCCTTGGGCAAACTTGTACTGTATAGACACTCGACCCCTTTGCGATGGCATCGTTCGCATGCATCCAAGGTCTTGCTGCTAGCGCGTCGGCAACGGAGTTTCTGTCTATGGCAACGGTCGCACGACTGCCGCGTAGGTGGATGGGCTGAATGTGCCATTGAGTCAAAGGCAGCTGCCGAGTCCATCGAGACTCAAGAAGGTGGTCTTTGAGGGCAAAATGAAGGTGCGAGCGGACAAGATCGAGACCTTACGCAAATCCGTCCTACTTCCATTTACCTATACATCTTTTCGAAGCTTACAGATGAACTAGCTTTGAGGGGAATTTCATCAGCTCTTCCTATCAGCTCTTCCTATTAGCTCTTCCTATTAGCTCTTCCTATAGAGGACCCAGTGAGGAAGCAATATTGGGCTTACTGCTTGATCCTTCAAAAGCGTCATTCCTGGCCTATGGAATCTCGCGCTGTGTCCTTGGATCCCCGACTACCTGGTCCGTGCGTCAAAAGATCAGCAGCAAATAGCGACCTCGCGTAGATGTGCAGGAGCGAGGGAGGTAATACCGCAGCCAACAAGCCCTTTCCTGTAAGGTTGGCGATGGCTCGAGCTGACAACTATGTTACAAATAGTCCTAGCGTGTTGCGGCAGTCGGACTGTCCATGTTATCAACCTTGCAGATGATCTCCACTGGGCCGATGAAGGAGTCCAGTGACGACGGGGCTCCAGTACCTCCCCATTGCACTTCCAGTACTCTGACGACGTGGCTTATTAGCGGCAGGAATTGGAGTTCCGTGACAGTCTTCAACTGATACTCGACGACTGCGGACTTGACTCCGAACATGAGTTTCTTGATCGTATTCTTTCTTGTTATCTAGCTACTACTTAAGCGGCGGTGAGAGACGGCGCTAGCAATTGTCGTTGATTTAGTGAGCTGGACAAGTGGTATCTCCATACCAAGTTAGGTCGGTTCGTGAGTGGAGTATAGGGACGTGCGTAAGGCGGAAAACACGCGTGGAGGTTAGTTGGCTGGTTGGTGGATCTGCAGCTCCCGTTATGTCAGAACTCTACAACAATCCCCTAAATCGGGCCGAGGGTCGCTCGGTCGTCATACTGTCCATAAATCGCGAACGGGAAGCTTGTTTCACTGACTACTGACTACCACTTTGGTCCTGTCCGTATTACTTAGACACCCCATTTCAGGAAGAACTCACCTAATGTCGGGCACAAATACACTTGAACACAACACAACACAACTACATCATCTCTTCCCCACGTTTGGTAGTTAGTGTCCTGTCCCGACAGGAACGTGGCTTCGAGTTATTCAAATGCTTATAAGAAATAATAAGTACGACCATCGAGCACGTCAAACGCTTATTAGGGATAGTAAGTACGCCCATCGAGTGCTTCAAGTACTTGTTAGGTATAGTAGGTACGACCATTAGTTATTGAAGAAGACTGCGACGTAATTTCAGTGTCCAGTAGACAATGGAAGTGGAATGACTGTCCAGCGCGGCGGTGAGATTGGGGGTGAGATCGGGGGTGTTGTTCTGAGTTAGGTTAGGGTGCTTCCCATGCAGAACGACAAACGTGCATTGCGAGAAAGGCTGCGGAAACAATGGCCATCAGTGGAAAGAGAACTGCAATGAGAAAATGCCATGGAGCAAGTAGCGAGATTGTAAGATGATCCATTCAGAACCAGATTCCGAAAAGCCCTGTGGCCAAGTCATCATCAACACCCCAACTTTTACGAGAAGACCAGCTATATGCACGAGAATCCGGGGTGACTCTTATCGCTTGCACGCTACACTATGAATGCTACCATTTCGTTCATGCAAAGCATCATAGGACATTTTGCTCGAATCACGAGGAGGTCTTTAGCAAGAGGCGTCAAGCCCCGCCGTCAAGCTCCGCCGCCGGAGTCTTGGCGCCCAAGAGATCGACAGAAAACAAGATCAGCAAACTACACTCGACAGAGTCTCCCTTCACCATCTATGGTGGATTCGTCCGAACCCACGGCGAATTTTCCATATAGGAATTTGCCAGGGTCATACTTGTGCTTGATTGCCAATAGCCTGTCGTAATTGGCGCCATAGAAGGAATCCTTCCAGTCTCCCTTGTACGTCGGGTCGATCTCGTTTAATACTGCACCGCCAGGGGTCGCCGCCTCCAAGCGGGGAAAGATGTCATCGACAAGGGTTTGTCGAAGTTTTGCGACCGCTGTAGGATCCTCCCAGTCATACGGCTGGTGCGTCTGAGGATTGCAGTAGGCGATGGCTTCACGCCATGCAGGATGCACCGAATTATGCGGATGTGGCGGCCGTACGGACGCAGCCGAATCGTCGACATTGAGGATTGAACAACCGATCCACCACTCGCCACTTTCGGTGATGTTTTGATAGAGATCGATGAGATGTTGATTAGACTGTGGATTGAGCACAATTTCCCGCGGGATAAGGCGACTGCCGATGATGGGAAAACTCGGGCATAGGTTTCCATACGGCAAAGGACCGTACGAGCCGATGAAGCTGTCCAGATAAGTCGGATAATCCTGGGTGGTAAGATTGTAGCCTAACCCGAGCCGTTTCAACTCGGGCAAGAATGGTTGAAGAAGTTTGTCGATGGAGGACGCGGTCTGATTCGGCATGACAAAATTCAGGATGGTCAACGTGTCATTCGTGACGAATAGTTGTATGTTGTCGAGCGACTGGTTCACATAAGAAGGTGCTTGACTGAAGAAGATTGCGACGGCCTCGAATAACGCCCTTGAGTTTGCGCTCTGTACCAATAAAGAGCCGCCAGCGACGGGACCTTCAGGAAAGATTCGAAATGTCGCACTAAGCACGATTCCGTAAGTGCCGCCACCACCTCCAGCTAAAGCCCAGTAGAGATCAGAATTTTGATGAGGAGTTGCAATCAGATACTCGCCGCGAGGGGTGACGACTTCCCACTCCAAGACTTGATCGGCCGCAAGCCCATATGCAGTGACTAACTGCGACTGGCCGCCACCTTGGACGTAACCACCCACCATGCCTGTGAGTCCACATTCTGCACTGACGGCACGGAATCCTGTGTCCTGTAGGGCTGTGTAAGCCTCTCCTGCAGTGACACCTGCGCCAAGTCGAATGGCCGGACCCTCGTAGAATGGGCTGCAGTAGCTGTTGATGAGCTGGGTTGACTTCAAGCCGTACATGTAAAGGGATAGGGCACCACGACCTGTCGATTGGCCCAGATAGCTGGAACAAGATGTTAGTTTAAGATATCATGGACCAAGATCGACCATCAAGTGACTGGCCCGGAGACTTACTCGATGCCAGTGTTTCGAACAACTAAGCGAACGTTGTGTCTAGCGGCGAAGGCGATACCAGCCTGCACGTCGCTGACCCCAGTCACATTGATGGAGTACACGGCGCGATTGCCAAGAGTACATTGGATCTGGGGGCCAGTGAACGGCGAGCACGTTTCATTTTGCCAGTAAGGATTCAGAATTTCGCCGGGAGTAGGATTCCTAGATGCAGCATCAGACACTGGTCCCCACTTTAGTCTTGATAAGCACCCATCAGAGCTTGGCGAGAGGATTGGGTGGAGGGTGAGAACGCACAACATTGCAGGACCCGCCGTCAAGAAGGCCGTCTTCACATCATTGCAGGCTGTCGAATTGTAAGCAGAGAACGGCCCGGACCCGGTGTCCCCGGATTGGTGGCAGACACGTGCCAGCGGGAGAGTCGCCAGAAGGCGTCCGTCGATGGTGTCATTCAGCCGCGCCCAAGCTTGCGGAGAGGGCCACCCGGCGTCGCCCGGGATATATTTGCAGATCGGGACGTCGGGATACCGGTCGATTTTGTTGTTGTCGTCAGCAGCAGGCCTCTTTGGATGTGTCCATGGTGGCCATTTGCCTAGCGCTGGGATGTTGGGTACGGCAAAAGCCGGAAGCGCCAGGAGGATCGGCAGCAGTAAATATCGCATTGACATTGCGTTGCTGAGGAAGTGGGGGTATACGCGTTGCGAAGAGCTGTCGTATGGGAATTTGAAAGACTTAGCATAGCAATAATGCTACGAGGCCGCGAAGTGCTCATTATGAGATTTGGGAAGCGAGGCGATGCAGGCCCGAAATGCCAGCAGACGTTCGGTCCATGCCCCATAGAAGATGGATGCAACCTATACTGAGATCTTCACCGGCCGGTACACTTGCGTGGTACTTTTCGGCCATTATCATTCAAGAATGACGAAGAGACCTGATGTCGCACGCGGCTTAGCTTGCTACACCTTCGAAGGGGATCCTTCGCACGAGCTAATTAGGTAGGAAAGAAATCGCCGAATGTTTGTGCGCCACGAAGACTAGTTCTTGGGCATCCGACGACGGATACGGTTGGGGCGGTTTGATTCTTTAGACGCGAGGGAGGGGGTTACAAATGCGCCGGACAACGGATTCGAGCCAGAACTCATGTATAATTTCGATGCTCTGTTATCCGTAGAGATCAACGAAGACACTTGCTATATCAGCAGCAGAGTGGAAGAAAGGCTGGCCTCGGGACTCGCGATATCCAGATTTGCATTCCAATATCACCATGACTCTCCACTCCCCCAACTCCGCAATTATTGCCGAGGCAGAACAGCTTGTTGCCGACCTGAAGGGCCATACTGGCTCCCCTGTCGACCAAATCAAGGCAGTCCGACAATTGGACAAACTTCGGTGTTTGGTTCACAATGGGTTTGATGCCTTACTTTTCCAGGCGCAGCCGGTACGTTATGACGCAAACAGCCCCAATACGGTGTTTCTTTTGGCGTAAAGCTGAACGAGAGTGTATCTAGTTTCAAATCCTTCCAGCCCTAAACTTGTTAATGGAACATGGCGTCTTTGATGCCGTACCGCTCTCGACAAGTATCTCGATTAGCGATCTCGCGACTGCAGTGAAACTCGATAGTGAAATATTGCGTACGAATCTTCGCCACTCGCAGAAGATAGGCAACCCTTCGCTGACGAAAGTTATTGTTACCTCTACTAGGACGATTCCTACGAATCGTACTCACGCAAGGAATCTTCACCGAGCATTCGGATGTTGTCGAACACACGGCTGCGTCGGCTATCTTCCGTACAGATCATGCTGCGAGCTTCTATCGCCTAGGGTAAGAATGCTCACTTATCGTTGTGCTGCTGTTTACCTGACCTGGAATTGTACGATAAGCACAGCACAGTTTTCACAATGGTGGAAAGTCTCTGATTATCTCAAGAGCCATTCCGCCAAAGATTCCCAAGACGCAACAAAAGTCCCTTATGTCTGGGCTTTGGGGAAGGAAGGTAAGACTTACTATGAAGCGTTGGAGGAGGATCCCACCGTTTCAGATGCATGGCATAAAGGTATGATCATGATCGAATCAACTCAGCCTGTGACGGGCATGTTTCCGTTCAAATCGATGCAGGCGGCTGTTGAGAGCGAACCACATCGGCCCTTCGTCGTTGATGTTGGCGGCGGTCGAGGCAATGCCCTCACATCCATCATGAAAGAGTGTGGAGGCAGCTTCGGAGCGAAGGTAATTCTACAAGATATGACAGAAGTATTAGAAGGCAAAGATCCAGTTCGGGTGAACGGAGTCGAGAATATGCCGCATAACTTCTACGAAAATCAGCCTGTGCGCAGTAAGTTGAAATTCGAGGCAAAAGGCCGGTGGAAGCCTATCAGATTCCGAGACCTCTGACACAAAACTACAACAGATGCTCATATCTATTACCTCCGAAATGTTCTACACAATCACTACGACGATCGGAGCCAGAAGATTTTGCGGAAAATCGTCGATGCCATGGGTGCAACTTCGAGGGTGCTCATATGCGAAATGATCCTCCCTCAGACCTCTCCTGCCGGTTCTGATCCATTTCCTTTTTTCATGGATCTCAATATGTTTATGGAAGGAGGTATTGAGAGGACTGAGGAACATTGGGATGAGCTACTGAGCTCTGTGGGATTGGAGATCAAAAACATTTGGAGACGAGAGGAGAATCCGGTTCAAGCTACCATTGAAGCTTGCTTAAGGGGTTGAATTTCGACCTAGATCTAAATCCTTACAAATGTTCCACGATCACTGCCAATTCACACTTTGATAACCTCCCGCAAAGTATCCCATGTCGGAATGATCAAGTATCATGGTGATCGAGTACCGAGTAAGACAGTTTCGGAGGCATTGCATGACGCAGGCCAGAGATTGGCGTACAGTAATTTTATCCGATGGGCCCTTGAAGAACCACGAAACCTTTACGTAAGCACATTGTACAAGACTCTTCCAAGTCCTCACATTCGACGATTGGCAACTACCAGACATCACAGGAATAGCGAGCTTGAAGAAATAGTTACGACGCATAACGCATCTAGTACTTATATGATATGTCATATACAACTCATGGCATCCCGCTGATATTTACATTCCTGATTTGAAAGGCCAGCCGTTCACAGTAATGTTCAACTCGTCTCCCGACTTCAGCTCTTCTGCACGAGCCTTGAGCTCATCAATATCCCAGTTGGCCCACAAAAACTTGCCGCTCAGGAAACGAGCTTCCGGGCTGGCAAGCCAAAGGCAAAAGCTTGCTGGCAAGGTCACTGTAATTCCAAGTCAGTTGAACCATTCCCAAGAAAATCAAAAAAAGTTGCCCCTCCACAAAACTCACCGTCGTCTGTCTTGATGTCTTTGAAGCTCGCGGCACCGCCAACAGAAAGATTCATTTCGGTGAGCACCACCCCAGGCTGAATGTGGAAGATGCTCAAATTGGGCGCAGCGAGGAGTACCGTGTCCCACAGACGGTAGACAGCCAGTTTGGCCACACAGTATGAGGCGAAAGCATCGTTCAGGCTGAGGTGGGCACCCCAAGAGTTGATGGCGACGACGTGCGCGTCCGGGGCAGCATGACGGACGAACGATCTGGCGACCCAGAAACCTCCTTCCAGATTGAGACGGATTCCATCAAAGTACTCTTTCGGATCGGCTTGGAGGACGTTCTCCTTTGGTCCGATTACGGCAGCGGCGTGAATCAAGGTGTCGATCTTACCCTGTCCAGCAAAGGCCGCAAAAGCGGACTCGACGGCCTTTTCGTCGGTGACATCGGTGCTTTGAATAAAGACCTCGACGTCGGGGTTGATCTTCTCGATCAATGCCTTGTTCTCGAGCAAGGGTCCTTCGCGACGTCCGAGGAGACCGATACGCGCAGCACCGGCTCGAGCGAACCAGCGAGCTGTTTCTCCTCCGATTCCAGTATTGCCGCCTCCGGTGACGAGGACGGATTTTCCCTTGGCAGACAGTGCAGGATTCGAGGGGTCAGCCGAGGGCTGAGCTTTGTTGTGCCATCCTTTGGTAGGCGACGGGTATCCGGGGTTCTCGGCCATTGTGAGTTGTATGCGAAGACCTGAAATGGTTTGTTTTGTTTATTTGACGTTGAAAGAAAATGATTTATCAAGTCTGAGAATTAGATGAAAAAGATAGCAATTGAATGATGCATCAACACACGACTTCCGTGTCCTCCGGAAGCGATAACTTGCTCATTCTCGCAGCACCTCGCAGCCTCACATTCGGACTCGCTTGAACATGCCGCCGGGTCGTGATCGACAGTTCGGACGGTCGACAATGGCATCATTTGCACCGGCGTGGCGAATAGACTTCTTCAGCTGATCAGCTATATACATAGTAGATTTCTAATCACCACGTCAAAATTGTCCGTGTTGGATTTCAAAGCACCGAAACTGTTTCGATTCCTCCAAGTTTTGTTCCACAGAGCAATCCGCCCTCCGCCCTCACGCCCTTGAATCCTTTAGCGTCCTCGGATCTTCTAGGGTTTGGACCGGAAGGCACCTGCAGGGTTCATCAGCACGCCGGGTTCATTGTACTGTACCTTGCGCTAGCGCCGGTTCAATTTGTCCCGGCCCGGAGGGATGAGGGACTAGTCACGTGCTTGCGTCGTCCCGCTAAGCATAACCCAACCGACGACCGTTGCAGCGTAGATCAACCGACAAAGCCCTCCCACCCCTCTTACTCCCTCCATGATGACATACCCGCACGGCTCGATTGAGCCCACCACCTCACACTCCATATGGGAGTTACTTCACCGGAGCAAGCCTCCTCGCTTCCATGTGGGCATTTGGCTGCATCTCACATCATTATCCTGTGCTTAGCTCTGTACCTCCTATGCACCTCCTATGGTTAGCTCTTGTGCTGATGTACGTGGCTGAGGAATCCGAAGGTTGACCTTGCTTTGGAAAAGGCAGATGTGCCGCTGACCCGTGTCGCTTGAACACGGGCCTGGTCAGCATATCGAATTGACCAACACGCAGATCTTTCCCTGGTTCCTCTCTTCTCCAAAATTTCCGGTGCCGGGTCTGATCTTCTGTCACCCCAGACTCTAGCGGGGCTTCACTCTTTTGGCAATTTCTCCAGCTCACAGGTTCGAGCACGATTTCCAAAAAAACCCCGACACCTGTCAACGCTCGGCAACGTCATTTTCCAAAGGTCCGAGGTGTTGTCTGATATCGCTCTTGGCCCAGAGTTAGCAAGTTCCGAGCCCGAGTACACTCTGCTGTCTGTACTGGAGGTTGTATTTGCCATCATGTCCGTCGATGCTCAACCAATCCACTGGTGCGAGCTTTGTAACAAGCCCTTTACCAAGCGTGCGTTATCCACTCAGCCTCATGCGAAGGAGCGGACATTCTTCGCCCCCCCCCCCTCTCACATCCCCTTCATTTCATTAGAGACCTCGCTAACGGACTCTTTGTGTATTGCCAGAATCTGCGCTGAAGAGACATCGATACTACTGTCGCTCACGCGCGGGCACCAGTTCCACTCGTCTTCGCTCGTGCATCTCATGTGCGCGTGGCAAAACAGGCTGTGACCAAAAGCAACCTCAATGTTCACGATGCGTTTCCAAAGGCATTGCCTGTCATTACCCTACTGTTCGGGCTATTGCAAAGCAGTCTTCCAAACCAACTCGTGATGGCCGCAATTTCGTGTCGATGCCGACACCCGAAGCTGAAACGCAGGCTCTCAGTGGGTGGAACCTGAACGGCGACCTAGACATGCTTCTTGATGATCCCTCATTTCTATTGGCTCCGCACGTATCCGATGTGGTGACCAATTACGCACCGTTGGAATTTTTCAACGTGCCTGATTATTTGGATCTTCAACCAGAAAATGTGTGTATGCCGCCCAATGTGCCTATCAATGTGGCCAGCTCTTTGTCATCGAGAGAGCACTCCCATCACGTTTGGAACTCATCGCGACTCAATCTTAAGGTCGATGGGGAACGACAGAGCCTTGATCCATTCGCTCATGGGATGCCGAGAGCACCTCCGACTACTGTCAGAGTTCTAGTCGGACGTCCCAAGCTATCGCCTGCTTCACAGCGAGTCGGAGAACTGATTCTCCACACGCTGAAGTCGTATCCGCGCATGTTGCGAAGTGACGATATCCCACCTTTCATTCATTCCAGCTTTGTGTCGCTCAATGATCAGAATTCCGACTTTGAACCTCTGACAAACTGCATTGGATTGATACACATGATTAGCGCGAAAAGCACTCGGAAATTACTATGGCAAAATGTTCGAAACGAATGTGAACGATTTCAAGCAAACGTAAGTGAGACAGATTCTCCGCCCGCGACCTATGACGAACGCTGAACAACTCCTTCCAAGTATCGGAATGTAAGCAAGTGGAAAACGCTTGCCGCCATGCAAGCATTGTTCCTCTACACCCTCATACGACTCGATGAGGGTGAAACCGAGTACAATAACCTCGATAATTTACTGGTGCAGACCATAATAGTGCGTTGCTGCCCGTCGTATACCCGAACATTTTGGTCCTAACAACAAGACATGGCTACAGATCCTCTCCCAGCGGATCTCAAACAATAATACACCTTGCCCTGCAGATTGCATAGCTTGCCAAAAAGGTTCCGAGATCACTTGGGAAGATTGGATATTTCGGGAGTCGAGGCGAAGGTACGTTGTAAAAGAAACTCTTTCTCCATCAGGTGGATCAGCACACCATATCATAAACTAATCCCCAGAGAGATAGATTAGCGATAGTATACCGTGTGGTAAACAAGCTCATCTACTTCGACCCGGTGTCAAAGTGCGACCTGCCCGCGGAGTTCATACTTGCACCACTGCCAGCAAAGCGACAACTTTGGGAAGCAGGTAACGAGCACTCGTGGAAGGCAGAGATCAGCAAAGAACCCAGAGCCCTTGTCTCTTTCGGCTTGGCCTCGAGTGGCGAGATTGTTCAGTTGAACGACGGCCGACTATCGTGCCATGATAATTGGCTTCCCAATTCATATCTCTCACCAAGTAGTCAGGGGTCAACGACACCATCGGCTAGTAACGAGAGCCCGACGGAACTTTGGGAGGAATGGTGCACAGGGATCGATGGCTTTGGTGGTTTAGTAATGCTCGCAGCGTCATTAATTCTGTGAAGTGGAACCACGTCGATAGTAATCACTCTGAATTCCGTATCTATTCGAAGTCAGGATGGAATGAATGATAGCGTGTAAGCTACAAGACTTGAAAATACGATTTTACTCGCATGACCAGAATCGCGCAGTCCGGAGTATGCGCTCTTTTCGTGGCTTAGCCAATCGATCTCGAGCTACATTGCGCTGATCGATTCTTACATGGGAAGGCGACCAGTAAGGTCCGACGGTCCCACAGGCCACGTGTTGGTCAGATCTGATTCTTCAGCCGTAATCTAATGCCACGCGTCTCCTGTCACGAGGCTGTATGTCAGCCTTACGCGGAACAGATCACTCCGATGCAGACACCGCCATCTTGGTCGAGTCGGTCTCTCGATTCTACGTGGGGCTCAGAAAAGTTATTTACTGGCATGGATAGCGTTCGCCATTCGCGAAATGGCGGAGCTGAAGTCACGCTCAAGACGAGCTTTTACGCCACCGAATGGATTTCGGGATCCAACTTATTGCGACCACCTGACTTGAAGGATTCTGCTGACTCTGGCAAGATTCTTTCCGGCTCTCGGCTCACGATTGGCGTGTCTAAGCCCGAAGATCCTGCGCGCTGCGCCTTTTTGGGGGGGCATAGGTTGGTTAGAATCCTACGCGGGTGGCCCTCAGGATGCCTCGCCCCAACAACATCAAATGGCATGGAACCATAGGTAGCCTTTTGGTCAAGGCATCCAAGCTATTTTTATTCATCTGGAATATGACTCCAGCGGACTTAATATGCGTCACTCTTCGCCGATGCCGAGCGATGTTCAGAATACTATATAATAATTGGAGTCTCTGGTTTCTCGGGTGCTTCGGAGTCTTGACAGACCATTCGATCACTTCGATCACTTTTTATCACTGCTTCTCGGACTCTAGCACGCTACCCTTTGACAAACAACTCCATCATGAAATTCGTGTCCCTCGCTTGCTTTTCGCTACTCGCCTCCGGCGTTTTAGGTTCGAGGAATGACAAAGCTTCAACTCCTCAATGCAAGACTGTGTGTCGTCTCTTTACACGTCTCATCAGAGCCAACAATTGATTTTGTTTACTTTAGGTTCCGGGGGACGCCAAATGGCCATCAGAATCGACCTGGGAATCTCTGAATGACCAAGTCGGAGGACGATTGATCAAGACCTCGCCGATCGCCGAAACATGTTACCCGGGATCTGGACAAGATCTTGCAGACTGCGACTACATCTCGAGAGAATGGCCGGTTGAAGACTTTCAAACATCACAAGCGATCGGTAGAGTGTTACCATACAACGTGACCTGCCCACCTGTCGACTACAATGCGGGAGAGAGACCTACGGCGTCATGCATTCTGGGTATCAATCCAGTCTATGCGGTGAACGCGACTTGTCAAGCCGATATCAAAGCCACCCTGGAATTTGCTCAGAAACATAACGTTCGCCTCGTCACAACCGGCACTGGGCATGATCTTCTGGGACGATCGGACGGATATGGCTCTCTTCAAGTCTGGCTTCGAGTACGTTCCAGGCCTGTACCCGTCTCATCTCTTTTCTCGCTAACATCCAACACAGTATTATCGCAACAAGATCACCTACCAGGAGAAATACGCTGCATCAAATGGATGCAACTCATCCACATGGGAAGGTGGTGCCATGCACGTTGACGGCGTCTATCAATGGCGAGACGTAGCCAAGGTCGCCCGCAAGAACAACGTCTGGGTCGCCACCGGCGGAACGCCGTCGGTTGGAGCCATCGGCGGATGGTCGCAAGGCGGAGGACACGGTCCAGCGACTAACGCCGTCGGATGGGGAGTGGACCAAATTCTCGAGGCCGAAGTCCTTCTCGCGGACGGACGGATCGTCACCGCGAACGCGTGTGAGAACTCGGATCTGTATCGATCTCTCCGAGGCGGTGGTCCCGGCTACGGCATTGTTCTTTCCATGTTCGTCAAGGCACATGCGAACGTCAATAACATCACTGCTCACCGTTTGACCATTGTCCCTGGAGCTCTTGACACCAACAAGTCGGAAACGATCGACGCCATTACAGATTTGGTGCAACAAGTGCCGGGCCTTGTGGATGGTGGTCTCGGCGGGTATGCCTCGTGGTGGAAAGATTTCCCTACGGCTGTTATAGGCAACTCGACTTCAGGATATTCACACGGTATCTATGCCATCGGCCAGAACGAGACAGCCACTCGTGCCACCATCGAATCTGTGGTCGAATCACTCCGTCAAAAGCATAACTCGTCGCTCCAGATTAATTCGACTTACGTAACCTATTCCGACTATTGGACTTTTTACTACGGCGAGATGGGTCTAGATGCTCCCGAGAGCAACACCACTATTATGACTTCACGGGCTATCAACAGAGACCACGTCTCCAACACCACAGCAGTACGAGACTTGGTCGACACCCTGACCGACGCCCCAGGCCAGTACAACAGCCAAGTCCTCATTTTCGTCGGCGGACGCCAAGTGGCTCAACAAGGAACCGATCCTTTCGCCGGCTACCATCCAGCCTGGCGAAAAGCTTCCTTTGGTTGGGTCAATGTCCGCGTCGTTCCGCTCAGCGCTACCCAGGCCGAAAGACACGCCACCGATGAGGACATGCTCTCAAGAACGGCTCTCATGGAGAGATTTGCGCCCGGGACAGGAGCGTACATGAACGAGGCTGATCGTCAAGACCCGAATTACATCCAGAACTTCTATGGCGACAATTACGTAAGCCACCTGGCGACCAAGAATAAGTACGATCCGAACAACGTGTTTTACTGTGCCACTTGTGTCGGCAGTGAGAATTTCATTGAGAAACCGGACGGACCGCTGTGCATGATATGAGAGGATTTATCTTGATGTTGATCTGGCCGACGGGGCGTTTTGGGTTTCTTACGCTTTTGCCCCCTGACTCATAAACGGGAGTTTTAGCAACTTGGGTTTATCAGTCTTTCCAATTAGATTTTTAAGTACTTGCAATTTTTGAAGCACATAAATGTTCATTTCATAGGTTCCGTGTGAAGCCAGAGTGAGCAATCAGCAATCAGCAATGAGCGCCTATTAGTTGCCATTTCACGCTCAGACGAATAAACGATTTTAAATGACATGGTTATCGTTCGGCGATGTACGTGTTTGGGACGGTATTAGGGTTACTGGCCGCACAACCCTAGCCCCAGGATGTTGCAATTCTAGGCTCCAAGCAGAACCAGCGCAGCCCACACACAACACGCCTTTCAAGCTTCGGACGAGCGAATACTAATTATTGAAAAGACGTATAGGCGAACGATTGCCTTGATTGTCGTTTGTTTACCCCAAGTGGAATTTTCGTAAAAAATTTATGATCTGCGTGAGTACTGCGCAGGGAAGTAGCCGTTGACACAGCGAAATTTCCATACAAAGTCGACGTCTATTTCCCTCCAACATGATCTACAGGGAACGTGTCGCAAGTTTGCGAATACATTTGAATTTGCCATATGGGTATTCTGGAGCATCACGTGAACAAACCGATGGAATGTCCGAACAGTGTCAAGAGTCAAGGAGCGTTTTTCCTTGCCGTCAACCGCAACATAGCCTCGGACTTGGGCGTCCAGCTGTTCTTATCAGTATCCGGATTACCCTTCGACTCATTCTCTTCCAGCAGATGAACCTCATACTGCTTGAATAAATGTACGACAAGCGACTTAACGATGTGCCCGGCGACGTATTGGCCCATACATTTGCGACTACCAATCCCGAACGAGTGCAGGTTGTATCGGAGCTTTTCGACGAATTAGTAAGTTACAGATGAGCAAAGTGCAGGGCTGGTAAAAAGACGAGACGGGGTTGCAGACTTACATCCGATTGCTTGATATTCTTGAGCCTGTTCGGGTCAAAGACCTCACTATGACTACCCCAGAAAGGGTTGCGAACGTTGATTGCGAGGACGTCGACGAGAATTTGAGTCTAATAGGAACTTCAGCATAAGAGAGTAAGTCGAATAGCTTGCCCACTTACATTTGGTTTCACGAGGACGCCATGGAAGTTTTTGACAGCAGAAGAAGCTTCGCCGATTGTGAAAACTTGGAGGTAATTAGGGAAGTGTTCAATACAGTGATGTCGAGATAAGACGACTTACTACCAAACGGCCGCAAACGCATTGACTCGACGAAACAGCGGTGTAAATGAGAATCGGTTTTGGCGATGTACTCTTGAAGACTGCTCTCGCTTGCAGCAATTTCTTCGAGTAAAGTGTCCTTCGCAACTTCGTGTGCGGCAACGAGGGTGATAAACCAGGTGATAACATGTGTGATGACGTCCAAGTTGAGCATAAGGAGCTCATCGAGAGTTTGAAGCAGCTGAGAGAATGAGCAAATCAGTCTCGGTCCGTGCCAGGTCTATCGTGCATGAAATCCCACCTCGACCATGGTCATATTTCCTGACTCGTATTCTTCCCAATAAGTAACGATTGGAGTCCGTTCACCTCGTTCCCGCCGCACTTCCATCATGCGAGCATTGTACTCACGCCATTCCTTGTTGAAGTTCTCGAGATGCTGAACGGCGTGAGGATCATACAGCCTCGCGGTAGTCTTGAATCGATAAACACCTCCGCCGATCCAGTATTGGTTCAATGCAATTCGCTTTTCGGTGACAGCCCACAGCGTGCGCTCTTCTTCGTCGGTCATGGGCCCGTAGATAGCGCTGGCGGTGAGAAAGTAAGGAAATTTGGTGAATGTTTTCAGCACGGGAAGATCGAATGACGGGGTTTTGAGAGTTCCCTCCACGCTCTGCTGTACAATACTGGAAGCGATGCTGGGTAGATTCTCCACGTATTTGCAGGCGGTCTTCTCCACAATACCGATTCTCGTCATGGCGGATGCATGTGTGAAAGGAGGATCAAATATCTTACGGAGACGCTTCCAATCGGATCCATATAAAAGTCCCAGAGCCTGGCCAAGGAGCTCTCCGACAAACCAACCAAGATTCACATTTGGAGTTTTCGGATGATCGTTGGCGTCGGAGCTGAAGTGTCTCAAGTCTTCCGGTGTTGTAATCACACTGTTGGACAACAGTTATTTCACCTATCGATCAACAATACTGCCACGAGCAACGACAAGAACTTACATCTCGGGATGTGGGCCAGACCAAACTCGGTATACCGGTCCATATTTTTGCCATTTCTCCGAGTTTTCTCGTCCATTGAGAAACCGTTCAATGACCGTCCCATTTGGATACTGCCATTTGGGACCAGAGATCTGCTCTCCCGTCGATAGAACGCCCGGACGGAAGAGCTCTAGTGCTTTTGATGTTATTGTCTGGGAAATGTCAGCTCTTGATATCCCCTTCCCATAAGCTGTCAACTAAATCGAATTATCGATACCTCGATGAGCCAAACTCCGAAATTACGGGCAATGAAATAGGAACAGACTGCTATCAGGGCAAGTGGTGCCAAGAACGAAATCGTCAACATTTTGGCTTGTCGTTGGCCTTGAATGAGAGAACGGTTCGAGCACGCGCATTTCTTTTCTGTATTCTTCTTTCCGCCTACCTATCTGGTTGGATATTAGATAATCAACAATTTTAGTGATCGGCAATGCAGCAAAATTCAACGACCCTGCGGTCTGTCGGCGGTTTTTCGTGGCCCAAATTCGCGGTTTCGGCGATTTACGTCGTAACAGTGTACGACAAATTTACCATCCCACCGATCCCTTAGCTACGCCATCGTTGCCTTTGAGGCTCCGGAAAAGACGGCTCTTACTCCTGTTGGAAGGAGGAGAGTCGAGTGGCGAGTAGAGCGGCCGCCAAGCATAACGATAAATTGTCCATAGACTCGGTCCGGATTTTCCAGAAGTTCGGCCGCTCGGAAATACTCACGTCGTAACTCACATCAAACCAACGCAATGATGCATCTCATAGCATTTGTAAGCTTTTCGCTCCTCCAACTTGTAGCAGCAATCCCCCATCAAAGGACATGCAAATGCTTCCCAACTGATGCGTGCTGGCCGACGGAGCAAGAATGGAACTTATTCAACAACACTGTGAACGGCAATCTGATCAAAAACATCCCTCTTGGCTCACCATGTCACGCTCCCAACTATGTCAAGGAAGTCTGTGATGGGCTCGCATCATCATGGATGACTCCAGGGACACAGTTAGTTTCTATGGCGTGCATATGGGACGGACGATGCTAATCGCCGGGTAGTATCAACTCCTCATCATCGATACAGGCTCCGATCTTTACGAATGCCAGCTGTGATCCTTTCACGCCTGAATCTACATCCTGTCTCGATGGCAACTACGTCCGCTATACAGTCAAAGTCGCGAATCCTTCGGAAATAGCCGCCACAATCAAGTTCGCTGATCGCCATAACATTCGACTCGTGATCCGGAATACTGCGCACGATTATATGGGACGGTCGACGGGTGCGGGTGGTCTTGCCATTTGGACGCACTTCCTCAAAGATGTAGAGATCAAGAACTGGTCGGATGTTGAGTACACAGGCAGAGCCGCCACGATCGGTGCTGGTGTGCAAGGCCATGAAATTTTGCAGGCGGTCTCGGCTGCTGGTTTCGTAGCGGTGACGGGAGAGTGTCCGACGGTAGGAATTGCTGGTGGTTATACTCTAAGCGGCGGACACTCACCTCTCTCCACGGCCTTTGGTCTTGGTGCGGATCAGACTCTTGAGTTCACAGTCGTGACGGCCGATGGTCGACTGCTTACTGCAAGTCCGTCTAACAATGCTGATTTGTTTTGGGCTTTGAGCGGTTCTGGGGCTGGAAACTATGGCGTTGTGGTCTCGATGACTATCAAGATTTATCCGGACGCGAGAACAAGTGGGGCCAGCATCACAATTCAGCAGCCCGGACTGGACTACTCGGCGATCCTGAATCTCTGGCACGCTGCTTTGCCTGAGATTATCGACGGTGGTAACATGGCAACATATTACGCTACAAATACCGCTTTTGTCCTGCATTCGTTGACAGGTTTCAATCTCACTGCAGACGATATGTCGTCCGCACTTGCGCCTTTCATCAAGTCCTTGACCACACAAAATCTAACCTTGCAGCCCAACTTCACGTCGTACGATTCCTATCACAAACACTACGAACATTACTATGGTCCCTTGCCTGAAGGCGTTTTTGGCGTGGCAGGCGGAGACTTGATCGGTGGCCGTTTCCTTCACCGAGATGTCCTCCCAAATATGGGCTCTGCGATCAAAACCTCGGTTCTTTCCATTGGCGGAACCTTCATCGGACAGTCAACCAATGTATCGCGCTTCAAAAGTTCGAGTCGAGCGGTCATTCCGCAATGGCGTCAGGCCGTGGTCATGTCTTCGTATTCACTTCCATACAGCTTTCACGTGCCGTTTGCGGACATGCAGGCTCAACAGAACCGGATCACCCGGGACATAATGCCTCAAATTGAAGCCACTACCCCCAACGCCGGCGCTTATATCAATGAGGCAGATTATCAGCAGAAGGACTGGCAGGATGTCTTCTACGGAAGCAACTATGGTGGACTGTTGAATGTAAAACGGAAATACGATCCGAAGACCTTGTTTTGGAACGCGATTGCGGTGGGTAGCGAAGGATGGCAAATCTTCGAAGGGGGCAGGATGTGCAGGGTGGACCGTTATTTTTGAACACTTGGTATTATTGATTCATCTAACAGCTGGTACTAACCAGCGCAGAAGTTTCAATGTATAGATGACTAGGCTCGAACATCTGTCTCCATTCGAATCACGCTGCAGCTCAAATGAAGTGTCAAGTGGAAAAAGCGGACCCCTGTCTCCTATGAGGACGGCCGACAACTCCGATAATGCGAGTGATCAGCCAATGACCAATTTTGCGTCATTTCAATCGGTGTCCTTCCATGAATTGTGCCACATAGTGATGTCTTCATCCTTTTCCTCGTCAGCTCAATCTAGCATGATCCGGTAAGCTGAGAACATTCAGATTCGGCGGCAAGGGCGCCAGCGTCTGTGCTTCGGACCGAAAATTTGAACCGAAAATCTCCTGCTCATTGAGACCAATGAGTCCTTACAGAGTCTGCGGGTATCCCAAGCTAATGAGTGGTGGTGCTTCGGTGATAAGCCGTTATCAACTTTAAGTCATATCATCAACTCGGGGTGGCGGCGCACCGGGCATTAATCGGCGGGTACTAATTATCGGGCATTTAACGTAAGCGGTAATTATGTCAGAAAGCTGTCAAGATGTCGATCACATTGTTGATCCGGCTGGTGGTCGCCTTATTTGTCGGCGTTGTGCATGTACGGCATCTCATCCGACATCAGGTCGAGTTCGGCGTAGTCGGGTCTGAAGCATCGTTGTGCGTGGCAATTCCTTTCGAGATGGATTCGCGATGTGGCAGGAGGATTCCGGTGAGGATGGCCAATCCTTCTCTCTGCAGATCAGCTCCGAATGTTGTAAGACGTAATTGTCAAGAAGAGGAACTAGGGTAAGCGACCTGGAGCTGAACATATTGATGGATCTGCCGAGGACGGTAAATATTTGTATTGTTTCATCTCACAGTGGACTATACCAAACATTCGTCGGGAATCTCGAATCGACTTGTTTCACATAATCATATTGTTTTTCAGGTTCAACACATAGGCGTTCCTCAACGGACGATCTTTCCAATCCAAAGAGTCATGATGGCCGTTCCTCAGCCCAGAACGGATCTCCCAGAGCCGATTGCGATCGTGGGTACCGGGCTGCGGTTTCCAGGACAGGCGAATTCCCGATCGGCTTTGTGGAAATTACTCGAGAGCCCTCCAGATCTGTGTCGTGAGATTCCGACGGATCGTTTTAGCTCCAAGGGGTTCTACCATCATGATGGTGCCAGGCACGGATCGACCAATGTTCGACACTCGTACTTGTTGGATGAAGATATTCGTGTATTTGACGCGGCCTTCTTCAACATCAGCGCGAACGAAGCCGAGTCGATCGATCCGCAGCAGCGGATTCTGCTGGAAACCGTGTATGAAGCCCTCGAGGCCGGAGGTCACACACTTGAGAGTCTCCGTGGGTCGGACACGTCAGTATATGTCGGAACCATGAGTAAGTAAACCTGCCCGAATGGAATCCAGATGATATTTTAGACTGACCCGATCTCTGATTCCAGCCGTCGATTACCTCGATACACTTCTCCGGGACCACAACACAATTCCGAAATACTTTGCCACGGGAATCAACCGAGCCATCATTTCCAATCGCGTCTCATACTTTTTCGACTGGCATGGACCAAGCATGACCATTGACACGGCATGTTCGTCCAGCTTGATTGCCGTGCACCAGGGCGTCCAGTCTCTCCGTAACGGCGAGTGCCGGGTCTCGGTAGCATGCGGCACGCAGGCTCTCCTCGGATACGATATGTATATTGGAGAGAGCAACCTGAAGATGCTGTCCCCCAACGGCCGATCTCGGATGTGGGATGCCGACGCAGATGGTTATGCGCGCGGAGAAGGTGTGGCGGCTATCGTGATGAAAACCCTCACTAACGCTCTTGCGGACGGCGATCACATCGAATGTATTATCCGCGAAACGGGCGCGAACCAGGATGGCTTTTCGAATGGTCTGACCGTTCCAAGTTCCGAAGCACAGGCCGCTTTAATCCGCCGGACCTATTTGAAAGCCGGCTTAGATCCGGCTACGCGTCCCGACGACCGTCCTCAATATTTTGAAGCTCACGGAACAGGAACTCAAGCCGGGGATCCCAAAGAGGCAGCCGCCATCCACGACGTTTTTGGCCGCCATCACGATGCCAAGGATGGTAAGGCCGATCCTTTATATGTCGGCTCGATCAAGACGGTGATTGGGCATTTGGAGGGCGCCGCTGGATTGGCAGGCCTCTTGAAAGCCTCCGTCAGCTTACAAAAAGGCCTCATCCCGCCGAATCGATCTTTCCACCGTCTGAATCCCAAGATTGAGCCATTCTATCATGGCTTACATGTGCCCACTGCAGTCACGGCTTGGCCGTCGATTCCCGATGGAGTTCCTCGACGCGCCAGTGTCAACAGCTTCGGTTTTGGAGGTGCCAACGCGCATGCCATCCTGGAGGCGTACTCACCGGCCACCCAGGCCATCTCCCCCAGCGAAGATACCCAAACAAAAATGTCGTTCGCGCCATACGTCTTCTCTGCCAGTACTGAGACGTCTTTGGTGGCACTTCTGGAAAAATACTCACAAGGTCTGCGGAGTCGACTGGATAGCGGAGAACAGATCGACCGCTCCGACTTGGCCTGGACTCTACACTCGCGAAGGACTCGATTTCCCATCCGAGTCTCTTTTCCCGCGTCTAGTGTACAGGATCTCGTCACGGGGATCGGTAGCAAAATTGCCGCTGCAAAATCCAGTTCTGGTACTCCTGTTGGGTTCCGCTCAAGTGGCAAAGCGCCTACCCCTCGTATACTGGGTATTTTCACTGGTCAAGGTGCTCAATGGCCTGCCATGGGAGCGAGTTTGATTCGATCGTCAAGTCTTGTGAGCGAGATCGTTGATCGCCTCGATGACGCTCTTTCATCCCTCCCGCTCTCAGATCGACCAGAATGGAGCCTCCGAACGGAAATGCTGGCCGGTGTTGGAACGTCTCGCATTTCCGAAGCAGCCTTATCGCAACCATTGTGCACTGCGCTCCAGATTATTCTCGTGGATATTCTCCGTGAAGCTGGAATTAAGTTCTCTTCGGTCGTCGGTCATTCTTCGGGAGAAATCGCCGCTGCCTATGCCGCTGGGTTCTTCTCCGCTCGCGATGCAATGCGAATTGCTTATTATCGAGGATTTTTCGCCAAACTCTCCGGCAATGAGCAGAATGGTCAAAAAGGTGCCATGTTGGCGGTCGGATCATCTTACGAAGATGCGAAAGACTTCATTGATTCAGATGTCTTCAAAGGCCGGCTAGCCGTCGCCGCGCATAACTCTTCAGCGAGTGTGACTTTATCCGGAGATGCTGACGCCATTATCGAGGCAAAAGCGATGCTGGACAAGAAGAAGGTCTTCGCCAGGCTCCTCAAAGTCGATACTGCCTACCACTCCCATCACATGCGCCCTTGTAGTGATGTGTATATCGAAGCACTGCGGGCCTGTAAAATTAAGGTCAATCATGAACGAGACACCACATGCTCCTGGTTTTCGAGTGTGATCCCCGGAGCCAAAGTCATGCACTCTACAGACGAAGTCGAGTGTATTTACTGGAAGGATAACATGGTGAACACTGTTTTGTTCGCCGAAGCTGTTGGTAAGGCCATTCAAAATGACGAGCATATTAACATGGTGCTCGAAGTAGGACCTCATCCAGCACTCAAAGGTCCAGCCACGCAGAGCATTGGGGATTTACGACCCTCGCCTCTTCCGTATTCTGGCCTTCTTAGCCGAGGAACAGACGATGTCACAGCTCTGTCAGACGCCTTTGGATTTCTGTGGACCATGTTTGCTGCGGACTCGGTCAACCTTGCTTCGTTCGATGGAGCTTTATCTGGTGCATCTCAATCTCGGAAGCTGATGGTCGATTTACCTGTCTACCAATGGGATCATGGCAGGGTTCATTGGAGCGAATCTCGAAAATCCAAGAGAATTCGAGAGCGAACGGATGCTCCTCACGAACTCCTTGGCGTTTCCTCGCCAGAGTCAAACAGCCATGACATGCGCTGGACCAATATTCTCAAGGCTGATGAGATCGGCTGGATGGAAGGCCACAAACTTCAAGGCCTCATTGTTTTTCCTGCTGCAGGCTACGTTGCCATGGCCTTAGAAGCTTGTCGGAAACTCACGGGTGTTGACGCAGTACAGCTTATCGAGATGAACGACCTTTCAATCCCCAAGGCCGTAACTTTTCCTGAGGGAGACACTTCAGGTGTCGAGACTCTTGTCACGTTAACCAAGATCGAGCATCACTCAGACGAAACAATTACAGCTGATTTCTCGCTCTATGCTGGACCCAATGTTAGTACTGGATCAAATCACAATCTGGAACTCACAGCTAGTGCATCCATGAAAGTTATACTCGGTAATCCTGACTTCGAAGCTCTACCATATTCTGTCGCAGCAGACGAAAGCAACATGTCCGAAGTTGACCCAGACCGCATTTATGCAGCGTTCTCGAAGCTGGGATACGGCTATTCTGCCGCTTTCAAAGGACTGTCTTCGACTAAGCGCAAGCTGAACAAAGCGTCGGCTCTTGTGGATACTTATAAATACGCCGAGGACGACTCTACATTCTACATGGTCCATCCGAGCATGCTTGATGTTGCTATTCAATCCGCAATGTTGGCGTATGCATCCCCTGGGGATGGACGTCTCTGGTCCCTTCACGTGCCAACGGGTATCCGAAGTATTCGAGTCAACCCATCGGTGTGTAGCTCTCTATCCATTTCTGGAGGTCGAGTCCCCATCGTCACTTCTCTCGGTGAGTCGTCTGAGTTCTCAGCAAGCATCGACATCCTCAGTGAGGATGGTCGACATGGAATGATTCAGGTCGAAGATATGGTCTTGAAGCCTTTTGCTCCTGCTACAGAGGCCGACGATCGTTGGATGTTTACTGCCACCACACTGGGAAATGCTACCCCGGACGCCTTGTCATTGACAGAATTGCCTGATACCCAATCAGCCTCGCGTAGGGCAGAACTAGATGCTGTATGTGAGCGAATATCTAGATACTTCTTGCGCAAATGGAGGTCAGAGATTACCGACGATGATTGGGAGAAGTCTCCAGAGCCGCACAATCGACAGCTTCGAGACTTCATCGATAGCGCTGTGTCAGGATCCACCGGAGCGTATCCGGGGAATGCATGGATTAATGACACCGATCGGGACATTGAGCTCCTAGTGTCGAAATACTCAAGCGAAAGGAGCGTCAAGCTTTTCTCTGCAGTCGCTCAAATGCTCCCCGAAATTGTTCGAGGACACAGCACAATCCGCGATCCCATGAGGGTTGATGGCTTGCTCGATCATTACTGCAGCCGGGATCTCGAATACACAAGCTCTCAGCTACTTTTGGCTGGCATGGTGAAGCAAATTACTTTCCGCTACCCACACGCCAGAATCCTCGAAATAGGTAACAATCACACCCTCACCTCCCATTGAGGATTTCAATGCTGATTTGGATTTTTTCCCTTAGGTACCGGAGATGGCGATGCCACGAATGTGATCCATGAGTCCATCAAAAATCACGGCGGAGCCGTTCCCTCATACACTTACACCGCCCCTTCTGTGGAGGCCGTCGAGAGTGCCTCGAAACGTCTACTGCCGGATAACAGCCGAATGACATTGAAGCAATTGAATCTTGAGCAATCTATCTCTGACCAGGGATACGATATCCACTCATACGACATTGTTGTCCGCTCTGGCATTTCGCGTACAGTGAATTCACTTTCGAAAACGTTGACCAATATTCGACAGCTTTTGAAGCCGGGTGGTTATTTACTGCTCATCGAGCTCACCGGTGCCGAATCTTCTCAATTCTCTACCACAATGGCAAATCTTGCCGCATGGTGGCTCGGTGAGATCAGCGATAGCAGCCGCGCACCGGTTCGGACATCCGGCGAATGGCACTTTCTGCTGCGAACCACCGGATTTTCAGGCATCGATGTCATCTCTTCCACGGTGAACGGATCGCCATTCTCCGTGATGGTCACGCAAGCCGTTGACGAAAAAACACTTTCCTTGCGGCGGCCACTTTCATCTTCCCCGTCTCAGGGGTCAATCCGGAGCCTTGTGATCCTCAGCGGAAAATCTCTCGAAACCTCTCAGCTTGTGGAACAAATTGCCGATAATCTCGCCCGCTTCTGCGGAGATATCAAGATTTTTGATAGATTGCCTACCGAACTCGACGCATCCAACTTTGACCCGATGACCACATTCGTCAATCTTGTCGATTTCGCAAAACCCATGTTCAAGACCATCACATCCAACGAAATGGATGGTTTGAAGAGAATGTTCGCGCAAGCGAGACATATCTTGTGGCTTACGCGCGGCGTGTTCCAGGGAGAAGAGCCCTATCATGCAGCAAGTGTGGCATTTTGCCGCTCGCTGACGAATGAAGCATCTCACATCAGTGTCAATGTTCTTGACATCTCCGGTGTGAATCACGATATTGCAAAGGTCGCCTCCGAGCATCTTCTGAGGCAGTGCATGCTTGAGGAGTGGGACGAGCCTAATTTCCTGTGGTCCAAGGAACCCGAGACGTACTTGAGGAATGGAAAACTATTGATTCCTCGCATTCTACCGAATCTTGATCAAAATGCCCGGCTCAACTCCTCAAGGCGTGTGATCACAAAGACGATGCCGGTCTCAAGCTCACATTTTTCAGTTTTATCCGAGGCAAACCAACAACCTTTCATAGTCGCAGACACCCATTCGATGAAGCTAAAGCAGAATCAGGCTGAAGATATAGTCAAGGTTGAGTATTCGACTTCGAAAGCTCTTCAGGTCACTCCTGGTACCTTCCTGTTCCTTGCGAGCGGCAAAACGGGAGAGAGCGATCATTCTGTGATCAGTCTGGCGGCAAGCCGATCAAATGGAGTGGAACCAATCGCTTATCTTCCGTCAGAAGACATCGGCGATGCGATTGATGCTGCCTTGCTACTCTTCATCATAGCTGGTGAGCTATTTGCAGCATCGCTAATAACACAAGTGCCATCAGGTGGAACCATTCTAGTTCTCTGCTGCGAGAAAGATCGGTACCTTGCCTCTGCTCTTGCGCGACGAGCTACTGCCAAGTCTATCGGAGTCTTCTTTTCCTACGTCGCTGGAGCTTCTGAAGAATTGCATAACCTGGAACCATCTTGGATACGCCTTAACTTCCATGCATCCCGACATTCATTGCGACAAGATCTGCTCTCCGTGAACCCAACTCATTTTCTCGATCTCACCTACGGATTCGGTACGGGAAGTGGTCTCGGGCTCCGTATTGCTGAAGTCCTCTCTGCGAATTGCAAGCAAATGCGACCATCTGATGCCACACGAGACAACGCTGTCTTGCTTCCTTCCGTCGACCGGTTTGCCCTGAAAGAGATCCTTGAAAATGCTCTTTCTGGTGCTCGCATGTCGGTGTCGTTGGTATACAGCGCCAAAGTGAATCATCTCGAAGATTTCCATCTCAACCTTGACCAGTTTATTAGTGATTCTTTGTCCCAATCACTAAAGATCATTCACTGGCCAGTGGATGGCAAAGTCGAGGTCACAGTGCAGCCTTTCGATTGTACCAATATGTTTTCACAGAACAAGACATATGTGCTCTTCGGGCTCACCGGCCAGATTGGTCAGTCGCTTTGCGAATGGATGGTATCGAATGGAGCTGGTTGTGTGGTTTTGACAAGTCGTCGCCCAGCCGTGGATCAGAGATGGCTCGACAATTTCAAAAAACTGAAGACGAAAGCGACGATCATGGTTCTCAAAGCCGATGTCACCGATAGGAATAGTCTGGATGATTGTATTGCCACTATCCGAGCAACATGCCCACCAATCGGCGGTATTGCTAACGGGGCCAACGTTCTCAGCGATACACCTTTCGAGAGCATGTCCGCCGAGATGATGAACCAGGCACTCGGACCAAAGGTTAAAGGCTCCTACAATCTCGACCAGGCTTTCTTCAACGACAATCTGGAATTTTTTGTCTTGTTCTCCTCCATATCGTGCGTCATTGGCACTGCAGGACAATCGAATTACACAGCAGCGAACGGATACCTAAACGGCCTGACCAGACAACGACGCAGCCGTGGCTTTGCGGCTTCCGCATTTGATATCGGTCTCATCCTTGGCATTGGGTTAGCTGAAGTTGCCGGTCAATCGGTCGTTGACTCATTACAAAAATACGGAATAACTCCGCTATCCGAGCTAGATGTTCGATTCGCCTTTGCAGAGAGTATCAAGCATGGATATGTCGACCCGAGAGACAAGGAGCCGGGAAGTTTGCCTGCAGCGGTTATGACGAGCGGTCTACGTACTATTACGGACGACGAAGTCCACATAACTTGGTACAACAATCCCATGTTTTCCCATCTGGTCATCGACTCAGAGAGTGAAGGTAACTCTGAGCACTTGTCTGGAAACAAGACCGCCTCTCTACCTGTGAAAGACAAGATCATGGCAGCTTCAAGTATGGCAGAAGCTTCAGAGATCCTAAAAGGTAAGAAGAGACTGATTTGGGAATCGAACTAAAGCTAACAACAAGACAGAATCTTTCTCCAACAAATTACGCGTTGTCTTGGGAAGCGCCGATCAAGCAATAGCTCACGATGTTCCTCTTGTCGAGCTTGGAGTAGATTCGCTCATCGCCGTTGAGGGGCGTTCTTGGTTCTTGAAGTCGCTGAAGATTGACATCCCAGTACTCAAGATGCTTGGCGGATCATCCGTTGAAGAAATCAGTGAATTGGCCATGACGAAATTGCCAGATGATGTCGTCTCACAGATTGGCACTGGCACAAATACCCCGAAAAAGCCCTCCATATCAGAGCCATCGAAGCCACACTCTAGGCATGATTCTGTTGACCTAAAGGATTCTGAGCCATCATCAAGTTCCAGCAGCATCAACTCAGAGTCTGTGAGGGGCTCTCCCTTTGAGAGACCAGCGTCGATACCGACACGGCAAACGTCGATTTCGTCGTTACACATCTCAAATGAGGAGACTAACTCGAACAGGAAATTTGTCAAACAAGTTCCCATCTCGATAGGCCAATCCCGGTTTTGGTTTCTCCGACTTTTGGTCACTGATCCCACCACGTTCAATGTGACCCTGAAATTTCGTATGGATGGACAAGTGCGCTTTGGTGATCTTGAGAGGGCCGTCAAAATTGTGGTTTCGAGACACGAAGCTCTACGCACATGCTTTATTGAGGACAAGTATAACCCTGATCAAGCATCCCAAGGCATTCTGGCGCGCTCTCTGGTCAAGCTCGAGCACAAAACTGTCAGCTCCGAGCAAGAAGTTGCGTCCGAACACGCGCAGCTGCAGAAGCACGAATTCGATCTCGCCGGTGGAGCATTACTTCGAATGATTCTTCTCACTCTGTCGCCCACATCGCACTATCTTCTAGTCAGCTATGATCATATTGTCATGGACATGGCCAGCTTTCAGATTTTCACCGCGGAAATTGAGAAAGCATACAGTGGCCAGTCTTTGGGGCCTTCGCCTCACCAGTATCCCGATTTCTCAGTATCTCAACGTCAAATTATTGACGATGGGACTTTGGACGATGATTTCGAATACTGGAGCAAGGTATTTCCCCAAGGCGAACAACCACCAATTCTCCCACTTCTACCCATGGCCCAATCGAATTCTCGACCTGCAGCTGTCAACTACACCGTACACCAGGTGAGCACCACATTAGACCACGCTTTAAACGCCCAAATCAAGTCCATTTGCAAAGCTCAAAGATCTACACCCTTCCATTTCTACCTGGCCGCTTTCGAAATGCTGCTATTCTCCTTTACAGATGCTCAAGAGCTTACCATCGGTATTGCGGATGCCAATCGCAACGAAAGCAACACCATAGACAGCATTGGCTTCTTTCTCAATCTGCTGACGTTGCGCTTTCAACGCAAATCCCATCAAAAGTTTGCAGATGCCATTGTGGAAGCCCGTAATACAGCCTACGGAGCACTCGGGCACTCTCGTCTTCCATTTGACGTGCTTCTCAAGAAATTGAACGTTGCGCGTTCCTCGTCATACAGCCCTTTTTTCCAAGTGTTTTTCGACTATCGGCAGCAAACCAGTGATCGACAGTCTTGGTGCGATTGTCAATTCAATCTCGAGGAATTACATCCAGGAAGAACTGCCTACGATATCTCCCTTGACGTGGCAGACCTTGGCTCGGATATCCATGTAACACTTCGAGTGCAAAGGGATCTATACGATGAGACGGCTGCAAACATGTTGTTGGAAACTTTCACCCATTTCGTTACCACATTTGCTCAGAACCCCTCCACCCCTTGGGATGAGATCCCTCGGTTCAGCGAAAAGCAGCTTTCAGATGCCGTCAATTTAGGCGTAGGTCCAGAACTCATATCGGATTGGCCTTCCACGCTTCCCCACAGGATCGACGAGGTGGCCTTGGCAAACCCCAATAACACTGCTCTCATTGATGGGTCTGGAACCAGTCTCACTTACGCAGAGATGTCTAATCGCATTGAGGCCATTGCTGAGGTACTCCATAACCAGGGTGTCTGTCTTGGCTCTCATGTTCTAGTCTTCCAGCAAGCAACCGTCGATTGGATATGTTCAATGCTGGCCATTATGCGTATCGGAGGCGTCTATGTACCGCTTGATCTGCGAAACCCGATCGAACGCCTCGCAGCTCAAGCCGAGCACTGTCAGCCCAAGGCTGTTCTTTGTGACGACACCACTGCCGCAAATGCGAGTTCTCTGAACACTACCATCATAATCGATGTGACTTTGGTAGCACGACAATCTTCCCGCGGAGTCCCCAATATTGCAAATCCGGAAAAGCCAGCCGCAATACTGTACACCAGCGGATCCACAGGTACTCCGAAGGGGATTGTCATCCGGCACTCTGGAATCCGGAACGAGATGGAAGGTTACACTAAGACGTACAATCTTGGCGCCGAACGAGTCCTCCAGCAGAGCGCCTTCACATTCGATTTCTCTGTCGATCAAATTTTCACGGGCCTTGTGAATGGGGGAATGGTCTATGTGGTACCCTGGAGTAAACGCGGCGATCCTCTTTCCTTGACTGAAATCATGCGAGAGCAGTCTATCACGTACACCAAAGTCACGCCCTCGGAATATTCAATGTGGATACAGTACGGAAGGGAGAATCTCGCTCAAGCAACGAAATGGCGTTTCGCCTTCGGAGGCGGCGAGCCTCTAACCAATGTCGTACTGGAGCAATTTTGCGATCTTGGTCTTGAGAATCTTCGCCTTTACAACTCATACGGTCCAGCAGAAATTTCGATTGCATCGCACAAAGGCTTCGTCGACTATCAATCAAAGAGGCTTTCGCAAGCTCCGGTTTCATGTGGGTTCTCCTTACCGAACTATGCTACTTACATCATGGACGACAAGCAGATACCGGTTCCTGCCGGAATGCCCGGTGAGGTTGTTATCAGCGGAGCTGGTGTGTCCTTTGGCTACCTAGCCAACTCAGAATTGACATCTCGTGTCTTCCTTCCCAACCCTTACGCAACTCCATTCCAACTCGCTAATGGTTGGACGCGAATGCATCGTACAGGCGACGTGGGACATCTACGCCAGGACGGATCTCTGGTTTTCCGCAACCGGATGGCAGACGACACGCAGGTGAAACTGAGAGGTCTGCGGATCGACCTGCGTGACATTGAGAGCAACATCATCTCGACTGCGGGTGGAGTTCTTAAAGATGCCGTCGTAACCCTCCGTGCAGGCGATCCGGAGTATCTCGTTGCGCATGTTGTCTTTGCCGGAAGTGCGAAGATTGACGACAAGGAGACATTCTTGAGGCAATTGCTCATCCGTCTTCCAATCCCACAATATATGGTACCTGTGCTCGCCATCCCCCTTCACACGCTCCCACTTACCAGCCACTCCAAGATGGATCGAAAGGCTATCAGGAATCTGTCTTTGCCTCGTCCAAGGTCCATTGAGAACACAAAAAATGACTCCTCGGAGATGTCCCAAGCTCAGATCTCGCTGCGACAAATCTGGCGCCAACTTCTTCCCGACAGTGAAAGTCTCGGTCTGGTTATGAACGCATCGACAGATTTTTTCCAGTCTGGTGGTAATTCGCTCTTGGTTGTCCGACTTCAGTCACGTATTCGACAGGTTTTCGACGTGGCTATTCGTCTAGCAGATCTCCTTAGTGGCAGTACTTTGGGACAGATGGCGAGCAAGATTGAAGAGAGCCCCATCGTTAAGTCTATTGATTGGGAATCCGAGACAACTCCTCCGACAGTCCCACAATTTCTCCAAGATCACTACATGGATCAAGAAAAAAGTGACGCAACGACCATTTTGATGACTGGCGCAACCGGCAATCTCGCAAAGCACCTACTCTCGGTGCTCTTAGCTGATCAAAGGGTTGGAAAGATACATTGCGTTGCAGTGCGACAGATTCCGCATCAGGAAGCTCTCTTTGCTAACGACAAGCTCGTCTTTCATGCCGGCGATCTATCAAAACCGCTACTTGGGCTCAGCGAAGAAGAATTCCGAAGCCTCGCCTACGAAACGGACGTCATTTTACATTTAGGCGCAGTGCGTTCGTTCTGGGACAATTACAACATGTTACGTTCCACCAACGTCCGCGCAACCAAAGAAATAGTCAAGCTGTCAGGTTTGCGCCACATCCCCATCCATTATGTCTCGACCTCGGCCGTATTTCCGCACAATGCCTCAGCCCTGGCATCTTCCGCATCGGCAGCGGCCTATCAGCCTGCTATGGACGGGTCTGAAGGGTACATCGCAAGCAAATGGGCCAGCGAGCGCATCCTCGAGCGCGCAGCAACCGACCCCGACCTCGCAGTCCCATCAACCATCTACCGCTTCCTCCCATCGTCAGCCGTTGAAGCCCAATCCGAGACTTCAAAGGAGCGCATCAAAGCTGAATTCATCCGGTGCATGAACCTCACCAACACCATCCCTAGCGCTGCTGGCTGGGATGGCCGTATCGATCTCGTTTCGGGGCAGACATTCGCGCTCTGGTTTCTCGACGCCCTATTCACTACCCGAGGCACTGGCGTACAGTTCCTACATTACGAATGCCCCATTACGATCCATGTGGACGAGCTCATGGCCTGGGCCGAAGAGGCGCAGCAAGGTGGAAAGTCGGATGAGGGGTTGCTAGAAGAGCTGCCGCTCTTGCAGTGGATGGGGCGAATTAAGAAAGGGAGTTTTGGGTTTGTGTTGGCGGCGCAGGATGCGACGGTCAGGAGGGGGGAGGGGAAGATTCATTCGCGGAGGTAAGGAGACCGTAGTACGCTTTATTATTCAAAGGAATATTTGAGAGTTTGTAGGATCTTTATCATTATAATACAATTTGGTCGATAGTATATTGTCCTTGTATTAATATGTTAAGATCCAAAGACCTAATGTAAGAGTGTTACAAGAGTAGGAACTGTTCGACGATACGCGCTTCCCATATGTATCTAGAATAACATATATAGGTAGAGAGAGTAGACCTTATGTCTGCTCGTGTTGAACTCATGTTACCAACTTACCTATTAGAATACAAAGCCCCTTTCCTGATTCCGTTATATTACTTATTCTCAAGAAGCTGTTACGATCACACGACCGTGCCGCCTCAGGCACATGATCCCTCCACAGAACCCTAATCACGTGACTAAGCCAACAGAACAGACGGAGCAGGCTTCGCTCTGTTGGCTCTGCTGCAACAGAACAAGCAGCATCAACTGCGTTCTGTTAGTACTACCTGTAGCAGGCATTTCCCTTTGTATGTAAGAAGACACACATATATAGGTAGGACGAGCTGACCTTATGTCGGCTCGTGTTGAACTCATGTTACCAACCTAGCCATTGAAATCAAAGACCCTTTCCTGCTCCTACCTCGCTACTCATTCTCAAGAAGCTACCTCGAGTAAACTACCCTTTGGCAGTTGACCCGTAACACTTTCAACACCCTCGAATATGAGTACCGTATCAGGACCATCTAAGGGCAAACAGCCAAGCCAGCCCAAGACTCCAACTCCACTTATGCTAGGAGCTATGGACGTTGACTCCGACGACAGCGAAGACGAAGGGACTAAGGCTCAAGTCAGGATCCTTATGCGCCAGCAGGTCGAGGACCAACGACAACGTCATGCTGAGCAGCAACACTTCCTGAGCCTAATTGAAGAACTCCAAGGACGACTCAACGCTGTGGGAGCTACCAACAACCCAGGGGCCACGACAACCGGACCCCCCGGAGTTGCCCCAGGAGTCGCCCCAGGAGCCGTGGGACAACCGGGACGGGTCAAGGTTCCGAAGCCCGACTTGTTCTATGGGGATCGTGCCAAGTTCGATAATTGGGCCCTTCAAGTCGACCTGTACCTCCGCTTTAACCCGGCTCCGACGGACGAAGACGCGGCCTTACTCGCCGCTATGTACCTTCGAGGAAGAGCCGAGCAGTGGATCAAGAAGTTTGTTAAGCAAAAGTTCGCCAACGAAGAAAATACAGGGATCCTCAACTCCTGGACAAACCTGCGCTACGCGTGCGAACGGATGTTCGGGAATGCTACCGAAGTCACGGACGCCGCACGCCTGATTCAACTACAAAAACAAACAGGATCCGTTCGCGATTACGCAGCCAAGTTTCAAGAACTCGCAGTCGTCTTGGACTGGAACGACGCAGCTCTTATGGAGATGTACCGGAAGGGGCTCCGTGACGACGTCAAGGACGAACTCATGAGATACAGAACCCCGGTCGACAACCTAGGACAAATGATCGAGGCAACCAGTATTATTGGCGACCAACTCTACGAGCGACACTTGGAACGTAAGTACGATGGGAAAACCACACGCGCGCCCGCGTACCGGGACACTCCAAACATTGGACGCTTTCGAGCTCGCCCGAGAGACCCCGATGCTATGGAAATCGACAACCTTCAGAAGCAATCTCGGATCGATAGCAAAAAGATGACTTGCTATGCCTGTGGCAAGACAGGACATATCTCCAAGGACTGCCGCTCAAAGAACAAGGTTTATCGCGGAACAATCAACAATACGCAGAAGGACGTCACCTGCTACGCGTGCGGCAGGCAAGGACATTACTCAAAGGAGTGCCCCAACAAGGAGCGACGCCAGCTCAACAGTACGGAGGCTAC